GATCAGATACAATTTGTTATTGACTACGAAGAACTCCTACATATGAAATCTGGCAATCTTATATACCCGTTCTTCCTAGTCTTTGATCAAGCTGCTCAACCTCTTGGCCCTTGCCAAGACCTTGATCACCTTGATCACTTTGTTCACGTGGTGCTGGATCACGTGACTGGTCCTTGGGTGTCATCGAGCCCTCTGGCCACGATCTCCAACTTCCGTCCCAAGTACTTGACGCCTTCTTTGTCCTCATAGGTTCTGGTATCGTAACAATAAGTTCTATCCTATTATTAACTATAGTTAAAGTAGAAGTAAGAAGTTAAGAATATAATATTACTAAGCTATATAAGTACTATTTGTAATGGGCTGGTGCCCAGGAGATATACCCTGGATGAGATCCAGTGTAGTAATCGCGATAAAGCGCCGTGAGAACAACTAAGCATTTTGCGGGGAAGTATGGGATTTCTGCGGAGTCGTTCATAGCGTCCCACCTTCAAAGGTCGCCAATGGCCTTGAGTCCATGTGGCCCAGACCAGAGTGGTTCCCTGAAGCAAGATTGAACTACACTGAGAATGTCCTTGCAACTGGTTTGGCGTCTTCTCCGAACGCGATTGCGATCTCGGCTTGCCGCGAAGGTGGAACAGATTGGCGACACCTATCCTGGAAGGACCTACGACAAAGTGTGGAGGAGTGTGCAAGCGGTCTGAGAAACTTGGGAGTCAGAAAAGGTGACCGGGTCGCAGGTATGCCAATAATCTCAATTAATTCATACCAGATCACGCGGCCTGTACTGATACGTTCATTTACAGTTGTCATGACAAACTGCATAGAGGCAGTTGTGATTCTCCTCGCTGCTGGTTCCTTGGGAGCTATCTTTTCATCGACTGCTCCAGACATGGGACGACAAGGGATCGTTGAACGATTTTTACAGATAAAGCCAAAGTTGATCTTCATGGAATCAAAGGTATTATATGCCGCAAAGCATATCGACCTTCGATCTGTGTATAGTCAGGCTATCGCAGAGCTGAGGGAGAAGGTTCCAGAACTCTCGAAGACCGTTGTTATCAATGGCCCGACCTGGGATATTACCGACGTGTAAGTCCATTGCGTACATGCTGCATGTTGTACCATGAAGCGCATTGACTGATGTATTCCAGAATCTCATGGGCGGCATTTCTGAATTGTAGAGTTGTGCCCTTGACCTTTGAGCAGGTATCATTCAATCACCCAATCTATATCCTATATTCTTCTGGTACTACCGGCGCTCCAAAATGTAAGTTGGAAATAGATATGGAGAAAGTGATGATCAGGCAGATGGTAACGACTATTTCCTACAGGTATCGTCCATGCCGGTGGCGCAGCATTACTTCAACATAAGAAGGAGCAAATGCTACACAGCAATATGACCATTGGGTCCGTGTACTATGGCTATACAACTGTACGTTCAGCAGATCCTGCAAGACCAATGCAATCACAGTACTAAACCTAATACGTAGACTGGTTGGATGATGTGGAACTACTTGGTATCGGCTCTTGCACTTGGTACGCGAATCGTGCTTTATGACGGCAGTCCCCTTCATCCGTCTCCGACAAGTCAATTAGATATTGTAGATGAGCAAGGGGTCACACATTGGGGGACAAGCCCGAAGTATTTAGCTGCCCTGAAACAGCGCCTCACGACGATCATTCCGAAACTAGACACCCTTCTTTATTGCACTGTCTCAGGGTCGCCTTTATCTTCAGAGATCTGCGATTGGTTCTACAAGACATTTCCTTCCCGAATCGGTCTCTTCAGCGGCTCAGGCGGAACTGATATTGTAGGCGGTAGTGAGTTGATAATTATCTCTCAAACTGTCGTAGGTGTCTGGTCACTGACATGAATGTAGTTGTTGGAGCGAACGTGATTACCGCTGTACACAACGGCGAATTAGCAGCCGCATCTCTAGGGATGAAGGTTGAAATATGGGATCACGAGGGACACAACATCGAAGATAGCGGAGAAAAGGGTGATTTAGTCATCACAAAGCCATTCTTCACAATGCCAGTCTCCTTTTGGGGCAAAAGTGGCGAAGAGAAATACCGGGAGGCCTATTTCGATCAGTATCCTGAACGGAGAGTCTGGTGTCACGGCGACTTCATTCGTAATTCCGGCCACTGGAGGCTATGAGATTCTCGGGCGAAGTGATGGTGTGTTGAACCCTGGAGGTTAGTTGCATAATCACCGGCAAATGGCGCCTGTCCATGTCTTAATAATGATCACATAGGTGTTCGATTTGGGACGGCTGAGATTTACGGCATACTCGACCATTTTGCTGAAGTGGAAGACTGCATCGCAGTCGGTCAACGTCGCAAAACGGACCCAGACGAGCAAGTTCTCCTCTTCCTCAAGCTTAAAGACAGCTTGAAACTCGATAAATCCCTGAAACAGCGGATCTGCAATGCCATACGGCGGGATTTGAGCGCGAGGCATGTTCCGCAGCATATACGACAGGTTGCTGATATACCGTATACTCGCAACGGAAAAAAGATTGAGAACATGGTAAAGGCTATTGTCAGTGGTCAGGCACTGAAGGTTGGACAGAGCGCTGCAAATCCTGAGTGTTTGGATGAATATAAACAGTTCACGAATCTTCCTTTCGGGGCTGCTGCGGGGTCGAAGCTGTAGGCCTTTCGTCTATATGAGACAGTAGTATTACTGTACGTTCCTTGATTGTTTTTCGGTTCCCCCTGCCTTTGTGCGACAACTACTTTACGCTACATCAATCAACAACTGTACACGAGGTCTTCTTGTTTATTGCCTTCCTACGGGCGCATCGCAGACATAGAATCGTGTTTACGGTGTCTCACAGCTTAAGGACTTATCATACGTTCTGGGGACATCGAGCAAGTGTGGTTTGGTAAATGTTGATATCTTTTCGCGCCTACGCGATACAAGAACTACAGTGGCAACGCAGATGAAGCGACTTACCAAGGTAAACACTCAAGGTAAACACGAGGGAAGCAAGGACGGAATTGAATATGACTGCTCATCTTGTTGCATCACGGGACTTCTTTATGGTCAGATCTACCAAGGTCCCAATGTAGTTTCGTAAGGAAGATCAAAACAGAATAGAGATGGCGTCGTCAGAATATCGTGAACGAATAAAAAGGGTCGCAAAGTGAACGAACTTACTGATAGAGTATCTAACAAACAAACTAACAAACAAATCAGACGAGTTTCGAAACCACTTCGCATAGCCGGCAGTGTTGACCATTGTAGTACGTTTTGTATGCTGTAGGTGTTAGCCGCAAATACGGATAAGAGTTACAACGCGATCATGCGGGTCCCGTAAACACAAAGGTGTAGCTTAGAAATTAAGAAGTGAAAGCGTCTAAAGTTGTTAAAAGGAGACTAAATAGAGTAATGTAAATTCAATTTATTTGCACAGGTATTTCCATACAATATTTATCATTATTGTTAGCTTCCTACCTCGGTACATATCGAGGAAGGTAGTTACTATATACTTTAACTACTAGTAGTTACTAATTACTGAATTCTGCTACGTTCCCCACTTTCAATCAGGCTATGGGGCCTGGGCTAACACCTCCATCCCCGCAATCCCTGTATTCCAGGTTCTCCACATCCCGTCTCACCTTGACCTTGCATCCTCCCAACCCATCTCGTCCATCATCCTTTATCCGAACAATCATCAGCACATCAAGGGATGTGAGAAGCGAAGGGATTCCTTCATGGCTACCAACGAGACTCCCAACACTGGAAATACTCAGCCTCAGTCCCAGGTGGAGCAAAACATTGTGTACAGTCGGGCATGTCAGCAGTGTAATCGTAAGAAGACCAAGTGCGACCGTGTTCGTCCTGTGTGTGGCCTGTGTCATCGGACAGGCATCGAATGCGAATTTCCCCTCAAGCGAAAGACCACTGTCCAGAGCTCGCGACCAAGGAAGAGGCCTTCGCCGGCTGTTAACGAAAGCCTAGAGCGGCTTCTCGAGATTCTTGAGACCCGCGCATTGAGCCGAAGTGTATTTGATCAAACATCGCCAGCAGTAGCCGGGTTCTTCGCTCATGGGGGCCCTTCAGAGGCGAATCTGGATCAGGTGGAATTTGGCGTCTCTCCAAGCCCAAGTGTACCAACATCAACAATTGGAACAACCCAAGAAAGCATATCTTCGGATGGTCAGCAGCATGGATATGTCGAATGTACAGCTGCAGAGCTATCTTCTCGCTCTCTACCTTCCCAGTCCCCAGGTAGCGGCAACGACTCGATTTTTCTTCAAGGCGAAGGAGCAGTCACTGAGCCACCATCAGGTCGCATTCCATGCCCACTCGCCCTAGTCCTTGTGGATATTTTCTTTGAACATATCCAATGCTGGCTGCCGATATTTCACAAACCAAGGTTTATGCGTAAATATGCCCCTATATTGAGTAGGGATGATGTCCTTTCTGGATTACCTCCTGAGGAAGGCTTGCTGCTCAGTTCTATGTTCTCGCTGGCAGCGTGCCATTGCAACCACGAGTCTCTCAGCCGAAAACCTGCCTTGGAACGTGGAAGAGAATTTTCGGAGATGGCTAATATATATTATGCCCGCGGTAGGGAGATAGATGATCCCACGCTTGTTTTTCTTCAGGGCTGCGTTCTGCTAGCATTCTACCATTCTTGCTCGGGTACATCGACACAAGGTTGGATACTGATAGGTGTCTGTGCAAGACTTGCCTACGATCTGGGTCTATCCAGCGTGGATGATGAACATTCTGAGACTGCACAGGGCAAGTCGTGGTCTGAAAAGGAGGAGATGCGAAGAGCCTGGTGGCTAGTATGGGAGCTGGACGTCTTCGGAAGTAGTACCTTCTGCCACCCATTCATGATCGACGCCCGCAGGATGTCCGTTCTTCTTCCAGTTTCAGACGAGCTGTGGTTTGATGACAAGGAGACCTCGTCGGCAGAGTTGCAGATCCAACCAGGTTGCTGTTGGAAATCGTTGCAGGGTGCACAGAACCAAAGTGAGAGGGCTTGGTTTCTCGTTGCAAACTTCCTGCTGTCATCGGCACATTCCGCTTCGCAACAGAAACGCCATATCTCTCTGGAAAAGCAGACAATGCTGGAGAATGACTTGAGCTGCTTGAGGCTGGCGCTTCCAAACTCTATGGCTCTTGGTTCCGACGTGGTAGACTTTGGGCCAAATTCAACTCATGCAAGAAATTGGGTCATTGGCGCGCATCTTATGCTCTCTGCCACCTCTCATATTTTGTCCAGGACTAATATGAAGCGTGAAAGTTCGGCGAGCTTTGCAATGAAACATCACACAAATGATGGAATATCACTCCCAACGAGAAATATAGCGTACTGGAATGCCAAGATACTCTCGCAGTGGTCACCGGAAGATGTCGCCGACTCGCACCCTTTCTTTGCGTTCCTGCTCATATTTCCTCATCCCACAATTACCACCTCAATTGCTGGCGATGAGGATACTTTGTCGTCCTGCCGAGAACTTACGATGTTGTTGCAACGGCAAATTTCGCGAAGATGGAGATGTGGCTCCATTGCGTTAAGTATGTTCAGCAAGCACCGCATCCCCTCTTAGCATCACGATTATTCACTAACTCTCCGATACAGGAGTGAATGAAATTTGCCAGGATCCACAAATGACTTTGTTGCCAGCAGACAGAGCGTTAGTAAAAAGATATCCAGCTTTCATACCAGGATCAGTACACAGCGTTCAAACGCCGGCTGAGTCGCGTGCGTACAAAGAAAATTCGAGGATGCTCCCCAGCGGCGAATTGCAGAGTAGGCATCGGACACAATTTGAAGGGTTTCAAGTTGATCAAGAAAATCAAGACTGTGCTGAAGCCGATCTATCGCAGCTCATAGAATTGGATTTTCCCCAAGTCGGAGAGAATTTTGATACGAGACTCTTCCTTGGTCAAGGGCTACATCTTGAGGACGATCCGTTCACAACGTTGCTCGTATAAAGTCGCGCAATGATCTACAACGGATAGGAAAATTTAATCAAAGGATGTGACTCTAGAAAAATATTGAATTGTGGCAACATGGGTTTCATAGTTCGCATACCAATTATACAACAAATCAAGAGAGAGGCGACGTGTCCCCTGGAAGGGGAGCACGCTGTAAAACCAACATTCTCATCACTTATATTCAGATACAAAAATTAAGCGATGGTCAATGTCAGGTTACTATCTGCCCTCTTTAAGCTCTACAAATTCGCATCTTGCTTCTCAAACTTAATTGTAGAAACTAAGTTGCCTACACCTCCTATGTCTACCTCGACGATGTCTCCATCCTTTAACAGTCCATCACAAAATATGCCCACACCACTAGGTGTCCCACTCATGAACACCGTGCCAGCCTTGATCGTAGTGCCTTGACTGCAATGTCTCAAGATTTCTTTGACGCTCCAGATCATGTCGTCCGTGCCAGTCGATTGCCTCTCTTCTCCATTTACTTTGGTTGTATAGTGCAGTTTTTGAGGATCCGGAATAAGGCGAGAATTAACTATGTACGGTCCAATAGGGGCAAAACCGTCGAATGATTTGGCATAACAGAATTGGCCACCGCTGACCTTTGGGTCCTGGAAATTACGTGCCGAGATGTCGTTGCCGGCCGTATATCCAAGGACGTAATCAGAGAGGTCAAAGTCACCAGTCAATGGAAGGTTCTTCAAATCTTTAGAAGTGACAAACGTCAGTTCGCCTTCATAGTCGAGATGAGTTTGACATGTTGAGTGGATGGAGACGATTTCGTTGGGACCGTGTAACGCAGTTGGAGGCTTGGTAAAGATGACCGGGTATTTCGGCACAGGAATCTATGAGATGTGATCAAAAGCTCGGTCTGATGAATCTCGTTCAGATACCTCCGTTGCTGTGATGGTGCTCACTCACATTTGCGTCCGTGGCGTGTTTTCGATAATTGAGACCGACACAGATGATGATTGGAGTACCTTCGAGCGGGCAAAGTAGCTTTTCCAAAGTTAACCTGTTCAATCTTATACATGTAAAATGGTACCTATAGTGAACTCACCTTCTCCACACGAACCGGGGGAACATTCTTCGCTTTCAGCGTAGTGAAGGGCGTTCCATCAAGTGGCTTCACAGTGTATTGGCCATCCTCCTCGGCCTGGAGGTCTCCATAGGATACAACACCCCCATGTTCAAATCGAACGAGTTTTTCGAAATTCATTGTCTCAAGTCTCTTGTAACGGTTCAACGAAAGATCGAGGTCAAAGTCAAAGTCTAGAGTTGGTACGCAACAGAGGTTTCTACAGATGTATCTCAAGAAAGCAAAGTCATGTACTTTTAGCATATACACGACCGCGCTATTTTACTCAAGTTTTCAACAATCCCTCTGTTCTTTTGTTGCGCGGCACTTGAAAGAGCATTGCTTTGGTGGAAAGCCGGTACCGCGAAACACCGTCCCCACTTTTTCCCCGGAGGATTGGGTACTTCCGCAACGAAGGTCTGGCGTACAACGTACATGCGCATCCGAGCGGAGATGCTTTCCATTACAACTGATAAAATGCCTGTTTCTCTGACTCCTTTGACCTTTGATACGTCAAAACAAAACTTAACTCTGTCTGAGCATCGAAATGACCCATCAAAGAATCCGAGTCGTCAGACTCGCTCACGTCTACTACCAACACCCAAATCTTCAGACGGCACTTGATTTTCTCGGCGACTTTGGATTTATCGAGCAGGCCAGAGACGGAGTAGGCAAAGTATATCTACGAGGCTACGGAGAGCAGCCGTATATCTACGTTGCTGAGCAGTCCCCTGATGACAGCAGACATTTTCTTGGTGCCGCGTGGGCTGTAGAAACCCGCTCCGATCTAGACATCGCAGCCGGAGTCGACAGTGCTACCCCAATCCGCAAGAACGACGGTCCAGGAGGCGGCGAGATTGTATCCATAAAAGATCCCAATGGCATGTTCGTTCATTTTGTACACGGACAGGAGTTGAGGCAGCCTGTCACGGGTAGTTCGTTGCCAGTCTTGGAGAAGACAGTTTCGGTCTCTAACACGGTGACGAGAAAAGATCGCAAAGGCGACTTTCGCAGGTTCACGCCCGGACCTAGCCCAATTCACAAATTGGGTCATTATGGTTACGGTGTTCCACGGAACAATTTCAAATTAACGTTGAATTGGTATTTGAAGACATTAAACCTAAAGGAGACCGACTCTGTCTTTAACCCCATCACGGGTGACGATGAGACATGCTTTTTACATATTGATTTGGGTGATCAGTTCACAGACCATCATGTGAGTTTCCATAAAATTGCTGCTATAATGGAGATTTCGATCTAATGCAGTTCTCTCAGAGTTTCTTCGTCGCGGCCACTGATGCGCCGCACGCATTTGTTCACCATTCGAGCTATGAGGTGAACGATTTCGATACGGAAACTCTGGGTCACGATTGGCTTCTCAAGAAAGGCTGGAAGAATTGCTGGGGACTTGGACGACATGTCCTTGGCAGCCAAATCTTCGACTATTGGTGAGAACCACTTCAGAATCTCGCTGAGATTGCAGAGTGATGCGTAAGACTGACGAAGATAATTCGGTTTAGGTTTGATAGCTCCGGCAATATTGTTGAGCATTACTCCGACGGAGATCTTGTCAACAAGGAAACTATTGCCACTAGAGAGCCAGCTTCACCTAGCAGTTTGCATGTATGGGGTCCGAATGTACCGCTGGCGTTTGTGACAGGCAGAATGGAAGACACAGGCAAAGAACTCGTTATGCCTTCAGATGCCACCCAAGGAACGCCTGCCAAGTTTCAAGATGCGATGGCAATTTGAGAGTATGAGGTACAAGAACATAAGACAGTTTATCAATATTTCGTTCTAAATGAAGAATTTATGAAGTCAAGTTCTCGGCCATCTTTCGCTTCCTTGTTGTTTCATGCTACCGTGAAATCTCGATGATGCGTTCATCAGTCTCATTCCACTACCTCTACAATGAACTGATATTCCAATAAACCTAAACCGTGGAATTTACTACGACGCAGCATACTCGAACACCGTCATGGTCACAGTTCCCCCCAGAACTATTACATGAACGGATGTCTAGCTAACCCGCTCTCCGCAAAAGACCGTGTTCTCCAACTTCTTTTCCACACGTACCTCGGGCCAACGAGGTGCCCAGGCCGTGCTTACTATCCTCTCCACTCGGCAACCATGATTTGGAATTCCTCAGCTGACCTTCGGACCCAATCATCGGTGGTAGGCCTGTCTACACTACATTTGACAGAGATGCCTCGTTGTTGTCTCACCCCAAACTTTTATGGTCTCACTTGATAGACGTTCACCTAAAGTCAGTACACACTTCTCCTCTTCCTAACATGGTTTCCAAAATGCAAAGAGTGTCGAGTGTGATTATCATCGGTGCGGGTCTTGGTGGCCTTGCTTGTGCCATTGAATGCAGACGCCAAGGATTGAATGTGCTCGTACTTGAACGAGCTCCTATTATATCAAATGCAAGTGCACATCGTGGTCTCAGACCTCCCTTTCCTCTTGGTCTTTCTTCATTCTCACCATGGGACGGTGAACTCACACAGCTGAACATAGGTTGGCGCCGGTATCCAAATACCCCCAAACGGGTCACGAATCTTGCAGCGCTTCGGTCTGCTTCCCAAAATTAGCGATAGAGCCACAGTCGTTGAGAGAATCGATGTCCGAAGATATGAAGACGGACAAATGTTATGCTCAAAGGAGCAAACGTTGTCCTCCATCGAGAACTACGGCGCACCCTGGTTCGTAATACATCGACAAGACTACCATGGCATACTTCTTGAAGAAGCAACTCGACTTGGGGCCGCCATTCGGTTAGGCGCAAGTGTTAAAAATATCTTGACTGATCGAGATACTGTGGTTCTTGAGGATGGTACAGAACTCACAGCGAACGCTATCATTGGCGCAGACGGTAAGTAATAAACACGAGCTCCCAACTCTTCAGAAGTGATGCTTACGACCGAGAACAGGAATATGGTCTGTGACGCGTGAAATTCTGCTTGAACGATCTGCACCGCCCATTGAGACTGGAGATTTGGCCTATCGGGCAACATTCACGCGAGCGGATCTCGAAGCGTTGAAAGATTCGCGAGTAGACGAGCTTTGTGCGCAAAATTCTGTGACACTATGGATGGGTCCGAACAAGCATGTCGTCTTTTACCCTTTGCGAAATGGGGCGGAGTTTAATATGGTGTTGCTTCGACCGGACGACTTGCCTGAGGGTGTTAAGACCGCCCATGGTGAGCTTGGAGAGATGAGAGCTACTTTTGAAGGCTGGGATCCGGTGTAAGTCATTGACCGCGTAGCTTTTCAAGCTTTTATCTAACCCTCGTTTTTTATTTTCAGGCTGCTCAAGCTGATATCGTGTATTCCATCTGTTTTGAAATGGAAATTGTTGCATCACGAGGAGTTGCAGACATGGACAAAGGTACTGGCCAACTTGAACTCTCCAAAGCATTCAATCTAAAATCAATCTGCAGAAACACGTTGCACTACTTGGAGATGCATGCCATCCTACATTACCATATCAAGCTCAAGGAGCAGCTATGGCAGTCGAAGATGGAGCGGTTTTAGGCGTACTGCTTGGAAAGCTTAAGTCCGCCCCGGATTCTACCGGTGCGAGGCTACACAGCAGTGGCGACAGTACCGACTCTGTAACCTCAATGTTGAAAATCTACGAAGATCAACGCAAGCAGCGCACTACGCTTAATGTCCAGGGTGCACTTCGAAACAGATGGTTTTATCATATGGTTGATGGAGAGGAACAGCAGAATCGCGATAGGTTCTTACGTGCTGTCACTGACTGGGAGGCTGTAAAGAGTCCGTACACATGGGCTGATGCGCAATACAATCGTGATCTCCTGGGCTATGATAGTATTGCACCAGCAGAGCACGCATTTGATTCTTGGTTCTTGGAAAATAGCTAAGAGCAATATGTTACAATCGGAAGAAGAAGAAGAAGAAGTGGTATAAGAGGGTTTGAGTACAGCTGTGTCTAAGTTTTCATGTCAGGTACGGGATGCCTAAGAACAATCTCAATAGATGGACATGAATTCTGAGGATTACTGCTATCATATTATAGTATCTTGAAGCCCCTTAATTGAATGACAATTCTTGGTCTTGGAGGGGACAAATGATCAGCCTCGTGCTGCTATTATAGTCATGGTTGACGCTGTCGCTGACAATAATTGAAACCCACACAGTAGTATTCGTTATACATACTCTTATCTCAAAAGATACCGTTGGTAGTTACAGCCTGGGGAATTCCATCGTGTATAAATGCCCCTTATGAGGTGTTTCACAAGCTGATAGATTACGAAGGCATCGCAGTGTTGGTTGGTACTGTCCGTGTTCTCCACGGAATCATTGATTTTATCTCGTAGTTGATCAATGATGCTATCATCATGCTAAATCTATTGCTATTACTGAAATTGACGCTACAGGAGCTTCAGGGAAGCGGTGTGCGGAGTCGATTTTCTCTTGCCCACTCAAGGATTGCCTCAGAATCGCGGCAGGTATGATGATAGCCGTGCATTCCTACGGAGTGGCCGTCTTTTTTCCATCGGAAGGATATGGGGCTGATGTCCGCATTGCACCACAGCGCTAGCCTTACATGCTCGACGCAATGATCTGAATCGGTCAATTTTGTGTTCATTGATGCAGACAGTCAAATTTCTTGCTTACCTAAATGACTCTGAGCGTCCTCTTGTGACATGTTCGCGCGTATGTAGAAAGGAGTGTAGTGCTCTGGGTGGAGAGTTTTGCGAATCTCATTGAGACAGTGCATTGAGTGGAATATGTCCAGAAGAATAACATAGTTCCCAGGGTCATCAGGCAGCTCGATCGTTGGCTGTTCTAACTTTTCAGCTTGCCATTTTGGAATACGTGTTGGTAGGTTATAGATCTCTTCCCATTTTGCGTCAAGCTGAGGGCCGGGCTCTCCCATGTACTCTGTCTTTGTTGAAAAGGCATCCGGAAATACAAAACGCTGATAGCGAAGAGCCTCGCCTGCGGGAGCTATTATATTTCTTCAGCACGTTGCTCATGTGGGTATCCGTTTATTCCCGGACGTGGAATTTTCAGGACGCAATAACATGTGATGGACTTACAGAACACAAGTTGATCATTATGAGCCTTAAGCTTTCTTTGCATTTGTGAGAATGTGTAGCTTCCGACCAAGATTGAAGCAGTTAACAAAACCCATGGCAGAAAAGTCAGGAGCTGATATCGCCGTTGGCGTCTCGGGCTCGCCATTAGACTTGACGAGCCTTCCAATGCGTCTTCTGACTTTTCAGCTAGTAATCTCTCATGCATCTCACCAGATGGCTCGCTATATTTCATTGACTGAGACATGCCCGGCCGGCTGAACAGCAAAAAGTGAAATCTTGGCTAACGTTTGAAGTGCGTTCGTGAAGACGTGAAAGATGAGATATCACTGTTTACACGAAAGAATCGAGATGATTGCTCATGTTTTCGGCCGAGCCATAGTCATTAATACGATCGAATGCATGTTAACCCTGACAATCTATTGTGGAGAGATTTCGTCGTGAGCCCAGGTCTATACACCTTACGAATTTGGAAAGACTGTTACGAGAACTCGTATCTCGTCATTTTGATGATGCGTCATTTGCAAGGGTAAAATCTCGTATTACGATGGCAATTGCGATTTCCGGTCGTTGCGGGGAGTTATCAGCTTCCATCTTTGCCAATTCGACGTATAGCGCGTTGTGCGTGTGGGGTTGAACTCGTATCTATGCAGATCTCCCTGGCTCGAGGACACGACGTTGTGCATCAGGAAACGTCTTGTCCAAGCGTCTCAGCCAGTCCTTTGGAGGAACCAACAGTCGTCTAGCTTCGTAAGCGATCCCATACCAACAAGCAGCGTGCACACCTGCCTTTTGGTCCCTAGAACTGTGCGCTTCCATACCAGTTTCAACTTAATGTTGAGTCAATACAATTGTTACGTCACTATGTCTCCATCTTCGTTCAATCTGCAATGTCAATACATGCGAGATAGCGCAAGCTTCCAATCTAAGACGATAAGCTTTACCCAAGCTACACTTCACTTGATTTTGCACTGAGTAACAAGCAAACCAAGCCGTGGTAGAATGCTTGTTTGATGTCTTGTATTCAAAATTATATGATGTGAAATTCGGTAATTCTAGCCATTACTATGGGTTTGCATTGTCGAGGTCACGAGGAAATTGTTCGATCTCCGGGACATTAGATCCAATATATCTCGAGATCCGCCACATCGGTATCACTCTAGCCATAACATAATAGAATATTGTTGTGATAGAATGGCTGCAGATCTTGTGTCACTTCCAGCCCTAGTTTTGCGGTGAATACGTTGGTTTGGTACCACCTAGTAACGCGATACAGAAGGTTACATCTCTTCCATTCAAGCTCAGAGCCCAGGCAGTGATGCCATTGGGCTTCTCTTCCTATCTAACGTATGACCTCTTGCATTCATTGTCCACTTCACGAGCAGGCTAATGCAGGAAACGAATACTGACCAGGAAACGCCCGAATATATAAAGCAACCGAACTTGACGTGTATCTTCCGGAATGTAACGATCATCTCGAACAGTTCGTTGTACCTTCATCAAATCCTTATTCCACATTAAAATTTACCTCCATTATATTTCAAAATGCATTTCTCGCAGCTATTGGCATTTGCTGGTCTTTGCGCCACCCTCACGGGTGCAGCACCCGCCAGCCCAAAGCGTGACTCCACAGAAGTGGACAGGGCTTTTGGCAATTGGTTGGCAAAGGAAAACAAGAACTCTGAGGTGGACAGGGCCTTCGGGAATTGGCTGGCAAAAACAGACAAGCGTGCTGAGATCGACGAGTCCTTCAACAACTGGAAGGGTGGATGGAAGAAGCGCGACACTGAGGTGGATAACGCATTCAGCAACTGGTTGTACAGAGGGGAGAGTGCTGAGGTGGATAGGGCTTTCGGCAATTGGTTGGCAAAAGAGAACAAGAACGCCGAGGTGGATGAGGCGTTCAACAACTGGTTGGCGGCAGAGAAGAAGCGTGCTGAGATTGACGAATCGTTCAACAACTGGAAATCAGGAGGAAAGAACTAAAGCATACCAGACCTTTAAGAGGTTGTAGGTAGAACTACACACATGGAATATAAACGTGAAAGTTGGTCACTGGCCTGACAAAGTACAATTTTACCATTTGCTCGATCAGCTGTGACGGCATAATAACATGATTATGGATTACGCATCGTGGACAATAATATCCGCCCTGATTGTTGAATGCGGAGACTAAATGATATGTTACGTTTTGCTGATTAGACTATCAGTCAAGGTAGCAGTGTAAGATGCTCAACTTCCTTACATGCAATCATCTTTGATTGCAACACCTAGGTTCAATCCAGTCCGACATTGAGTTTAAGGAATTCTTAGACTGAATTGGTCGCTTCATCCACCAGTATGTCTGCTTACGTCGTGTCGTAAACTTCTCGGGCACAGGACACACGTAATGTGGGCTATCAAATCCCTCTGTTGCGTACAGTCTCCTTCCTCTATCAGAGCCTTCGACGACAGCCTGAAATATCAGCCCCATCACACTAAGATATCATCGAGAACTTACATGCACGCCCATCTCGTCTGCGGCAGCGAGACCCTACTTTATCAGCATTCTTCCAGCTCCTTGCTTTTGCCAGGCCGGATCCACCATGAGCATGTCAAGTGCTGGAAGAACTTAGTTGGGGATAAGTCAGAAAACATGCGGATGGAGCATACCGGCTAAACAAGCACCACTCTCTTCAATTTCGACTTGTCTAGAGGCGAAGAAGGCATGGAACATGTATTGCGTGAACTCCTTTTCCTCTTTGTTCTCCCAGTAATTACCATCCAGCTTTGGTTGCGGAGGCACTCCGCCACCCTCGTACAAATTCCACTTTGCGGCTGCAATCATCTTGCCGGTGTCTTTGTCGATGACCTTGAGGAAGTTGACGTAAAGGTCGCCATGGAAAAGTTGAAGCGTGCGCTCGCTCCCTGCCTTACGCCCCTCGGCAGTGTGGTGCTAGGGGAATACGGAGTCCACGTATTCATGGTCATTCGCGAAAGCTAAAGAAAGAATCTCGAAGAAACGAGGCATATCTGCCTCATTGCAGCGTTGAACCTCGAAGTTGGGCATGCTGCTATGCTCAGATTGATTATTTCAAATTCTCGGTGATAAGAAGAGTGAAGCTGTATCATGAATACTGCTGACGGTAATTATGGGATTTTGCTTGCAACTGGTTCCAGGGAGATTGGAATGTTCAGTCGGTAGATTCATTCATAAAGTATGTCTTGGGTCATAGAGATGATCAGTTACAGGAAGGCGGCTCGGCTCGATTCCTTCAAAGCCAGCTGTCTCCTTTTAACCCGCTGGGAGATGCACACTATCACACACTTGCAGATATTTGAGAGACTTCACACAATCGGATTGGGTTTAGAAGGAAGGATACGAGTTGATAAACTTGCAACTTGCAACGGTTCAGCTGCCATACCTTGTAAGAAAGGTTGAATCCAGCTACGCAAGGTGATCTCTAGCCCATGCTGTCGCTTGGTAGACAAACACATTTCCAACGAATAAGAAATCAGTTGATCTGCACCATACACCTGGCAAAAGCAAAGATCCTGCGGGGTAAGGCTGAGGCTTGGATAATTGGAGTCGAGGCGGGGGAATGAAGATAAAGCGGGCACAGTAGGGGAAGGCTGCCACTGGACGTGCACAATGAATATTTGCCAAGTTAAATAATCCAATGGTAATGAAAAGAATCCACTCTCATCCACGATTGATGAGATTGGCATTCGCTGTGAAGTTGTATCTATTGACGGGAGCAGAATTATGATCGTGAACTACTTGTATGCCACACTGTCGGCAGGAAGTGAGGTCGATGTTCTGTATAATAGAGTGAATGCAACATAACGCTAAGGCTGAACAACCTAAACACTTCTTTACGAGACGGTGAGGGTGCTTGCGTACCTGACGCTGTCAACGGAGGCTAATAACTACCGGGCGAATTATTCCATTGGCGTATAATCCCGCCCGTAGTCCGGGCCCTTCCGTGGGCCATCCGGAAAGGGGACTGGGATTGTGATGCTACAACGGCTTTCGGAAGTAAACGAGGATTATCGGCCTAAAACCTAAGCAGAGAACAAAAGACAACAATCTATCTGTTTAGACCAATCTTGCTCCGATTTCTGGCTGTAACATTGGATATGATGCACCCATTCACAATTCACCTCCTTAGCAATCGAAAAAGATGATTGTTTGACGTTCATACTTCAAGCCTATGCTCACCCGGCGCCTAGACTCCGCGCTCTGACTTCATCGTCAACGCCTTCTGAGCCAAGTAGTTGGGCCAGAGAGCTTGAAGAAGATGCTGAAGATGCTGGCCAGCAGCAGATTCATATGGAAGGCTTCTTTCTCCTTGAACTTGAACGACGTCTAGACATATTTTCCTTACACTTCATGGTTTGTTCTTGTTCTATTCCTGCGTCATGCCCGTGGAACTTCTCTTCGAGGTGTGGCCATACGTCGGAATAGCAGTATTCGTCGCTCTTTTGCATACATGCCTAAGGGTCTGATATTCTGGAAGGCACAAGCTAGTCGTCGATGATGCGTTGATGGTGTTCGCTACGATGAGTCCACCTTCTCCAAGGAACCGAGAACATTCACTACCATTGTCAGTGCGTTTTTACAGCAGAAACGTTAGCAGCGCACATGATCGTTTCCGGATCGAGTTTCAAGTCCAGCAACGTCGGGGCCTACCAACTAGACTCGCGCGACCACGACGAAGGCGGCAGCTTGAATTCTCCCTTGAAGGGTGGCAAGTCGAAGAAAAAACTCCACCTTCCGCTGAGTCTGCCGAAGAGATCTGGAGGTGATGAAGAGATGAAGATGGACCAGCAGGTGATGGGCACGGGCGGTAGGGTACATGATTTCAAATATGCGAAGGATGACACAAGTGAATATTCTATGTATGACAGAGGGGAAAGCTTGAAAACGGATGCACTTGCTATCCAGCAGAATAGAACGATAAGGTTTTGTCAAGAAATCAGCAGGAGTATGTCGCTTGGATCCCCGCGAAGTATCGCGGACGGTGAACAGTGCAGACGAGAGCGAATGGCAAACCATGAGAGGGTGTACACTATGTTGTCGATTGCGTCTTCCCACCTTGTGTAACGAGATTTCGCAGCTAGATGCCATGGTCGTTCGACTCTTTGTTCACTGCATGCGAGTGGTGGCCACCCGGGGAATGCTGACGCATACCAAGCCTCTCATGAAAGAAACACCCAGAAAAGGGCTAAGCACAAGTTTGAAAGTACTTTGAACGCGCCTGCTACACCATGAGCATACATGAAGATGAAGCACATTTCAGCAAAAGCAGCATGTCCAGCGTATATGAAGTGCATTCTATAATTGAAGACGTAGAGCAATCAAGAAAATCATCAAACAAACATAGGATGATCAGCAGTTTCTTGCGCCATTTGGTTTGCTAGCTCGTAATCACAGGCAACATTCTCCAACAGGAAAGTCGCCCGTTGGAAAATTATCCTTTCATGTGAAGATCGCCGTTGATATTGAACCTGTGCGATGGCCTTTCACATCAGCCTGGCAACAATAAAGACCACTGAGCACAAGGCAAGGCACCACCCGAGTGGATGTGTAGTTGGGTAACGCGCGATGATATTTCGTCCGTTGGGTATCACGAAGATAGAAGGAATCAGGCCGCCAGTTGGGTACTGAAGACGCAGTGACAGCCCCATTGCACGACAATCCCTTCACCGTATCTGCCATGGGTATCAGAAAGCGCCAACCACGACGCCCAAAGCTCGAACAATAGGTATTTACTCCTTTGTCAGAGGCCCCATGATAGATTCAACAGTGGCTTGTGAGTATTCGTAATGATCAATGAGGGGGTGCGTCGCATCGGTGTGCGTGTTTGAATGTGGAGTCTGTAGGGAAAGAGGGATGCCCAGAGGTGAAGGAAGGTGGTGAGGTCTGAGGGGCAAGAGCACACACCAACTCCTGGTGCTTACTTCCCCCAACAATGAATACCTACGCACCACGAACAAAAGCCAAATGGCGCCATCTCTTTCTCTCTACCCTCTTTATGCAAGGGCTGGGGTTGTTTGTTTCTCCATGTACTGGCTGCCTATAGGAAGGAGCCCGATGGATTGTTGATCTTCGCACTCGAGCTCGTCCATGGCGGCATCGCTAGATGAAAGGTAAACGAGAGTTCAGCTTATTCGATCTGCCAAATCCAGACTGAGTGTGATAGTGTCAACATCATCCCGAACGGCCTATCGTTTCGCTCTTCGATTGCGAGAAGAACGCCAGTAAGGAGGCGGGCGTACCGGCGTTCATCGAGCAAAGTCCTCGAGCATGAGCGACTAATATGTTCGACTCGGAACTTATCTGTAGCATGCTCAAACCTTCCACGAAAGCCCCATCCACTGACAAATATTCTGACCCGTCTGATCGTCTCATTGACCCCACAATCTCCGCATAACAAGTTCCGTACGGGCGACTCATATTCCAATGGTGTAAATGGAGGAAGACAGGCAACTTGGCCGGCTGGCTGGATCGCGGTTCAGTCACGTCTAAATGCATGTACGCATGCAGAACGCGTAGATATATGCCGCACGAAAATAGTCATCATGGACCGGAGCAGCACTTACTACGGCTTGGGAGCTCCTAAATACGCATCATCTACGCCTCCTGGGCCTCCTGGGCCTCTTGCTCCGGTTGCCCCGCAGCAGACTAACGAAACCGTCTGCCACTTAGATAGTCAAGAATTTGAGACAATCAATGTCGATCGGAAGAGAAGGAAAGGCCGAGAAGATTTTAATGGCGTTGGACACTTGGCTGGCTGCATATCGGGTCCCTAATCGAGTTTTCAATAGGCAGTGCGTGCAGTTATTGATGCAGCACACAAAGCCCGACGTCAAAGAAAATCGAACGAGAAAGGGAAGAGAAAGAGCAGGCAACTAAAACCTCACGTCATTGCGGCTCCACAAACCAACGCCTCTACGACTCAGAAAGGGCATTGATGTTGCACGGCGAAGGGGGCGGAAGCATATGATTATTAGTTGTGTTGTCAATCGCACCGTCTTCATACGCCCAGCCCCCTCATCATCCACCAAAAGGATCCGGCCCAGCGTTTCCACTTTACGCGGTAAAACGCTTTCACGCCGTCACGAGTCGCGCTAGAGACACGCCTCGGGTTGGTCATTTGGTGGGACTCTGTTTCTGTGTGTGTCTCTCTCCAATTATTCTAATTATCCAATTATTACTCTACAGCAAGTATGCATCAATTCAGTCCTCTTGCAGCCATAGCTCACAAGACCAACAGCCCAGCGCCAGAAACCGGTACCGGAAGGGGGCTTCTCCAGGCGAAGCCGGTAAAGACCTCGCATATGGATATTTCTTTCTTCTTTTATTTTTGCAATTGCTCCACCCATTGGATCGTTTTAGGCCGCTGCTGATGCTTGCACTGCTGATGCTACTATTGATGATGTTGCGTCTGAGCTGACCTTGTCTCTCGCATGATGAGGTCAAACTCGTATCAAGTCAGACGTCCTAAAACTATTAAAAAATAAACCGTGACGACAGACGCAACACGCCAAGTGGAATGATGGGTTCTACCGTCTACGTAAAGCAGTCCATCTTCAACGACACGAGCGAAGCGGACCCCAACTAATCTACAATTATACTAACCATCCAAACGACCGCTAAACTCACAACTCTTTCTAACTACATACAACTACTGCTGTACCCGCACCTCCGCGCCGCCGAGCACCACCCGAACCTTTGGCAAAGGGCCCGGAGCTAGGCTTTGTTTTTTCTCTTTTATCTTCAAATGCCTTTCATGCCGGTGGTGCTTATGGGAGGGACAGTGGGAGGGGTTGGACGGGGCTAGGCTGGCTCATTGGGCCCTGCAGCTACTCTAGTAGGCTGCTACTACTACTGCTCCCTCTTACACCCTAGGGTTATTACCCTACTCTTACTCTTACACTACCTTGTTCTTTCCTCCGCCCGTCCCACTTCCATATAAACCTTTCTCACCACCCCCCTCACCTTCAATCATTAAATTTCACATTGTCGTCGTCGTCGTTGTCGTGTTCGTTGTCATCATCATCAGTCTATAGCTGTGTCGGCCATGCTATCTCTTGGTCACCCATTCCAGAAACAAAGGAAAAAACATCACCCCTAACGTGGTTCTCTTCTTACTCCCCATTCAAGCAAAACAGCCTAGCTAAAATTATACTTCGCAGGTGCTCGGTGTCTCTCTCTCTTACTCTCTCTCTGTCTTCCTTCCAACGATCGATCGTCGCCCTGCTGTAAACACAGGAGGGAATTCGCCAATCCAGGGCCCTTCCCCCTCTCCTGTCCGGATTCCCTGGCTGGACGACGACGTCATTCACAAACCCGGAAGGCCCAGTCTGTTGAAGAAGAAGAGAGAGATGAGCAAGCACAGACGCAGGCACGAGACATTCATCCCCCCTCCTCTCACTGGACAGAAACACACAAGACAATGTTTCTCGAGAGGAGGTCGACCATTTCACTTTCTTTCATTCATTCATTCACATTGATTGATTGATTGATTGATTTGGTTTCTTTAAAGAAAAGGGATTTATTAAAGGTTCTCTCTCTCGTACTCATCATAATCTTTCTTTGATCTTTCATCCGATACATGGCCGAAATCGTGACGAGTGGGGGATCTTGGACGGGCGTCCATTCCTTTGTCTTTTCCGCAAGAGGAGCGCCGCAGAGCCAAATGATTTCATTTCCCTCCACCACACAAAAAAGAAAAAGGAAAAAAAAAAAGAGAAAAAGAAGAAAAAAGGGAAAACTTCAAAAGAGCAAAGGGGAGAGGAAGGGAATTCGTATCGTGTTCCCTCTCAAATCCGTTCGTTCCTTCCTCCTTGAGTTTTCCGAGTCAATTCATCAACGTTTCATTCGTGAACAAGCAAGAAAGAGCTGGAGCCCAGACATTTCAGAAAGGAAAAAAGAAAAGAAAAAGACAATGTGTCGAAGAGAAAGGAGATTGAAGGGAAAAAAGGGGTCAATAAAGGGGTGTCCAACCAGCACATGTCAGACAACACACTACACTACAACGAGGTGCATGAGTCTGCCATGTGCGTGGAAGGTAGAAGGTGAAATTGAGGAGAGATGTCACACAACGGATTTCCTCCCGTACGGTATCGTGAGCCCAAACAATGACTCCTACCGAAATTTGTGGTGTGGATTTTACAAGGGAGTCGTGCGGATGGGTGGGGCGAAGTTGGGTGACCACTCGGTAGGTTGGTCACGGAGTGGGATCCACGTTCAAGAAAATTTCTTCACCACCTCGCCCCATTCTGCCGCTTCACTCCATATTATGGAAGTAGACTCGGAAACGTGGGCCATGCATCTTTATCGTCATGAATCCATCGGACCCCAGAGCATATGGGGGTACGGAAGAAAGGGTAAGTCCAAAAAAGCGAGAGGGCCTCTCTCTCCTTGATGGGCAAATATGTGTCGAACAAAGATGAACACACGAGAAAAACATAGGAGAAGAGGCAAGATGGCCGAAAAGGTAGGTCGAAGGTCGAAAATATTAACAAAGGAAATGCTTTTTTGAGCAACGCGCTTCTGGCGTGGATGATTGCCCTCGGGAGAGGGGTTTGGGAAGGTCATTCGAGATGCAATAGATGTCGCTTGAACGCAACAGATGCTAACAACGCCGATGATGCAAGAACGAACACCTATGCGTAAATGGTGATAACAGAATTAGCAGGTACTGGTGCCTAGGACTGGTTTCCGGGGCGATTGGAGCCGTCGGACAGACCAGCGAAACGCTGCTCAAAGGATGCTGGCGGTTCGAATCCATAAGAGGTCGACGCTCGTGGGAAGGTATTATTTGGCCGTCCGCTGAAGGGCGAGCCTAGTCGGATCGTTGCTTGGTCGGCGGCAGCTGAGTCTCGAACAAGACTTTGAGGTGTGCCCAGAATGCTGGCGAAGGGGTTGGCCTCGGTCGAGACGTTGGTTGTGGTCGAGCCGTTGGTTGATGGAGGAGCACGTCGTGCGCCCTCCATCATGTCGCCCAGGCTGAATCCCCGGCTTCGAACACGGCGGTGACTCGATTCGGCAGGGGCTCCGAAAACTTGATCGACAAAGCTGTTGCCCCGATTGCGGACCTGCTCTTCGAAATTGTGGAGGGCACGTCGCCTGAAGGGCCGCGAGATTGGCCTGGGAGCGTGCAGTTGAAGGGGTGAACCTAGCCCGCCCGGACGAGCAGATGGTGCATGCCACGTCTGCGCAGCAGGCTGATTCATGCTCCTGTCAGTCATTTCGGACATTGTCGTGAACGAAGATCTCATCATGCTACCGATACCGAGTCCAAGGCCGATATGGAGAGACTGTGATTTTTGATGTGCTGACGAGCGAGCCTCCCGCGCAGGGCGAGGTGTTGCTTGACTCGACAGTTGGGACAAAGGATTGCCAAACTGCATCGAGGCAGCAGTGCTGGCTGCCAAAGAGACATTCATGTCCCGAGTGGAAAAGGTTGTAGATCCCCCACCCGAGGAGAACGGGGATGACAACCCTGCGGGTGGCTGAGTAGAGGATGAAGAGGCTTCTTGTGGTGAGGACTGGAACGGTGATGGGGATCGGTGGTTGAGCAAGCGCTGGTAGTGGGCTGACAATGTAGGTTTCGACTTGGCCAAGTCCCGGAGACGTTTGCGACATTGCTTCTCTGTGGGAAAGCGAGCGTGGGGCTTTGTTGAGCCGGGCACGGGCGTGTTGCTGCCGCTCTTGTTGGGCTTGATCGTGTCAGGGGTGCCGTTGCGAGAAGTGAATCGAGACTTGGATCGCATCCACGGCGTAGTTGGTGCCGAGCGTGGACCTCTCCAAGTCTTCCGTGCCATGCGTGCAACACGATGGCACACTCCGTTCGGAGGAACAGTGCTGGGTAGGGCCTTGAATGGAGTAACGGTAGGATCTTGGAGATACTGGAGGTAGGTCATCCAGAGGTGATAGTCCATCTCCTGAGTGAAATAGGCTTTTAGCTTGAGCTTCTTCTGAGGATGTACCCGTCGCTGAGTTGCGAGTGGGGAGGAGTCTGGCTGCCATTTGGCCTCTGGAGATTGATAGTAAGAGAATGGGTCCACCATGTCCTCCTCTGGGCTCGTGCAGCTGCCGCCGAGAGAAGGGAAAGATTCGAAGCTTTCCCTGGACGAGATGGAGGAGTCTGAGAAGCCGGATGAAGAAGTCGGTCGGCTCGAACTCTCGCTCTGGCTGGCGTGATCTGTGTCGGACCAGTGGATGTCGTTCTGGAATGTGTTGAACTCTCGCATCTGGGACACAGGAGTCTTGGGCGGTGACACCATGCGGTGGAAGACGATAGCGGGAGAAAGGTAGGCATCATCAGTCTGAGTGGCCAAATGAGAGAGGTCCATGGAGACATCTGAATGCAGTTCGGGTGCTTCGATGGTAGGTATCATCGGCCGTTCGTCGTAGAGTAGGTCCTCGACATTGCGAGCCACGATTGTAGCTGTTGTGCGACGGCGGCGGACTTTGAGCGTCTGTCGCGGGGGAGGTGGTGGCTGCAGGTCGTCCGTGGCGGGCCTCACCTCAGGCTCTGGAGTCCGAGGCGGGTGTTCATCGTGATAATGGAACATGAAGTTGCGCGGCAGGGTGATGGAGAGATGGGAGCGGTCTGACTCCATGTTTGACTATGGCGGTTGGCGAACCTCGTGTTGGTGAGAGATGGTTCGTTCCTAGGTTAGAACGATTTGTCTGGATTGGTTCTTCACAGGACCAATATTTCGATTGGAGATCCAGGTGGGCCAGGGTCTTCGATCTGCAATCTCCAAAGAGTCTGCAAGGAGTTCAGAACGTTCAAGAGACCAATTTGTGGAGGAAAGGCAGGCTACTGTATGCAGGGCGGGTGCGATCGCTGGGGCGAGCGGGTGGCAGCAGGTGTTTGAGGGCAGCGAACGCGACAGTGAGGGCTACACAGCGGTTACACGGGAGATCAGGGAGATTCGTGCGCCGAAAGAGACAACGGAGGCGTTGCGCGCGACTCAATTTGCAATTTGAAGACGAAGAAGAGGGTCGCAAAGGGCGCGCAGGCAAGGGAAGAAGGCGATGGGGTTGGCGCAAAGGTGTTTGCGGGCCGGCGCGACGAAGAGTGAATTTGGCAGACCAGCAACGACGACGGTCGTCGAACGGGGAGAAGGCGACGCTGGTGGGGAACAGGAACGAGGGAGGTGAGATGAAGTGAAGATGGTGAGGTGAGAGTGTCGCGTCACAGTACTGGACCGTGTAGATGTTTCAATTTGGTGGTTGAGTTAACGGCGGTGACAGTCGATGAAGCGCGCGCGGGCGCGTTTTATTGGGGAATAGAAGCGAAGGGAAGACCAAGAACACAAGGAAAAGATCGTGAAGACGTTCGGGGAAGACGAGATTAGGGCATATCGGGGTGGAGAGGAGAGATGAGGAGGGTTGGCGACGTGTGGGCGGCGAAGTCGACGAAAGTTATCGGGGGTGGAGGGAAGTTGGTGATGAGTGGTGAGTGGTGGTGAAGAGGTGGAGGTGGAGGAGTGAAAGAGTGAGAGTGCGAGATGAAGGGAAGAAGAGCAGGGAAAGGGCAGGTTAGGTAGAGAGGTAGGGTAGGGGGGGCACGGGCTGGGCGGGTTGGCTGGCTTGCGGGAGGGAAGGAGGGAGGGAGGAGGGAGGGAGGAGGGAAAGAGTGGAAGGGAAGGAGGGAGGAGGGCAGAGGGAAAGAGGGATTGGGGGGGGGGATGGGGATTGGGGATTGGCAATTGGCAGGCGCGTGAATTGGTGGGGTGGGTGGGTGGGCAGGAGCGAACGAAGCAGAGAAGGAGCAGCTGCGGGCTAGAGAGCGGCTAGTCCTATCGTAGTCGACGACCCAAAAACACTAGCCGACGCTACCGATGGCTGCTGGGACGTTTGCTCGTCACTGATTGGACAGATTCAATGCTGTACCCTTTGCCGTACTCAACTGTGCTGCATCTGTACTGTAGACTGCTATGTAGTACTCCGTACTTGTAGCCGTAAATGCACTTTGGCCTCATGCTCGACCGAGTAACCTGCAGATACATGTACAGGGAGATTAAGCAGAGTAGAGTACATACATTATCGCATACATGTACATATGGATGTACTCCGTACTCCGCAGATGATTACTCCTCTGATCTGCTGGCATGGGCGCTAAACGGTTTTTCTTCCATCGGGACATAATTGCTGTAGGTGTATACATGGGGGGTCGCACCTCTCCCCTGCACATGCATACAGCAAGTCTAACTCTACTGCCTCCTGCACTCTGCACTCTGCACCCTGCACACTTGGCCCTGCAACTTCACAGAACCAGACCAATTCCAGATCGTCCCCCCATTGATTCAAACGCTACACGCACTCGCACTCGCACACGCGGACAGTCAAAAAGGTATTCCATGGAGATCTCGTCGTTACATCCGCGTGTCTGTGGTACAAGGAAACAGGACTCGACACTCAACATGCCTGCTACACCTTCACTACTCCGTACACAACTACACAGTATATTTCCGATCATGTGTCGTCGAAACAATTCAATTGCGTGTGCGCGCTAGTTTTATCCTCTCACCGTATGTCTTGTCTTGTCTTCAACAATCGCCCATGGGCCATGACAAAGTTCACAGTCCATACTCCACCTGGCACCTACTCCAGTGACTTACTCCACACCGACTTTGTTGTCGACGGTTCGTGCTTTTTTTTCGTTGTTGTCAAACAAACACGAACTTGACAACAACCACCTACATGTCAACAAATAAATAAATAAATAAATAAGTAAGAACCAACAGGGCCCTCGAATGAACGGTACGCCAGTCCCGTGGCGAAACACGTTGAATCGAATCCACACGTACGTCTACCTAAGTATGCAAGTGAGTTGTCTTGTCTCTTCCTGCAGCAGAAAGGAAAAAACCGATGTGGTGTTACAAAAGGGGCTTAGTGTGGCTTCCTTTTTGACGACGCGTGTGGGTATACGCGCTAATGTCGCGTGCTGCATAGACGCACAGACCACGACCCGATTCGCGGCCCACGTATGTATTCCTCTCCGACCAATCAGCAGAAGCCAAAGACTGGGGAGGATTGTTAGGTAAAGACTACGGAGGACGACTAAGAGACTGAAGAGACCTGGAATGAATGGATTTCTTTCCTATTGTCCACAATATCCGGCTGTGTTCATGCTATGTACGTACTCCGTATACAGCATGAGAAGGAGACCACCTCACTCCAATTGTATACTACTGCAAGCGGTACAGTAGTCCATAGCAATAGACGAGCCCCTGCATCAAATCGAACAGCACGCATCCATCTGGGTGTGTCCATCGCATGTATGGAGTACACTACTGTACCTAACAGCATGTACGGAGTACTCCGTTCTCTGTACATAGAGAAACTCTGATTAGATCACCTCAAGTTCTCACCCTTCCAACGTCCGTCCGTCCTGCACGAACACTTGTCAACCGCTCAGCCCATCTTGCATCCTTCGTTCTCTGCCCCCGCGCTCTCAAAAGCCTCCTCACCCCATACTTTTGGTGATCGTTGGTGGGGAGACGACTGTTTATCCTGCAGAAGAAAATTGGCAACCCAATTGCGCCGTTGGCTCTATTGTAAAGTCAACAGCAGTGCCCCTATATGCCTATGGTAGGCAGTGCTGTCTCGAGTAGGCGCCTGACTTCTACTAGTACCTCGTACCATCACAACAATTGGTAGAAGTCCCTGGATTATTTTACCAGTAGCAGCAGACGTTAGCATTATTCTTTTGCTGCTATTTAATCCGCAGCACGTTCCATTGAGACACTACGTTCATGATCGCGTACTGGACAAATGCACGATCGCCAGTGCTGCAGTGATTGCTGCATGAGAAAGCAACTGGCCCCATGGTAGCCAGTCGTCCGCATCCAGTGCTTGTGGCCCCGCCCCAACGTAAAACCATACGTCTCCACGAGAGAGCGTGTGAGCGAGTAGACTTGAATCATGTGTACGGACTGCGGAGTACGCTTGCAAAGAATTATCTATTATTATTGAGGTCCGATTGAAGAGGAATTGTCCTCTGTGCTCACATCCAGCGTCAACTTTTGCATAGCTTGGGAACTTGCCAGCCTTCCGAGGAACCATCACTCGGATATGGTATGTACCGAATACACTGCATCACCAACGAAGTGCACAAGTACAACCACACTACCCGCCACTTCCGATCAGCAGACAAGTTCTATCTCACGCTCATCCCTCTCTTCCTTTCCAGCATCTCTCCATCCATCCATCCATCCATCTATCGATCCAATATATCTCTCACCCCAAAAAAGAACTTTGATCATCCCAACCACTTACCCATCCAGGCCATCTCATCCTCGCTTACACCTGCTGCGGCATCCCAACATCTATCATATTTCCTTTTTCCGCCATCAATACCATTCCCATTCCCCTTCCAGAAACGGCAATTACCTCTTCTCTTGCTCCCTCTCTCTCCACGGCACCCCATAATCTCCCCGATTGGACAGCAGCTCGATTTTCTCATGTGCAACCTGAGAGGGGGGCGCCCAAAAGCAATGCATGTCATGTCTTGGGGGTACAAGGTATCACAACCGTTTTCCCGTCCGAGTTTGGCCGTCTTGTTCGTAGGTAACTAGACCTGTATGTATGGCGCTTGAGTGGCCACGCGGGACGGTCGCTGTCACATGGCCGTCACCCCCCTCTCTATCGATTCACACTCCAGCATATCTCGTCCTTCGCAGCGTTTTGCGCTTTGCTTTTCTGCCCATTTGAGACATCGGGGCTGGCGTTGGAATGAAGGCTGTGGGTGATGCGAGCTGGATGGGTGACTGAATAACTGAATGGCATGGAGCGAATGAGTGGTTGGAGGGGCGATGTGAGCTGTCACATTTCCCCTTCTGTGCATTTCAACAAGCTGTTACGGAGTAGTTCGGTGGAACGCACCTCGTCCTCGTAGGTATCGATTGCCTGCTAGGTTGGTATCACATCCTCGAACGAATTCCACCACCATCACCCATCTCCCAAACGACGACAGAGCAGCAGCAACAGGCCGCATCAACCCCTTCCCATCCACCATCCACCATCCCTCATCCGCGTTTACCTGCATCATCATCATGCAAGCCCCCCCACGCATCCAGGCCCGACCTGCTTTCCTGACGACTCTCGCGCAGCGCGGGGAGAGAGGCGTCAACGAGGGAGGGAGTCTTGGCGCGACACTTTCGCGTCAAACTCGCGAAGACAGCCAAACACACTAACCCGATCCATCCCTCGATCGTAGACCTCTTATGCGGCCACCCGTCCACTCACCACCACCAGTTATCGTCGATTCAAAGTCGACGTTCACGCTTCGTCTGGAGGGGAGGGAGGGGCGTACTGTTCAGCCAGCCAGACCCGGCCAGAGCTCATCCACCGCCGTCATTTTTGATGGTTGAAGGGTGAATGCGTACTACAATCATCCTTGTAACCCGTAATCACCGGTACCTTGTACGATGGTGTGGAATCGAGATAACGATCCCAGCGCATGACATCATCTCCCCCCCTCCATCTCTCATTAATTCCAACAGGACCTGACAGACACGGGACAAAAGAAGATTGCGATGATGGAAGATTTGAAACCTGGTCTAGTTAGTTCGTATGATGTAGCAATTGAACGGAAGAACGAGTAGAGTGCTGGGTTTGAAAAGTGAATAACTAGACGTAGACTTGAGGTTTGTGTAAGCTTCGTAAACCGGATACGCGGATGTTGGTTCGTTGCCCATACGAAACAATGCCGTCCAACATGCAGTAGTTCTGTTCATGGGTACGAGTACCTCGTAGAGTGAGTCTAGACACGAGTACCTTGTAAGAACGAGTGGGTACATCGATCACCGATCATGGTTTATCAAGTCCTGGAGTGCTAGACCGTACCGTGTGTCAGGACAGTTTGTTTTGGGTTGGGTTGGGGCTGGGCTGGCTGGCATGTTTCGTACTGTGTTTGGCTGACGTGCACCCATAGGCTGTGGTTTACTATCTGTGTTGGGGCATAATCGTGAGCAGGGAAGCGGGAGGCACGGCACGACGTCATGGCATGGTATGGTGATCAGTAGTTGTAAGATTATGGATGGTTTTGAGTGAGTGAGTGAATGAGTAAACGAAGGCAGAGGGAAATGGCTATGACGGTTGATGTGTGATATATTTTTGGTCCATCAAGAGAGTAGTTGCAATTATTACTGGTAGGGTTCAGAGAAGGTGTAGTAGTCAGGAGGTATATGTAGGGTAAAGAGATGTGGATGTAGTATTGTGGTGATAGCAGAACGATAATATCCATCGATGAGGTAAGGACCTATATGTAACTGTGCTTTGGAAACGAGTGTCGAATGTCTCCATTTCAATTTTAAACTGTTACTTTTCAAAAGAAACTGGGAAGTTTTTTGTGTTGAATTTCTCCAATATTAGGATGGATGAGTATGTACATGCCTTTACGGCATATAATCTGTCGTTGATTTCGTGGACGCAGGATAGAAATTCAACAGTTAACAGTATAATATAACCAGAATTAAGGGTACTTTGCAAGAAGAAGATAGGAGGGGTGGGGATGTAGCATGATATATCACTATTACTTTGAATTTTGATATCTTGGCATCGGAAGGATCTTTGTGCAGGTTATCATTGACGTTTCGACAATTAATAGGTACTTCTTGGTTTTCGTAACATTTAATTATATATTATAGGAAGATAAGAAAATATAGTTTATAACAATCGTGTTGGAGCATTGTCTCGTCGAAAGGAGAAATAAATATAAAATAAATGTATCATATGTAAGTGTAACTATAGTGTAGGTCTGTTAGGGGGTTGAAGCCCACCACTGAAACAGGAATTCATGATGTGAATATTGAACACTCTGGAACAGTATCTCTACTTGAGTTGTACTACTGGGTGGATATATATTTACAGGCTGTTTATTTAATTTCCATTTATGACGAACTATCTTGACTTGCGATTTCTACGACTCTAGCACAGAGATCTAAGGATCAAGAACGACGATTTAATACGCGAAGTACCGATCACAGGAAGATAAATGCACAAGCTCATGTTTGATCAAGGAAATTTGCTGTTGTTATTCTTCAAGGTAAATATTTCGGAACAAGTGGTAATACATCCATTCATTTCATATCGAATCCAAATCGCCCTATCCCTTCATCCCATCTCGTGCCATGCCGGCCCTCCAAAACCCCATTTCTATCCAAAGTCGTCACACCATCATTGCAGAGCTCGATCCCCCTTTCAGGGCAAGTGTAAGAGATCCCTTACAATCCAAGAGCAGCATTGAAGGCATTCGCCGCAGCAGCACCAACAAGGCCGGTCGAAGCCTGGATGGCACTCTGGCACGTTGTGGCGATCGAAGCGCCGACATCGCAGCGGTTAGAGATCTGCTGGCAGATGAAGGAGGAGATGATGCCGATGTTCTGTGCGGAGCCGTGGTTGAAGAGGGAGAGGTCAGCGGGCTCAAATGCGTCTTCCTTACGGCCGTCGGAGGTAGCGCCGAAGTTGATGGCGGCGTTGCAGTTCTGGAGGAGACCAGCGTTGGCATTGCCGACATTTGCGTTGCCGACGTTTGCGTTGCCTTTACCGACGTTGGCGTTTCCAAGGTTTGCGTTGCCTTTTCCCTTGTTGGCATTGCCAGCGTTGCCAGCGTTGCATGCGTTGCCAGTGTTGTTGTTGGCGTTGGCGTTGCCTGTGGCGTTTCCGGCTCCGGCTCCTGCGACGTCCGCGACTGCTGCGAGGATCTCATCCTCGGTGAGGTCGTCAACACGAAGACCAAGGGAGTTGATGCATCCTGCAGCATCGTCGGCGTCGTCACAGGTGTTTCCAGCGCCAGTGGGGTCGCCAATCTCGCCTGGGGCAAAGGTGCTAGCCTCGTTGGCGAGAAGAGGATCTCCACCGATGGCAGCGATCTGACGTGCGAGCTCAGTAGTGATCTGCTTGTTCAACTCGGCCGCACCGTCAGAGGCTGGATCCTGGTGCTGGGTGAGGGCGGCGATCTCAGGGTTGACGGCCTTGATAGACTCGCAGAGAACCGACTTCAAGCCAACCGAGCCAGTGTTGCGCTCAAGAGCGCGGAAGATGAGGGCATTGGTCATGCCGTCGACGTCGCCTGCGGCCTTTGCATTGGTAAAGGCCTGGTCTGCAGTAGCTTGATGAAGGCAGTCTATATTGATTGTAAGCATATATATCCTCTCAATGATGCTTCATCGTCAACGTTGGAACTTACCAGGATCGGCAATGTTGCCAATGCCTTGGGCAGCAGCTGCGTTACCAAGAAGACCGAAGACGGCATCCTGGATGTTGTCCGGGTTGTCGAGCTGCAAAAGGACGTTGACGGCCCTGAGGATGTTTTCGTGGGCATGCTCCTGAGGAACTTCTCGCTTTACGCGCATGGTGGTAGGGCGAGCGATGGCAGCGCCGATCAAGGGAAGAGCGAGGAGGATTTGTTGCTTCATGTTTGCGGTGATTGATGATCTTTTCGTTCCGTTACAAGACAAATGTAATCGTTTATTCGTGAATGAGGTATAAGACAAGTTGTATATGTTGATAAAAGGACCGGCCGAGATCGATTCTCCAGGAACGATAGAATGGAATAAAGCACAAACCTCGAAAGAGTGTGAATGGGAAACGAAAGACTTATTGTACGATGAATGGATAGAAGAAAAACCCTTCCCAGGAGCAGAGTCGCATTGATCTTATATGTAAAGCCGGTGTATGCGAACCACAGTTGCTAGCTTCCCGCTTTGACAGCTCCCCTAACATCTCGAATCAGCAGCCGACAGCTGTAGTGCCGGTCTTCCCTTGTCGTGGAGACTAACATGACAGTGAATGATACTAGCAGCTGGCGCTTGTGGTCGAAGCATGGCTTTGGAAACATCACTTCGTCGCATAACGGCGCCTCCTGAATGCCCTGCTAGGCATCTCTTCCATCATACATCACAAAACCATCTACATCGCCGTTGGGACGTGCAACGGAAGCACGATCCGAGATCACGACCTGGAGAAGCTTGAGTCGCTTAACCAGTTGAGGAACGGACGTCCAAGGTGCGCATCCTTGCTGATTGGTGGAAATCCGCCAAGCCGTTCGCTACCAGCTTTTCTGAGACAGACCCGCAAAGCTTGGAGACAACATCTGCCTCAGAAAGTCTCCTATATGTCAAAGACGTTATTGACGAACGGTTTGGTAACAGTGTGTTCTCGCTTCGTCTCAGCTCTTCGCAGGCGACCTTCGTTACTATGGGAATCTCGAACGGTAGATACCTGCTTCCACTGCGCTTTCGATACTCGTGTTCCCTGGCGGTAAACGTCTTCTAGAATCGTTGGACTGTCAAACAGTGGCGTGTCCGTCTTGCCATCTCGACTGACGTCGTCCCGCTCGACAACAGCTCCCTCAGCGTGGCAATTGATGCTTCCTTTGCACCAAGACTTATATGAGGGAGTCGTATCTATAGCATGATATGCACTGCTTCCATGCACTGCGAACTCTGGCAGTTGAGAGGACATCATAAGGTAGTAAGATATGCATGCCGACCTGGCATCTCGAGTTATCCGGTTTGAGGTTTAATTATCCAGCAATGCTAGTCCACCTCGTCCTACCTAGGGGTGTTCGAGCCATACTTGGAAGATTCAGCGGAGAGCGCGCGACCCATATCTGATTTACGATTCAAAGTGACGATCGTCTGCTTTCTTGATGTGCGTGCGAATGCAACTTCTGACGGGAGCATGTTTGCTTCTGAGTGATCCTTAGATGCGAAGCGTCGCTTTGCTCCGTTCGCTGGATTGAACTTTCATGTTTTGAGCCCGTTTCTGCCACTACTACAGAGATCTGAGTCCTTTCCGCAAGTACGCGCCGCAACCATTGCCATCATAGCCTGGACCATGGCCGGGGTCAGAATTCAGTACTGGGTTGTTCGATATGATCTCGTAGACGTGGGTAGCGTAACTTTACAATGTTCAACTGGAATCGAGAAGGCAAAGGCATCTCAGCCCAGCCGGTATTGCCAGACTCCCGCCACAGCCGGGGCCACAGCCAGCCGAAGGAACAGATTTCTGCATGTATCAGGACTTTACAATCGATTGTATAGCCTATACTCAAATACCTATTTCTCATATCACCCAGCTGAAGGTTGTCATTATTCTTCGAGAGATCTAACAGGTTTCCTCTTCAAGCTAGGCCTATATTAGCCGCAAGTATAGCCAAACAACATCCCAAACAGCACATGTCTCGCTCGCGACCCCGGACTTGGTGGGGGCAGCGGTCAGCGTGCACTGAACTAATTTTTGGTGAGAGAGTCCGATGTCAGCCTCGCTTCTAGTCCTGTCCCGGGCGACCCCTTGGTTTTACATCTGCAGGAACCAAGTAACAGGCTAGGTGGATGGGGCATCTCATGTCCCCCCACGACCGATATCTCGGGTGCCGGTCCCCTCGGTACCTTCGCTGTCGTGATGCCTTCTCCTCTGACCACATCTTAGCATTGTATACTCACACTCTAGCTATCATCAATATTATCGAAGACGTATTCTCCCGCCTTGAAATCATTAAAAGAGCCTCATCCTCCCAAATCTTCGAAGACGTAGTCGACGGCTTCTCAAACAACCTAGGGAATCGACCCATTGCGAGCATTATTCACACCTCATTAAAGTCGAAACAAATCCCAGCGCTTAATACAGATCGAAATTCGTTGTACTCCCAAACAACCGTACCCAGTATTCTTCAACCTCAGTGGGCAACGTTGCTCGCTTCGCAAAGCATAATAGACACCATGACACGACCCAAGGCGCGGACGATATCCCGCCCTTTCGATGCTAGACACGTAGGTGGCATAGACGTCTTAGGGACATCTTCCGCTCTTCAGAATGCTACACCCATCATCCAACCGCCTCAACGAAGCCTCACATCAATGACAATCGAACCCGACGAAGTTCCAACTCACATGAACATGGCCGCCAGAGTACCCCCGAAGAGGTCCAACAGCATCGCAAGCGGCTTCAACAGACCCAGCCTGCGGTTGAAGACCTCACTGTCGATACTTCGGAATCGAGCGACATCCAACTCTCCAGACAGGGCAGGGAAACGTAAAGAAGACTCTTCGGCGCAGGAGACCGCTCGCAGCGCAGACGTCCAGCGTAGACAAGCTCCTACATTCACTCTACCGCCCCCTCCTCCACCGCCACCACCGGCATCAACATCATCACAGCAACTACGTCTTCGAACGCCACCACAGACACAAGTTCCGAACCGCACACCTTTACCACGACCCCTTCCGCAATCACAAACACAACTCCAATCTCAACCACCCACCGTGCCCCCCAAAGTTCCCAAAAAGCCCTCAGCCCCGCCACCGACAACCCGTCCCAAGAGAGCAGACTCAGGCACCGCCATATCCATCGACGACGTCCCCGTCGAAACCCGCCCCCTCGGCTTCAAGGAAATTGTCTCGGTTCCGAGCTTCCAGGAGCGTATGAAGTTATATGAGCGGACGAGGGAGTATTGGGCGAGTGCCGATCATGGATTGGGGGAGTGGGTTGGTAGGGCTGGTAGTGGTGTTGTTGGCGGGAGGAGGGAGGTTAGGGTTGTTGTTTGAGTGGGTGATGGTGTGGGAAGAGAGATTTTGTTGGTTGAACGAGGAGAATATTGGTCATTGTAATATTTTGTTCTTTTTGTTGTTTCCGAACTTCTTGAGATACCCAATTTTTGTATGTCGGCGATGTAAGATAGTATTGAAATGAAGCGCAGGTCGCTTCACGTTGTTGTCGAAACAGTGTTTGAGCATGTTTAGTATATACCCTGTTTGTGTAATCCTTAAGTGCGTCAAGTAATGGTCATCCCAATGGGATCAGCATTCACATTTTGTTAGCAACGTTCAAGGTACTGTTGGGTGATGATTCAATGCAGTTACGAATGTTAGATTGTGAACCGAGAATCCTCCGCGATATCAAAATGAATACTGACTTCCTCATTGTGCTTACCTTTCTGCGCCCTGATTCAATTTGTGCAGAGGTCATTCTTTCCATGCTAGCAGTACCAAAGGTTTACTAATATCAACCTTTCTTTTCTTCTCGATAAATTTGTTGTACCGTATGATCGCTTCAATTGATTCCGTGCTCCACGCTCCATTTTCCTGAGCATCATCAACAATGAACTTGTATTTTGGGACCTCTGGATGATCAAGGCCGAAGACATTGTCGAATGGGAAGGGAGTGTGATTGTCAGAGTACCCTAGTATCCAATCGTATCTCCCGGCTAGCCAGTCGAAAAAAGTCGAGGAATTGAAGTACCACCATATATCAGGATCTATCCGGGGAGAACCCTGCAAGAAACTGTGAAGTTCTTCATCTAAATCTGCGGTAAAACTGGGCAAGCCGTCCATGCGGAGCGCCAGGTCGCAAGCGTGACACAAAGGCGATGATAAATGCCTTTTCCTGGCCCACAGAGTCGCAACGCAATCGGGTCCGAACACGGCCTCGAGATTGGCTCTGATGTCAAAAGTATCAAACCTGCTCGAATAGTACCCACGATAACAGATGCCGTGATCCTGTGCCTGTGCCCATGCATCTAGCATAGTACTAAGACTTACACGGCGCACATATCTCTGTCTATGATACAGTGCTGGTATTTGAAAGTCCTCCGCTTCCCTGATTTCGACGCGAAATCCATGTGAAATATAGCTCTGCGCAAGGAGTTGAATGTCGTCGAGCAAACTACTGTCATATCTGTATTTGCTGCTATCGGTAGGATCATGCCGGCCTCGTTGTTTGACCTTTCCGGGCAAACGATTCGTAATATCCTCTGTGGAGCCCAAAGAATCGTGATCGATTAGAACAGGGCCAAATTGGAATTCAATGACGTCGTTGTCATCTTGGAATCCTCCCAAAGAATCATAATCGATCAGAGCAGAGCCAGATTGGAATTCAATGACGTCGTTTTCATCTCGGAATCCTCTTTCTGTGGAGGTGCCTGAGTCTGATTTGTCCTCTAGGTTTTTGCTCAGGTGATTGCCAGTTAAATGTACCACGCTTGAGCTCATATCCGCTAGCTTCTCACGTAATCTACCAGTGGCCTCAAAGGCATGGTAAGACGTAGAGGCGAACGTTACCCCTTCATGTTCTTGATGCTGGAGAGGTTCTGGCTCAATGGATTCCACAGTCTGCCACCGGACAATCATAATGTCGGCACTGGATGGATCTTTGCATGCAAATTTGGCAGCCCAATCAGTAGGTCTATGGCTATCGAAGGAGCTAGGAGCAGGGGATCCAAGTTCAGAGATTGTCTTACACTCTAGTGCTGAAGGAGTTGCTTTGAAGGTTAGGTCAAATGCTCAAATGACATTAGGGGTGTCACTTACTTGCCGCGGATGCTGGTGAGTATAGGTCGTTCATAGAAACATTATTGCGGCGCATCCATCGATGTATCTTCTCTGGATTAACAGAGCTATCCCTCACAGTGAACCATAAAGGGGGTTTGTCCGGCTCTTGGACGTTTCTGCGCTGCTGCTTGCGGACAATTGCTTGCATTTCTGTCTTCTTGATATTCTTATCCTTTTTCCATTGACTGATTCGTGTACGGTATTGTCGTTTGCTACACATTATTGATCGGCGAACTAACATGGAAACATCTCTTGTCACGATGACTTACTTGGCAATGAAACCGAAAGTTTTCCGAACTTGCTCTATAACCTTTTCTAGTGGTTGCCCCTCCTCTATGTGAGTCTTGATGACATAAGACTTCACGGGATCCCAATCAGTAGCCTTCAATGTTGGCACCTTTCTTTTGCGGACTCTTGATGCAACATGGACATTTGTAGTTGTAAAATTCTGGAGCCCGGTCTGATCTTCTGTAGCGAGGCTCCGCACATGCCCTAAGTCATCTGGATCATGCATCTCTTGATCTTCTAGACTTTGGGGATGTTCCGTAACATACCAGTCCTTGGACGGCGCAGGATCCCCAAGACCTATTGAATGTTGATTTTGGGGCTTTTTAAGGTGTGGAAAGCTTGGTTGGGCAAAACTTGAGCCGGCATTGTGGTGTTTATTTTGGTCATTTACGGTAGACTGATGGCCTAAGTCAGGGATCTGTTGATGTTGATCAACCTGATGGAGAGGAGAATTTTTGGTGTTCCATTGCGTAGCCTGGAAAGGATGTTCCGTGAGAGTCATTTGCTGGTCCAGGTAGGACCGCAGGCCTTTTTGTATTACGCTGGGCTTGCAGCGTGTTGTATCGTCCATTGATGTTGGGGCTTAATTGTAGGTATGAAGACGCTGCACTGGTAATGATACGAGATGCGACAGCTTTGGGCGGTGGCTGTAAGTGGTAGATGAGGAAAATCAAAGATCAATGCACTGGCTTCGCTGTGAGGCTGGGCCACGGGCCCTCTTATATCATCGTCGTTCCTTCCAGATTGCAAACATGAAGGTAACATGCCCCAATGCAAGACCGAACAAAAGTACAAAATCGATGAAAAACGACAACAAAAGTACTATTCTTCTAGTTAAAGGCAATGACACGTCCTCGAGCTGACACTGGCGGCATGGTTTTAGGCTGCTGATTGGGCTCCGGAGGGAGCTGATGCATTCGCCGCTTGGCCCCGCGACACGGTGGATATCAGTGCGTTTGTCAAAAGTCCTATTGTGAATGCTCATCCAATCTACGGGAAGCTACACATGCCCTCATGCCCGGTATTGGTTCGCTTGCAGGTCTTCCTAGCCGCGGAGGTGGCCAACCCATGCCATGCATGGACCAGAGTCCTTTACAAGTGTCAAGAGCTCTTCTTCGTCTTCATTGGAGCGGAGGTAGTAATCAGATTCCGGTGAACCTCCCTGGATTGATAGTACGCCTTCAAGAAGAGTATGCAAAAGTCCAATTCCGTGATGGTACTTTTGCATCTCTTGTATACAAGACAGCACGTACCTGTAGTCGCACCAAATGCGACTACTCTTACCGGTGCATTTATGATGCATGTGAAAATGCAGAAGCCCTAATCCCATCTGTCAAAAATACCATCACAAATTTTGCATCAATATTTTTGCGCTGCGCAATGGTCGTCACCTCTTTTTCCATACGGATCAATGTATTAGGTCCATGGAGCCAACCAGCAAGTACGCCGTGCCGTGTGAGATGAATTCGTACAAACCTTTTGCCATGCAAATTGTCATCTCATCCCCATCACACCACGCCTTGCCTAATATGGGCCCTGTCGGGCATGCCAAGCGTCTACATCTGCATTGTTATGCCGTAGTCCTCGTACACAGTAACTAGGTAGGTAGTTACTACATAAATCTTTCTTCATGACAATATTTTGACTGCTGATTATCGAACCTTTCTTTAACTTTGAAATTTACTTATGAGTATAAGCTTGGTCACCGTAACTTCCACTTTTTTGAATCCTGCCATCTGATCATGAAGTTGCCTGCCGATATTGCCATTGCCGTTCTCTTTGGCTGCCTCCAATCTGTGATCAGCTTTCTCTCGCTTCTGGAACAACGTCGCATTGGTACCAATGTGCGTGGCATAGGTATGTTAGCATCTAGAAGCATTGCTTAGTCATTTTGAGATTGATCATCCACAGACGTTGAAGCAAACGAACATTCAACTCCATCACCGGAAGGCCTTCCGGAACCTCCTCGCTCGCCGAGTAGCGATAGTGGCATGGACGATGATGCACGGCCACCAAAATCTTAAAGCGTGCGCTTGATTGGGGGCAGGGGTGCTGCGAGGCATGAATTGCGGCCTCAGCCTGATGGGTACTGGGGAACAGAGTGGGGGTTTAATCATTTCTACAGCAGTCTAGCGAGCGTTTCATTGATCATCAAGGAAGGAATACCATTTATAAAAGTGTTGCAGATCGGCAACCTCAGTCTGGAATACAAATCTACCTCATAATTTCTCTGATTCATAGTGGAACAACAATACATGATCCTTCTCATCTCATTCAATTTTTCTCTCATGACATCTCAGCTCGCCGAATCAGCGCCAGTCACTGGTCACCGTGCTGCTGCTCTGGCACGCAGGTACATTATACGACCTATTGGGATCGCTCTCCCACGTCACTGTCCCCGAACTAGACACCTTGATGAACTTGTACTGCACCGAGCTACCTGCCGCAAGCTTGATTGTGCCAGTCCACACGGGGTTGCTCGATGTGTACTGAGAGGCGGAGAGCGCAGGAGCCTTGCTGGTATCCCAGCTGCCCAGCTCGGTCGAGCTGCCGGCAATCTTAATGGTTTCTCCGAAAGTAGTGGTGACCTTTTGGCTGAACGTTACTGCAACGGATGTCGGGCAGACTGAGGTTGCGAGCGTAGAGCCAGTGTCAGTGCGTGTTGCGGTGGGCGCGGCTGTGGTGGTGCCGCCTGCAACGAGGACGACTGGTTCACCGTTGGAGACAGTAAGGCAGATGTTGCCGCTTCCGTCGGAGGTGAAAGTGCCGCTGCCGAATACATTGGTCCATTGACCGTTGGCTTTCTGGGTGTTGAAGCAGTATTGTCCGCTTGAACCGCTGCCAGTGTTGGTGGTGAGGACAACGAGGTTGCCGTTTGCTCGACTCCATGCGTAGGCGTTGTTAGTGACGTAGAGATGCTTGTGATCGTTTCCTGCGAGACCGCCAGCTGCTTTGCGTGCACCGCTGAGGCGGGAGATGGCCTTGTAGAGATCGGCGTTGGTGTTAAAGCTGCTGCGCCAGAGATCCTCCCTATTGGCGGGGTCGTCGCCGCCTGCATAACCTTGCTCGCTACCGTAGTAGACGATGGGAATACCTCTCGATAGGATGACATAGGCCAAAGCATTCTTGAATAGAGACACATCGTTCTTCTGGTTCAACCAGCGCTTATTATCGTGGTTGTCAAGGAATGTTCCGAGCGCGGAAGGGTCTGGGAACTGGTTGCTGACTCTGTCGAACATGTTGACCAAGTCTTGCGCGCTACCCTTCTGCTGGTAGAAGTTGTTCATCGGGTAGTAGGTGGCATAGTTGAGAAGACCAGGCATAAGAGAAGCATAGGGCGCGAGGTAATCGGGATTGCCATCCCAAACCTCACCGATCGAGTAGACGCCAGCAGCAGAAGCAAAACCAGGCCAGAAGTCCTTCTCGACGTGTTTGACAGTGTCAATGCGGACGCCGTCAAAAGAGTACTCCTTGACGAGCCATGAGACCCAGTTGTACAGAAGAGTTCGAACTTCCGACTTTCCGGTGTTCAGGTCAGGAAGGTTTGCGATGCGACATTGCTCAACGCTGTTCTGATCATTATAGTTGATATCGCAAGCGGCATGGTAGGAACTCTCTTGATTCAGTGGCTCTGGTCGATTACCGGAAATAGCGCCGAAGCCCATGTGATTGGCTACGACATCGATCATAACATAGATTCCCTGTACATAGCATTAGCAAACTACCAGACTAGGGTCACAGCTGCAAGGTACGTACTTTGGCATGTGCAGAATTGACGAGGCTCTTGAGGTCATCTGCCGTTCCATAGTTCGAGTTGATGCCGTAGAGATCTTGCGCCCAGTAACCGTGATAGCCGCCAGCGCTGTCTGTTGAAGGCTGTTAGTTGAGCTCATTGAGGCCATAAGGTGCACTGACTTGCAACGACTGGTGTAATCCAGATCGCGTCAAAACCAAGTCCTTGGATGTAATCCAACTTGGACTCGAGTCCTTTGAAAGTACCACCACAGTAGTTTCCAAGGTTGCTGCATGATCCACCGCCGCTGTCGCTGCTGCTGCGAGCGATGCGGTCGGTCAGGACGAAGTAAATGTTACGAGACTTCCAAGCATTGGTATCTGCCCCCGAGACGACAGAAGATAGAAGTGCAAGAGGTGCGAGCAAACGAGAGAAGAACTTCATGGTTGCGAGCCAGACTCAGTTGTCTTTGGAATGTTGAAGACTCTGGTGCGGTTGTGTCTTCGAGATGCTGTAGGGCTTTATATAGACGATTTCCTCGTCAAACCAAGATGAAGAGGTAATTTCATCTATTAGTGTGAGTAAACTATAGCGGTGCTAAGGTTTCTTACAGCAAAGGCATCCTCGGCTCTTGGGTTGAATTGTGTATACAGACGACGGCCGCTAAAGGGTGCTAGAAGAACGGCAGAAGCCAAGAATCAATGCTGCATGTGTCCGGAGAATTCAGTTCAACGCGTCGGCCCGAGTCGTAACCAATGTTGATTCTGTACGAAGCGTGGTCCATGAATCACACGTGCCAAAACGTGGAGTTGTACATGATGAACCAGGCATGTCAGGGGAGTTTGTGCGGTAGTCAACTGCCTCATTCGTCTAGTCTGCCGCTCCCCGCAATTCTCACCTCCGACGACGCTGGCTTGGATATTCCCTGTTTCCGTCGTCATTGACGAAAAGCCGGTCCGACATGTTCATGAAGCCTGTTCTCGTGGACTAAATACACATCCCGCAAGCTTATATCGACGTTCAAATTAGAAATGCAGCCCCGGGCTAATTACGATCCCCACACACCAGCCATGCGTCCCCGGCTCTTGGGCTGTGGAGCCCCAGATATTGTTTTGAGGAGCCGGCATGTATATTAAATGCTCGCTTACTATGGAAATCTTACATGCACCAAGATGAAGTTTGGGAGTATCATGAGAACATCCTGCAGCTTCAGTGCCCGGAGGGCGCGGAGGCAACACGGATCTGGTGATAGTATGGGCATCTAAGAAGGGTCAGAATTTTCGGCCGCGGTCGCTTGTTACTTGATGGACGTGACACAATGAATAGCAAGCCGGCAATTGAGGTGGCCATGGAGATATATAAGTAAGGCAGTTTTGAACACATTTTGAGGGCAGGTCTTCAATCAGGCTCAATACTTATCTACGATCTTTCAAGTTGCCCTTCTCAATTGGTTCTATTACTCTTAAGATCATAGCCATGCAGTCAACTATTGTCAAGCTTCTCGCATTTGCGGGATGCGTTAACGCACACGGCTACATGACTTCTCCAATGAGCAGGACTGGTCTCAATGCTCAGGTATGTATCTACCACTACCCCTTAACAAAGATGGTCTTCAAGGGCAAACGTTAACAACTTTACAGAGTGGCAAAGATACTTGCCCAGAGTGCACTATCCTTGAGCCAGTCACAGCATGGCCGGATCTCGACGCTGCCAAGGTCGGCCGATCAGGGCCTTGTGGCTACAATGCTCGAGTCAGTGTCGACTACAACCAGCCTGGCGCAAGTTGGGGCAAAGAACCCGTCGTAACCTACAAGCCCGGAGATACCATTGATGTTCAGTGGTGTGTTGATAACAACGGTGATCACGGAGGCATGTTCACCTACCGCATCTGCCAGGACCAAGCACTTGTCAACAAGTTCCTTGATCCAAACTACCTCCCCACTGAGGCAGAAAAGCAAGCAGCCGAGGATTGCTTCACCAAAGGCACTCTTCCTTGCACCGATGTCAGTGGACAGACATGCGATTATAATGCGGACTGTTCTTCCGGGCAAGCATGCTGGCGCAACGACTGGTTCTCCTGCAAAGGCTTCCAAGACACCAAATGCAGGGGTGTCGACAATGCACCCTTGAACTCCTGCTATACTTCCATCGCAGGAGGCTACACGGTGACCAAGAAGATCAAGATCCCCAACTACATCTCGAACCACACCTTGCTTTCCTTCAAGTGGAACTCCTTCCAGACACCTCAGGTCTACCTCAGCTGTGCAGACATTGCTATCGCGGGATCGGGAACTGGCACAACACCACCAAAGTCCACCACAACCACTAATGCGCCTACTGCTACGAGCACCGGAAGCTGTTCGGCACCAGCCTCTCAAGTCTCCATCACCTTCACTGAGAAGGTCAAGACACAGGTTGGGCAGACAATCAAGATCGTCGGATCTATCGCTGCCCTAGGAAACTGGGACACTTCCAAGGCGATAGCACTTGATGCCTCCAAGTACACTGATGCCAACCCTCAGTGGTCTGGTGCTATTAACATCCCTGCTAAGACGAGCTTTGAGTATAAGTTCATCAGGGTGGAGAGCAATGGTGCTGTTACATGGGAGTCTGGAGACAACCGCAAATATACTGTCGGAGATGGCTGCCAGGCTGCTGCGACAGTCAGCTCTGAGTGGAAATGATAGGTTGCTGTGTTCTTGTAAGGATTGCACATGGGTGGAAGGCTGATGATTTCAATGCGGGTTGTTATGAATGAGATATTGAATTGGTGTTCCATTGTATATGAGTTTTGGTAGTGCATATGATTGATTCTTTCAATCTGAACATGGATTGTAGGACTAAGAACCTTTTCGTCAGGGATTAAAATTTTACTGGCACTTTCATGAAAAGGCTTAGTTCAGCCGGCAATGAACGAATAAGAACCAAAATTCACTGTTTTGGCTTGTTGTCAGGAGAGGCAAATCAAATTAGAACCGGAATCATCGATTTAGATTTCTTGATAATGATATGTACAAAAGGTTGCCTGTAACAGCATCTGCTCAATGATCTAAATATATACAAGCCTCGTCCTCTATGCCGGGCTGTTAACAGAGGTGGTGAGAGAACCGCTCTCGATGTAAACACCAGAGAAGTACCAGTCTTCAGCACCAGTGCCATCGTTTCCAGCGCGAGGAAGGCGAAGGACACCAAGATGCCAATCAGCGCCGTTGGACGAAGTGCTGCCGGAGAAGGGACCCGCGGTCTTAACGAGCGGGTCGGCACCAGTGGAGTGCCAGAAAGTAATCTGGTTGGAAGAAAAGTTCTATCCAGGTCGTTAGATGACATGCATGCAATTTAATGCGAGAATGTTACATACGATCTCGTAAGCCACGTTGTGCCACTCATCAGCCTTGAGCTCGACCTTCCACTTCGATTGGCCGCCCACCATCCACTGCAGGTTGGTGTTGCTGGTGCCCGACTCGCCGTTGACCCAGCCGTACTTGAGCTCGGTGAAATGGCTTTCGAAGAAGCAGATCTGGTGCTCGTTGGTGGCGCTAGGGACGTTCGTCGTCGAGCGCTTGATGGAGAAGTGGTAGTAGACGGTGCCCTTATTGATGGCGGCTGTGGTCTGGGGGATGAGTTCCGTCCTCCACATATCCGAGTTCCACTTCGCGGTGTTGTCGATCGTGATCTTCACGCCCTGCTTCGTGCCCAGGTCCGCTGGGTTCTTGTAGCTTGGCGACAGGTTGACATATTTAGTGACGGCACCTGAGCCGTGGATGTAGTATTGGTACGGTCCGACTTGGTTTGCCCAAGACCACTTGTTGAGGTCGGCGCTGCTGGTCATCTCATTAAATCGGCCGTCCCAGAGGATAGTGCCTACTATGGTTAGTAAATGCGCCATGAGAATTCTGTGGAAGAGCTGTCCATACCTGCTGAGACAGCGCTCACGAAAGCAGTCAAAAGAGTCGTGTAACCCAACATGATGGCGATGCGATGGATAAAAAAGACGGACGAATCTCGAGATGGCGAATCGTTCGCCTTTTATAAAGGTATTCTCCCAATCTCGCAATCGGAGAATCCCTGGGAAATAAACAGCATCGCATCAAGCGAACCCTATCGGCGATAATGGAATTGATGTACCCCAATATGATGGAAACGAAGAGCTTCGATTCCAGGCCGTAAGTGTACGTGGTAACGGGTGGATGCGTGACCTAGTCCTAAATTTAATCAATATGTAGCCGCCGGCATTTCAGGCACAGGTATCTTTTAGTGGCGGGCGACCGGTCCGGGGTGGAGCTGCCCACGCATCGCTAGATTAGCAAAAGTATTGCAAGTTGACAACGGAGGGCAATTTTCCGTTGTTGTCGTCACTCGAAAGCAAACTCGTTTTGACTTCCTTCATGACATGCTTGGTAAAGCATAGGTGATGCAACTCATCGCAACCCCAAATTCTAGCAATAGTTAGCCTAGAAACAAGGTTGCGCTTCTGTAGACTTGTAAATGTCAAGCTCATATCTAGTTGAATTAATTCCCCACATTTTTTTTATTTGGTGCTACCTGCCGCACGCTTGTCAAATTGAAGGGATGTCCCATGAAGTGACAAGCAAGGATCATACTGTGACCGTTGAAACATCTTCTAGTCTATCGAAGCATACATGACTGAATGCCTTTCCTTCGATAAACCTTCTAGGACAACTCATTGATACTTGTTCTTTTGTTAGATTACCTGTTCATACGGGGAATCGATGATTCTTATCCAACATCAGAAGATAATATTTATACTGTCTACTTGCTGCGTACTATTTTTGGGTCAGCCATATATTACCTTAGGGAAATCGATCCGCAGATCCATCACCTAATAACCAATGTATCAAACATTCTGATCTTTTACGTTCTGGATAATTGGGCCTTTATGACGGTAGCCATTGCTCCTGGACTGCAGTTCTTGGTCAACTTGGCCAAAAGTAATTCGCGCCGTGCTTAACTGGAGGATGGTTCAATTGTTTGTCTATGAGGGTATACTTCTATTGGATTCGCTGAAGAAGCTATTTAAATCGTCACCCTCATGAATCACGAGGGTTAACGTGTGCATCGAGTGCATTGGCGAGGAAATATATGGTTGCAACCCTGTCGCATCTGACACCCTTGGCTTTCGCCTTCTTCAAGACGTTGCCAACAATAGCTTCAACTTCCATTTTTCGTCCTTCCTTGACGTCCTGGAGCATACTTGGTTCTATGCCCTTCTTGCTCTGTATCCTGACCTTTGCCCGATCAAGTTGGAACTGTACGTCTTCCTTGCTGAACTGGTGGCCGTACGCGGCAGCAACGTCGGCTACCTCTAGCATTACATCCAAGACAAAGTCGGTTGCGTTTGGCGAAGACAGCATGAAATCGACATCGGTGCTGAGCGATAATGCACATACGGGGTTCCAAGCGACATTGAGGATGACCTTAAACCAACGCTTGAATTGAATGTCATCGTACAGTTTAGCTGTTCCGCCAGCAGACTCAATGAGCTTTGTGAAGTTGGCCGCTTGGGGCGAATTCGAAGTTGAAGGATAGTTTCCGACCTCCAGGAGTTCGATGTCGCCGTGTGTTATGACGCCAGCGGGTCGCTGTGCCACGGGCATATAGACAACGGTACTGATAATAGGATTTGTGGGGAATGCCTCGACGTATTCATCTTCGATACCAATACCGTTCTGGATGAGCACTATTGTCGTGTGATTTGGCGTAACTGCTGGCTTAATGATATCGGGTATCGTGTTTGGAAAGACTTTGCTGCAGACGACAATGTAGTCGAAGGGTTCACTACTGCTGGTAGCAGCCTCTGTGCAATTTCGGACCACGGCGGGCTGGAAATGAATATCGTCTCCGAATATGGCTGAATTTATGATGAATCCCTTCTCCTTCACGACATCATAATTAGATCGACACACCGCTGTGACTGTTGCTACTTTGGACAAAAGGTACAGATACACAGTACCAATGCTACCTGCCCCAAACAATAGTACGCGAGGCTTGCTGGTGCTTGAATCTGGTGAACTCATGGCTGCAAAATCCAATGGTAAGACAAATGTGGATTTTGTGTAACGATAGTATAGGATGTATGTATATCGGGTAGACGTCGTAAAGATCTTGTGCAAAAGGATGACGCTTATCGCATTTGTTCCGATTTGCGGCCTTCTGTTCCGAGGTCCGGTCCATGAACTCTTCGTCTATTTCGGATCTAACCATATTTGGGCTATCGCATTATCAGTGATTGGTCCCCAAATGCTAGAGTAAATAGACAAAACGGGGGATGATCGAGGGAAAACCTACACGAATAAGGTACATTGATGAATTCTGCAATATGTAGTTAGGTGGACGGTTTAGAGGTAGTGATGTCATCAAGGCTAGGTGAAATATCTAAGTACAAAAGTTCTCTACGGGCGGTTACAGACGTTTCATACAATGCAGAATTAGCAACCCATAGAAGTTCATATTTTGGTGTAGCAGGACAGAAAGCAGACTCACTAGCCACTGGAGGATAGAGATATCTAGCAAACACCGTCGAGATAAGATCAGAGCTGGAAGTTATTTCACCCCCAAACAAGATTCGATCAAGTGAAGGTGAAAGAAAATGCAGCTAATCGTCATTGGTCGAATGCGCACATGTCATCGTCTGCACCAATGTATGCAATCGAAGTTCAGTTGAAATTGGTCAACTACGAATGCTATAATCACTCAAGGCCTGTTTATAGAGCCATATTCCATATGAAGATGTTGAAACTAAAAGCAGGCAGTCATCATTGTGTATTTGCGTGAGTAATATGATAGTGAAGGTTATTTTCCAGCAGTTTCGATTAAAACCAAACATACGTCACCTCGCCTCAAAATGCCAAAGTGAATTTGAATTTATAATGGTGGTGCGTGCGAAGAGTGGACTGCTCGTTGACGTGTTTACATGATACTAAAAGACGCATACTTTTCTCTCCGTCCTCCGTCCACCCTCACCCTCACCCTCACCCTCAACCTTACCTACTCTCACCAAACCTCAACCCACAAAAGCGACACACCAGAGTCAACCATGGAGTCCTCCAGCATATTTTCGCGCTCCTTCTGGTCTCGAGTTGAAGTTGGTGAGCCTATTGAGACCTCACAGTTTCAAAGCTTCCACTTGTTCTTGATCAGCTACTACCAAGGCTTGTTTGCGGCCGTATATTGCCATCAGCATCTGCTCATTATTGCAGTTCCTGGACTGCTGCTCATCTCTTCCCTGTTCGTTCTATTACAAGCGCTCGACATCATCGATGAAGGAACATGGACCTTCCCGGATAACTTCGAAGAATTGCAAAACGGTGCTATATTGTTCGCAGGGCTAGTGTTCATCGCGATCCCGATTGCAATATATATAGCATCTCGCTTAGAGGAGATGCCAACAGAGGCTCCAGATCAGCGAGAGACAAAGCCGAATCTCACGCATGAGACTCACCGTACGTTGGTCGAACAAGAAGAAGGTAAAGGAAATGACGATGGTAGCACTACGGCTTTGCAGCTCTACGACAGTACCGCTGCAGGCACCTCTCCTCATCCAGAAGAACAAGTGGTAGCGGACGATCAAGTGAGTTATATGCCGGGAAGTTTTCTTCCACTCCTGGATGAGACCAACCATTCACCCGAAGCAACCAGTCACCCCAATTACCTTCTCAAAGAAAACGCCCTTACAAGAGAAGACGCTCCCACAGCCGAGGTAGCCGAGGTAACTTATCCGTCTCGCTCTGAATCCGATCTTCTCGAACTGTCTCTGTTGGACCAGGCTACGGTTGAGGTAGTGCGTCGTCCTTCAACACCTCAAACACTGGTAGTCTATGAGGGAGGCTCCTCTGCCGCTCAAGATGAGAACCTCATTCACTTGAGACCAGAAACACCGGTACAACACGATGGAAGTTCCATTGCCGCTCAACACGAGAAGCTGATCAGCCTGACACCAGAAACACCAGCACAACAATCACGAACCTTTTCTGGCGCTCGGGATGGGAAGCTCATCAGCTTGACACCAGAACCAATAACACCGGGGGTCGACAACACGGCGTTGCTTGCATCTGGATGGGATTTCGCTTAGAAAGACATGGAGCACGAGGTGTTGAGGGGCGCTGTACGGTTGGACTATACATGATTGTTCTTTTGGGGTTTGCCGGCCGGACTTGCTGGTAGTCAGGTGTCGTCGCAAGGTGTCGTAAGGCTAACTCTGGAATCACGAACACACAATGTCAATGCCAATCGCGCATCGTGCTCTAGTACTTGTTAGTGCACATTTCTTGTTAGCCCCATGCAATAGAATACGAATGGTCTTCGAAAATGGCGAAATGACGGCGCGTTGGTGATGTACTGTCATACCCGTGTAGCTCATAATAAGTACCTAACAACTTCATATCTGTATCCTGAGTGGTAAATTCCCCTAAGATGGGCGTGAAGACGTCTTGAAAATCTCACATCTTGAAAATGATCATCCTCAAACATCTAAAAACACTCCGCATTGACACCACCTATTATTCTCAAGAACTCCCAACATCCATAATTTCACCGTATGTTTCATGTCCCGAACGGCAGTGACGGACTACCAAAGCCCGCGTGGAACAATGCCCTATCCCAAGTCCGAAGTCTCTCCCCTTCTCCCAATGACAATCCAGTGAAAATCCAAGCAACAGATCCCCAATATCTCGATTAAGCTTGTAAGCGATTCCGGTTTCTTTCAGTCTTCATGCGCGATATCTAGGCCATTGTTGTAAACCTCCCTCGATGGACGAATTAAGCGTGCTGATTGGCTAGAATGGAGTCTTGGCGATGAGTGTTCGCATAGACCGTTAAACCGCGTGGATCGGAGATTCAGAGGGTGTGAATATTACGCCTTTTTTTGTTCTAGGAATATGGTTGCGACGTAGTGTCATTGGATATCTAGGTCAAGAATTCAAGCACGTGTAACTGGGCTTGCTAGCTTCGAAGCGTTATGGCGACGGTCGGATGGCAGATAGACGGTATGGTAGAATATTGAATTTGGGCAAACAACCCCACACAGTTTTCCGATGAAATCGTCGCGTAAGAGGTACGTCCGAACTCATTCTGTGTTATTGCGGCGATGAATCGTAATGGTATTGTGATTGTCATTTACGCATCTCTTCCAATTGCCATGCAATGACGGTCATTAGTTCAGAGCCAATATTGAACAAGCACAGGCATATGTGGAGCCTATCAATTGTCCAGCTATGTCGAGAATGGGAAACAGTGCAGCTAACGATTACGAAGTTCGCACTCACAACTATAACTTTGTCCTGCCACAATTAATGTCGCTTGAACCACGCATCATCGAAAGATGACCAGTTCTTGTCTAATGCACTTTGCCTTTCATTGTCAGTAACGCCCAACGCAATCCCTTTGGTCATCCTACCAATTAGGAATATCTTGAGAAGACTATGCCATGCATAACTCCGTCTTCGGAAAGGATTTCAATATGCCTTCTCGATCAGGCATCATAAACGCAAGATATGATGATCAGTGCCTGTTTCAAAACCCCGAATTAGTGATGATTAAGCAGGACACTCCACTGGATACGATGAAATAGAGGGGCCGGAATCGTGAAACTCGTCTCTGTAATTAATTATTTGTTAATGAGTGTCCAGGCGGTTGGCTAAAATTAGATGGCATGAGTATTGTTAAAATGAACAAGCTGCCTACTATCTTTTGATACCTGTCTTAACTTACCACCAAGTCGCTCGCTAACATCCGAACATTCACCTTCAACAACTAATCAACCAACAAACATAAAATCAATCAAGATGCCCTCTGTCAAATCTCTCGCTTTCGGCGCGCTCATTGCTGCGTACGCCGCCCCCTACGCCGCGGCCGACTGCTTCGACATTAAGGGAACTCTGCAGGAGCTCTGGGTAACAGGCGCTCCGGACGAGGTCCCAGACAGTGGAAGCTGGCAGGTCCTGAATAGCGAGGGTGTGGAAGTATGCACTGTGAACGGAACCTATAGCTCCAACACGGTCGAATGCGTGAATGCGACTTCTGCCGACTCGGAGTTTGTGCCGTTCGTCGAATGGAGCTGGGGATATGAGAGGGGCGCAAACGTTACTTACTGTCCTGAGGCAGACAACAGCACTTGGTAAGTCCCTTATTCCACCATGCTCTGTCTCCGTATGCGTGGGATAGTGCTAATATTTTGGAATCAACAGCGTCAGAAAAGAGTTCCTCTACCGCCAGGAGGGTTACGAGTGCTTGAAGCGACCTGATCTCTGCGAAGCTATCAAGGCCGAGTCGCCTCCCTGCAGTGCACTGGAGTGCAAGGCTGAGTCGAAGGATGTTTGCAGCGAGGAGAAGGAATCCGCATAGAGATTAGAGAGATACCCGATTGTGGCATTTACTGTACATTTTAAGGTGTACTGATGTTTATACCAATTCTTCCTTCGAAATACATTTCTTCCATTTTTGAAATGGATCTATGCTATACCGTTGTGTTAGCAACTATAATAAGATTCCTGGGATAGGTTCCTAAAGTGTTTTACATAGAAATGGTGTGTTGTAATAGGTTGCTATACTGGGCGTCATAATTTCACATAGTAACCTACCAATCCGGTTCAAGATCCCATGGTTACTCGACTGGCGTACGCAATTAATGCTACCAGCAGACACGAAAGTGATCTGTCGCACTGTGCGCAATATTAATGAATCGTACGAGTACGGAACGTGAATGCGCACAAGAGAAATGGCGATGATTGTGATAGGCGATTTCGGGGAGACATTATGTATGTACCTGGATAATGAGTGGAGCCGATGCCGATCCTCCCAGATCCGCGAGATGCCCAATTACTCCGTATCACCTCGACATTTTCGCGTCACAAAACTTTAGCTGAGATACACTACCGCCAATCGCTAAATTCAGATTTTATGAGGTTGCAGCTCCTCGTAATGATACGCCCTCCATAGTCACAGATTGCTCGACGGTGGATTTCCATTTTCTGCGAACCAACGATGAATTTCCCATCGAGGAACAACAACCGGCTCGAAAAACTCCCACTCTTCGCTTGAAGGCCATTCACATCGCATGCCAAATATTGGAGGCGCACACTCACACTATGCAGCATCCTCTAGAAGAGTGTGCCACGGCGTGTGTCTTGTCTTTTGGCTGGCGGGTAATGTGCAAATCAGAAGGCGCCACAGTCCCGATGTGGTGCACACCACAGGTGTGACCGCTATAGCAGTGCGTCGCCGGCAGCGTCTTTGTGCGACCAATATTCTCCTGGATTGCACGGAAGTGGCTGCTTGTACCTCCACTACCTAATGGATAACTACTTAGATAACATGTCTGCACTGTGCCTGTTCAACTGTGTTACGAAGCACCTGATGATGGACGCGTCAGTCGTCCCTGAGCTCTCAGAAAACTTCCTACGATGGTGGAAGAACACCACACTACAACGCTGCATGCAGATACAATCATGCCTGAGGTGATGTTTGGAGGCATTGTGGTCGACACGAGCCAGTTCGACTTCAACGATCGCAGCTCAAATGTAGGTGCAGTGCTGACGGCGAACGCTACCCTGATCGCGCTCGTGGGCGCATTCGTCACTGCGCGGATTGCAGTGCGGGTTTTGATGGTTCGAAAGATGTTCTTAGATGATTGTGAGCATTCGAATACTGTGTTCTCAAGTACTCCGTACAGCGATACTAACTTGCTCATGTAGTTCTGATCATCATTGCGTCTGCGTTCACTATTGCGCTTGCGGCTGTGTGTATCGGAGGCAAGTCTCGAAGGAGGTGAGCGCAATGTTCAATACTGACCTCTGACAGCAACTGGCCGTGGACTTGGGACGCATATATTCCTGCTACCTCCGCAGCATATCTTTGATTTGGTGAAAAGCTGCATTCAGGTTGGGTTTCAATGAAATATGGGAGCATTGACGGTCGTTGACAACAGTAGCTGCTCTATGTATGTCAAGTACTGTATGCATGCGCGATCGCATCCACAAAGATCGCGATCATCGCATCATACCTTCGATTCGTCCAAGACCGCAAATTTCGCATATCGATGCACGTAACTGCTGGACTCATCATCGGCCTGTGGCTCACTGGTAAGCAATCATCCAGCCTCCGGATGGATGCCAGATACTGAAGCATTCCACTCAGGAATCTTTGTTACAATCTTTCAATGCCGGCCGGTGTCTGGCGCATGGGACTTTACTGAACCACGGCGAAGATGCATTGACTTTGTCAATTACCTCTACGTCAGCTCTTCCATCTCTGTTGTTACGGACATCATACTGTGCGCAATGCCGTGTCCGTACCTCTGGAAACTCAATATGCCACTGAAACAGCGTATTATTCTATGCGTGCTGTTTGGCGGTGGTGCAGGGTAAGGCAGTGAAGATGTAACTTGTTAGGCCAACCATCTCTGACGTCGATGCAGGGCCTGTATCGCGGGGATCCTAAGGATCTCCAAATTGCATACATTGCGCAGTATGGATGTGACGTGTAAGTACATACAAGCTCCTCCATTCACAATGTTTTGAACTGTTCAAGTTGGAATCAAGGAACTGACAATGATGGCTTTTGTCTTGATACAGATCAGTGTGTGACGTGCCTAAATTTATCGATCATAGAATGCAGTCTGGGTATTATCTGCGTCTCGATACCTCCGCTGCGACCACTGGCAGTCAAGCTTTTCCCTGCAATTTTAAGAACAGATCGTTCGGCGTCATCGAGGTCCCCATTGCAAAGCCTCAATTACCAGAGAAGGAATAATAACAACAATAACAATAAACAGCGATCCGGAACGAGATTGGACAACATCACGATCGAAGAGGATTTTACGCTCGAAGAATCCACCATAAGCGTCTCAGAAAGGAAAGAAACGACATCACTTTCGCAGAAAGTTTAACAGCAAAAGGGAAGGTAAAATGGGATGAACAATTGCGATGCGCAGGTAGGAGACCGTCGATGGCACGCCTAATCAGCCTCTCATACAAATATGACGCTCAGTGGCAATCGCGCAATAGGTACAGACAAAACAGTACCCGAACGAAACGATGCGCTCTCGAATTCTCCCAAAGAGGAAACAAAATTGGCGAGGAAAAGCTTCATGATTGCCTGGATGATTAAGTGGCACCAGGAACTAAGCCAGGTGGTTGGCTGTGTTGGCTGTGCTGCTGGGAAAAGGGAGCGAGGAATACGAACGGGGGAGCCCGAAGGACCACCCCTACCCCACACACTCTGGCACTTCACACTTGCCCTACACTGCATACACATTTCACTACCCACCACACTACACTGTAACAGAATAATGAGATGACAGCCTGACATTGTAGGATCATTCAGAAATTCCCTTCAGGGTCAACATCTCGCGAGCGCGGGTCCGTGCAGGGGGACGATCAGCTCCAGCAGCCTCAGCTCATTGAACGGCGGGCTCTCACCGCCAAGGCTGCTTGGAGAGTGCTAAGACACAGCCCGCTGTCGGTCACTACTGGACTTGGCTGGCGGAATCCTTTGAACGTCATTTGGCAGGACCAAATGATGGTGGAAGAACCTTCGAAGCCTGGCGCGGGGGGTTTCCTGGCCTTACTGGCGTTTGTTGGCGATGCAGGGCCTCACCACTAAGTCACCTTGCGCCGTTCCCGCAGGGCTGTAAAGCAGGCAGAACACAGCATGCAAGGATGGTCCGCCATATTGAGGTCATGGGCTGCAGAATCCATATCGAGGATTTAGCATATATATTGTCCTACGGTTCGCATCTGTTGTCTCCATTATCATCATCATCAAACAAACAACCACAACAAACTCCACTTTGGACTTGAGTATTATTATACAAAGTCCATTCATTTCCACAACCTCAATATAAAACCACACTGCGACATCTCCACACCTCATCCACACACATATCCATACGAATCTTGTCCATTATGAGATTCGCAGCCGTCACACTCCTACTCGCATCAACCGTGCTCGCAAGCCCAGCTCCAGTCGCACAGCCTGAAGCAGCAGCAGCACCTGCCCCCGTTGCCGAACCAGCATCAACTGCGCCCATCGTTCTCGACTCCGAGTCCTCAGTCGAGGCACTAAGTGCCCGCATAGCAGCACTAGAAGCGCGCATCGCATCCCCAGACTTTGAAGCCAGTACCGCAGGCGTCAACCTCCCTCGCGACCCCAAAGGTGGAGGTGGTAAGGGCGGAGGTGGTAAGAGCGGAGGTGGCAAGGGAAAGTCGAAATCCAAGTCCAAGGGCGGGAAGATCGCGAAGGGAGGTTCTAAGAACGGAACTGAATCCGCCGCAACGATGGGATTCGAGCCAAACCGTATACTCCAGGCCGGTGCCCTGGGCCTCGGTGTTATGGAGATCGTCAGACTTTGGGGTTAGAGACCTCATCTTCTTCTCTGCCACGACTACGAGCGAGCGAGCGAGCATACCAGTCCCACGTTTGATGGGACGGCGCAGCACTGTCAACGAATTGTACGACTATCAACATACTTTTACGGAATCAGGGTCGGGGGCTTTCTGAGCGTTTGGAGATATATGGCCCTACACACTGGGCACATTATGGAGTTTCCTTGGGTATTTCTTTTTGTTTTCTTCAAGACAATAATGACTTTTCGATTCATCGAGCTTAGACGTCGTTACTCTGTCTTGCTCTTGTATAACTACTATTCACAGGCATGATTCAAGCCTTTTCTAGCGTTTTGGGATATATCACTGGACCGGCGAATGTCCACATTGTATTGTTGTGTTATTAGTATTTGTATTACTATCTTTATCAACGTATATCAAGAATCAAAATGCATCCATCTATGCATCAATCTTCAATAATTTTCATCAACAGTTCCAATCAAATCTTGATACTCACTGCAATCGGGAAAGCATAGTGACGTTTAATGTTACACAAAACCCGACGTCATGCCTCACATACAATTCCAAGTTTCCTCTTGCGCACGCCGATCACCAACTCAATCCCACACCGATCATCATCGCACAAACAACAACATCATCATCACAACGCAACCTCACAGCGAATCCATTGAATCCCGAAGATAATTTAATTCAGCAGCCTGCTTGGCAAAAACCACGGTGTTGTGACCGGTAATCTGATCTGGCAACTCGCTTGGTGAGGCTGAGGCTGAGGCACAGCCCACTAGCCACACAGCACGTGGGGGTTGGGCGAACGTGATTTACATTGATGATCACCGAGCTTAATGTGCCTCGTAAATAATCTGTGGTTCACCGTATCAAGGCTCAAAGCGAGGCTTCGAGCGAGGCGATGAGGCTCTAGGTTGGGAGTGATGGACCGTATCTCGCATCGCTCTGGACGGGCGACGCCGAAACGCGAAAGAGAGGGTGTTGGCTGATGGAGTCGCGGTTTAAACTATCGTTGTCAATTGATATGAGACATATGTGTTCGCATGATCGTTCTTGCATTACCTGTGTGCTGGCTGATATGTCGTACTACAATTAGTGCATCCGCTGTATTGATGATAAGGGAGTATGAGAGCGGACGGGCTAGCTAGGTGGCGACACACATTTTGGAAGATGTTCAGCTATCTGACTTCCTTACCATACTCGGCGAGTCTGTTGTTGCCGGGTACAGTACCGTTCTTCGTGTAACACACCTAGCTACAGAGCTTAGCTTGGACATGACGCCTGTCAAGTAGCTTTCACCTAGGCGTCGGGAGCGGCATTTTCCGTGGAGCATTCTTGTAAGCCTCTCGGCCGCTTGGTGTCTGTTTATCTGCGTTCGTCGCGCGGGTGAGACAATGCGTAGCTTTCCAAGTTCCGCCCTTGGTGGAAGGGAGGGAAGTCTGGAACGATTGAGGCTGGAATTGGTCCATGGGATGAACATATCAAGATAGATAGTTAGTTGTGAAGGGCGGTTGAGATCCGTGGAACGGTGGCTGAGTCTATGTTGCGGTGCCTACGGAGTGGATCTAAGAAGTTTTGAAGCAAACGATCGGAGCACTGTTGAACAGTATAGAATGATACCAACGAAGTTGTGGAGGGGAGTACGGGGTAGTGTGAGACATTAATAGATCATAGTTCATAAGAATCACCAGTACTTTCAGTTGTGGTAGGTTTTGGGACAGTAGACTTGTCGGCCCGATTGCGTGGTTTGGTTCGAAGAGACAAAGGGATATGGGATGATTGGTGGGGGATCTTGGTTTCGTTTTCAAGACATTGCAACTTAGATGGGAGACCATGGGAAAGAATTATGCATCATACATCGGTTCGCTTATCTGAGAAAGTTACATGAGTCCAATAAGTTCCAAGTTCTTTCAAGAGAAACATATGACCCACCTGAAACGATCTACGATTGATTGCAACAAACGATTCACAATAGTCAGTGACACCATATGATACAATTTCGAAAGGTTACACAATTCGTTCGATCTGTGGTATACACAGGCGCAATGGCCCTCGACGTGAACAGTTCTGGACTCTTCATTGGAAGTGTTGTGGTACCTTTCTCATGACACTTGGCAAATAAATGATGCATATCTGAGCCCGCGTTCCAATTGCTTTATATGACGAAAAACCTGCACACTGTCGATGATATGGATCAATCTCACGTCCATTGACCCTGTTCAAACCCGAAAAGCTGGAGTCGTGGCTATGGAAACCTTGACCTGAACACAATTGAATTAATCGTCTTGAAGTGGTTACACCGGGCAATTAAAGCAGCGACGCAACATCAACCAACCTTTGAACTTTAGCCAAAGCTATCACAAACAGTAAATATCACCAAAGTGGGAATCAAATTGTAAACATAAAAGATTATCATTGAAGCTTAACATCATCGTACTATCCAATCACGTCCCCGTCCTGAGTGGGCGAATTCAACGCCATTATACTATTACATATGTATGCATGTCCGATATTCCAGGACAGAATGTGCGCGCAATTTAAGCGGCAGCAGAGGGAGCAACGGCCTCAGGCTGGCGGTTGACGTCGGAGCAGATGAGGGCCTGGCCGAGGATGGGGAGCAGGCAGCACTTGGCTTGCTGGCCCTCGGCGGAGCAGGTGTCGATGAAGTTGTTGATGGAGGTGGGGGTGACGGCGGCTGTGGAATTTTGTTAGTGGTAAGGAAAGAATGGAAGGGGAGTGATGGAGGGAACATACGGACGTGGCAATCGAGGTCAGCGAGGTTCAAGACATCGGTAGCGCAGCATTGGGCAGTGCCGGAGCTGCAGAGAGGGACGAGCTGGCGCTCATCGAGGACTGATGCGCCATGGGGCATGGCAAGAGCGGTAGCGGCGAAAGCGAGGATGGCGGCGAACTGCATTTTGATGGTTGGGTATTGGTTATTTGTTTGGGAGTGGAAAGTTTGGGTTGAGAGAGGAAGTCTGAAGTGATGAAGAGTAGTAGATAGTGTTGTAGATGTTGAAACTGAGATGCTGATGATGAGAGCTTTCCTTCAGGAAATTGTGGTCCTCTTTATACCTCTCCGTTGCTCTAAGTTGCTCTATCATTTCCCCCAGATTGTCAAAGGGGTTAGATTGAGCAAGGCGAACATACACCAGGTTCTCCCTTTCCATGCCAATTGCTTCACTTTCGTCATCACGAACTCCCTAGTTAGAGCATGATCGTCAGGTTAGTATCTACAAGGCACGTCTAGCATGGGTCAAAGTTGCACTGGTGGAGGCAATTCCAATATCCGACTTTCCCATTCCCCTAGCAGACCCCTGTGTCTATGATGTCGATCACGATATATCAGCTTCAATGCTCCCTGAGATCGGCAAGATTATGGGGCAGGCCTTGGCCTCGAAGTGTGAGGCCAGTTGAAACGAGCACGGTTCAAGTTGCCAGGAACAAGGAGGTATTGGCAAGAGTGTAATTGTTCTGTAGATCAGTTATCGGGGAAATGGCCGGAGCAGGCAGTGATATGATGATGGCAAGATGCATGGTCGAATAGTCTAGGAAGTCTGCCACTTGATAGGTTATCAAGAATAGAATATGCGCTGGCGTACTACAATTGGGGCTAATTGGGTAATGCGTTTCTTGATGATATTTGCCATGGTCAACAGAAAAGTGCATCATGTACGACTCCAGTATCACGATTCCGTGAGTGCTTTGCAACATCTCCTGGCTTGTCGAATCTTCAACATGTAACAACAGGTGACGTCGCTTCGTATACTCGCCTGGCTCTCATTTGTAAGAGCAACATGACAAGTCCTGCCAAAGCGCGCGTTTGCCCCCTCAATAAACATGCGGGGGTGTTCAACCTGGTTGACGGCATGGAAACCCCTTGTTCTTTGCACTGGAGATATTCGCAACAATGCCATGACCCAAATGCATGTGCGAATCAGGAGCAGCATGCATATGTGGCAAGGCCTGTGATTCGGGTTTAGGCCCTGCATCTAACAATACGGTTGTGGACGATGAGGAGGCTGTACGTGGACTACTTCTCAATAGTTGTGCCTCCTCATTGCCATGGATGCTCGGTGAAGAACCTAGATGTGTACAATGGCTTTTCCAAGTGGCGACCAAATGCCATCGTCTCCTTTTGTCCCACTGTCCGTTGTGGCTTGCGGACAGCGGGAAGGAGTTGGGGAAGGCGGGATATGACAGGTGTGCCGATCACCAGAAAGCGTTGAAAACGTGGAGGCGACGTTGGCGACGTTGAAGCTAAAGTTGGAAAAGATGACGAATGAGGTTCCATAGACGCAGAAAGTCGAAGAGACTAAGGGAATATATAGAGCAGGGATAAAAGCTTATAGGCTGCACGACGGAAGGTTTCCAATACCACTCAATGGTTCAACGCTCTTTGCGTAACATCGCTCTGCAAGCCGATTCGCATGTCATTATTCGGTATGTCCGTCTGCAAACCTGATGCGAATTCTGTTAATTCCGGCGAATTTGGCATATTTATTTCGTTGTGGCAGTTCCTCGATAGCACATTGATTGACCGGGAGGTGTTGATGTTGATGCTGGGATGTTGGTGACTAGGTTCGCAACAAGTTTCTAACGTTGCCCTTGCCGCCTCTCCCCTTCAAACCTTCCGCTTGAGCCACACTGCGCCCTCGTCACATCTCTGGAGTCCATCCCCCTTGACGTTGTCAGTGTTGCCCTGTCGAATTCCCTCGAAATTATTCCCCCTTTCTGCATGCACAGTCACGCTCGCTTCCGTTGAGATCGACGTCACCATCGTCCAAGCCTGCTCGGTGGTAAGGCTGCATCACCAAACACACCAGATTTTACATCATTGGGGGTATATTTGACGACCATTAAACCCCGCCAAAGCCAGTCAATATTCAACTTTAATCTTCGAATCTTACTGCCAGACAAAGTTTCCCCCTTCGCTTGGATCAATTGAGCCTCGGTTGATCCAAGGCGCGATGGAATTGGGGTACCTCTTGTCCCACCCGAGCCGCTTGACCGCTGGAGGGTCTAGGCGCGATCGATGGCTTTGGTGAATATGACATGATGAAATATCACAGTATGCTCGCTGTTCATACGGAGTATATTAAATGTGAAGATGAGATGACTATGATGTCGGTCAAGACTCAGGATATCGTGGGCGATTGGATTGCTTAGATGGCATGGCAAGTAGACTACTTGGTCATGACGGACAGAGACATTGACACTTGGTCACACCTTCGCGAAAACAATATCAGTCACGAAGCAGAAGGGGAGACAGTTGAGGTATTCAGTAATTATTTCTCTTTTGTATTAGTATAGTTCTAGATGAGTTGAAATGGTATAGCGCTCCTCCGCCGAGAAAAGAAAACGTAATGAACGAAACGCCAGACCCATGCCATCATGCTACGCTGCTATGCAAAACGGTAAAAGCACTTTTTTCTCCTAACCATGATTCTCAACGCTCAACACTTAAAAAACGTAGTCGACAGCCTTCCTCCACTGACTGCGAGGGCTCTCCTCCCAGGTCTCCGTCTCAACATCTTCGAAGCGACCAGTCACGAGATCGGCCTCAGCCATCTTGACGAAGCTGCATCGAGTCCAGAGCTTATGGCCAGCATACATGACGACGAACAGGATCAAACTAATGTAAGCAATGAAGAAGTCTTCGGTGCTCCAGGGAACAAAGGCTGTGAATCCCTGGGTGAGAGTGACGATCAAGCAGAAGCCAAATCCGTACCATGCGAGCACCTTTCCACCCCAGGACTTGAAGGGCAAGGTATCGCGGTCGATGTTCTGAGCCTTGAGGGCTGCCATGAAACGGATGTGGCAGAAGCAAATGCAGGTCCAAGCAATCAAACCAGCAACAGCAGTGATGTTGAGGAACCAGTTGAAGACCTCGCCACCATTGTCGGAAAGGTTCATGTAGGCAAGGAGACCCCATGCAGAGGTGAATGCCACTGCATAGTAGGGAACACCCCGCTTGCTAACTTTCTGAAGGATCTGTGGCGCACAGCGTTCCTCCGATAGACCAACCAAGATTCGGCTACCGGAATAGACGTTGGAAGCGGCAGCAGAAAGCACAACTGTCAAAAGGACAGCGTTGATGATATCTGGCAGCACCTTTACACCTGCGAGTTTGGCAGCAATGACAAGTGGCGAGGATCCAGCATTGGTGTTGCCAAGAGTGAGATCCTCGTTGGTGTATGGGACGAGAATGCCGATGAAAAAGATGGTGAGCATGAAAAGAGAAAAGATGCTCCAGAACGTCTTTCGAACAGCCGAAGGCATGGTCTTGCGGGGGTTAGCGCTCTCGCCGGCTCCAACACCGACAAGCTCCGTGCCCTGGAAGGCAAAAGAAGCTTGAACAAGCACAGCCCAGAAGCCCACGAATTTGGCCTTTGGTCCCTCGGTAAGATAAGGGGCAAAAGCTCCGGGAGTAACCCAGTACCTGAACCCAATATAACCTTGGGAACCGACGCCTGCATTGATGCAGATGGCAAAGATCATGAAACCAACAAGTGTGACGACCTTGATACTGGCAAACCAGAGTTCTGCCTCTCCAAAGAAGTTCACAGGCATGAAGTTGAGAAGAGTGATGGGTACCCAGAAAATGGTGATGAAGATTCCAATGCTTAGAGTCGAGTTCCACCATTGGATAACCAGTCCGGCGGCGGTAAGTTCAAGCGCATAGGTGATTGCCCAGGAGAAGAAGTAGATCCATCCCATAGCAAAGCCAAGGCTGGGGTCGACGAATCGGGCTGCATAGCGGGCGAAGGCACCTGAGATGGGAAGATAGGTAGCCATCTCAGCCAGGGACATCATGACCGAATAGACCAGAGTTCCAACGAAGGCATATGCGAGGAGCGCGCCAACGGGACCAGCAGTAGCGATTGATCGACCAGAAGCGATGAAAACACCCGTTCCAACGGTACCACCTGATCCGAATTAGGAAATGCATGATTTGGTAAAAGATATTAAAACCTACCAATGGCGACGAATTGCAGATGCCTGCTCTTCAATTTCCGCTGGAGCTGCGCAGTCTCCGCGGTCTGCTTCTCCATGTCATTGGACTGCGAGATGGACTTCTCCGAATGGCGGTCTGCCACAGGCGCAATGTCGTTCATGGTGAGTCTGGAGATGGCAAGGCGCGATGCGATCTTGTGCGGGGATTGCTCCTACTGTGGGAGTGTAAACAGGTGAGGTTGACAATGGGAGTGGGCCTGTTCAGACAGCATAGCGTGCAGAGACGGTGGATATATACCCCTAACGGCAAGAGTTGTCGATGTGAATCCTAACGGCAGGTTTGAGCGAGCGCAATAAAAAACTCAACATCCAACAGTCACCCGACGGGGCTCGCCCACGACTTTGCCGTATCAGTTGAGCAGAAATTTCATGGTGGTTCCACTATTCAAGGCCGGCAGTCTTCATGAGGGAGTGGTGGCACCGAAATGAGTGGGATCACCAGCTATCGAAACCCAGCCATGTAGCATAAATTTTCGCATGCACGGGTATGAGCGGTCGATGGTTGAACGAAGTCCATCGGAGTCACCCGTTGTAGGCCTAGTAGGCAAAGAGAAGGGGGGCGACTATGTCACAGCACCAATACCATAGCAGCCACAGCAAATTGCTTGTATGGGGGTGAGAAAGTCCATGGAAAATTCTGACGTTCTAGCTGGAATGCGACCTACAGATCGGTGGCGTGGCTGTCGATGGTTGGGAGGAGCCGGCGCGCGGGTCGGTCCACACAGTCGAGGGACGAAGAGGGACGAAGGACAGAAACGGCAAAAATTCATCGCAGATTTCCCTTTCGGCTCATGATCCGTCGTTGGCGCTAAACTTAACAAGTACTAATGCGGCGGATGTTACATAAGCTAATGAAAGTTTTTCGCCACAAGGGATACTCTTGGTATCAATCCTGACTCTTCTTCTGGTGTTATTTGCTTCGAGTCTTTGATAGATGTCATATGTTTAATATATTATTATGTATTGGACCTCCATCTTATTAGAAGTAGCTTTCCCACGCCTACTTCTGCTTGCAGAGATACCTGCCTGATACAATCAATATCTGCAAGAATCTAACCGGCCTTGCCTGCTCCATACGATCACTGTGTATGGGAACCGTCTCGCCTCAGGGTGGGTGTCGAAGATGATCACCGATACACCAATACATTGACGCTTCGATCACGCTCTTTCTGCGATCTCACGATCTTGCCAGGATTTCTGAGCTGACTGCCGGTGAGGTGAGTGTTGGTAGGTGACTTTGAAAGAAAGGTAAAATCTTAAGTCGTGCGGGCTAATTATCTTCTGCTTCGCGATGGAACGATACATAGTGAAAGAAATATCCTATACTTGTATTCACTCAATAGACTTTCGAATTTGGCCTCATCGGCAGATTTATAAGATCACCTAATGCCACACACGTCTATTACTGAGTACGGGATTGGGAAGTTGCTAATAGATCTGAATCAAGAAGCCAAACGCGCGGAAATGGCAAGAGATAAGAAGGTAGAGTGTTTGAAACGAAACGCAAGACAAGTCTGGGTGTCCTAGCAAATGGAAGGATGGATGCGGTTATCGCTCAGCGTCATAAATCTAGTGGTGGCTTGGACTTATTTACTACCCCTCAGGTCCCCGCCTGAACCATCGTTCACAATTGCATCATATGGGGAAGTTGATAGCATCACCCAGCCTTACATCTTCAGCCTTATGCATGTCCTAAACATGCCATGCTACAAGACAGCCGAAACAAGGTAGCCTAGAACTTGTGACCCGCAGCTGTCATCGACAGAAAGAGTAGTTGTCTCAAAAGTTGTGCGACTTGAATGACGACCTATGCTCATATCCGGAGGCAGACAAAGAACTCAGCCCATAGAGAGTACACACCATCTCTTTTGACTGATCTAATAATCCGGTCTTTTTCTTTTAACCTGCGGAGCAAATCTAGAGTTATTCTGAGCATTATGTCTTGGCCGATCGCGATCTTTTGATATATGCATCGCAGATTCAATCCATCTCACGACCAAGCTTCGGGATTTTATAAAGTGTCAACTTCGCAGCTTTCCCAGATCAACATCCCAAGCATCTTCAAGTCTTTCTCCCGTCCATTCATAGCTTGATCTCAATTCTACAATCAATCATCATAAGTTCCCAATTATCTCTCTCTCAAACAGAACATCTCCCGAACACATCAGTGAATGGAACAATGGCCATTGATTCGACACAACGGCTTCACTGGACGCAAAGAGTAGCTCTTGTGAGGCACAACCTTCATGCTGCGAGAAGAACAGGCGATTACACCTTCTTCAAGACACTCCAAGCACATGCCCTCATCGACGGAACAGATCACGTCTCAATCCTCCACACAGTTCTCGGCAACGACGCAGACCATGTCCTCTCAACGCTTGACAATCTCAACGCCGGAATTGCTTATGTCCATCAAGATGCGTTCAAGGCAGTCTACGATGGAGCCAAATCCACCATGTACAAAGCAGACAACTCCCCAGCCAGCCGTAGATCTCTCCTCCGCGTTGACATTTGCCAGCAAAGAGACATGGCCGATCACGCAATCGACAAGACCGCTAACTCAGCGGTCAATCTCATCGAAGCACAACCAGTACACTGCCAAGATGCAGTAGCCAATGCCTGGATAACAGGAACTACTATCATCTCCGATGCAGTCTGTGTTTGCCTCGCCCAGATGGAAGAGATCGAAGAGAACATTGATGATTTCATTCGGCTCGAGTATGCGTGGAGCAGCATTCAGAATTCAGTAGATGCAGCTATCTCAGCTCTTCGCGGCATCTTCAATCTCATGGCAACTTCGAATCCTAGGATTCCCGTCGCTCGTACCCTCAGTGTCTCGTCCTCGGGCGGTCAGTCTGAACCAGGCAGCCTCCGTAGCCGCGCATCATCTACGACTTCAGCATTCAATTTGATCAAGAGAGCGTTCAGTCATAGCCAAATGCAGCCACCGCCGGCTTCACTTTCTTCAAGCAAGTCTAGCCGCCCCGGCTCTGTATCTCTTCCAATGCCGGACAGCACCGCCAGGGGCTTTCGATTGAGCATGAGTACGGCTTTCCCTACTCGGATGCCTGATCATCATCACACTCAATTGACGCCAGTGCCACATACTCCTAGCGTTCACGATACGCCTGGAGGACTCAGCCCTTTCAACAAGGAGAGCAACGAGTACTTCTCCTTTGATATGGAGAAGGAGTCCGAATCTGGAGCGAAGAAATCCTCTGTCGAGGAAGATCTGATGCAGCTGTAAGCTTCCAGTCCTTGTTTCATGAAGATCCATCAACTGACCAGAACGTAGCGAGAACCTAGATCCACTTTATTCGCCTGCCCTGGAGCAGCCTATCCCGCTAGCAATGCGAAGGGCTTCGGCCACGCTCGCATCTGCAAACCCGCCCATCGCCGTCTGATCTGGCATCCAACCAGAACATTGAAAACACGAAACGCAAGGCTTGATTGGGGATCTATACATCTTGTTTGTTTGAAGCTATCCACGCGCCCTGGCTTTTCTTTTTCTCTTCAGAATGCTTCTATGTAAATGTTTTGAGCTTCTACCAGCAGTATTGGACTTTGTTAGGTCGGGTAAATTAGACTTAGAATCCGTCGCAATGGCGTTTCCGCGAATCCAACTACATCATGCAGTTATCACATTTTGCCTTCTGTGAGTGCCATTATAACCGCAAATTGTATTAATCGTCGTACACATGTCTGGACAAGCAAAATACATTGGGTCAGTGCGATAGGATTCGAGTTTGCAAGGATCTTCGGAATCCGATGGGGAAGGCTCTTTGCGGTTAGACGCTTCACCCGGGCGAGAACACGCAACGCAGGCGACATTGCAACACCTCCCTCTGGCGCCATCCAATCGCTTTGTGTGAATGCAAATCCTAACGGACTTTTGTACCCTTGTAGATGTTGGAAAGTAGGCAACGGCAACGCCCAGTGCAGTGGTTATCAGAGGCACAGCACATGTGAGCAAAAGTCATGGCTGGGAAGGTATACTCTCGTCATTTTGCGACCACAGCTCTAACGTTGGGCTTATAGAGTATGATCTGGTATCAATCCTTCGAGGCATATGAATTCAACTGTACGATTGGCAAAACTTTGTTGGGACATCGCGTGCGCATGACAGCTCATGGCAATGTACGATATCGACTTCCCCCCGCGATTATCAGTATTCGGGGATTAATCCGAAACTCACCATCCCAAACAAGCATAAACATCAGCCAAACATTTGCCGCATTGGAATCTAACGTCAGCGTGAAGGGGCCGGGGTGAGATGCAGGTTCGCGCTGTTTGTATCACCCACCCCAATGTTTGTGCCACTCTTAAGTACCCGGCCATGGACATTCGAGAGTCGACCTTCGATGGACCTTCTAGCGTAGTAGAAACCACCCACTCGCCAGACAATATCGATGTGAAGCTCGGTTTCACTGAAGCAGAAACGAATCAACAAAAGAAGGGTCAAAAAGGTACCTTACGAATTGGACAACGTTGATCGTTGAGAACAAGTTACCTACCCTTCTTCACCATGGCACTCCACTACGCCGTTCTCTTCTTCATATCGACCTCAATCGCTTCTCCCATCTCATCTCGAGCTCCGCTGTCCAAACGCTCAGCATCACCCAGCAAGATCGGAACCGGTTTTGGCATTGCGCTCGCATTGATACTATTCACCGTCCTCATCTTCTACCTCGGCGTCATCTACGGACGAAATGGTCTACGGTCTCGCTGGCGAGCTACAAAGGACACTCAATTCAATTCATCATCAGTAACAGCAACGCATCCTACCAGAGGCAGATCTCACATCCACCGAAAATTGCAAACCTCGATGATCGGGTTCCCCCAGCACAACGAAAAAGTCATGGACGCAGACTACTTCGACACCAACACCGCAATCAGCCCAATCGAGCAAGCAGGCCAAGAGGCCCGACCCGTCGAGTTGTCACCCGTCGAAGCGCGGCCCCGACTAATAGAGCTGTCGCCAATTGAGGCGTACGGGACCCCGATCGTGCTGGAGCAACTGCCCAACGAGACGACGCTCGTGGAGGCCGGCGGCGGCACACCGCGCCGTGGCCGCTTCGATGTAACCAAGAGCTGGTTCTCGACCTCGTCGCGGAAGAGCCGACAGAGGAGCTTGGCTAGGGACAAGGAGGCCAGCATCTACGAGATGCCTGCCACGCCGTCGTCTACGTGCCACCAGGGCGTGCCGACGTTGCCACCGCTACCTCCTGCATATACAGAGAAGGGACGGCAGAAGAGCCGCGACGACGAGTCGGTGGATTGGAGTGGCATTGAATTCATGAAGGGCATGTATTCGCAGCGCAAGTCGTTATTCAAGGGCAGCGATGCCGGCAAGGAATGATGGAATCAGGTCGATTGGCAACGATTGAGAAGAGAATGAGTGCGGACGAATATACCCCCTTTTGTTTTGTCTGGCTGACTACAGCCATGTTTTGATCAGTCGTTACGGCTTCTTTACTATAATTCCCCTCCAAATATCTCCTTTGGTGCCTTTCCATTCTCTATTCTTTTTTCGCCATTGCTTCAGCGAGGGCGCATTGGAACTGTCGTTGTAGTGTAGAATTATGGGCCTACGATTGGATGGTAATCCCTATGTATATATATATTTAACCAATTTACATATCGCAATGACGCGAAACCTTATGACGATCTCGAAACGGAGGGGTATCCATGATACGAAACGCAAACGCACCGAACCAGAGAACCAGGAATCTATAAAGAACATGCCTTTAGGTGAATTGTTTCCTTCAGACGAGTTGCAAAAATCGAATGCACAACTGGTCCCAGACGAACCTCAAAGCCTCAGGCCTTTCAATCATCCCCGCCACGCATCATCCCTCCAATGCCTCACAACCGGACACGGCGTCGCATACACAAAAGCCAACAACAACCTCCACCTAACCTCCAAAACGCGCTCCTCGGCCTTCCACTCCACAAACCTCCCCACGCCCTCATACCTCTTACAAAACCCCCTCTTCGTCTGGTCCCTTAGCGAACGACACGGACACACATGCGCCTTCCCAGCCATCCTCAACCCAAGATCCATCTCCGACATGATCTGGTAGAACGACGCATAGCCGTCCTCCTGCAGGAAATCGTACGCATCCTCGCTGCGCCAGTACCGCGGCCGGTCCTGCATGATGTAGCGGGTCCATGGCGGGCCGTCGGCGCGCAGAATCGCGACAGAGGTGTCGCTGACTTTGAATGAGGCGAAGTTAAAGAGGAATTCGGTTTTGTCGTGCGGGTAGAGTTGGCCGTCTGCGTTGGTGGGCCGGATTTGCTTGCGCTGGAGGGGCGTGATGTCGATTGCGAATTTTAGGCGGGGCAGGTGCTCCCGCGCGTACTGCTCTTCAGCCCATTGTTTGAATTCGGGGGATATGAAGCGGCAGGTTGTCCAGAGGAACTCGGGGTCCGCGATGAAGGAGATGATGCGGATTCGTAGTTCGTTGGGGAGATAGGGTAGTTTGCGGGGTTCATTGGATAATTTTGGCATGGGAGTGTCTACACACTGCTCCATTATCGAGCTCGAGATATCGAGATAACCCCGTCTCTTATATGCTCATCTGTTGCAATGCTCGGATAGAGCTACCGATGGCTGAGTTCCGAGTAGGCGAGCATGGCGAAGTCAACAGCATCATCAGGCCCTCGCAACGGCCAATCGAATGAGTCAATTCGGCGCTACGCCACATTAGGTAGGGACTTTCCATCCACCCAGCTACTGTCAGACTTAATCCGTAAACCACTCTGAGCAATTACTATGACTGTGTCGAGTGTTCATTGAGTCATATGCATTCTTTCGTGCGAATACTCAGTTTCTAATTATTCGTTGCGATCATTACTCAGAGAAACAGGTCTGTTCAACAAATTTGTCTAACAATAGGTAGGAAACGTTACGCCCTGTCCACCAATCTACTCAAAGACCAACTTATCCCATAACTCATTCGAAAACCTCTTCTGAAGTTGATCGATGGTCCATCCCTGCGTTTCGCCAATCTTGACAAGTGCATCACGGAATTCGGGGATTTGGTCCCTATACGCCACGTCTTTCAGGTACTTCCTCGCGTCCATGCCCTTGAAATTGATCCCTTCCCACTCTTTCGCCCAGTGCGGGCGCACGTTACCTCCGTAGCTTGTCCAAAGGTCAACAACCTTTTGTACAAAGCCATGCCATTCGTTATCTGCAACAGCATCAGGAAGAGTCAAGACTTCGATGGAAAGGGTTCCGAGATCGTTGCCCTTCTGCGGTGCGAGAAGCATATCGCTACCTCCCATAAGACGCATTTCAAGGGCCAGTCGCATGGCTGAGGATGGATCTCCCCCAGTCTCTGCATCTCGATAGACAAGCTTGATGACATCCCACCAGGCACGTTGGACGATGCTGAAGTCTGGCTTTGTAGGGTCATCCGACCTAGGAGGAAGCGGTATCTGAAGCTCCAGATCTCGAACTCTCATATTCTGCACTCCGCGGCGGAAATGAAGAGCGTCCGGTAGCAAGGTTTTGTAAGTTGGAGTTTTGGTTTCGCCCAAAGTAGGAGGAAGAGCAGCCATTCCCAAAGACGCAATAAGCTGTGCCTGCCAGTATCCTGGGATGGCGTTGAAAAGTGGGACTTCTGTTATGACGCCCCCTAGCCAGCCTTGAATCCACTGTAGAAATACGTTGCCGTCATCGGGATAGTTCACAGCTCCAGTAGGATCCGCTGTGGTGTTGAAAGTGTTTGTCCAGATCTTTCGCTGGTATGTAAACCAAAACCATCTACGAATGTTAGCAACCAGACTGTTTCGATACCGTTTAATATACTAACTCGGTGTAGTAATCATTTGCTGCGCGAGTCTTGAACTCTTCTGTCGCCTTGGCAATCTGCTGGTCCGCATCTGGCGCATTGTACCAGTCACCTCGCAGCGCGATCGGAATATCCTTCTTCGATAGTGGAGGGACTCCCAATCCCACATCTTCTTTCAATGGTTTCTGTTCAACTTAGCTTTGGATAGTATACTAGCTATATTGCGAAAATCTTACCATAATGGCGTAGGTCATCGCATCCAATTCAAAAGTGATATGCGTGACTACACCAAGCAATCCAAAAGCTCCAGCGGCTGCTTTGATGAGTTGAGGGTCATCCACCGCCTGCAGATTCCCGAGACAATCCACATATTCGATACGGCGAACGTAGTCAGACAGCGTCTTGTGAGAAATACCAGCACCATGGCAGATCGGACCATTCACGCCACCGATCGTAACCTGGGACAATATTAGTATATAACCCTTAGTAGCATTAGAGATGCAACTTACCTCAACCAAAATGACATCGGCAGGTAGAGACCATGCCTTTCCTGCAACAGCCCAGCGTCTAAATTCTTCATTGGTGACTGCTGCCCCCACACGGCAGAGCCGATGTTTGCCGGGCACTGTTTCCTCCTTCAAATCAATGGTCTTGAGCTCTGGGACCTTGGATGGGTCATACTCTCCGGGAACAATTGACATAGGGTCTGGCAAGGTCGTCACTGTGTGAAGATTGACGAACGAGATGAGAATCTCGTTGTCTTGTGAGAATATCGAAGACCAGCTATGGCGGTATCCCGCACATCTGACGCGATAATTGTTCTTCAGCGCATACTTGACAACGTTCTTCACTCCATTCACTGTGTTGGGCAAGAACGTGTATCTGGGTGTATCCTTTACTGTCAAACCCCAGTTCTCGAACGGAACCTGGCTGTAACACTATAACGGGTGAGCGCGTCTTCAGGACGTTGAATCGACCAAAACACGTACCTCAACAACGGAATTTTCTTTTATCCCCTCATAGACAACGGGGAGGTCCTTGACGTATTTGTGTTTAGGATGGAATATGTCCTTCACGATAGCTTTGAGTTCCAAGCCACCCACAAGTAATTTCTTCAACTCCTCCAAGAGTGAAAAGTGGTGTTGTACACCTGGGCTTTTGTGCAAGAGCAAGTCAAATCCAAGGTTGCTGGTAACATCCTTCGCATGCTTGCCATTGACAAAAGCATCGATCTGACCCCGCAGTTCCGGGCTTTTGATGTTGGAGTATGCCTTTCTGTATGTGATGGTATGTTGGAATGTTCGCAAGAATCCTCGTAGCTGTACTTCTGGATCAAATCTCTCCGCGATGACAGGTTTCAGGACTTCTTCCTTCAAGGCGGCATAGTCGACTTCATCAGAATCGTCGGAGAACTCCTCGATGTGCTCGAGGATCTGCTTGAGAATGTGCGTACGTTCGAGAGACCGGGCAGGAAGGGTTGTGGACTGCGACATGGTCGTATGAATGATAAGGCTCACAATTTGAAAAATATTAGGATGTTCTAGGTTGGCTGTTGCCTCTGTGATTTCAAGATTGGGTGTTCGGCGCACGCGAATGGACCCCTCGGTATGGAAAAGGACAGGTAAAAGAAGTTGTATAGGAGATTATTATGTTGAGAGTTTTGTCGGCACGTCAAGTAGGCTTACTTATGTTCTTTCTTAGGTGAATGGTCTTCCAGCTGATCCGACGGCAGCGACGCCAATCTTGTCTTGGGCTATAGGCAGCTGAGACCTGACCGCTCTTACTTTTCGCAAAGAACAGCCACATGGCTTGGACAAAGAAAATCTACAGTGTGATTGATTGCATCCATTTCGGGTGAATCAGAGGACTTGCTGCGATCAAGTTGGAGATGTGGAATTTTTGGGTACCACATGACAATATGCTGAATTTGATTGAGACGCAGCATTCCATCCTCAAGGCTGAGTGTCATTTTCCTGATCCGAATTGATAGACGTGATGTCCACAGATGACGAACGCCTTGATTCGTTCGTCAGCGAGGAATATTTTCAGGCGGCAGATGGTCAGCGAAAGTGTAAGCAGGTATCTGGATGATAGAATGCGATTGGAAGGCTAGTCAGGCCCGGAGTCGTGTTGGCGTTGCCTACTCGATTTTTTGGGAACAGGTCTCTATTGTTTGTGCGACGGCAGCGTTGACCTGTTGATCACAAGGTTTTTCAGCTGAATAGAAAGTTAGCATGCTCGGAGCAACGACCCAACAACGAGCCGTGGAAACCATCCGACTTGGTAGCATCCAGCGAATTTTCATCAATGTTGTCAGATAGTAACATGTGTGTCTAGATAAATAAGGAAGGCCGCATCCTAGATTTTGTTCATGGCTCATGGCAACATTATTTCTGCTGTACAAGCAAACTTTGTTCTCACGGTTCCGATAATATTTACAGGCACAACGAGTAAGGACTCCCTTAAGAAGCGTAGTCATGAGTGAAGAAAAGGTCAATTGTCCAGTCTGCGTCAATCGGAGGCCCGACAGTGGCCGGATCATTGACGTCAAAGTGTAGGCACTTACGCAAGCCATCTATCGAGACAAGCCGACCACCATTTGGCTCTCATCATTTTCGGTGAGATTTTGTCACTAGATAACGTCGATCATTCCTTCAATCAGTCGCATACCTTTGTATAACATGAGTATTAATCACGTGTGTTCGTATTTGTACGGGTTCGGCATCATGCAGGGGTTGCATCTGTAACGGTTTCAGCCTTGCGGTTCCCGACTCATCTTCATGCCTCAACAGGGTTTCATGGCAACTCTCCGGATCTCCTCCACTCAGAAAACCAGCAAAAGCCTAGAATTTCTTCCTTGAGTCCCGCTGGGTGTCAACGCTTGCCACGCCGTTAGTGCGCTCTCCGGATGTCAGAACCCCGGATATGCGGTTGTCAGCCTTGGAAGACCTGGCCCTTACATTGGTCCCTTTGCTTGTTATACTGCCCTTGACTCGCCGTTGTCTAGTGAACGTCTCTATCCAAGATGTCTCTGTGGCTGCTGTGGGGTTTATTCCATCCGGACTAAGAGCATCTGCATGGTCGTCAGCGAGCACGGTAACATGTACACCGACCCACCCGGGTTACCAGCCGCTCGATACAGACGAGTCCCCCCTGCATCTGACAATTCTCTTGCAGGATGCGCGGATATGGTACGTGCTTGGGACAATCATTTCTGGCTTTAAGGCTTCGAGTTCAGCCTGAGATTTTTCCGTTCCTTGACGTCGTCCACCTACGCAAACTATCTCCCTAATTTCTGTGCGGCTCTGGAAGTTGCGGCCAGCTGGTTCTGTGCTTTAACTACATCCTATTATTACTTTTAATCTAAATCTTCGTTCAACATCAGAATCATCATGGGTCCTGGCGCAGCTGTACTCGTGGGGTTGAGATCACTAGTGATCATAATGGCTTTGGCGGTTGTTGGGACTGGAGCTTGGAGTTCGTCTTCCTCATACACCTTATTCTTATTATTGTTCGAATATTGACCGTTGCAAACAGAGATTCATACAATCCACGACTTCGACAGACGAGGCCAAGCGGTTCTCAACTTTACCTCTCTAAACGACGACAAGAAGACGACATGGCTGAACTTCTTCAAAGCGGCATTGCGAAATGAACAGAGAATCTGGATCTCTGTGGGCACCGTAGGTTACTACCTGCCCTATCAAAGAATTAACGTCGACTAACCACAACCAGGGAGCATTGTCTTTCGTAGCAATGCTGTATATCTTCCTAGCTTTAAAGATCGATCGTATGAAGGTCTCCCCCAAGTTTCTCGTTCCGCTCGAGTTTCTTACAATGCTTTCAATGGCCGCGGCCTTCGTATTCTCCCTCGTCACCACGATCGATGTTTCGCCCTTGTGCGTCGGGCTCGATACAGCCTCAGATTCGGACTTGAATACTTTTGGCTTGTTCTGCCCAATGGACAAAGGTCACGCTGCAGCTGGAGGCGTTGGAGTGTAAGTGTTTGATCCTTCTTCATATCAAGATTGATGTCTAACGCATTCTAGGCTCGTGCTAGCAATAACTTCAATGTCTGCGATCGTGAGCGCCTGCAAACGCCGTGGAGGGAAACAGAACCTATCCTTCGAACCGGATGCATCGATTCTCGACGCAAATTATGACTACTCAAGTGCTGCTGCCTCTGAAATAGGCGGCCCCACGCGATCTGTCGCAGAAGAACAGATCGGACTCGCGAATTCGGCCGCGCCAATGGGAGGACGAGACTTTTGGCCTACGCAAGAGAAGGAAGACACGAATGTTTCTGGACCTCTTCATCTGCAGGCACCGAAGGAGGCAGAAGCGCAAATGCGACCGGCCCGGCCGTGGAGCGAAGCCATAACCAAGAAATTCCGCAACTGATCGAATGGAAGGTTTGGTAGGCACGTATCGAAGAATCACAACATGTTTGCCAACGAACCCTTTTCTACCAACACAACAAATTCAACCACATATTTGAGGAAAACGTTACAGGTGGAGAGGAATATATCTCAACACCCAGAACTTTAGAATGTGTATAATGTCAAACTGCAAAGATTCGCTTCTTGCAACCACCCTCATCTTTGGAAGCACTTACAAACATGGCATACGTGAATCATATTGATAGCTGACTTATGTCAAATCTAGCCTGAGGAGGACCTCTAGAACAGCTTCACCAGGCCTTCGGTTCCGTTACCACTTTGTGTAACATTCCCAACCACAGTACCATTCGCATTCGCTTGATCCAACCAAGCTGCCTTCAACCCCCAAACAGCAACACTCGCAGACGCACTCTCATTGATTCCCCCAACCCTGAAGACCGCCGTATCGAGCGGCTCGGTAGGGAAAAACACACTAGTCGCCACTTCCTCACCCCCATTTAGATAAACCTCCAATATACTTCGATCCACAATTCCGGAAAGCCTCCATGTGCCTGCGCCGTCATACAATCCCGAAGTCGAAAACTTATCCGTGAAAAACGGATTCGACCACGCGGACGAATGACCACGATCAACCCATACATCTCCAGACGAAATGAACGTGCCTCCCGAGACATACTCACCCGTTGACGAGGACGAGAACGTGAAATTGAGTGTTCCCTGCAGGGACGTCGAGTCGCCCAGGCCCGTGATGTTAGCTTCCCAGTACAACGCCCTGCTCTCCAACTGCCCGAAATCGACATTCAGCGTGCCGTTCCCGAGGCTCGAGTTCGACGCGAGTTCCGAGTCGAACGCGGCGGAGATGTTGGCCGGGTAGCTCATGAGGCTGAGGCCGACGCGCGGTCGGTCTTGGATCCAGTGTTCGCGCGCGACGCTCATTGCGCTGCGGAACCCCTCACGGTCGGTCGGGACCACGTTGGTGTATTGCCAGTTGGACGCCCATGACATGCTGACTTGGCGCGTGCCGAAGGGGATGTTGTCGAAGAATTGGCCGGCGTAGTTGTCTTTTGCGAAGTCGGTGAAGCGGGTTCGTGAGTCCAGCGGGTCAAAGTGGGTGCCGTTGAAGGAGCCGAGGAAGTATTGGGTTATTGAGCCTCCCAATGGTGCGCCTGGGTTGATGGAAACAAGCAGGGCCCATGCTTGCGTGTCATTTGTGAGGGTGGAGTTTTCAATGGGAAGAGGTACGAGATTAGGGCATTCGTACAGGAGACCTGTGACGCCGTAGTGTGAGAAGTTGCTCTCTGGCTGCCAGTCGATCAGGTTTTCACTCGTGAAGATGCCAACCTCAAAGTCGACGGGGTAAGCAACGACCATGACCCAGCGAGAGGTTTCCTCATACCAGAAGACCTTAGGATCTCGGAATTGATTGGTATTACGGTCGATCACGGGATTGTTCTCATACTTGGTGAAGGTATAGCCACCGTCAAATGAGTAAGCAATGTCTTGTGTCTGTGACTCGGGGGTGTTCAGAGTGTATATTGCTACAACGCCATTCGTCTGGTTCGGAAAGAATCCTGATGTGTTGTTGCCGTCGATGACTATTGAACCACTGAAGATACCCTCCTCAGGGCCTCCAGGAAACAGCGCGATTTGCTGATTGGTCCAGGTAAACAGGTCCTCACTGGTTGCGTGGCCCCAATGTTGATTACCTGCTCTGTTTGCAGTTGGATTGTACTGATAGTAGAGATGGTAGAGGCCGTCTGCATCCACAAACATTCCATTGGGATCATTCATGAAGCCTTGGGGTGGACTGAAGTGCACTTGCGGACGAAGCGGGCCTCCATAATTTCCTGGAAGAGGTGTTCCAGTCGGCACATTGGATTGCGAATATGTCGTTGTCGCATTCTGGGCTAATGCCGATGAGCATAAAAGAGCCGGCAGAGCCGTCAGCAAAGAAGAACGTGAGAAGAACATGATGCGGAATGCTGGTAGAGTTCATTCGAACGGAGAACTCACTGGGTTTTATACTGCAGTCCAAGAAGTTCATCGTTCAATGGACTATAGGCGGGTTCTCCGGCATCGGTGACGACATTTACAAAGTTGCACACTTTTTCAATCTTGGCTGCAGGCTACAGGTGTGCACGATGCTGTCTGCCTGTATTGTTTGGTGCTCGGAACAATTCACGGGATGATGTAGATCGATTTCCCCGCAAAGGCAGTTGAGCTAACCATGGGGAAGAAATGCTAGCGCCATGCGCGTACAAGCGTGGAATAAAATGTAGTCATTTCTTCTTGGTATCTTCTGTTCACTATACTAAATGCGAACTTTGGTTCAAAGGCGATTAGGTTATTAGCTTCTACTGCGTGGAAAAGACGCGTCCCTTTGTTGTGAGAACAATAGCCATGGTGACGTCGGGAGATCCATTTGAGCACCGCTCACTCTGATTGGACAATTCCGTGGGGTGACCATCCGCACAATCCAAAGAGGCGCAGAACATAGAAGCTCCGACGAAAATTCGAAAATGCTTGGCTAGGTGTTCTGACTGCATCGCATGAGGTGGGTCCTGAGCGTTGTCCAAAATCTATTTCGCCGAAATTGAACTTCCTAGTTGAGTTTTGTCGAGGCGAAGCGTCGGGGCGAAATCTTGCGATCGAACAGGGCATCAATCTCCTCGAACGAACGGCCCTATACACGAATTAGAAAGTGTCAAGGATCTCCACGCTAATGATCACATACCTTAGTCTCGGGATAGTAGAAGAAGATGAATGTATCCGCGAACAGAAGGAGAGCGAAGAAGATGAAGGCCACCTTTCCTCCCATGTTGGCCTGGTCAGGGTTGACCATGTATGGCATAGCCAGTGACCAAATGGCATTGGAGAAACCATTGACCATTGTCGCCATTGACTGGGTTACACCACGGAGATGCGAGGTCGGAACTTCGGCCATCATGGTGTAGCCAACAGAGCCGATGGACGCTTGATACATAAAAGCCCAGAGAGCCATGAACCCAACTTGCGTCAAGACTACGTTCCTGCCCTTCTCAACGAACAGGGCTAGCACGGCAATGATTAAAAGCGAGATGGTGCATGCCAACATTCCTGAAGAGATGTTAGTGCTGTCTCCGAAACTTCGTGCAATGGATGCAAGACTTACCTCCGAAGATGGTCCAGCGACGTCCGATACGCTCAACAGCCCACCAACTGACCATGGTTCCAACTGCCATGGACCCTGCGATACCGACAGTAGCATCGAACACCTCCAGACCCTTCATGCCGGAGAGCTGCATGAAGTATCCCATGTATGCAACCACCCAAGCAACACCCGAACTGGCCTGGAAGAAGAAGACTGACAATGCGATCGCAGTTCGAAGGCGATTCTTCTTGTTGAAGCATTCCTTGATGGTACCACTGTTTTCTTGCGCCTTTTGGTCATGGGCTAGGACTGCCCGGATCTCCGCGACTTTGGCATCAACATCAACGCCCGAGGGTGACAACTTGACAATTGACTTCCTCGCGGCCTCTTCCTTTCCACGCTTTATGAGACGCATGGGGGATTCAGGCAAAAATGCGACAAAGCAAAGACCGACTCCTGCGAACCCCCATTGGACGGCATACATGATGCGATATGCGTTTGGTCCATCGATAGCTTGAACCTCTCTCATGACACCGTATCCGATGAGCTGGCCGATGACGATGCTGAAATTCACCGCAGCGACCATAGCTCCACGAAGCGCCGGAGGAGCAACCTCAGATGTATAGACGGGTGCGACAGTAAGAAAGACTCCGAGGGGGATACCGGTGAGGAGTTTTCCGGCAAAGAAGAGGGGCATGTCGCCGGGGGAAAACCACTGGGCGAACACACCTCCTACGGTCAACGCTGGATGATCAATTAGCAGTCACACTTTCAGCAATCTAGTAAGTGACATACCATAGGCACCGATGATAGAAACACGTTGACCCCATCGCTCAGATATAAAACCGGTTATTGCACCTCCAAAAATGAGACCGAACAACGAGGCAGACGTAAATCCCAATTGCCAATTGGCCGAAACAACATAGTCTCCCATGTACGGATAGCCGTAATCCTGACGAAATCTTGGGATAGAAAGGACGATCTGAACCTATTGTTAGCCTGCACTCAAGAGATATAATCAAGGCAATACGTACTGCACCAGCAAGCCCATCATAGCCCCACATGATACACAGAAACAACATGTAGCAGCCTATGATGCGTCAGCTGTCCGATCGTTTCTTCCCTGAGTTGAGATGGACATACACCATGCCGTGGCCATAGGGAATTTCAGAATGCTTTGCAAGGGAGTGAGTTTCTCATCCACCTTGATGTGCTCTGGCTTCTCTCCAGCTGTCTCAACATCATCAATGTGGACGCTCTCCACCTTGTACTCATCTGGCTTTTGATCCATATTTTATCGTGTTGTGATAACGGACTGAAAATAATGGATTGAGATTGTAAGGTGAATGGCGGAGGTGAAGCATCAAAAAAAGATCGTGGAGTATCGTCGATATATATAAACCTTGTAGCGCAACCATCCTCGTGGGTATGTTTCCCGAGGCAGGCGGATCATTTTCAACTTCGGCACATCAGTTCGCCCATATCCGCATGGAAATGGTAGGTTCGTGCATGGGATAGGCTGTTACAGATTCATGGCGAGGCTTGTACGTTGCGATCAGGGAAACCTGACTCGATTGACAGACGCAATCATGGAATGCATGACGAGAAAAAACGTGAGCTCGGTGCCCCTATTTGGACAAAGCCCGATGATAGTACCAATAGCAAGGGAGTTTGCTTAAGTCAAGCGTGACATTGATCAGTTGTAGTGCATCTTGGTATGTTCAAGTGCAGGGTATGGAGAAAATCGCGGAGTTTCGGTAGCGCCCCATGGGTGGCTGCCCGCAGCAAGACCAACTTTCTGGGCTTGTAGGGATCTAACCTCTGGGGAATCTAGATGATCTGGGGAATGGATTCACAAGGAACATATGTTTCTACTGAGGTATGTAAACCGTTGGAGCTCATCTACCTTTGATACGAGGTGAGGCTTTCCTAACTACCTACCTAGTCCCCACTGTTGTGGTAGATCAGATCTCGTATTCAGCCTTGCTATACTTCAAATTCAACGTTCAAGATTATTGAGGAATTATGGACAAAAGACTCTTTTGCTTCATCTGAACCTTCGGCCGGACTAATTCTTCAGGAGAGACATCTGGGAAGAGGGGAGGGGCTACACCATTCCCTAGGCGCCTAGCTTCGTCAAACCCAGTTCTCCACGATTTGTATGTGGCCATATTTGGTTGGATTCCGAGCCTTCGGGCGTCAGTCAATGGACTTCGTACGTACAATTGTACATAGTATCGAGAGATCAAGAGTGGTTTGTCGGTGTCCAGAAGTATGTCCTGCGACAGGGGGCTACGTACGCTACGTTCCCCTGTGCCATGTGGGATTGTCTTGGGTGAATTCGGGGACCAATCCCGCCAGCCCGCTAGTCTTCGTCAGGTTAGATAAATGGCATTGATTGGCCGTGTGACCACTCACAGACGCCTTGAGCCTCTCCCCGCCGAAGTTTAACCGTCCTCTTCGGGAGAACCCCGGCAAAGTATGTTTTGGAACCTCATCCGTGCTCTTACTCTGGTCCTTGCTATCCCCAGAGTTTGACAGTTCTTCAAGGTATGTAGTCATCAATAACACAGTCACTCGAGAACTAGAAAGATTCCCATCCTCTTGATCGGATCTGATAGTGCCGTTTGGACGGAATCTAGCCCTCGACTTCTCCAACTTGTCGCACTAGGCCCAGGTCTTCCAATATTCTCATCTTGCGCCCCTTGTTTTTTTTCTGAATGCATTACGCCTTGGTTTGCCGTGCTATTACGCCGATACATTTTCTGCGGTTCCTCTCGATCATGCGGTGGCCATAATTCAAGCAAACATGAGTCGTGCCTCTTGTGGAAGCGTAGAGGTCATCTCACCCGTTCGTACACGCACATATGCCAGGTTTCTTCCCCACACATAGAAACCCGTATTGGACTATCCCGTAATCGTCTCATACTCCACACTTCTTCTACATTTCGCCCCGCTATGGGAAATCCTCGGGTCATTCGTGAGATAGCTTGGGTAAACTTCGGTCTCGTATGCTCTTCCTTCAAGAAAAGTGTCATGTTTTCTGAAAGTAATTCCTGATTACGGACGAAAGCTGTGAAAATGAGGTCTATAGAGGATCCGCTCAGTCGCAATGGCGCTAATGAGCTCGAGAATAAATCACTTCTATCCCCCACTGAGCCCTTACCTTCATCGTCAAGTCTTCACATACTTCTAACAATCAACAAAGCTATGGGTTCTGCTCCAGTTGGTTCACCCGACCTCGAGGGTCTCATCAAACAGATGACCCTCGAGGAGAAAGCTCTTTTGACTGCCGGAGCCAATTTCTGGGAGACCAATGCCATCGAGAGACTGGGTATACCACGAATGAAGGTGTCTGACGGCCCGAATGGTGCCCGTGGAGAGAACTTCGAGAACGGTGTGACCAGTGCATGCTTTCCTGCATCAGTATCCCTCGCTGCATCCTTCAACGAGGACCTTGCAGGTCACATTGGCAAGGCACTTGGTCAAGAAACTAAGACAAAGGGCGCCAGAGTGCTGTAAGTGACTAAACTTTGAACTGAATGACAAAGCATTGTATCACTGACAATATACATAAAGTCTTGGCCCAACTGTCTGCCCACACCGTCACCCTACTGGTGGCCGAAACTTTGAGTCTTTCTCAGAAGATCCGCTTCTTGCTGGACGTCTCGCATCAAAGTACATCGAAGGCCTGCAAAGCGAAGGCATCGGCGCTACGATCAAGCACTATGCAGTCAATGAGCAGGAGAGCCACCGTTTCACCATTGACGCCCACGTGAGCGAGAGAGCTTTGAGGGAGATCTATTTGAAGCCCTTCGAGATTGCTGTCAAGGTATGTTCGGAATTGCGATCAATTTATAGGCTTTTCTAATTGCCGTTTAGAACGCCAAACCGTGGTCACTTATGAGTAGCTACAATCTCGTTAATGGCACCCACGCTGATTCGAGCAAACATCTTCTTATTGATGTTCTCCGCAAGCAATGGGGATATAAGGGTCACGTCATGAGCGACTGGGGAGGAACTAACTCGGTGCACGAGTCCCTCAATGCTGGCCACGACCTTGAAATGCCTGGCCCAGCCATCCATCGCAAGTTTGAAAAAATCAAGAAGGCCATAGATGAGGGCAAGCTTACTGTCGAGACCCTTGATGAGCGTGTTCTCGCAAACCTGCGCTTGCTTGGACAGTGCGGCGTCTTTGAGGACCCCGTTATCCCACCTGAGCAAGCAATTGATCTTCCCGAACACCGCGCTTTGATTCGTAAGGCTGGTGCCGAGGGTGCAGTGCTCCTAAAGAACGAGAAGAACATTCTCCCTCTTCAAAAGGAGAAGACCCGTTCTATCGCTATGCTAGGATTGGCAAAACAATTCCTTGGCCATGGAGGTGGTTCTGCAGCAGTCAACGCGCATAGAAAGATCACAGCCTACGATGGTTTCCAAGAAGCTGTTGGCGACAAGATTGAATTGAAGTACGCCGAAGGTGCCCGCACCTGGCGAAATCTGCCACCTTTCAGTGAGGGTGTTGCCAATTCCAATGGCAAACCAGGATTTACTGTAAACTACTTCAAGAACTCCAACAAGCCCGCGTACTCCAAGGACTTCGCGGCCGGAGCTGTGAAGTCCTTCGAGGATCCCGAGGTGACACGCGTTGTGATGTCTGGAACGTACACACCACCAACCACAGGCAAACACTATATCAGCTTTTCGACTATTGGAAACACCAAGGTCTACATCAACGACGACCTGGTATTCAACTACGAAGGACAATCTGCTGATGTCATGGCTCTTCTGCTAGGCGTTGCTAAGGAGGACCAGAAACGATACGACTTTGTCCAGGGCCAACAATACCAAATCCGCGTCGATGCTAGCATCGTCGATGATGCCGATAGTCCTCTTTCTTTCCTGTCTTCTAACATCATTGGCTTCAACTTTGGTTTTATGAGACAGGAGCTCTTCGAGGCAGATCTGCTCACAGAGGCCACGGATGTTGCCAAGTCCGCCGACGTAGCCATTGTTTTCGTCGGTAATACTCCTTCTTGGGAAACCGAGGGGAGTGACCGTGATGACATGAACCTGCCCATGAACGGCTCTCAAGATAAGCTCATCGCTGCAGTCGCTGCCGCCAACCCCAACACAATCGTCGTCAACTCTACCGGATCACCGATTAGCATGCCTTGGGTGGCAGACGTCCCAGCAATCCTCCAATCGTGGTTCCCTGGCCAGGAAGCAGGCCATGCTATCGCTGATGTCGTTTTCGGTGCCGCATATCCTGGTGGAAAGCTCCCCGTCACGTTCCCCAAGAAGTTGTCCGACGCTCCCGCATCAGACAACTTCCCAGGTGATCTGAAGAAGAACTTTGTCGAGTACAAGGAGGGTATCTACATTGGATACCGTCACTACGACCAGAAGCCAGACACCGTTCTTTTCCCATTCGGCTTTGGTCTTTCGTACACCACCTTCGAGGTTTCAAACGCTTCCGTCTCTTCTGCAAGCTTCTCCAAAGACCAAACGGTCTCTGTCACCGCCGATGTCGCCAACACTGGTGCTCGTGAGGGCAGTGAGATCATCCAGGTCTACGTCGGCCCAAGCCAGTCCCAGTCCATCGACAGGCCGATCAAGGAATTGAAGGGTTACGCAAAGGCCCACCTCGCCGCGGGCTCCAAGACTTCGGTCAGTGTCACCCTAGACAAGGAGAGCTTCTCATACTTCAACGAAGCGAAGAACAAATGGTCAGTCGAAGCGGGCAAGTACACCGTTTCGGTCGGCACTTCGAGCACGCAGATTGTGTCGACACTGGAGGTTGAAGTGAAGGAATCGTTTGATTTTGATCCTTGAAAAAGAACTTAATACCTTGTTTTGTAAATAGATACATCACGAAACCAATAGATAGACGAACCAAATGATAATAATTCGAGACATTTACTGAAGTACCCCGACCGAAAAGAGAGCACGAACGAACGGTAGATACAGCACCATTTCCATCTCCGTCCCACAATTCATCGGTCAATGGTTTGACTCGTATATGAGATTTATGTACGAAATACGGCGTACATGGACATACATGGATAATGCTGCTAGGCTGCATGACATTTTCCAAGAGGCTGTGCTGTGTTTGATTGTTGGATCTCACATGCGAATCCTCCCCCGCCTCTCCCCTGCATTTGCTTCCCGAGCATGCATTAACCGACCTACGATAGCAGAGCAATGTCTGTATTCGAATCTTTCGTGGAAGGATAGTAGCAGGCTCACATTTTGTATTTGTTTGATTCTATCTTAGATTGCATCAATTAATACATTCGTCTCTAGTCTGATAGGTGGAAAGCTAAGGAACGGTAGGGGAGTCAAAGCTCCAGCCACGTGCGCCACACTGAAGCTTCACCAAACCTGTGACGTTGCCCTGAGACCTGGTCTGGTCATCTTCAAGTCATGGACAATAGGCCAGTTTGCACAAGTACAGCGTCCATACGCTTCGATTACATGGCCTCTGAGCTTATGTACTTGATTCCTTTCATCCCTTGACAACCCTCAAAGTCAGCATCCGTCACGGCTTTCCGTCCTATCTCCATCGCTCCACTTCTGCGTGCTTGCATCCACCGCATCCACCGCACCCGTCCTCCCCACCTCGTACAACTCTCTTCAACACCACCACTTTACCGCTCTCAGTCCAGAAAGTTCCAGGCTGCCGGCGTAATGTCGACACCAGAGACAAAGCCTGGCTTTCTCTCAGCTGGTATTACTGCTTTTTCGCCCTGGGGCTCTCGAAGTACCACTCCGAAACCCCCGCCCACGACACAGAATGAGGAGGAGGATAAATCCCACGCCTCGGGCATGGGGACACAGAGAGGAGGCGACCACTCAGTCAGTCGGAGGCCTAGACTTAGTCTAAGGAAATATCCAGCAGATTGCCCACCTCTGAACGTGAGGTGGTTCCATGCGGTTGATGTAGGTAGTACCGTGATATCAAGATCCTCCGATTGCGTGGATACTGACCAGAGAGTAGATACCCAAACGCAAACCGCTCGCTGCCACAATCGCTCCTCCGGACCAGCCCGTTCCAAAACCTAAGAAATTCATACCCTTCTCCGAAAGCGATTCGCGATCTATCGAGGCCGCCTTTCAGAACCAATACGACGAAGAAGATGCTAAAGAAGCAAGGAAAGAAGCTAGCGCGCAGAGCCCGTCGACTCCAGCAAATGCGGAGTCCGAGAGTCTTCCTACAACCAAGGTTCCTGTCAACGAGGATTTTCTGTTCGATGTAGAGATTGAGACGCGAGAACTAGTGCCTGCGTACTGGCTAGGGCCTGTGTACGAAGTAAAAAGAGGATCGTGGTTCACGCAAGACGGGGCACCCGTGGACGAGAACCTTGCAACGCAATTGGAAGAAGGGTATCTGAAGATCAAGCCGTGGCGACTAGTAAACACGACGGAAAAGCGGTCTGCCTCGCAAACCCGAGCCCGTCCTGTGTCTCTCAATGTCAAACCTGGCGACGATTATCGAAAGCTTTTGGGGGAGAGAAATTCGACTTCAAACCCGGTCACTCCAAAATCATCATTCGATAGTCTGAAGGGTGAGGCGGCAAAGCAAGCCTCTGGCGATAAACAAGCTGGCGAATCGTCGCCTGACCACTCGTCCTTCGATGATGTCAACAGGACGCATCGTCTCTTTGGATCTCACATGAATTCTATCGTAACGTACCAGGACGACAGTACGGCTTGGCTGCTGACTGATGACTTACTCTCTCGCATGGGTAGTACTCTTTATCAACGATTTGCTGGAGGTGCACATTATGCTGGCTACAAGTACATCCGAGGTTACGTTGATCCAGCAAAGAAGAAGGAGGCAAAGCCCGCCAAAGAGGAGAAAGAGAAGCCAGCTCAGCAGTCAAGCGATTCTCCCTTAGCCTACGGCGAGGCAGCAAAGAGCGCATCGGAAGGTGGCTCTGATACGGAGGGTGAGACCGAGGCTCCTGAATCTCCTGCCGAGACTCGGAGGAAGACGCTTGAGAGGCAAGTGTCTTCACTCATAACCTCCTCGAAAGAGGACGCGGCTCAGCAGGAGGAAGAGATTAGGAAACGCGAGGAGAAAGAAATGCGCGAAGACTACAAAGACCAGAACAAGGGAGAACAAGAACGAGAGATCGAGCATCTAGTTCTTGTCACCCATGGCATTGGACAGCGGCTTGGTATACGCATGGAGAGCATTAACTTTATCCACGATGTGAACACTTTGCGCAAAACGCTCAAGGCCGTTTATGCCAACTCATCTGACTTGCAAGCTTTGAACTCTGAGGTCGAAAGCGAGTCGAAGAACAGTCGAGTGCAGGTTTTGCCCATCTGCTGGCGTCATCTATTGGACTTTCCCCAACAGAGCCTGAAGCATAATCGCAAGGAGCATGATCTCGGCGATATTGATTTCGAAGATAACGAATACCCGAATCTAGAAGACATCACCGTTGAAGGAGTCCCAGCGGTCCGTAACCTGCTCACTGACCTCGCTTTGGATATTCTATTGTACCAAAGTCCCGCATATAAAGGCCATCTGTCGAGAATTGTCTTGGAGGAATGCAATAGGATATTCAAACTTTTCAAAGAGCGAAACCCTACCTTCAATGGCAAGGTCAGCTTGGTGGGGCATTCGTTAGGCTCTGCTATCATGTTCGACATTCTTTGTCAACAGAGAGTGGGAATGTCGGGCAAACGTCGCAGTTCAGATGCTCCCTTGCAGTTCGATTTTGAGGTCGAGGATTTCTACGCTTTAGGTTCTCCCACTGGATTATTCCAAATGTTGAAAGGGCGCACCATTGCTGCACGGCCAAGTTCTGCAACCTTTGTGGCGCCAGAGACACCAAAGAGTCCCTTGGACGACCCATTTGCTTCATCTTCACAGGCTCAGTCGGAACGTGCTTTTGAAATCACTACATCATCTCCGCTCTGCAAACAAATCTTCAACATCTTTCATCCGACAGATCCTATCGGCTACAGGCTAGAGCCTTTGATTTCGCCAGCTATGTCTTCCTTGAAAGCGCAGCCTTTGCCATACACGAAGAGGGGAATATTTGGTGCTCCGGCTGCACAAGGTTTCACTGGCCTGAGTAACAAAATCGGCCAAGGTGTCACCGATTTCTGGACGTCCGTCAGCTCGGGAATTGCAAGCGGCTTACTGAACCGTAGCTTGGGTATCACAGGCACCGATGCAAGCAAGATGAGTTCAGATCTAACTCATGGTCAACGAAGCTCGCGTCCTCTGTCAATTGGCCCGGGTTCTACGCCTGCAGTCGACGAACCTGCGAAGGCTTTCATCAATGAGGAAAGGAGAAGGCGACTCGGCGAGGAGTCGATTGCGCCAGGTGTAGATGGCGAACATCCTCCAACGCTGATCGATTCAGAGATCGAAACGCTGTACGCCGGCTTCCAGAAGCGGCGGAAGAGCCAACAAGAAGACGACGGACGAGATGCAGAGAAGGATCTTGAATGGCAGGAGCTAGAAGAACGGAGCCGAAAGCTTAGGAAGGAAGAGGCTAAGGTTCGAGCACTAAATGCCAATGGAAGGGTGGATTACAGCATTCAAGAAGGAGTAAGTCGATCTACATTTAAGACTACGTATGAATCTGATACTAATGACCGGCAGGCTTTTGACATCTCACTTCTGGCTAGTCTTGCAAGTCATCTCTCATACTGGGCGGACGAGGATGTGTCTCATTTCATGATATCTCAACTTTTGGCACGCCACAGGGTTTTCAAGGGAACTCGCAACAAGGACACTGTCTCAAAGTCCTAGATCAAGATATACAGTAAGAGCATAAGGAACGCTCGCATCTCGCATCTTGTGATGTTGGGGGGCAGCTAATGATTAGACGAATGATAATGAAATACCAACAAGAACTCCGATGCCCATTTCCTGAATCTGATATTTTGCGGCCTCATCTCGCTATCATGAAACGATTGGTTCGCTCACCGGTTGTGCGGCATATTGGCTGACGCAATCCAACAGTCCTGTAATGATATTGAAGGACAAGCACTTCCACAAAAGCTTATCCAGTTGTTCAGTAACCAATTGAGGGATTTCCCCAGGCTGATACAGTGAATGCTGGATGGATACACGTTGCAGCCACCATCCCAATACGTCGAGCTCATCCGGTGTGCTGGTATGCGAGTTCCCCTCTTTGCTCGATCTTGGCCCCTTGCGTCTGCAGTCTGGAATCGCCATTCACCCCAACAGCAGCCATCGGTGTCCTTGGAATTATTGTGGTTAATGCATCCAGCGATCATACATGTCAGCGTTGCAGCAGAATGTAAGCACGGCACATTGGGTCGACGCACAAACCAAGGGTCGAGGGTGGGAAGCGAAGATTGAGGAGACAGTTGCTCATGAACCACATGCACGAAATCATGGAAATTCAATTAACTGTATTGGCACAGTACATTACTTGTATTGATGATTGAGTCTCGATGACGTTTGCTTTGCATCTTACTACAGCTGTTCTATTCAGTGGGTGAGAGTTGTATATCTCAAACGTGACTTGTGCAATGATCAGCAGAAACAAGCATTTTTGGCCCCCAGCTGAAGCTATCCCAGATCACGAAGGTATGAGGGAGGGTGCGGCGCAGCAGCCTCAACACCCAGGCACGACATGCACCACTGAAGCGCCGGGGAAGGATTGGGTAAATGGCCATTGGTCTATTGGATGCCGACTCCCAGTCTAATATCGCCTGGGCGGTGCACGAGGCTGCTTCAATTGCGGCGAGGACGCGATTTGTGTGCCTGGATGGCGACCTTCCTGCAGCGTTTCCGTGCGAAAAGGGTCGGGTCCCTCTTTGACGCGACCAGGAGCCTTGCAACAAGCCCTCAAAATCAACTGGTCTCCCGCCCAGACTTTCGTGTCTCCTTCTTGCTTGGACTTTCGACCTCCCTGCTCTCCTCAACCTCTGTGACTACAGCTACGATTCTCGTGTTGCCGTTGTAGAACGAATCTTTCCTAAGAGTCTGGAAACGATGTCCTTCGGCTTCACGAGCGCTCAACCTGTCTCGATACCGGTCATAACCCGCGATGACCTCGATGAATCCACTCCATTCTTTTCGGCCACACCGGCCAGGACATTGATCGCTTCCTTCATTTCGAGATCCACATCAGAGGTTGTAATAGCAACACCACAAGCCTCGACATCGTTGATTGAAAGTGCCACACCAGCATCAATCCCGACATCACTTACGTTCGCTACATCCATATCATCATCACAGTCACTACCACCATCATCGACACCATCACTATCCGAAAATGAAGAGACCAACCTCCCCGGCATGAAACGTGGAATAGCCATAGGCGTCGGCGTCTGCGTAACCATCATGATCATCGCACTCGTTACCTACCTCGCCTTCAGACGGCGCCGACGCCTACGGGAGGCAGCAGCAGCCGGCAACATCCCCGACGCAGAGAAGTACGCAGAGCAGCCAGGAACACCACTACCCCCGCCCTCCATCAATGGCGACATGTCCATGGCACCACAGGATCCCGCGAAAACCTACTCGTACCAACACCACAGCGTGTTCCTGGAATCAGATTCAAGCGCCCTTCACGAGATGGACACGGGGAGCGGGGCGAGAGAATTGCAAGCTGGAGAGGGACTTGTGGAGTTGAAGGGCGATGAGAGGATGGTTTACGAGCTGGACGGCAACGAACTTGAACGGAAGACAGACGATGAGCGGACTGAAGAGCAGAAGACGAAGGATCGCTTTCTACGCGTCCAAGGCGGAGCTTGACGGAGCTACACTCGATTTACGATTCTAATCACGGCTTTCGACATCCACTGAGACACGCTTGCAATGGCTTCCAAAATTCGGACGCAATCTCTCGATGGGAAATCCAACTGAGTTCGCGTTATTGCCACAACGCACCACCAGAAGTCCATCGAGAGACACGTTCGCAAACGCATCTATCTAGATGCACGCACAACTTGCATAAAATCCGTTCAACAGCACCGTCAGCAAACGCCCCAAAGAACGCCCGGGTACCGGCAGGCATCACAAAACCCCAAACCCACTCCGCTCCCTCATCAAGAGTAAGGACGCAAAAAAGGGCGGCTTCCCAACTCATCATATTATCCCGCGTTTGGGCTTCAAACACCTCTGGTAACAGGCCGCCCGCCACCCGGGTTCAATCCCATCACCAGCTACATACCTGTATGGCACAGTAGCTAGCTAAGCTAGCTGTGCCGCAATCCTACATCGCTGGTGGGGGAGGGGTGGGTTTCTGACAACGCATGAGACAACAAGCGCGTAGCGAGCGGCTAATGCTGACGATCAACTCGCTCGCTCGCAGGAAGTACGCAGAGAAAGAATAAATAGTTTTTTTGACTATTGGCTAGGACGACGGATGAAGATCAGTGTTTAACGTGGCGATCGATCGTGTCGACGCGCGCGTAGATGATGTGTTTGAAGATCAAGTCGGTTGATCGTCATCGTATCGTTGTCACGACTCGACTCGACTCGACTTCGACTCGCGATGGTGGCGCAGAGGCAAGAGATGTTGTTGTTGTACTATTATTACGAAAAATTTTTCGTTCACTAAAGACTGGTATCTCAAAAAGCGATGGGAATTCTTTTGTTTACACGGCGAAGGGATAGGGAAACAAACACCATATGGGAGGGGAATTGACTGTAAGAGGTACATGGACGTCTACTCGTCTTCGATTCCTTTTCTTGTAGTATATAGTTTAGTTAATAGAGTGGCCAGCGAGGTTGGACATGTAGTTAATAGTTATATGGTATAGCCAATAAATATGTATACATACTACTACGAGCATCTTCTGAGTGCTACTATTGTCGTTGGAGTCGTGGTTCGCGCCCGTCTTTTCGTCTCAGGTCGTGCTGTTTGATAAACCTTCGCCTTCTGGTTCATGCCAATGTAGATGGGGGACATGCTCTTCTGGACTCGAAACCGCGTGCGGCACAGCTATCAAGGCATTGTCAGTCCCCCAAGAACCTAGTTCGATCATCGGGAGTAGGAAATAGATTATAGTGATGTTAGGAGTTGCATTGACCGACGGATGTTTGGAAACAGCTCTTGCATTTGGTTGGCAACAGCAGTACTCCTTACAGCATACTTTATTTCGGACTTCGCTCTTTTCACCAGAATCTATCCTCACTAGATAGTATATCCGGCACTTCAACGGTATTAGTGCACATTCACCATCTACTTACCTATGGGCTCCATATGACGTCTGCGCGACGCGTCGGACGGAATCGCTTAGCGCCAGAGATTTCCGAGACCCCTCCCTCGTTAACAAAAAAAAGTTAACTCCACTGTAACGAACTACACTACACCACAACACTCTACAACAATGTCCACCTGTGTATCTTGCAACCAACCCTTGGTCCTGGAGCTCGAGGAGGAGGAAGATGACTACTCCATGGAAGCCTCATCCTCCGGCAAGGCTCCCGCCGCAGCACCAGAAACCGTTCCGGACGACCTACACCTGAACTGCGGATGCCACTTCCACTGGTACGTCTACGCCAACAATGCAATTCAAATGTTATATAGTCTCTAATATGATTCCGAACAGGGACTGCCTCCTCCAAGCCTACCAAATAACCCAATGCCCCAATTGCAACAAAGACATCACCAGCACCTCCTCCACCGGCCAACAGCAAGTCCTCTGCAACCTGCACAACGAAGGCGGCCTCCAAGAGAACCTCGACATCCTGCCCCTCCTCACCGAGGAATCGTACCTCCGTGCGTACCCCGAAGACCGCAAGTGTCGCGCGTTTCTCGAGTTCTGCCGCGAGGGCGACTTCAAAGCCGTGATCGAGATGCTGCGGGACGATGACGACGAGGACGAGGATGAGGAGATGGATACTGGCGAAGAGGGCGCCGCACCGCAGAGGAAAATCGGCGCGGACGAGTTGCTGAGGTACCAGGATCCGATTGGGGATATGCAGTCTGGACTTCACGCCGCGGTGCAGGCGGGAAGCCGGGAGGTCGCGTGGCTGCTGTTGTTGCTGGCGAGTAAACTTGACTTGTTGGAGTTCCCGCCCGAGGTATTCCAGGAGGCGGAGGCACTGGGCGTCATGAGGGATGAGTCGGAGGGGAAGACGGATATCAGGTCGTTGAAGGATAGCAATGGGAAGTCCGCGGAAGACCTCGCGAGGGAGGTTGGCGGCGTGTGGTCGGACTGGATCGGGAAGAACCGGCTTACGATGTGAAGAAATTATGGTTGGAGAGGTTTGCGAGGAAGATACCCTGGATATGATGACTTGATGAAAGAACAGTTGACGTTCAAAACAAAAGTTTAGTGTTTGATATAGTGACGGCGCGACAGCCACGCTTCCAAAAGCTCCCAAAAATCAGAGATATGCAATAGACATTGGCAATTGGAGCCATCCACAAACTATAAACCAAACCTCAACCCCTCGTCCCAACACCCTTAAGCCTCCCCTCAGCACTCGAATGCGAAAGCAACTGCAACCCCTCCAACCCACCATTCACAATCCCCTCCACGAGCCCCGGCCCAGCATCCCTCCCCTCCCAATCATCCCCAAGATCGAAATTCCTATCCCCGGCCACCTCCCTCCTCACCGGGATCGCAACCGCCCTCCCATAAATCGCCTCATCACACGCCACCCTCAGAATCCCACCCACCACATCATCCACCTCGCCTACGCCCTGTCCCTTCGCCTTTAGACCGGGCACGATGCGCTCGATCAGCGGGGAGTTGATGAACGTGGGCGCGATGAGGTTGGTCCTGAATGGCGTGTGCTCGGACACGATGTCATGCGAATGCCGGACTGATTTCCAGAGGCCCCGGACGCCGAACTTGGAGGCTTGGTAGTCGAGTGCGTCGCGCGCGGGGAGGTAGCCCGCGAGGCTGCTGATGAAGATGATTTGTTTGCTCTGCGGGGTTGCGTCTCCTTCTGGTGCGGCTTCGGGTGTCGTTTTCTTGAAGTAGTGGAGGGCGAGGTGCGCGGAGTAGAAACTGCCGGTGAGGTTCACGTCGAGGGTTGCTGTGCTTGGGGGTTCCGGGTCGTCGTTGTCGGCGTTGGAAGCGAGCCATTTGGTGGAGGTTGTGGATGTGGATATGCCGGCGCTGGTGACGACGATGTCGAGGGTTTTGTGGGGGGAGAAGGAGATGGCGGATTTGAAGCCGGTGGTCTGGGAGGAAAAGGAGGCTATGTCGACTTTGGTGAATTGGACACTGGAGGATGTAGTAGTTAGATAGATGAATGTCTTCGAGTTGTCGTTGAAACGTACTGTAGGCCCTTCGCTGTGAGTTTCTCTACGAGTGCGTTTCCAAGCTCCTCGTTTCGATCAAGGATCGTGACATATGCCCTACGATGGCGTCAGTCCCATTCAGTGATCACTTGTATGTTAAGTATATCTTCCTACCCAGCTTCAGCGAATGCAGTCACGACACCAGCGCCAATACCACTTGCTCCCCCAGTCACGATGGTAGACTTTTCTTTGAGATTGCTTGTGTCGATCGGCTTGGAGAAGTCGATCTTGTTCGTGCTGTAGAATGTTTCGGGGAGCTTGGAAGTTTCCGCCATTGTTTTATGTGTAACTGTTCAAGAGGCAAGGTAGCTACCTAGTTAGGGAGAAGTATAATTTATGCCTATGAGGGGGATTGAGAGCGATATGCAAACGCGGTGGTTCCAAAGTGATATTTATACAGTAAAGACCATTGTCTGCTTATGCTATAGTTTCGTATAGTTGGATCCTTCGTCAAGCTACGAGGTACTTGACGAGCTGAATGCTCTGATTGTTCAACCCCGCAGAGGCGAAGTCAGCACTAAAGTGACGAATCCGACCACACGTTCTCAACCTCACGCCAGGGGGAAAGTCTGCAAAACATTGTTATCAGTCTGATTAAGGAATCAGATCCTTTCTTGCTCTAGATTAGGACGGTGTCTCCACAATTGCATGTCTCGTATAGTTTATTTCCTATCTTGGCTTTATACACGCGATTGGAGCTATCTAGAGCTTTCTGTAGCTTCCAATTGTTGTCCACCTGTAGTGTCACAGTGATGTTGAGCTTTTTCTCATCTACAATGGGGCCGAATTAGGTTACAAGTCGCGAAGTCGCAATGAGACGACCTAATAACTTCCCAAATTGGGTTTTGAGTTGCCTTACGATTATAATGCCGGACATTTGATGGACACCGTCAGTCTCATTCGCCAGCCTACAAACAATTTTAGCTCTAATGGCAATCATTCTAATAATTCAGATTATCTCTATCCTATACAGTCCCCGGTTTAGCAACGAAACCAATCTACAACGCTCTCGCAAATCCCATCTTCCAGCACTCATTTCATCACGTGACCGCGGTCCTAGCGCGTTTCCCTCCTATGACCTCAGCGCGTTTTCCCACCCTCAATTCGCACCCATCTCTCCCACTCACAGTTCCACCTTCTAGAAAAGAAAAATGAGCGGGCGTTTCAAGTCTCGCGGCGGCCGCGGCGGCACTCGTGGCGGCGGCTTCAAAAGCGCGCGAACGTTCAGCAAGAAGCGCGCCTCGCCGGAAGACAGCGACAACGAGGACGCAGTGCCGGCATCGAAAAAGAGTAAGGGAGATGAGGAGTCTGAGCCCTTGGTCCCCACGCTGCAGAAGGATGGGAATGGTGATAGTTACGTCGCTGTAAGACTGAATTCTAATTCCTTAACTAAGAGTCTGAGGTTGAGAAAAACTGACGGCGAATGTAGTTGAAAAGCAACGAAATGCGACGAGTCACGGTCAGCAATTTCAAAGGTAGCACGTTGGTGCAGATCAGAGATTACTTCAAGGGTGATGGGGATCAGGTTTTGCCCGGGAAAAAGGTATGTTCCATCTGCATGTCTCTTTTAGGTATTCCGTGGAGAATATCACTAATGACATTTGACAGGGCATCGCTCTTACGCTAGATCAATACAACGTTCTCGTGCAAGCTCTCCCGCTTATTGAGTCCGTACTGAAAGATATGGGGCAAGAGACCGTGAGGCCGGATTTCGATGGTAGTGTTGAACCGGCGACCAATGAGGCTGGAAAAGAAGAGGTCACGGAGCAAGAGGAAGAGGAAGAAAAGTGATTTGCTTCTCCATTCCAACTTTCTGGTCGTTTCTAAGCTGCTAAGCTTTGTATAATAGAATAACACAGGTTAGGGAATCATTATGAGCGTGGAGGGGAGTGAGTCGCCATATCACGACCTCATGATGCATCGAATGCGCTAGTCTCAAAACGGACAATCCAGTGCTTGTATGCATTCCAGATACCCCACAAGAAGCCTCCACACAAAGAGTTGTCCAGTAATAGACAATACCTCAAGCAAACAAGACATTTCAAGTGCTCATCTAATCGCCAAGCTCTGTAGCAATTGCAAGACATCACTGTTAATCCATAGCGGCCATCCTCGCTGATCCAAGACATCGGCTCCCCGCGCCACGACCGGAACGTCGTTCGGAACTGCACAACACCACACCTCACTCCATGCTTCAATGATCCCAATTCGTGGGAATAGAGTCCCGGCATGATGAAACAAAAGATATAAAGAATGCATCGCGGAGGAGCCCCTCCGTCCGAAAACGTCACCTCCCATCTCTACCACCTCTTATATCTCTAACCCGGACCACTAGCATTCAAGTACACCTTCAAGACCCAAATCTTTTACGACACAAATCAAAATATCTACATATTCCATAACCAAACTACCGACCACCAAGCATCTCATCCACAATGGCCGCCCCAGGAGGCCAATACTTCATCTCCTCCAAACTCTCGACCCCGGCACCACACCACGCCTCCTTCGCGGACCTCTGGACCACCAAATGGCGCCAACCCGCCGAAATGGGCATCTACCCCTTCATGTTCTCCAGCGCCGCCGACTTCGAACCCATCGTCGCGTCCCTCGCAGCCTCCGGCATGCGCGAACCCTACGACTGGGACGCGTACGCTGCGGCCTTCGTCTCGCAGGCCGAGAAGCTCGCGGTGGTGGCGGAGGAGGCGGAGAGGAAGGGCGAGGTCGAGAAGGCGAGTGAGTATTATTTGAGGGCGAGTGCGGTGTGGAGGATTAGTCGGTTTCCGGCGCCGAGGAGCGGGTTGCAGAGGAGGGCGTGGGAGGAGGGGAAGAAGGTGTGTATTAAGGGGTTGGGGTAAGTGAACTATCTATCATCGTAGGGGAAAGGGTGAGACTGATGAAGGGGGACAGTTTGAAGCCGCATCCGGTGAGGGAGGTGTTGGTGCCGCATACGCATCGCTTGGACACGGAGCGTGAAGTGATTCCTGTGTACTACCTCCTTCCCGAGGGAGCGAGTAAGGAGGCGCCAGTGCCGACGGTTATCATTTTTACCGGGCTCGACGGGTATCGGACTGAGCTTGCGGTGTGGATGGAGGGGTGGCGACAGCAAGGTGTCGCGACGATCGTGCTCGAGATTCCAGGGACGGGAGATTGTCCCGCGAAGCCGGACGACGTGAAGTCGCCGGATCGGTTGTACTCGAGTTTGTTCGACTGGGTTGGACAGCAGGAGGGGATCGATCAGAAGAAGGTTGCGGTGTGGGCATTTAGTACGGGGGGTTATTATGCGATTCGCGTGGCGCATACGCATGCGGATAAGTTGGCGGGTGTGGTTGCGTTGGGCGGTGGGTGTCATCATATGTTTGATCCGGAGTGGTTGAGTGAGGTTAACCATCTTGAGTACCCCTTTGAGTGAGTTCCTGTTTTCCAAGAAGTGGCTGCGGAGAGGTGCTAACAGATGTGGCAGTCTCGCAAATACACTGGCGCACAAATGGGGGTACGGCAACGACATCGAGCGCTTCAAGAAAGAAGCTTCGTCCAAATTCTCCCTTCTCAATGACGGAACTCTGGACAAACCGAAATGTGCGAGGCTCCTGCTCATCAATGGAACGGAAGATGAGATCTTCCCAATTGACGACTACTACCTGGCGTTGCAGCATGGTGCAGTGAAAGAAGCGAGATTCGTACCTGGAGTGAAGCATATGGGCGAGCCGATGAGCTTTTTCATCATCCTCAATTGGCTGTACAACTTGTTCGGTATCGAGGCCGATGCTGTGAAGCAGATGCAGACTCTGCCATTCAAGCCTAAGTTTTGATTTGGGCGAAGTTTAGAAGAATTTTAGGAGACTGTTTAGAGAAGATTCAGCTACGTTCTGTTGAGTTAGGAGTTGCTCAATTCATGATAATCCAACAAGATGATTACAAACCTGTCGGGCACGAGAAACCTATCCACGTACCTGGCGTCCGGACCACAAGATGAAAATTCATGTTCGATATCGTACGGTGTTCACATTGTAAAGCACGACAATATTCTGCTAACATCAATTAGCTCAATTCATCAAACACAGTACGAATGGCAAAATCTCAAAGGAAATAGAGAGGAGAGAGATCTGATATTCATAATCAAAGAAGATGCTCGTCTGTAAAACCTATTTCCTGAACTCCGAAAACACCCTCGATTCCGGCAAGTTAACCCTCCTAATGAATATGCTTCGAACTGAAGTGGAAGTTCCATTCACTGGCGCTCCAAGCCTGAGCCAGTGTGTAACAAGGTAAGTATGTCGTTCCTGGGACGTTTCAATGCGAACCTCCTGATTGTATGGTTCCTGGTAATAAAGTCATGTCCGATAAAAAGGGTATTGGTGAAAATATAAAGGCCTGCGATTATGAATGGGTATGTATGCTGGGTATAATGTGATTCGTGAAAGTGTTCAAACTTAAAGAAATTCGTCAGTCATCAGTCGTTGATGTCGCGTACTGGGGATTTTCGCGATGGACAGTCTGCCGAAAGCGCACGCCGGTGCCATCCGAATCACTCCTCGACCAGTGCCTCTGTCACATTGGGAAGCAAGTTGATTGCACGGCCCCAGACCTCATCGAACTCGCGGGTGCCTTTCTGGAGGGACTCGCCGCGGATGAGGACGCGTTGGCAGTGAGCACCGACGTACTCGAGGAGCTTGCAGATGTCTTCCTGCTGTCGAATCCAAATTTTCTTGTCGATGATGAGGTTCCGAAAGATCGTCACGTTGGCGATCGACTTGTTGCCGCTCCTCCAGTTGGTGATGAGGTTGAAGACACCGAAGGACGTCAGGGGGATGTAGCTGTGGCCACGGAACACCTGCTGGAAGCTCCTTAGCGCCTGATCGAGCTCTGAGATGTTAGCGAGGTCAACGCTTTGGGAGAGTAAGGCCACACGTGGAGGGAGCCCGGCGGTATCTGCTCGGAGACCACTGTCGGCGTGTAGTGGCCCAAACGGCTGGGGGTCCTGGTTCGCGACCAGCGGTGCGTAGTCCTCCAGGCCTGTTGGAGAGAGGCTCTTCGGGGGAGCAGGGGATGGGGGCTTGGAGGTCTCCTCGGTGCCCTGTTGCCCGAAGCAGTTCTTCTGGTCCTTCTCAGCTGCAGCCTCCAACAATTCGGAGAGGAGGCTGCGCCCGGAGGCAGCCCGTGCCCGCGGGCGAGTCTCTTGTTGGGAGGAGTTTGGGGAAGACATAGTTGAATGGTATTGGGGAAGTGGATGGATGGAAGATTGACTGGTTTTTGTTATTCGTCTTGGAAAGCTTCAAAGGAAGGGTATGTAGGAAAGGATATAAGGGAGGGAGAAAGGAAAGCGGAAAAGAAAAGTTCAAATATATAAGAGGAAGATTATTGTAGCCTGAAAAGTTGCGATTGTGCCCTGAGCGCGACTCAGTTGGCCATTCAATTTTCTAATGTGAAGTCGATCATATTGTCAGTGTGAATACGCCTTCACTTGGATGCTTATTGTACGGTCGAAGGACAAACGAAGAGGTTATTGTTCATGCTACGGATATTTTATTGTGCGTTGGTCATATCGGGGTACTAAAGCACTTATTATATCCTGTGTCTACAAGAAGGATTGAGATGAGATCAATCGTTTGTATTGACCAACGTTGACTTATCATCGAGGTTGAGGATGAGGTTGAAGGGAGGGACAATAGGCAGTTGATATTGGTTGAAAGTAGACTAAACTGAAAGCAGCGGAAAACACGTGCATTGAACAGGCAGGTGCAAGGGTGGTTTACGGGCCAATCAGATCCATGGATCTCTTTGCTGTGTGATGGCATGGCATGCAGTTCCACGTTGTCAGTCTGTCAGTCAATCAATCGGCCGGGATCATACTCTGATTGCCGCGTGGGATGATGCGGTGGAAGGATTCAACTCCGTACATGATTTTTTTTCTACATGTTCGTTGTAACATTGCCGCCTCAAGTTAGTTTTGTTTTCTTCCAACAACCAGTAGGTAGTCCATAATGACGTACGTCCATCGTATGTACAGTATTAGTTAGGCTTACTCCTTACGATACTTAGTGATCAGCGTAGCCGGCCATCGTATTCAACTAGAACCTCTCCCCCACCTCTTGGCGGCCTTCCAGTGTCATTACTATCCGCTTCGTAAGCTTCAACCCCAATCCTATTTGTATATTCCTTTGCCCAAAAGCAACTCCTGGCCGGCTCATTAGCTTTCTTTTCCTACCAATTGCTGACTGTCCACTTGCGCGTGATTTCTTTCCTGCCAGAAACCCTAGGGCCTGTTCGTAGACTGTAGTTAATCGGTTTAGCGGTTGGCTAACAGCTGCGTGAAGATTTAAATAATCAGGGTCCCCGATCTCCCCTCACACCTTAGTTAATCGTTCATCCTCCAGCTCAACCATCGAAACACGAGCTGTGACCATCGCAACAACACCCTAATACACATCCCCATCCCCATCCGAACGATATCCCCAGAGAGCAATCATGGTCGGTCTCGGTGCAAAGAAGCCGCCGTCGCGAAAGGGTACGCCGCCTTTCCTTTCCCGCTCTTCCCATCCGCCTCTACCCCTCATACTATAGATTCCACGGCATCACGCATTGCAATGGAACGGAAAGGATAACACATGAAATAGGTTCCATGGCCGATGTGCCACAGGACCTTCTCGCCCAGATCAGCAGGCTCGAGGAGCTCTTCGTCGTCCCCACCGAGAAGCTCAAGGCCATCTCCGACCACTTCGTCAATGAGCTCTCCAAAGGTCTGACCACCGAGGGTGGCTCAATTGTGAGTCTCCAACGATGCCTCCATCACTCTTTCAAATTCCTAATTGCTCCAGCCTATGAACGCAACCTGGTGCATGGGAATGCCCGATGGTAACGAGACCGGTACCTTCCTCGCCCTCGACATGGGCGGCACCAACCTCCGTGTTTGCGAGATCACCCTCCTCGAGGCCAAGGGCGAGTTCGACATCATCCAATCGAAATACAAGATGCCGGAGGAGCTCAAGACCGGAACCGCCGACGAGCTCTGGGGCTACGTCGCCGACTGCCTGCAGCAATTCATCGAGTACCACCACCCCGACGAGAAGATCGAGTCGCTGCCGCTCGGTTTCACCTTCTCCTACCCCGCGACCCAAGAATACATCGATCACGGCATCTTGCAGCGATGGACAAAGGGATTCGACATTGACGGCGTGGAGGGCAAGGACGTCGTTCCTCCCTTCGAGGCCGCCCTCGCCGAGCGAGGCGTGCCCATCAAGTTGACCGCCCTGGTCAACGACACCACCGGAACCATGATTGCCTCCGCATACACCGACCCCGAGATGAAGGCTGGCTGCATCTTCGGCACCGGCTGCAACGCCGCCTACATGGAGAACGTCGGCTCCATCCCCAAGCTCGCACACATGAACCTCGATCCCGATCTCCCCATGGCCATCAACTGCGAATGGGGCGCCTTCGACAACGAGCACAAGATCCTCCCCCGCACACCCTACGACATCATCATCGACAAGGAGTCGCCCCGGCCCGACCAGCAGGCCTTTGAGAAGATGATCGCGGGTCTCTACCTCGGCGAGATCTTCCGTCTCGTCGTGCTCGACCTCCACAAGACCGACTGCAAGATGTTTGACGGCCAGGACATCAGCAAGCTCAACAAGCCATACTCGCTCGACGCCAGCTTCCTGTCCGCAATCGAGGAGGACCCCTTCGAGAACCTGAGCGAGACGGCCGACCTGTTCCAGAACAAGCTCAGCATCACGCCGAACAGGGCGGAGCTCGAGCTCGTCCGCCGCCTCGCCGAGCTGATCGGCACCCGCGCCGCCCGCCTCTCCGCCTGCGGTGTCGCTGCCATCGCGAAGAAGAAGGGCTGGACCAAGTGCCACGTCGGCGCCGACGGCTCCGTCTTCAACAAGTACCCTCACTTCAAGGTCCGTGGCGCCCAGGCCCTCAAGGAGATCCTCGACTGGCCTGCCGACAAGGGCAAGGGCAAGGGAGACCCGATTGAGGTTCTGCCCGCTGAGGACGGTTCCGGTGTCGGTGCTGCGCTCATCGCTGCGTTGACGATGAAGCGCGTCGCCGAGGGCCAGCACGCTGGTATTCGGGATCCCGAGGCCATGTTGAAGGCTTTTGGAAAGAAGAAGTAAGGGGTTTTAACGATTGTATAGAAGAAGTTATGAAATGTTTTGACTATTTGTGGCATCTACAATAGATACATCTAAAACAAAATGAAATCAGATATGAAACGATGCAAGACAAGATTTCGAAATGTGGTGACAACTTTTGATTGATACCCTTTTGATTCTTAAACAACTAACAACAAGTTCTGATCAAATATCTACTTACTCTTGGGACATTTTGGAGAGCTGGTGTCTCTACTCGAACGCGACGTTCCTCAACCACAGACGCGACTCAAAACACGTCCGTTTCCTAAACATCACCACATCGCCACCAAAACAAACAAACAAATATCAATCCACCTCAATTCATAACCCACACGCGTAATCCTCTCCCCCTTATCAACCCACCAGATTCTTAATCCACAAAAGAAGAATTCAAAAACTATAATCCCACCTATCCAACACAACCACGCGTCCCCTACCCTCCCGTCATAGCCTTATTCCCCATCACCATCCAGGGTCCACCCCAATACGCCATATCTGCATGCATCCTCACCCTTCACCGTTGCCCGCCCGTCCCGCCTCGCATGACATGACGGGCCCCTGCATTACTAACTTACATTCACATCACGGTACGGCGCCTTGCGTCATCCCCCCTCCCCCTCCCCTCTTCCGCCGTAGCCTTACGAGGCACGACGCAAGAGAACCCCACCAGTTACATCCACCATCATCCCTCCAACGAGTGTTCTCGTACTCTCCCGTGCCGTGCCAGCGCACACAAGGCGTGTCGATCAGAATATAGACAAGACATAGCACCCCTCCCCTCCCTTCACCCTCCTCGCCTGCCCTGGTGGTCGAGGGAGGGGAGGAGAGGGCAAGAAACAGGTTTGTTACCGACTTCGCCACTGGTGCGTGAACGGTTGAAGGGACGGACGGGTGGACGCCCCAGGGACCGGGGAGGAGGGTTGAGGGAGGGATATCAGGGTCTTGTTATGATGTTTACTTTCTTGTGTGGGGGGGGGTGTATGTACGTCATATGAGGTGCGAAGCTGGGAAATGCAGCCCTACGGCTTATGCCCGACGTCTAGGGCTCGTGTGGTGGGTGGGGAACGGAAGGGAAGGGTATGGATTTTTATCAGGGTCTTTACAGGTTTCTTGTTCGTTGATTTTTTTCATCTTGGTGTAGGGATTGACGGAGGTGAGGAGGTTGTAAGGTTTTTGTTTAGTCCGTGTGTTGGGTATTTTGAATGTTATCCTCTATAATTTACTACAATTATTAAACTTTCTAAGAAAAAGGTTGAGTAATAGGTGTAAATTCATGTCGAAGCATAATCATGAGTAAAAAAAATGTAATTGTCTTCTTCGTGGCGTATGTGTATATCTTTCTGTCTTCAATACTGTTGTTTTGTCATGTAATGTTGTTTGTTTATTTGTCTTTTTACTATCCTAAACAAATACAAAATTTATTCCTACCTCTACTATACGCACACAAAGAACCCCAAAACCTTCTTGTAGACGTTTTCTGACTAATTCTCCATCCATAGTAATTACAGAATACTTGCAATTACAAAACACCGATTCTCAATTCCCATCTTGTTGTCATCGTCACCGTCATCCCATTACCGCTTCCAGGCCAGGCCTCGCTAAAAATACTCGGACCCTACTTGCGTGCCTTGCAGCCTTAGGCCCCACTTCTACCTCCTCCCTCTGCCTTACTCCTACACTTCCGTACTCACTCTGTCAGACACGCAAAACACAAAGTCAGACAAACACCAGGAGAAGAGCGTGAGGTGCGGAATACAAGAACGTGAAACATCACCCTCAGCATCAGCCTCAGCGTCGGCCTTTCGTTTCGCTACACTTGCCCTGTGTTGAGACACCCTGGCCTTGGTTGTTTTGATGTTTGTTTACATGTTTGTTTACATTTTACTTTATCGCTATTTCTACATTTTAGGTTTCATAAAGGAAAGGTGCGATAGAGAGTTGGGCGGTACACTTCAGCGTTATTGTTTAGACGTTGTTTCAAACATTCAAGCATTCAAGCATCCAAATAATCGAAAAGGGGGCAGATTTGGATCTGAGGTTGAGCTCGACTCCAGTAGACCTGTGTTTTGTTTTGGAGTTGAGTATCCTAGGTATAGTTCGAAAGCTTCGGATGCAGGGACGACGTTGACTACCCTAGCGAATTACTACACAACATAGGTATCTAGGTAACTTGTAGCCTTCCGGGTGCAATAAGGCAAGCGAACGGACATGTCAATGCGTTCAGGGACATTGTAGGTAGTAGTCTTACAGGTAGACAGTAAGGTTCGCCCGTTCACGCATCAGGCAGCAGACCCTTCTTTCTGGTCGGAGAGAGGTGCTGGTATAGTAAGGTAGTATTCATACCTACCCTACCTAGGTTCATAACTTCATTCCTGGGGTTGGGCATTAGCCAGCCAGTACATAGTTGATGCCTCGGTCGAGCTGGTTGATAACTCGATGGATTGGTTGGTTGATTGATTGGTTTTAATTATAGCATGAAATGGGGTCCCTTTGGGCGACCATTTTGGGGAAATTGGAAGGCAGTACTGTAGTACTAGCAAGCACGCTGCTCTGGGTGGTGGGTGTGCTGGTGTGTTCTACCTGTCACGCCGTCGTGGTGTCCCGAAGGCTGCCGTACATTGGGCTGGTGGGTAGGTGGGTGGTAGGGCGGACAGTCAATCAATCGAAGATGAAAGACAAGGAGGATGTGATTAAACTACTCCGTACATAACTTTTCTTTTCGGAATTGTTAATCACCCCTGGGATGGGGTAAGGGATGCACCGATGTAGACAGGCAGCAGGCAGATGTTCACGCGACTTACGAAAAGAAAAGCAGACATGTGCAAGACGATTCAATTCGAATCACCCATTTCGGTACGATTTGCCGCGCCACTCTTGGAGAGTTAGCGATTAGGGGGGGAAGACGATGAAAGAGGATAGACGATGGGAGGGAACGAGTGGCATGTGAGCTAAGTATGGGATTATGAACGTGCGTGCATGTCGTGTTCCGCCGCCCGTGTGTTCCCATTATTGCTCATGTGTTCGTATCCTTTTTATTGATAGGCGGCTTTGGCTCGATAGGCAGAGAGTATCGATTGTGCGAGGTGCATCTATCGATAGAAGCCAAACGAAGGGGCGTGAGCATGCGCACGCATGAGATGAGGGAGCATGGACGATGTTCATCGTCTGTGGAGAGAAAGGACAGATTGTGACCGTGGCGTGCACGCGTACAATATGCCTATTGTCTTTTGTGCAAGGCTGTAATTGCATACAAGAGGCATATGCGAGCCGTGGAAGCCGTGGATAGCACAAGTAATTACTAGACGATTCTTGACGGTTCTGGCAGTAGGCGGAGGCAAGAAGGTTTGCTATGGGTGCGAATCACGATGGCTTCACGTCTGGTGCCTGAGACTGTCCCACGGCCCGCTCCCGGGACAGCCCAGTTCAAGCCCCTATTCGCATGAAAGGCATGAAAGAGTGAAAGGGCGTGGAAATTAGCTTCATCTGGCTTGCCATCAAGATGGCCCAAAGGAATAGGGGTGATCCCAGCGATGTTTCTAGCGAGTCATGGAGAGGAGGAGGAAGAGTACGCAGTGGGTGCTAGTGAGAGGAGCCATGACCCGAAGCGACCGGGGGCATCCGTGGTTTTGGAAGTAAAGGATGCTGGAGACTGGGTGCTTGGGTATCTTTCCGCGTCTTCCTTATGGTTGAAGGATTGATGGATGGATGAGGGGGGACTCAGGGAGTGAACTGTGAACTGTGCAACTGTGTAAAGAGTGTTGTGTTGATGATGGCCCGAGCGGGCGATCCCTCCTAGGCTATTATACCGCATTGGGTTGTTTGTATGTAAACAGTAAACAAACAACAACGCGTCAATGTGGCGAATCGCGGTGCGACCTCCCACCCATCCCCATCCCGACCTTTAAGCAATGCATTGCAACAATGCAACGACTGCCAGGCCGTATGATGGCCAGTTTAAGGAGATGTTCGCAACGGTGTCCGAACGGGAACGGGAATGGGGATGGGGACGGTGTCCTGTGACAGCCGCATCCAAAAAGTAAAAAAAGAAATAGCCCCATGGAGCTATTGTTTGAAGTCAGCTGCAAGACAGATAGACTACGAGTAGATAGTTACGGACGGGGTATCGGGAGACAGGACGGAATACAACGAACGAACTCTGTACACCGCCATGAGACTGACGCCGCTTCAAGAGAATTCCTAGGTTACAAGTAGTTCCCCAAGGGCGGTGTGCTTCTCCTGCGTTGAGTAGGGAGAGGATGAGTGGAAGAGAATGGCCATTAATTATCGTCACCATGGGTGTCTACACAGTATCCACGGAAAACGTCCGAGGTGGAAACGGCGGCAAGCGGCAGCGGCAGGGGTAAACTGTAGACTGTGTTCTCGTGTATGTAGCCGTGACGCCAGCCCCAACGGCGACGTGCAGCATGCAGTGCGAGTACGTCTACCTAGAGTCTGGGGATCGAATACACAACTATTCCAATACCGAACCTATTTTGTGGCCGACAAATACGATGTGTGCCCACAAGTATGAAATGTAGTTAATTAGGTATCATTATGGTAATTGTTTATTAGCGACTACAATGTCTGGTCGTGATGGTGATGGATTGAGTATGGTGGCGGCCTCATGATGGTGAATTCAAGGTTTGCACAGGCCAAAGTCTACTCAACCAGAAACTAACCTGCCATGGACAAAGTCTGTGTCTCTCGTCTCCATCCCATCGTCCGCCTCCTCTTTCATCCACATCCACGTCCACGTCTTCATCCACGTTCATATCCACATCCTCATCCTGATCCTCGTCCTCCACTACCCCTACCCCTAGTAGTCTCCTAGCCTTCCATCCAAGAACGCGACGCCCAGTCCCTGTCCTGTCCAGTCCCTGTCCTGTCCAGTCCAATTGCTCGTCCCATCCCCGTCCGATCGTTGTGCCATCCCTCAAAGGGTCCTGCCATCGCCCTCTTCCTCTTTTTCTTCTCTTCTCTTTCCCTTTTCCCTCTATCTACTATCTTCTATCAGTCTATCAGTCTATCAATCCAGCCAGCCATCAATTGCATCACCATCCGTCACTAGGTTGGACCCTTCTTATTGATTCGAAACTTTGAGACGTCACAGTCAGACGGAGAAACAAACCCAGACCCAAACTTATTTATTTTAATAAGTGACCCTGGTTTGGTTTGGTTTTTTGTCTGTAACACCTGGGTGCTATCTGTATTGTATCATCGTACAGTATTTGTCTTGACCTGCCTGGTCTTTTTCCGTGTGGTTGGTCGGGCGTGTTGTTTACCTTCTACCGGATCCGCACTGGCGCCGCGCACACACGGACGCACACACACACACGCATTCCTTCCTTCCTTCGCCCCTTCCCGCCAGAACCTTCGCCCGCCCCGACTCTCTCTCCACAGACCAGACACGCCCAATACACGTCGCCAGTCGCCAGCCACACCCACGAACCCGCGAAACCCACAACACCAACAAATCACTCTCGGCCACGCCTACCTACCTACACTCTCAACGTCAACTTCCCCTCTTCTATACCCACTACAACAACCACTACTCCTACTATCGTCACCATCACCGAGGAACAGCAACACATCGTACCCATCCGCGCCGCGCCGCATCGACACTTGCTCACCAACACCACCAACTGCTCCCTACTACTGCCTTCCATCACCATCGGAACTCCGTGTTTCCCGCGTCAGCATCATCTCCCATTCCCGCATCGCCCTGCACTTGGATGGAGTCACTCGCGGCGCTGTCGCTCATAGCTCGCTGAGGTGGAGCTCTGGTGAGACGTGAAGCATCGCGATACGCCCATCGCTGGTGAGGCACTCAACAATAACAATAACAACTGTTGCTGTCATCCACATTCCACAAGAACATTCCTACCGCAGTCGTGCCCTCACGCAACCGCACTGCAATCAACATCCCGCTACAGACGCGCTCCCTCATTATCCTCCACACTCGTCTGCCTACCCAGGTCTGTTTCTACAATATTCGGACACGTCTTCCACCATCTCTCTCTAGGAACACCATCACGCTACACCCATCATAGGGAAAACCTATCACCACAACTACAAATCACAATCAGCATCACTGCATCCAGTAAACAAACAATGGACTTCGCCTACTCGCCGCACCGCGAAGGCGGCACCATGCATCTGGCCTCGCCTACGCATCCCCACTACCGCATGGAAGGCTTCTCGTCGATTGAACAGCTTCGGCAATCTCTGTCTCGTTCGCCCTCGAGACCTTCGCGATTCCGACTGCGCAACACCGACTCACCTGGTTCGCCAATCTCGCCACTGGCCCTCGCGCGCGCGTTCTCACCCAAGGCCCTAAAGCACAACACAAACAACCACAACAACAACACCGCCTCGCCATTCGCCGAGTCACCGCTCGCAGCACAGTCACCCGCCGCAACCACAACAGTAAAGAAGCGATTTACCCTTCGACGCTCGGCCCCATTCCGCTCCTCGCCCCGCAACCGCACAACCTCGAAATCACCGCGACGCGCCTTGGCTGATTCTGCCGACCACGGCAACACGACTCCCTTCACCACGCGCGCCGCGGTGGGCGAGGAAAACGCAATGCCGCGACGGTCGAGTGCCGAGATTTTGGAGCAGGCAGCAACCGAGCAAAAGGCCGCCATGCGGTTCGAAATGAACGACCAGCCCATCGACTTCAAACTTGCGCGATCGCGCCACGACACCAACGCGCCTGGTGCCAACTGCCTGCTTCCGCCCAAGTCGAGCCCGTTGAAGCGCAGCGACGGAGTCATGAACTTGGACGCCGCCAGCACTAACAGTCCAGTACCGAAGAGGAGGAGTTTGCACGGCGCGAGTGCCTTCGGTAACACCGATTTCGACATCTTCGATCCTTCCACCACCCCCCGGACATCGCTGGACGAGCCGAACCGATCGCTTGATAACGAGCCCAGTAACAGCTTCTCATTCTCGTCGCCGATCGGCAAGACCTCGTCCCCGCTGCGCAAGACTGCATCGCTCCGAAAGTCGACACTTTCGCAACGTCACGGCGCAGGTGCAGCGCGACCAAAGCCTGCATACGACGGAGAGTTCATGCTTCCTGGCCCGGCCGCATCAAAGACTAGGCAGAGGATGTCTCTGGACAGCTCGATCGGTTCCAACTTCAGTGCCGGCGCGCAGACTCCCTTCAGGCGCTCGGTCAACCTCGAATCTTCGCGCCCCATGCCACATCAGCCCTTCTCGAGAAGCCTGAGTGGCCAGCCTCATCCTCTATCGAACGCTCTCACTCCGTCATCGTCCAATTCAGACATGAGCTCACCTGCTCGGGGATTCGCACCTGTACCTCCGCCTGCCCCAAGGCACCACGCCTTCTCTCGTTCTCTCCCAATCGGAGCCACTCGCCCACATCTACCAGAGGGCCCTCATGGAGAGACATTCGAGACGCCGATGGCGTACAAGATGGCCCGGCCCGATCCTAGTGCGTTCATGTCGACAGGTCTTCTCTCCAAGAAGAACCGCAACGTTGAGGAGCTGGAGGGAAGCGTCCTTGGTGGATATGTCATGCCCGACACGCCCTCCAAGCGGAATTCCTTCCCTCCTGTGACTGCTTCACCCACCGTTGATAGGATCGATCGTACTCGAGCAATCAACTTCGGGAAATCCACGCAGCACCGCCCCGAGTTTGGCACTCCTAGTACACCCTTCGGCTTCCACGTCCCCCAGACTTCCACAGAATCATTCGGAAAGGGAGTGGGTATCTTTGGAAGCTTCGGCAGCAACCACCAGCGACGCAGCAGCTTTGCTAGCATTGACGGGGACGATGTTAACAACTCTCCCTCGGCAAACCGTATGGCGGACAGCCAATCTAGTGCAGACGACATGCCACCCACCCCCACCAAAGGACATGACGGATCTGGCCGACGCTCCAAGGAGAGCAGCTTGCGACGTAAGACATTCCGCCAGCGGACCTCGATCGGTACAGACACCTTCCTTGCCCCCGAGACCGAGACTTCGACACCCGTCATTGATATCCCGGGAGCATTCGAGTCACTGAATGGTTCTCGCAAGGGGGCTATCTCCCCCCACACCCCGAACGAGACCTCGTTCATGCCACCCGATCCAAGCAAGCTTTCCATCTCTGGGAATCGCCGCGGATCGCTTCCCTTTAATGCCAGCACTAACAGCAATCTATCCTTCCCTCCGGCCACACCTACCACCCCACGTGATCATACCAACTACTTCGCTAACGGCCAGCCAAACGTTGCTCCAATGGTAGGCCTGACACAGAATGATGTTGATCAGTCTTTGGCCGAGCGATTCCAGAGCATCACCCTCTGTGGCAGTGGCGAATTCTCAAAGGTCTACCGAGTCGAAAAACCAGTTGGACGAGGATTGTCCCTGTTGTCGCCGCCAACAAGCCGTGTTTGGGCAGTCAAGAAGTCGAAGAAGCCGTACACTGGCAACCTCGACCGGGAGAAGAAGATGCGCGAGGTCCACATCCTCCGCGCACTCAGTGGCCACGACCACATTCTCTCTCTCTCCGACTCTTGGGAATTCCAGAATCACCTCTACATCCAGACAGAATTCTGCGAGAATGGCAACCTGAAAGACTTCTTGGCCTCGGCAGGATATAAGAGCCGACTTGACGACTTCCGTATTTGGAAGATACTACTGGAGTTGTCACTTGTAAGTATCTGTCCTCTAACCCAGCACTATTCAATGGCTAACATTCACTCAGGGCGTCAATTATATCCACAGCAACGGATACATTCACTTGGACCTGAAGCCTGCCAATGTCTTCATTGACTTCCATGGATCTTTGAAGATTGGCGATTTCGGACTGGCCAGCACGTGGCCTGCTGCTCGTCACATCGATGGTGAAGGTGACCGCCACTACCTTGCACCTGAGGCGTTGCAGGGCCGTTACGACAAGCCTGGCGATGTCTACGCACTCGGAACGATCATGTGCGAGATCGCGGCCAACATTGTCCTTCCCGAGAACGGAAGCTCTTGGATGCGTCTCCGAAGCGGCGACTTCTCTGAGCTCCCCAGCCTCGTGTGGAGCTCCGAGAGCAGCCTGAACCGCGACGAGAACGGTGAGCCCATCGATGCTGAGAATGCACTGGGATCTTCGGATCTCGCTTGCGTCTCAACACCGGACGAGAACTCTCTCCAATTCATCACCGGTCCGTCTGCAGGACTCGACAAGGCCCCCGCCTTCATGATCGAGCCAGGCCATCCCGACTCCCTCGACCGAATTGCACAGGCCATGATGGACCCCGAACCCGACCGACGCCCCACCATGGAAGATGTCTACCGTTGCTTCGGCTGCCAATGGGTCGAGCAACGCACCCGTGCTGGTGCTACGATCTACGAGGGCAACTGGGGTCCTTCTGACGATGTCTTGCACCACGATTTGGCAGATGCCATGGATACCAGCTGAACGTTTTAGTTGGAATCTGACCCATTTTCGTCATCTTGTTCGGATCTAAGCATCCCTTTCGGCACAGCACGTTTCGGTTTTGCAATACACAAGGAGGACCTCGGTTCGATTTTGGATTATGCATCAGTCGATCAATCCACACAGCTTCGGGTGCCAAGTTGGCTGTCACTTTTCGGAGATACCACAACATGAGTCTGATATACTCGTGTAAGCGATTGTTGTTTTTAGCGAGCGATACCTTTTTTGTACTTTGTGGCAATGTTTTTTAGGCGTATGATTTGGCGTCACCGGTGTTTCCTAAGGATCAAAGAGAAAAGGCTACCCTCCACTTCCATCGACTCGAGAGACGACAGGGCCTGGTCAACGCGACTGGACTTCTGGGTCGCTCTCTTGCCGATTATGTTTTACGGCCGGTCCCTCGTTGGGGATCTTTTTTCGTTTCCCTGATGATTCCTTCATTTCTGGTGCGCACACAGCATGGGGTCAACAACAAACCAACCGGGCATCTTTAGCATTTTTCGTCCCCGTCTATATGATTCAACTCCTGGTCCGCTGGAAGCAACGCGGAGGAGTGGGGATTGGCGTCTTTGTTTTCTTGCTTTATTTCACTTTCCCCCATCTTCATGTATGTCTCTCGTGGTGGGGAGGGAGGAAAGACCGAAACGTCTCTCTCCTCACTACGGGCGACTCTTTTATGACTTTGTACGATCAATTGCATCTTGCTTCAAGGATAAGGTTGAGATAGGAGGCTAGCCGTGACCTTTAGGGTCATGGCCTTGTACCATTCCCTGGCCTAGTTGAAGCAAGCAGGGGAAGAAGCAAAGGCAGATTATGAATAAGATATCATGACATGTCATCCATCCGTTCTCAAGATGTGTTTTGTTGTTCGTGTCCACTGCTATTACTGACTGTCGTTACACTCTATCTAGTTTTCCTTTCTTGACACCTGCCTACCTCTTCTCCGAGTTACCTCCACTCCACTCTACACAACCAACTTTGATGTTCCCTCCCGCCCCTCCCTCCCCACTACGCTACCAACTACCAACTACCAACTACCAACTACCAACGACCATCTACCACCCATCTACCACCTACCTAGCTGTTTTATTCCCGGAAACTATCCCGCACTTCGCGACGAATTACCCCGAACTCGACGTTTTGGCAGTTATCCGAACCATTGCTCTCTTCTCCCCTCCCGTGGCCTCTCCTCCCTTACTTGTACCTTGCGCAAATCCGATCGCATTGATTCGGAGGGGCAACATGAGGGGCGGAGGAGCTCCCCTCTGTTTTCCCCTCTCTCCCTCTACCTCCCCCGCTACTTACTTTCCTGGTCGGTTGGTTGGTCACGGAATTGCCGCCATATGCCGGGAACGAAGATCGTTTCTTCGAGAAGAGTGCAGTAGTGTAGACCCTGTTCCTGTAGTGTAGGTACTTAAAGCTTGTGGTACTCGTACCTTTTGTTTTCCCCTTAGTGTTTACTTGACCTCGAGCTTCATCTGTTCCCCTTCGTCATACCATACCATACAAACCCTCAAAAGTGACATACCAACCATGACCTCCACCACCACCTCACCCACCTCACGACCACAACCCCCCCGCCGCCCCCCCTTCTCCACCCTCCCGCTCGACCCCTCCGGCCCCGCCAGCAACGCCTGGGGCCTCTACGGCCCCTCCGACGAGCTCGGCGCCCTCAACATCCTCACGCCCGCCGTCGTCCTCTCCGCCGCACAATCCACCATCCTAACCGGCCACCGCGTCTCCCTCGACTGGCCGCTCAATCTCCCCTCCCACCCGTCCTTCGACCGCCCGTCCTTCCAATGGCAACTCACGAACCGCACGCATCCCGACGGCACCAAGCGCACCGTCAACGACGACTCCATGACGTTCAACACGCAGAGCAGCTCCCAGTGGGACGGGTTCCGGCATTACGGGTACCAGAAGGCTGGGCTGTACTACGGGGGCCGGACGCAGGGGGACGTCGAGTCGTCTGAAGTCATAGGGATCGACAAGATTGCGAAAGCGGGGGGGATTGCGGCGAGGGGTGTGATTCTAGATTACCCTCGTTGGAGGGCGGCGAGGGGGCAGGGGAAGGTGGACGCGTTGGCTGCTGTTGCGATTACGGCGGGGGAGTTGAAGGCGATGGTGAGGGACGCGGGGGTCGAGACGAGGGAGGGCGATGTGTTGTTGTTGCGTACCGGGTTCACGGAGGCGTATTTGGGGTTGGATGGGGCGGGGAGGGAGGCGTTGGGGGCGAAGAGGCCGGCGGAGTTTATGGGGGTGGAGTCCACGAGGGAGGTCGCGGAGTGGATTTGGGAGAGCGGGTTTGTGGCGGTTGCGGGGGACGCGCCGTCGTTTGAGATGAGTCCGTTGGTAGGGGGGCATAATGAGGTTGGGGGGATATGGAAGGGGGAGAGTTGGGAGGAGGAGATGCAGGGGGGTGGGTTGTTGCATCAGTGGTTGCTTGGGGGGTGGGGGGTTATGATTGGGGAGATGTGGGATCTTGAGGGGCTTTGTGAGAAGGCGGTTGAGTTGGGGAGGAATACGTGCTTTTTGTCGAGTGTGCCGTTGAAGGTGAGTTTGATATCTGCTCGTTTGGGCGTTCTGAGTGAATGTGAAAGGCTAATCGATGTGCGGTATAGGTACCCGGCGGCGTCGCGAGCCCTCCAAATGCCGTTGCATTCTTCTAAACTACAAGGACAGATAAACAACAGGCCAAGCATTCAAAGCATCCTTACGCGTACGAACTTCCTTGCTACATGTTCCCCTCGTTGGTGATGGGTGGATGAATTGGCGGAATGAGACTTTTCTTCATGAACGTATATGACCTCAGTCCCTCGTCTCCCCAACCGTTGGCCATGTTTCACAATATAAACCCCCCAGGAGCCCAGGGATGGATGGGAGGGGGGAGAAATCGATGTATATAAAAATCAAGACATACCAAGTCCTCCATATTGAGCACAAGCGAATCCTTCTCGAATTCTTCCATGCCGGGGACGGGCGATCTTGGGTGCTATTTATATGTGCATTCCTGATAGTACGGGGTAGGGGATTAATATATGCAGCGTCAGTGTGGTGGAGGATATAAAGTTCAGGTTTTAGCCGGAAATAAAGGGAGGAATAACACCGAGGACAAGGACGAGGACGACGTCGATGGCAGTACATAATAGTCGAATGAGAGACAAGAAAACAACCAATTGATCGTCTCTCATGAGAAACATTCTAATCAAACAGCTCATTACTGCCATATTAAGTCCTGTATACACCTCTACCTCTCCTGATCCTTCATTCCTACGTAACTAGGTACCCACCAACCAATTCGTACAGTGCAAGGTCTCGTACCACAATCACACATACACACACACATGATCTAATTGTACTCCGTTCCCTCTTCTACAGAGTAATGTCTCGCCTCTCGTCTTGCCGATTGTCTTGCCCTCGTCCCTCGGCACTCTAAAGATTCCCACATGGAGTAATCTATCATAGTGGTGTTTGGTTACACGGAAGGGATGGGACTGCTCGAGAGGATTGTGCTAAGCTGCGGTTGATTGATTGATCTATTGATAGGTAGTGGATGAATGTAGGTAGGTGGTATAGTGATGAACTGTAGTGTGCGTAGTAAGTGTACGTAGTACCGCAAATGAAAAAAACATGGCACATATATATATAAAACCGTCCAACCCCGGATTCACATTTCCATCTCCCACACACCCGCACACCTCTTGACGAGCATCAAACGTCATCTCCGAAGCCAAAACCAAAACTTCAACAAGACATTACAGAAACAAGCGACCACGATGTTCAAAGCCGTCCTCCCCATCATCCTCTCCCTCGCCCTCCTCTCCCTCGCAACACCACTGCCTTCTACCGAGAAACCAGAGACCGCGCGCCTGTGCACTAAGATCTGCGGCGGCGAGGATCTGACGTGTGCTGCTGATGGGGATTGGGTATGTATATTCCATTTCCCGTTAAACCTTAGCCATTGCCTGCAGAAAGTGAAGAGAGTTGGCTGACATCGTATGAAATAGTACCCGTATAACTTTGAAGGAAGTGTAAGTTTGCTATGCCGTTTTCTCATATGTTTTCGGCTTCGCGGTCGGTGGTGAAATGTGCTGATGTGTGGGGTGTAGCGCTGCTATGCTTGCTGTAAGGACGTTGAGAAGGATTGGTGAGATTTAGATTGATGAAGTCTGGCATGGAGGATGGACGAGGATTGTGAAGAGGGATTGGGCGTTATGTGGTATGGGCTGAGGTGGTGTCAGTGGTGCAAAAGGATGAAAGATAGGAGGATGGGAGGGAGTGAGGTTTTGATATTGAAAGGTTGGTGGTGGTTGGGTTAAAAGCTGTGACTGGACTGTCAATGGTGTGGGGAACAGAACAAAAGATCAGATCGTGTGGTGCAAATGAGAAACTTTCTTCTACATTCGCTCATGGGATGGATTGTGATGTCTTTTTTCTTCATTTTTGATGACGTGAAAGCGTCAAGGCGTTGCAATTGACATACAAAAAATACCTAAAGAAAGCGTGAAGACGACAGACTGAACGCCGAAGTGAACGGCATGCAATCAATCTCCCGCGTACGCAACCAGGAACCCCATACCAGTTTCCAACAATGCATGCATTAAGTAAAACTCTTTCGTCAAAAAGAAAATCATTCCGGTATATGGCAGGCAGACAGACAGACAACAGGATAAAATGGAACCACGAGGCAAGCTGGTGTCTACGAATTCGGTCCCATACCGACGCCGAAGCCTCCGCCCTTTGAGCCCGTGTTCTTCAGGTGAGCACTGCTCCCCCTGAATAGACTTTGCCAGATGAAAGCTTCGCTCAGCAGTAGTTCGATGTCTTTCTCGGTCCACTGCCGTGTTGGCAGGGCTTGCAGGAACATCATGATCTCCTGGAAGTCCATCTTGCGGAGTTGGTCAGACCATTTCACGAGGAAAGCGGCGCAGACGTAGAGGTGGAACGAGGAGAATCCGTCGTCTTCGGCCTGAATGGTAGTGTTAGTGGTACTCATCATTTATAGGAGCAGCGTTTGACGACTGAGTAAGTGCGACGTACCAGATATGTATCCCACATGCGTATCGTGTTCTTCACTGAAATCTCACGCATAAGCAAGCAGTTCATCCACCGGAAACTGAACTGAATGAACTCGACGCCTTCGTTCTGCAGGTGCTTGGCAAGACTTGCGTCGATCCTGGTCGTCAGATCCCGCAGACTGGCGACCTGCCTCTGGATGCCCGGCTGCTGGGAGATGTAGTTATCCTGAATGCCGTCCAGCAGCTTCGTCAGGCACCAGAACGAATCGGCTTCGACAGCATCCAACACTTGCTTGGGGAGCTGTCCCGGGTCCATTCCAAACTCAATGTCCGGATCCGAGATGTACGATCCGAGGAAGACTTGCCAGAAGGGCGTGACGAGGTCGTTTATTCCCTGCACATACCCAGAAGCGGGATGCCGTATTGCCCAGACGTAGAGTATCCTCTCCAGCGAACGTTGTGTGGCTTCGTAACTGTAGAGCTCTAGATGTGGATTCGTCCGCGGAACGTCGATGCTGATCTGGTGCCATATGGCCTCATCGAGACCTCTGCCTCGCCCACGGTTCGTCGAAGGATAGGATGATGTGCCGGCCATACCTGCAGCAACTGCACCTGAACTTCCAGACGTGCCCCGTTCGAAGGCTTGCCGAACCCCCTCGAGGTATTCTTTTCTCTTCCTCTCTAACGTTGCTACACGCCGCTCGCTGCTGGTAGGTAAATACCCAAGCAGCACCTGCCATGTCATGGCACGTACTTCCGAAGGTATGCCAGACCAGGCAGAGTCTCGTAGCTCGGGCAGCGATATCGTACTCGCTTGCAATATCCGTTTGAACTTATTGATCCGCGATATTCGAGCAGAGTGCTCTTCCATCTCCTTTGATGTCGCGCTAGGGGGTAGCGAGGGATGTGATATAAGATGCAAAGAATTTGCAGGGTCTCGAAGTATCTCCTGGTACTGCGGCCGTAGTATCTTGCCTTCGGACTTCTTCGCCGTGGGGTAGTTTGGGACGCCCCGTTCCTCTGCGATATCACCACTGTCGATGGCCCGCCACGCTGTAGATCCTAACGACCCATTCCTACTTCCTGTCCCTCTGCTGTGCTCTTTGTCCCTCGGTGGCTCCTTTCGTCGCCCTTTCCTCCGCATGGAAGCTATACTCGGTAGGCCGAATTCGTCCTCGTCGTCCTCGAACAGCATGTCACCTCCCTCCCCCTCGTCATCTTCCCAGGCCTCATTGGTGTCGCGTAGAAAAGCAGTGTAGCTCTTCCGAATTGGTGGCGAGGTGGCCGAGTTTCCGGAGCGAGTTGGTGCCGCACTCGACTCGCGGCTGTGGGTGGCGGAAGGAGGGGTTCGAGGTCGCGAATTCGTCCCAGAGACGGAGCTTGATAAGTTAGCCAGAAGAGCCATGAATACAGCCCGGAAGAATCGTACAGAGAGTCGAAATTAAGCAAATCCGCGTGGGAGTAGGAAGCTCCTACGATTTTCTTGTTCTCGTAGGGCTTTGATGTGTTCGAACTAGTACGCCAGAAAGGAGATGCAGACCTGGGAGGCATTGTGAACAAAGGTCTCAAGAGTAGTTATAAACCATCAAATCCTTGGGGATACGTACGAGGAGCGATCTATAGTTGCACGCAAGGGTCAGTCAGTTAGCTGGGTGGCTTGCTATGACGATTGCGCGAGGAATTGCTACGGACCGACCTGCACCATTTCCTGGGTTCCAAGATTAGCTCCCCCACGAATTCATTTGAACAGAACATCGCATAATATAACATACCTGCTGCGTCTTCTTGGAGGCCATTGTTTGCTAGGAGAACGAGTGGTGAGCCCCGCTACTCCAACACTCGATTGAGTTCCTGGTCAAGCAACTGACTTGGCTTCGGCGGTGGTGGAGCCAAGGGGCCGAAAACGCGCTAGTCGTCTTTCTCCTCCTCTCTCCTCTTCAACCTTCAACCTCAGGTTCTACCCTAAGCTACGAACCCATCTTTTTCACCTTTTCTCACCATTCCCCCGGTCATTTCTTCTTCACCCACTGCTTCATCTCACTACGACCATCTGCCTCTAGCGCTTTCCTCACGTCGCCCTTACACTTGGATTTCTGCCAGTCGCGCAACAACTTGCTCCATCAACGGGATCGCGCGTGAAGTGACTGGCACCACAGAGAGCGCTCTATCTAACCCATTTGACACCTTAATATTCTCGTATCTAAAATAGACAACTTACACAATGACGGAACCAGAGGAACTCGATGAGGATCTCTTCGCCGATCTGTATGTACAATGACGCGACTTGCCTGCTCTATTCGCTCTGGCGCAAGGTCTTTCCCCTGCTTTGCGACAAACTACTTACAATTAATTCAGTTATGAAGGCGACGATACTCCAGCGAAGCCTGCGCAACCTGCACAGCCAGCACCAGCTGCAAAACCCCAGGAGCCCGAGCCGGTGCAGCCCGAACCAGTCAATGCTCCCACACAACAGCCCGTAGCGCAGGAAGTAAATGTAGCAGATAGCCGTGGTTGGGAACAACCGAATGCGGCTGGTAATCATGGTGATGCGAACATGGGAAACGGAGCTTGGAATGGCAACGGTGCCGGCAATGGCAATCAGTCATTCGACCAGGCAGCCGGTGACCAGGACGATAACTATGGTCCCATCAATGTGAAGGAAGACGGGTAAGTTTAGAACATTTGCGTTTCACTATCGTTTTCTACATTTCCATCATGCATACTCTATCGGTAAAGTATCGCGCGATTATTAGCACGTAGCCCTCTCTCGATGTCACACGACCATTCGAGCCGACAACATAGCTTGAATCGTGTCAAGGATTGTTCATGTCGGTGTCAAAATAGCTGTCACGAGGCGGAAGACTTGGATTGGAAGTGCTGTAGCACATTATCAGCGATATGGCTGGCCAGCAAGCTCTGGAGCGGGCTCAAGTCGACATTCGGGATTCATACCTTGAGTGGGAGAAATATCATTTATATATGATCGGCGAGGCAAAGCGCTCCCAATACATACAGCCGGCGATTGTGGTTGCGAAGGAGCATACAAATTGTTAGCCGACATCTCTATACTCGTCATATCCAACCAAACGCCTGACGCGAAAGGATCTTGCGACTGGCCGTCTATCTATGGCAGCGCATCATGTCGATATATACCTAGCTAGGTACTTGATAGCGCGTACCAACACGCAAGCAGAGGATAGTCCAAAAGGTGAGGGTCTTCGATGTATCCATCGGATCCTCTCCTTCAATCCGTAGCAAAAACACAGACGATTCAACCGAACTACTGTGCCTTTGCGTTGGGCTGCTTGCAGCGAGTGCTGGACCAGCTGCACCCGACCGTATTTGGAGTATGCAAGGCGAATCAACATTCAAACCCTGGACCACTCGTCCAACAATTTCTCCGATAGCCCTGTATATCACTGCAAAGATGTACGGAGTAATGAACGACCCTTATACACACCCACAAACACGACTCAGAACATATGTCCATTGTTCACGACACACAAAATCCTTCTTTCGACTCCGCTGGACGAGCATAAATTTCCGTTAGAGGGCTACCAATGTGCTTTTATTGTCGCGATGTCTACTGACACTTTTCTGCTGCATAGCAGTCTGGGGCAGTCTACCGCCTCTGCTGCTTTCGAGACGTCGCACTTCAGAATGGAATTAATAAATTGTGGTATGACTAACAATTTTGTAGGAAAATGTTCATTGGTGGATTGAACTGGGAAACAACAGAACGTATGTATGACTCCACGAGCCATCGATCATTGACTCACCATGTTCAGAATCTCTGAAGGACTACTTCTCGCAGTTTGGCGAAGTGAGCGAGTGCACAGTCATGCGTGATAGCGCTACAGGACGTTCACGTGGATTCGGTTTCCTTACCTTCAAAGACCCGAAGTGTGTCAATATCGTCATGGTCAAAGAGCACTATCTTGATGGCAAAATCGTAAGTGAAGATTGCTATGCTTTGCAATCTAGTCAATTCCTAACATCCTCAAGATCGACCCCAAGCGCGCTATCCCCCGTGAGGAACAAGAAAGGACAAGCAAGATCTTCGTTGGCGGTGTCAGTCAAGAGGCTACCGAGGAAGACTTCAAGAACTTCTTCAAACAATTTGGTCGAGTTGTTGACGCTACATTGATGATGGACAAAGACACTGGCCGACCACGTGGATTCGGGTTCGTCACTTTCGATGGCGACGCAGCCGTTGACGCAACATTGTCTGGACCGTTGCAGATCCTTGGAAAGCCGATCGAAGTGAAGCGCGCTCAGCCTCGTGGCAACATGCGTGATGGTGACGATGACAAGAAGTTCGGAGGGCGAGGTGGGAAGTTTGGCAACCGAAACGATAATTCCGGCGGCTTTGACAACCAACAAGGCCAAAATCAACAAGGAGGAGGCGGTGGTGGAAATAATGGGATGACTCCTGCAATGATGGCTCAGTACTGGCAGCGTATGCAACAGTACTTCCAGCAGATGCAGCATCAGCTTGCCTCACAGGGTGGAGGCATGCCGAACGCTATGGGAGGTATGGGAGGCCAAATGAATCCCCAGATGATGCAGCAAATGCAGAACAATATGATGGCAGGCATGAATCGACCAGATGGCAGCCCCAACCCAGCACAAATGGGGGGAATGGGAGGAATGAACCAGATGAACCCGCAGATGATGCAGCAGATGCAGATGCAACAGCAACAGCAACAGCAGCAGCAGCAACAGCAGCAACAGGGTGGTGGTGGATTTGGAAATCAGAACGCAGCCATGATGGCAGGGGCTAATCGCCCTGCGTATACTGCCACGGACCAACTTGCTTTTGAGCAACAGAAGTATGAGCAGCAGCAGCAAAGACGCATCCAACAGCAAGGTGGATATGGTGGACAGGGTGGGCCTACGGCGTGGGAGGGCATGTACGACGATATTCCACAGCCTTCAATTCCTTCCGGTCCTGCTGGCGGCGGTAACCGTGGCAATTTTGGTGGTGGTAGGGGAGGCGGCCCTCACGGCCGTGGCCGACAAGGCTCCTCCCAACCACCCAACGGTCCAAGCAGTGCTCCTGCTAACGCACCTACGGGACCTAAGAATGCTGGTAAACCAGGAGCCAACTATCGTGGTGGTGGTAGAAATGCCAACTATCGCCACAACCCATATGGCGGGGGCAGAGGCTAGTAGGCCAGTCACATGAACGGTGAACGCATGCTGGAAATCCAGCGAATGTGACAAGGTGTCAACAAGCCTGGCTTGTGAAGCAATTTCGGTATGCCAATCTCGCCAACGACACATCTATTCCTGGTTCTACGTATTGCTTTGGTGTCGGCAACCGCAATGACTGTTATTTCGGGAGGACATGGTAATATGGTTATAGTTCATTCAGAAGGAGTTTGACAGGTCCTGTACAATAAGAAATAATTGCAAAACGTTTCAAATGATATCGAGCAGTCTCAATTACTAGATATAATAACCTGGTATGAAAGATACATCAGATAGTAGCCGTGAGAATTGAATGAGTTGGTGCATAGTACGAATATGTATGAAAGACGTCAAGCTTCGTAGACCATGGTTAAAAATATAGTGATAATCAACAATGTGAAGCGTGAACTGTGAATGTGACAATGGAGTGAAGGATCTATCACGTGACTAGATGACAAAGCCGGTGGCGCTGACTCAAGCTTTTGCTGGGACTTAAGTAAGTGGCTTTGTCCTCCTTTCTCCCGCAACCTCTCCTCTTCCACTTCTTCACCCCACGACAACCTCATCAGCTACACTGGCGTACAAGTTATCGCCATCGGCCTGAACTCTATCTGATACGGCACGGATACATATTGAGCAGGAGCACGCAGTCTTTACGATCTGGAGCGACGGCCTGGACCATATACTCTTGCGGCTCGTTCACCAAAGGTTTCCTCTCAGCTCCGCTGCGACGCTGGACGCCCAGCATACTTAGCTAGCATAGCAATAGACTTGTTGCGCAGCTTCTCTGCCACGTCGTCCACTGCATATTTCCTGAATTTCCAATCTTTATCTCTCAAACGCAGACTGCTGTCGCTCTGAGTGACTACCTCTGCGAGAGTGCCACCTAACTCCGCTTTCACTAGCCGAAGAACATCCTCCGACTAGCCGAAGACCACCGGCCATCATGTCATCCTCAGTGTTCTACAAGTTCAAGAACTCTCGCGAGCCCGAGCGCATCGTTTTCGATGGTACAGGCATATCTGTATTCGAGCTGAAGCGTGAGATCATCACGGCATCCGGCCTAGGCGATGGATCTGACTTTGACCTCCACCTCTACCCCGAAGATCAACCAACCACCGAGTACGATGACGATACGACGATTATCTCTCGATCCAGCACTGTTATCGCTGTCCGCCGACCTGCCGCCCGAGGCCATGGTCGAGCAGCTCGCTACGTCTCTGGACGCGCACCAGTACGAGCTATCAAGAAGGCCGAGCCTGCAAAGACTACCACAGCGCCAACAACCACCGGAGGTGCAATGACTGAGCAAGATGCTGAGGCTGCTTTCCTTGCAGAATCCGCACAAGTTTGGGACCAACAAAAGGAGTCTTTGTCGCACGCAAGGCCTATTTTCCACAAGAAGAAACCCGTTAATGTTCCGAGTCACGATCCTCCACCAGGTTACGTTTGCTATCGTTGCCAAAAGAAGGGTCATTGGATGTAAGTACTTTCTAAGAAGTTGGGCATGATGCTATGGCACCACGCTTCTACTTCCTGTGAAACCTGAATTCGAGCGATGCTAACAATGACCAGCCAACTCTGCCCTACGAACGACGATCCTGATTTCAAACCAGCTGCCCGAGCCAAACGTACAACTGGTATTCCTCGGTCTTTCCTGAAGACGGTCGAAAAGCCAGCGGATGGCGATTTGGAGGATGCCCGGGGTGTCATGTTGAATGCGGACGGAGAATACGTTCAAGTTTTGACTGATACAAGGACTTGGGAGAAGTTTCAAGAGAAGGCAAATGCATCAAAAGCACAAGCTGCGACTGCCGAGGCTGCAAACAAGGAGTTGAGGGAGCGAGGGTTGGAGTGCCCGATTGACAAGCGGATGTTTGTCGACCCGGTGAAGACCCCTTGCTGTGGTAAGACATATTGTCATGATTGCATTGAGAATGCACTAGCGGACGGAGATTTGGTTTGTCCGAACTGTTCTACGGAGGGAGTCCTTATTGATGATCTTGCCACCGACGAGGAAACAGTAGAGAAGATGCGGGCATATGAAGCCGAAAAGGCGAAGGAGAAACTGGAGAAGGAGCAGCAATCGAAGGAAGAAGCAAAGCAGGCAGCACAACCCACTTCTCCCCCTGGAAATGATGAAACCGTTTCTGTCCCTACCCCTACTGATGCTAAGGTAAAGGCTAGTGAAGCCAACAAGTCTGATTTGCCAAAGTCGCCTAAACCAGAAAACAGTAGCGTCGCTTCTGATGCAAATGTCAAATCTCCTCACACAGGTGCAAATGATCCCGCTGCCTCCGCTCCAACACCAGGGGCTGAGGGAGCTGGTTCCGATACTGACACTTCTACAACATCTAAGAAGCGCAAACAGGCGCCGACCGACATCATAGCACCAACAGCCCCAAAGGCCATGCGCATACAGAAAGAACAGGAAACCCGTCAACAGGATGACCAGTCCTCGGCACTCGAGAAGGATTTCCTAGAGTCAATGGAAGCCCTCAAAAACATGCCGAAGAACATGCCAATGCCCAACATGTCGATGAGCATGGGTGGCCCTATGAATCCAATGATGGGTATGATGAATCCTGCCAACATGAATGGTATGAATGTGAACAACATGAACATGAACAATATGGGCAATATGAACCCCATGGGAAATATGAATGGTTTTGGTAATATGAACGGGATGAATGGCAACTGGAATGGTGGCTACAACAATTTCCAAAACCAAAACATGTATGGCAACATGGGCTTCCAGAACAACAATATGAATGGTGGATATGACAATATGGGGTATGGCAACATGAACGGCATGCAAGGGAATATGCAAGGAAATATGCAAGGCTATGGCGGTTGGAACAACAATCAAGGCTATGGAAACATGGGCTTCGGCAATCAAAATCAATACCAGAATGGAAACTTTCCGAATCAACAGCGGAATATGTTCTCGGAGCAGCCAAACCAACAGGATGCATATGAACGGAAACCATTGAACCCGCATCGCGCACAGAACAAAAATCGAAAGCAGCGTGCCCCGGATTTCCACTATGTCTAGCAAGACAGCCTCGAAAATGGGGAATTGCTCCTCGAATCTGGAGCAACCGTCAATCCTCGGACCTCACACCTCGACGCACCATTCACACCAATACCAACTTCAGCAACCTCGACATCAACCTTTTCCCTTGTTACATACCGGTTCTACAACATTACGACTTTATCATTATATTTACCAGGCTCAATATTCTTCATCAGGAGTCTCTTTGGAGGAAATCACAAACATCAATTTCACATATGCATCAACACTGAATGCTTCATGGACAGCGTGGCGTACGGAGTTTCAAACAATAGCCCAACAATCATGAAAGGGCCCACGGGATTAAAAAAAGATATTAAACATGTTCATTGGGGCGATTTGGCCTGGCTTTGTCTTCTCTTTCTTTTTGGTATGCCAACAACGCGGGTTGTGTGGCCTTCTTTGTCTTCACGCGGGTCCTTGAGATGCGACTTGAGTATCAGCTTAGTACTTGAAAGTCTCTATCTTCACATCCTCATATTCCCTTGCTCCAGATTGTGGCTCGTCCAGAAAAGACAAGCTTTGCCTTGCAAGTATTTCGAGGGATGGGGTCAGAGTTTTGCTGGCTATCCCACCATTACAAAATAACTACAGAAAATGGAGTCTTCGATTTCAAATTGTCTTCTTTTGAACTGCTTTCGTGATTTTGCATCATCTTAGATCAGTATAGTTAATCCAATCAATTACACGATACCTTCATGAGTGCCAGTGCGCCTTTGTTTTTGATGCGTGACAGCAGTGTAGTTCTTCGATAATCATTGATTTTGAGGGACAACTGCTTTGATGAGATTGTCATACGACTTTAATTGAAAGCCATCCGATCTAGGGCACGAGTCTAAATACATCGTCAACATCCAATAGGAAATCCATCTGTTGGTGACGTTCTTGAAGTTCGGAGAAGTGTTTACCCCCCCTTTCCGTTAGATCACAGGAGAGTAAAGCAGTGCCAACAATGAGGTAATTGTCCGATCCGCGTCCGCCGGTTTCTAGCCTGCGCAAAATCACTGACTGATCTACACCCTGTAAACGACATACCAGGTCTCCCACACAAACATCCGCGGGACAGATCCCCAAAGCCCCAATTTTGGAATAGCCCCTTGAGACTCTATGCTGGAAAAGGCGATATTTCGAAGTACCCGGCAGAAACGGGTAGCTTTGGGACTCTTGATAGGTATCCAGGGCTTCTTCATATATCGCGTTCAACCTAAACCTTGCAGAATCCGATGATACATACGTATCCAGGTTCAAATGTTTTATCTTTCCCAAGGCGGCCGGGTCCAAATCTTCCACATTGATGATGAACTTGTCGTTTTCTTTGCTCACGCGGCCGTGGATATCACTATAATTCTCATACACGCTTCCAGCCCACGCGTCTACTGCACTGCATGTGGATATAATTTCCTCAGGCGGCGGGCCAAGACAGATAACAACGCTCGAAATGACGGCTGATAGCGTAATGGAAGCGCTCCGCGGCCTATCCGCTAGTTCTGAGGAAGGCTTTACAGGGCCTGGGCATCCCAACTGCGGATCTAGCGAATCTGACGCTGGAGTGTTATCCAGCTGAAGTAAACGCTTGATTAATGAGCCAATTCTTGCCATATTCCATGCATCGTATCGGGGTTGCCGGCTTATGAACGTCACAGTATCCTTCCAAACCTCGTAGGTGGTTTTAGAGTAATCTATGGGAAACCTGTGACAGTCGCTGGCGAGTCCAACAAAACCATATATCTTGTCTCGAGGGTCTTTGCATTTCGAGCTTCTATATGCCTTCAAGAGAAATAAGAGAGTTTGATTGTGTTCGTACTTCAATCGAAGGTGGCGGTCAAACTTATGCGGCTTGTTTGTGCGGCTAACAAGTTCATCCAAATTGGTAATGAAGTCTTTCCAACGTAACCTTTCCGAATCAAAGCATACTTCGATGTTTCGTGCTTTGAAGATCTCTTGTACAATCCATACACGCTCCCAATAAGGATGATGAGAAAGTAATCTATACCGTTCTTCTTCGTCCATATCGAGCGATGGCGATTGAATTCCAAGGAACACCAGTACCTTAACCGCCCTGGCATATATATGTGCCATGATGCGGATCTGCCGATTGCGCTCCGGGATGTCCTGTTGATTGATACATATCGCGTCGGCCCAGATAGGAATACCCCCCTTACGCCGTCGCAAACTTTTGAGAGCGTCGAAGAGGTTGAACCCGACTTGGACCTTTTGGCCGTCAACGTAGATGTCATACTTCGTGGATTCGTCACCCCATGTGTATGACAGGGCATTGTATTTGGGGCGTTGGCCGAACTCAACATGAACAAGTCGGCAGCGTATCGGTTCACTGTGCTTCTTGAAGTTCTCAAAATACAACACTCGAATTGTGTCTGCCGAGGGATTCAGCGGCTGATAGCTGTAATTTGCTAGAACATCACTTAGTTTTGAATGTCTGTCTTAAGCAGAAAGCTGACCCTGCTGCTTACACATAACCATGGTGCAGGATTTTACGACCGAAGCAAAACTGCACTTGATATAGGAAGAACAGGACTGTGCCCCGAGGTGGAAAATATATTTCTGTTGTTTCGAGGCTGAGCTCCCAGGTGGGCGCGGGGAAATGTCTGCCTGCAGCAGTAGAACAGCCACAATGTTGATGAAGGCGTGGATGCATGTAAGCACCCTTGGCAAGCGACCAATCATCAGCACGCTCGATACATCAATCATTTGAGCTTAGAAAGCGCCACTGGCGCTCACGACATCTCCATTCGACGACGGCTTGCGCTGGTAGTATAACTTCACGACAGGCCAGTCTCGAAGGGAATGAGGACGCCTCTATAACCGCCCAATACATATTTATCTATCAGCTCCTCTGATTATATAGTTATCTGTCTCTGATAATAGGAATCGGGCTTAAGAAAAACATGATACTGAGGCATGCGAAAGACTTCACTTTATACGAACGTATATTTACCAACAAATACCATAGAAGTGCGGCGCACTGAAGAAAGATCGTGCAAACACTCATATGCGTAAACAAACAATAACGCTAAATCCTTGCCTGGGCCTCACCCGCATCGCCCAACGCATACAGATCCTTAGGGTACCCATCGATGTCGCAGCTGGCGAACCTCCACCATCCCTGATGCCACCACGCGCTATATCTGATCAGCGCCCAGCGAATCGGATACGGCATCGGAGGCCAGCTTTCCCAAAGCCTCTCCTCGTACGTCCTGTCGAAGTTGAGGAACACGAATGCGAACACTTCTGCGTAGCCTGCCTTGGTAAGGGTCTGCCTGCCCCATGTCTTGAAGACCGCGGTTGCATTTGGAAAGGAGCCCATGCGGGAGAGACTGGCGATGGTGGAGATCTCGGAGTGGAAATGGTGGTCCAGTGGTGCTTCGAAAGTCTTCATGATTTCGAGGAGTTTGGCTGATGAGAAGTCTGATGGCGAGGAAAGAGTGGTGAGATATTCGTTGAAGGCGACCAAACCGGGAAGCATTGCCTCTGGAATGAGGGTATTAGATTAATGCACGCGCAACTCTGTCTACGCATTCAAACCTACCATGTTCGTGATGTGTGTCTCCCCAAACCTCCTTATCTTCCTTTCCGAGCATCTCGACGATCCCCGGAAACAGATTCGCCTCTTCATCATCGTGGTGCGACTTCACCAGCTTAAACCACGCGAGACAGTACCCGATGAAATCGGCATAGTCCTCGGGCTTCACGTGGGGCGCTTGCAGATATATTGAATTGTACCCTCTCAGAACGGAATTATGTATTAATGCCATGTGAGATGCACCCTTAGTGAACGTATCGTCTGCTTTAGTTGTGTACATTGGTGTTTGTACCATTTTGAGTGGGCCATCTGCCCACGGCCTTTGAGGCGATGTTCCTTGCGATGAGGCCATGATTGGACTTTGCTTGTATTGGAGATAGGCGAATGCGAAAATGGCAGCAAATATTGACAGAAACACTGTCGATTTAGGAACTGACATTTCTGGAAATGCGAATTGAATAAAGCAGGCAGAGGAATGCGACTGCGTTCTAATAAGCAATCTGTGATTGGGTGATGGCGTGATGTCAACGTAGGCGGGCAAGCGTGGCGTGACATTTTGCGGAAACTCTAGAGAGCCGCAGCCTGGAACTATCATCGCTGAGAACAACACAACGGTGTCCTCATGGCGAAGCCATTTGGTAGACGATGTAGATATCTCACTGTGGAGCACATATAATCTAGTTGCTCCTCTTTGGCGGTGCACTTGGTACGAGCATGACCAGATGTGGTTAGTTGCAAATCCGATTACCGCATTCGGAACGAGCTGGGAGTGTGATAAATGCTTTGAACGCTCTACCACAGAACCACTGTCAAACGTGTTCTCAGAGACAGTCAAGCTTCTTTGACATGCTAGGCCTGCGCCGGCTAGAGTAAAGTGTGCCGAAGTCCAGGCTGTAAGGCTGAAACAACGTTGCATGAACCTGGTACACAGATTTTGACAGCTGACGCACGATGAAACTCACCTTATCCCCCACGCGACTTTTCGAGACCTTCCAGGCGGCCAGAACGTGAAAATGGTATTGGATTGGCAGAGTTGATATCAAATATAATGTAAAATGCAGGTGGAGCTGCATACTCTGAAGGCGAGCCATGGAAACCAAGTCCAAGGACGATGCGACAACATATAATGAATAAAAATAATGAAATGGACCACCAATAGCCAAGGTATCTTTGTAGTTTTGTGCCGTGCCAATTGAATGCGTGCACAATATTATTATCTCACCCAAAACTCAAGCCTGGAAAAACTTGTTGCCTGCTTGTAACCCCGCGCGGAAACGATTCTTCCGCTCTCGCAACCTTGCCTATAGCGAACGTCCTTTCGTAGCCCACTAGATCATGCCTGGTCATCAGGCCAATGACATACCGAAAGTTGTGATCGCGGCCACCACTAAAACATCCACGTAACGTCCACTGGCGGATCGCATACTGGAGCCCTCCCCCAATGAGCCTTGGGCGTTGCCTTGCCCATTGCCGATTTCACCATTAGGGTTTGCCGTACCGGGATCGCCGATCTGACCTCCTCCGTTGCGCTCTGTCGTCTCAATAGCGATATCTTGGAATGGTTGACCTGGTGGGTTGTTGACACTCTCTACCAGCTCGCCGAAACCGATCATCGGGTTGTTCAATCGATCACAGTTCATGCGACCTCCATTTGCGTTGAGTGGTCCTGGCGGGGGCTTTGTGAGAAGTTGATCCGCGCCCGGGAATTGTGGTATGCTATTAGTGACGCTGATCGGGAGATTGAAGATACTGTAATGGTCGCTCCCATTGAGTCGAAAGTTCTGATGAATTGTGATGTTGTAATCGCCACGTGCCGTCGAACCATCCTGGTCCTGTCCGTCGCCAACAAGGCAATCCGGCCATTCGAAGTTGATGTGTTTAACGGTCTGTCCTAGCTCCTGGTCCATGATGTTCGCCAATGGCGGTGTTGTTGTGGTGATGTTAGATATTGTGAAATTCTTCTGCTGCGAAATGCTCGTCAAGAACATGGTGAAATTGAAGACTTGTGTGAGCGGGTCCGATATATCCTTTGGTGGCACGGGAAGTTTGCCATCTCCAGAGACGTCGATTGCTATATGGAGGAAATCACCGCCCATCGGTGTATTTGGTTGAGGCTGGAAGACATGAGCTAAGGACGGCTTGTGGAAACATTCAAAAAGCAAAGCTCACCGCTAGGATTATTCCGAGACCTGGTGTAAATATGCGACCATTGACAATATTGAAGCCATTCGTGTTAGGATTATTGTTGTTGTTGTTTCCTCCACCACCTTGCCGTCGCTCTAGATGTGAGCTGGAATAAGCTCCGATCATCTGTCCACATGCATCCCTCCATAACAGCCCCGACCCCAAGAGCAATAAATGCGATAGCGATGATAACCTGATCATTGCTCAACAGCAATACCGCATTATTCTCACGTTGGTGAGTTAGAGTCGAATGAATTGTACAAGAAAGGAAAATGAGTGTTGGGTAATAAGAAGAAAGAGGATGGAGGGAATCAAGGCAGAAAAGATACAGAGCATGCAATTTGCCTGCAATGGGCTTCGTATCCGCCTAAGCACGCCGGCATGATTGCCATGGCGCATGAACAGGTGTGGGAGGTCGAAGAACGTAGCCGAAGCGGGAGAAAGATGCCGTCAACCGTCAATGACTTGCTTGGCTTCGCGTGAGAGGATGGCAGTCTTGCTGAGACGCGGGGCGTGTTGAAATGAGGGCAAGGGGTGAATCCAGGATTGAGGTCGTTGATATACCGTCCCTACCCCGATATGGAATAGTGCACCGTTCATACCGTCCGCTTAACACCTTCGTCATTTTAACATTACGATCTTGAACTCTTCATCCCGGAAATTGGTTCCGAGCTATCCTTACTTTGCAACTAACTGGGTAATCGGGGATCTAGATCTCGAGTAGCTTAATCGGGCAGCAAAGCCCATGTTTGTATCATAACAATGAGATTGGTCGAGATGGTGGCCCTACAACCCTAATAGTAATACCGCAGGCACATCATGCACTTCCATAGTAATATTCGTAGCTACTTGATTAACTCATTTGGCAGACTCTTTGTGCATCGGTTTCCCTGACTTCCTGCTCTTACCATTTGAACTGCTGGAGGCAGTCCAGAGTTACCGAGAATCTATCATTGATCCTTTTATGGTGTAGCTCAAACTTCAGCCTACAACTGTGACTCAATCGAACACCCCTGGGCGCAATAGATTTACTGTATAAATGGGACTGAAATGGGACATAACGAGAGTCTATGCACTTTGAAAAACGAGAAACCTTTACTTGTGAAATGCAGGTTCTGTTGAGATAGTCTAAACGGCTGGCTACTGGGCAGGCCTAAATTCACCTGCGAATTGCTTGGCACTGGTCAAAACAACCTTCACTGAATAGGTATGTATAGTGTGGGTAACATGATAAGTTAAAAATGCTTCATGAGAGTTTAGCTCATCTACCTTTCCTATGTCAATCGTGCTCTGCCTGTATAAATTGCACACTGAATTCTAAATTGAAATCTGTAAGCACGACGAACTGACTGTATATTTAGGATCAACAGGGCTTCAATATACAGTGAGTTGGACATGTATTTGGGATGAGTTGGCCGTAAATATAGGGTGAAGTGATTGTTAAACTGCACCCTAGTGGTCAATGTCACTTCTGCCTTGGCGGTAAATTCGCCGTACATATGCAGTGAAGTGATTGTAAAAGTGTGGCAAATTGGCCGCAACACTGAATCTAAACTGGACTGTGCGTATAAGAGGGACTAAATGCATACATGACTGCATACTTAATTGCAGATTGGTCCACACTATTCCATTAATCACCTTCACCTCTACACAACTCGAAAATCCCCATATACGAACTTCGCAATGACGGATCCTGGAACGCGAATCGGACCCAACGATGGATTTGAGACTTGCAACATGTTTATGAAGCAAGTAATCGATGCATCGAATCAACTGAAACTCTCGTCGGCCTTGGGAATTCGGCAACGCAATCGTTACGATTTCGTGCTGAAAAATAGGACGTCAGACAAGTACTTTCCGAGGCTAGAATCGCGGAAAGAGAATGAATTCCTCAACCGAGTCTATTCTATCGATCGCTGTTGGTGGCTGCTGGTCCTCTCCACTGCCGCACACAAGAATATCACCAAAACGAAGAGGCCTATCTTGGAGGAGGTGATCCTGGCAATTACAGAGAGGAAGGATGACACAGAAATAATACACTCTGGGATTAGACGCATCGCAGAAAGCATGGGAATTTTTGAATTGGCCGAACACCCTGGTACTCCGCAGTCTAGTACTCAGCAGTCGAGCGATACATCGAATCCCTGGGACGAATACCCCAGTGTTGGAACCTGGCGAGTCTTTACAAATCCTGCTCCGGACCTAGAGGACTGCAGATTTGGGGGCATTATTCTTGAGAGTCTCGAAAGGATCGATAATACTTTTGAAGCAGTGACCCTACGCGCTCCTTTGTGGGTACTATCCGGCGAGCCTGTCCCCTGTTTTGTAAACCTGAGGATCTGCAAACGACATGTACAGAGCCTTGGAAATACACTCTTCAACACGGATATAGCATGGACGGGACACAGCTTTCGTGTTTTCCACGAAGATGGATTGATACAGACCGTGCCCTGTCCTCAAATCACTTTGACAGGTGTTTCAGACGAGGTTATCTTCGAAGTGTTTGGGCCACGAATACGTGAGGCAGTCATTGCATGCCCCATCCGACAAAGCGAACTAGGAAACGGAATATCCAGGACCGAGTGTGTTTCAATGACCTTTTCGAAAGACGAGGCCTCCATTGACTTGTCGTTGGACTTGGTGAAAGGCACAGATATCTTCATGAAGCGGAACTAATGTATGTTGTCACCGAAGAGGGTGCTATCACTAAAGATCACACCACCATGCCAACATCGCGACTATCAGAGGACCATTATCTCGAAGAGAATCAGTCACTGTATATAAGTGCACTGTAGCCTATAATAGTATTCAAGAAAAATTAGCTACTTTCTCAATCTCCAACTTGAAGTGCAGAGTTTTGTGTTGTGACCTAATTGACAATCCTACTACGCCGATTGTGCCTCTGCCCGTGCACTGTTCTGTAGGATGTTTATTTAATATGTCTTAATGGTCTACACATAGTTTCTTTCTTGATAAAGTATTACTTTGCACATGTCACTAATGCTGTTGATTGAATCACAAATGATACTATTGTAATAAGACGCACCTTAGACTGAAACAGGCATCCTTAGATTTCCGTATGTCTGTTGGAAAGCTGATGTTTACGATGTTATTAGTAGATAGGAGCCAATTGAATAGAGAAGGAAAATGCGGTAACTGCGCTGTTTCTTCCGTCCATGCTGCTTTTGAAGTCTTGAATCAGCATTCCAGTCTGCTTCGACTGTTTTCATAAGATAGTAGTCACATTGTTTGCCCGGCCTTTCTCACCTACTTGCTCTTTGCAACACCACCTAATAACAGTCCGACAAAAAGCGCACTTGTCGTTACCATATACGAACTAACCCCCCATGCACCTTGTATGTCAGTCTTGATGATAGTCCAACAGATGCCGAACAAGAGACTCGCAGGAATAGTTAGACCGACAATTAGAATGATGATCAAGACAATGTTCCAATCTTCTTCATAGTGCAAGCCCCATCCCTCTGCTGCCACCAGCCCACTAGCTTGTATCTTGCCACACTTTCGCTTCGGGATTTGTTTGAGGACGCTCGTTTCTTTTGCAGAGATCAGTTCGGGGTGCTTGAACTGATGCAACAACTGTGAAGGTAAGATGGGCGGGCCGAAGCGCAAAGGCCCAGCTGGCTCGCAGTCGTAGTCCTCATTTGACGTCAGTGGCACACATTGGCACGAATCTATTCTGCAGCATAAGTCGTGAAGACGAGGTTCTACATTATCGTTCAGACGTAGATGGAACTTTCGTGGAGTAAGCCTACTGTAAGAATATTATGTGCCATGCCATTTGACTGACCTTCGTAAAATGGATTCCTGTCACTGTTTTCAGCAGTTGGATGGGCCAGCGCACGTTTGGAGTACGTGACAATTGCTGTCGAATAAACCAGAAGAGCTGTCGATCGTTCCTTATCGCTTCTATGCTATCCTGGCACAAGATTTGCCCGCCATGGTTTTGAGGCACACAAGCCAATAGTAGAAGGTCCTGTACGAACGGTAGCCTGCCCTTTTTAGATGTATCTGTTACTTTTGTGCCGGGACCGCTATGTCGTGGTAACATCTCGTTGCGATTCGCATCTTTCGAAAAAGCTCTTGCAAGATTTCTGACAGTTTCCCGAATCCAGTTTATAGGCCCTGGTATATACCGTTCTTGTGATGCCCCTTCGTTGTAGGAAGTGGCAATAACCTTACTCCCAGTGGATCGCTCCACCTGCTCCATGAGCCTGGAAATACCACCTATCTGGTACTCCTGAACATCGTCGAACAGAGGAGCACCGCAATCCTAAGGCATTCGTCAGCATCCTTCGTCTCAATCAAATATCGACAACACCAATCCAGCTTCCATCAATCTTTGAGCGCGATCTGTGATCTACTTAATTACTTACACATTGCCATCTGAGTCGGATAAAGCCTGGCCGCAGGGGTGGTTCCAAACACCCAGCCGCAACCAGAACAGCCTTGAAGATCCGGACAGTCGAAATTGAAAAGCGCGCAAACCGAGACGAAGGGGCCTGAACCGAGCGACCTTGTACAGAATCTTCAATGCCTAACAAGTGTAAGTCCTTTCCCAGAACGAATTTAGTCAGTCTTGCTCGGAATATCTGAAAAGCAGAACTGCTAATGAGGAAGGTTCGAAGCAAGGCAAGGTCTTCGAAATAGTCCTCATCCACGGGTGCCACTTCGTCCACGTCGTCGACTTCAAGCTGGTCTTTGCCAACCACGAGTTCTGCTCCACTGAGCTCAACATGGTCTTCGAGGTCGTCTCCATTTGGAGGTGCCAATTCGTCCACTTCGCCCACTTCGTCCACGTCATCGACTTCGAGCTGGTCTTCGTCTCTCTTTACACTATCTACGCTGCTTTTGATTTGCTTTACCTCTAGGTGGGGTCGCTGTGGGTCTCCTGGAATATCATGAAACCTCTCGATGATACACTGTGCCACATATTGTGCTTTGGTCCATACGAAACGAGATGCCATCCTCTCTATATTTTGGCCTGCCTCGCTACGAAGTTCCTTTGCGAAGAATTGGAGCAAACGTGCGATATTTCGTTGCAGTCTGTCTGGTCCTATTGACGTATTTTTCAAGGCCAAATGATAAAGACCAATGAGTATCTCATCTTCCTGGAAGACCCTTTCAAGTTCGACAGTGGCGCTCTTGTCCACCGCCGTGAGGCCACTAAATGTCGATATGAGAGTTGAAGATCCCACTGATTGTACCGACATTCTGTCGTCGTCATGATGAATGTTGTGATCTTGCTGCCTCTGGAATTTGCTCTCACGATACCGATCGAAGTAGTCAAACATCACCGTTAGCGATGGTGATTTTTGCTTGATAAACAAGGCGAACTGCGCAATTTCGAGCGGCATTCCCTCCAGGTGGTGGAGAAGAGGTCGGGCAAGTGACGGAGTAATTTCTTTGGATGTTACCGAGCTATACAGAAGCGCCAAAGCGTCATCATCATCCATTGGCCCCACTTCGACAACGGTCCCGAAAATACCAACAAAATTAGATGCTACACGCTTGTTCCTTGACGTGATTAGGATCATACCGTGCTTTGTATAAGGAAGCAAGATCTCGGGCGCTCTGCCATTATGTTCATCGCCGAGGAAGACATTGTTATCGGTGAGGTTATCCAGTATCATCAACCACGGTCTGTTCAACTTTTGCGACAGCCACTCACGCACAATACGCGGAATGGCTTCACGAGAAATCTCCGGCCCAGCTAGTTCAAGTCTCTCGGCGATGTCTCTGTATCCTTGCTGAATCGTGACGTGATTACTCGCATCTATCCAGATGACCGTGGGAGACGGCTCTACCGATTTATATATGTAGGCGTACTCGAGCGCAATCTTCGACTTTCTAGCCTAATGTCAATCTCATTGCCTAGAGTAGTAATAGAGCACATATACGAACCCAACACCCTCAACTCCAACAAGAGCTGCTCGAACGTGCGAACCCCCAGAACTTGTGTGCTGGCCGATTCTGCTGAGGATGCGCTCTCGACCGACGAATGATTTGTCTCTTCTGAAAGGGACCATAAACACCCCAGTGCTCATTTTGAGTGCGCTACGGCGGCGGTCTATCCTCTCTCTCAGCCGCAACATCGCGTTGTTGATTCCCTCTCCATACATTCGCGGTAAGTGTACCCCAAGAATTCCAAACAAACAGTACGCTTTGTCTTCCTCCAGGGCTGCACTGCGTCCAACAACCCAACCTATTCGTTCCTCTACGCTACACTCAGCTAGATTCTTCCCCCTTAAAACTGCCTCAGGAATGCTGGTGATTTGGTGAATCTCAAGCGCTAGTGATGTCCTATTACCTAGCCGACGACCCTCCCTCGAGAAGAACTCCACGCACGATGGTGCCAGCAGTTCTTGCAGTGTCCAGCATTGCTCAAACCATCGGCTCCGTCGAAATGACTGCCATATTTCGTGATTGTCCATGTCATCGGTAACCTGCTCGTGCAGAGGAATATCTGATGCAAACCCATCTGGTACAGAGACGTCTGCCAAAAGTACATAGCACCGTGTTGCAGACTGGTACCAATTGTACACAGAGTTCATCCCTACACTCATTTCTTCCTTATTGAATCTGTCGACACAGCAAGAATCTATCCAAAAGTATTGCAACCCATCCAACTCGGCTCGTTGGCTACAGAACTGGAGCTTGCGAAACCCTGCCTTTTCTCTTCCTATGCCTGCCATCAGATCGCGGTATGTGACTTCTTCACCATCCTCCCCCCCGACATGTGAGAGAATGGCGTAAGGTGGTGGATCGTCGGTCGGAAAGGAGGTCAACTCGAAGTTGTCGTCTGGTAGGTGTCGTAGGAGGCGCATCGTGGCCTTTGTACAATACGTATAGGATGAATATACTACGATGGTAGAAGGTAGTCACCGAGGTAGACGTCAACTGCGTAGGTGTTCACAAGATAAGCAGGTTGACGCACAAGGCTGTATGCTTTTGAGCGGTGTCCAATCAGGTAGACGGAAAGATCACAGTCGTGACAGTGTACGGATTCCCTCTTCTCTGACCTATTTTGCATATACTACGCGTGCACTACCGAGAATTAAATCGCAATTGAAGATCTGTTTTGAGTAACAACAAAACAATTTCGCATCGTTGACCAGTGCATTACATACATGCGAGAACACAGATCGTGCAGGATGAGCAAGTGATTTGTGTAGTCCTACGTAGTATAGGGAGGTAACAGTAGCAAGGCTAAGCCCCTTTCGGTTTTTTCTGTAACCCAAAAACAAAGACCTTCTAATATATTGCCCAGGTTTAAACAACCATACGGTACGCTGTATTATAGCTTAAATAATTGTTAGAAAGAGGCAGAAAGTTGAGAATAGGTCTCAGGTGCTAACGTGGTATCAGAGAACTGACTGCATCTTGGAGGGTCGTGACGGCTTTTCCATATTAACTCGTAGTGTGGATTGGAAGAGGGTTTAGGTAGAAAAGCCTCAGGAAGAAGTTCGAAACTGTTAATGCTTTGCAGTTCTTGGCAGTCTTCTTGCAGCCAATTTGACAGAACTTGAGCATTGAAGTACCTGGTGGATAATTTGAGAGGCTTGAGCAGGGTCGCGACTAATGAGCATACAGATAACGTGGAGGCAGGAATGGCTAGTTTATTGGAATGCCTCGTCATTCATTAAAGAAAATATATCAATTGGGTGTTCTGTCAAGTGATTCGCAAGAAAAAAAAAGAAGAAAAAAAAAGGAAAGCAACTCCCCTCCGACCGCATTTAATGAATGTTGACTTTAACAAAGGATGGCCCAATACATTTTCCTGGCATGAACCCAGTTCCAATCCTCACATAATCCTTCGGCTGCGAGGGGGTTACAGTATTCTCCTTGGGCTTGATCACCAACACTGCATGTCTTTTATCCTGATCTGGCATACTTCCTTTCTCTTTGCCCATTACCACGCACAATGTCTCGCTTAGTTGACTCAAAGAACTTTTCGGGGTGTCCCATACTAGCGCCCCCTCACTTTCATTCGCAGCACCGGGGTCATATACTCTTGCTTTTGCTACCAATACAGGGGGACCCTCAATCGACTGGCCCCCACCTCTTGACCACGGACTTTGTATATCTTCCCAGTCGAGTGTTCCAAAACCGATGTCCAAATAATCAATACCTCCTGTGTATGCCATCCACGACCATGATGGAACACCTCCTGTTGGGAACTGGATTGGTGAAAGGCTTTCTGTATCGCTCCCACGACACCATAATAAGCTGCGACGCAACAAGCCTCGAGTCGCGTCCCCGTCGAAGACCCCAAAGCCACCATCGACACGCATCGTGCGGAGAAGTCGTTGCTGGAGACCTTCTATGGCGATGGGGCGTTGGTATGATTGGGACAACCCGAGACGACTATATTCGGAGTAAAGCTTCTGGTAGCGAAGAATCCTTTCACCCACAGCAGCATGTGAGAGAATTTGTGGGAAGTTGGGATCGCCGAGGAGTGCGGCTTGCGTACTGTTGTTTGGGATTAGCAGTGGCGAGAAAGGCGAATTTGTGGGAAAACGTAAACTTACTTTCTCATTTTACCCATAGTTTCGCAGCGGACACCATCGCCACATTCGAAGTAGGTCTGGTGTTCCGTGAAGAAGATGGTTCGACGGGCGAGAGCATGCTCCTGAAGAACCCAACCACGACGGTTCAGAGCACCCTCGAGTACGTGTTCTTTGAAGTTATCGATAGTCTGACACATTGCGAAAGGCATGTCATTCTTCCCCTCTGGACGCATGTTCACAATGTCTCGATGGTTGCGTTGATGAAAGAACCCCGAGAAATGATCGGTGGAGCAACTAGCGGCGATGACACAGTTGGCACCACTGTAAACGTCTTCCATACGTTTGGCCTCTTGCTCAAAATCCCCGTCGGGACCTTGAATGATGCAAATGGAATCGATCCAAAGATATCGGTGGCCAAGTGCACGAGTGACTCTGACAGCATCTCTAAAAGTAGCTGCAAGTTTTCCTATCTCAATCCCTTGTTTATGCTCTTCAACATTATTGGGATATGTTGCGAAATGAGGCTCTGGACCCCACTGATGTGACAGCGCGATCCATTCTCCGACATCTTCTGCGGTTGTTTCCCATAGTCGCACCGTGCCGTTTGTCCCTACATCTATCAGCCTAGTAGGCAGTCGCACTTTCGCATCTCGGCTTCCGCATATGTGCTCAGCTGGTTTGCAAATATTCGGGTTATGGTTTTCGTCGCAGTCGCGGAGCCATTGTCTGACGACCTCCATATGTTCGAATCCACCCTCTGTGGGGAGTTCAGCAAATCCAATTTGGATATCGTTGATCGATTCAATGTTTCGAAGCGGCCTACGGACCATCGACAGCACTGGAAAGCCACCACTGTTCATTCTTAGTGTAGAACCAACGCGATTGAACTGCACTGTCAAAGAGCTTCGACCACTGTTCCGCTTGCAAGTTCTCCAGAGCAAACCACAAACCTCACAACCGGGAATGCTCCCACGGCTTTCGAGATCGGCCACATTGTATGTGATCGAGAATCCTGGCGTCCATAGTTGGCTGCGAAAATCGTTGCAGCTGGGACAGGAAGAACAAAATGGCTGTCCATCCGGGGAATCAGCTGATTGCTTCAATCCCAGCGATTTAATGAGCTTGGAGGCAAATCCAGTATCGACTAAGTATTTCCAGTCATCTTCATCGAGTTCAGGAGATGCATAATCCACCTATGTAAGAGGTTAGACGCGGCCGTCAATGAGGTAGGATCAGGACGTTTACCTTTTCTACAGTTGGAGCTGTGAGGCCAGCCGAGGATGACTTGCTCTTGTTTACGGAATTGGTAGTGAATGATTCCCCTCGCTCAATATTGAAGTTGGATGTGACTGGTTGATTAGCTGATGCCAATGCAGAGAGAGGCTGTGGTTGATTGATGTGCCAGTAGCTCTCGTCTTCATCCTCTCCCAAAATATGTTCCAGTCGAGTCCGAAAGTCGGTTGCTAGACAGCGAGCAGGTCCCTCCGGCTCTTTTTCTGGAGGAGCAGGTATTCTCTCTGGCTCTTGCGTCTCTGCGAGTGTCACTGTGATTGAGGGGAGATCCACTGGTGTGACTGGTTGTGTCGTAGACCCAATTATGGACCCAGAAAAGCTACCAAAAGAGTCTTTACGAAGAGACGGCTTTGGCGTAAAAAGGCTTGTGTGTGCAACGTGTGAGAGAGATTGGCTACCTTCCTGTTCATCCATGCGACTTAGATTTGATCCCAATCGTCGAGGTAGTTTTACTACGAGAAGGGAGTTCTTAACCAGATCAAGCAGATCTCCTAGGGCAGTGGATCCTATCCTGCAAGCTGGTTCCTGTTCAAGATATTCCATCCAACGCACTGCGTCGTCGTGAACTCGCGCCACCTTCTTTCCATCTACCTCAAGGATTTGATAAAACGGTGAGTTTTCACCAGACTCTCCTTGAATGCTGCGGTTGAACTCATCGAGTTTTTTCCGTCCATAAACAAGCCAAACGATGAATTCCAAGGTGATGCAGCCCATAGCCCATATATCATATAAGCGAGAACGCCGTTTCCTTGGTTGGCCGAGAAAGCTTTGTCTCACTCCAGTTATGACTTCCGGAGATTCGTAACGTCGGGTGCCATACTTTGCCGTTGTCTTGCTTGGGCGCAGTTCCGTGTTGATATTATGTATTTTGGCCTCGCCCCAGTCGCCCATTTTCAGCGTGCCGATGGATCCACCGCCACTGAAACGAAGAATATTCTCAGGCTTGAGATCGCCATGGCGGTAAGAGGAATTGTTTTTACCGAGGTTGTGAGCACGGTCAAGAGCTGAAGCAAGTCCCCATAGTTGCTTTATCACATCTTTGACTAGCTGAGCTGTTGATTTGATGGACGGGTCTTGCTTCCAAAGGCCCCGGAGATTTCCATGATCCGCCCACTCAAACATCAAATAATGCTCTTGCCCACCCCTGGTATTGCGACGAAAAGCAGTTATAAAGCGCACAATGTGGGAGTGGTTGAGTTGATTCATCATCTGGAGGGCGCCTACTTCATCTGCCCAGTGTTTAGCGACTTCTTCAGCGTCTTCTTCTGCCTTTATTTCCTTAACGGCTATAGTTCTGCTCCCTACAGATTGCTGCACAAAATTAGTATAGACTCCTATACTGGCTCGGCCAAGTGTTCACGTACAGGGTTGGATGGATCATGTAGGTGGTTTTCATGAATATTGTAGCACGAAACTAGGCCGAACGATCCTTGATGTAAGTCGGTATGTTTTTTTATGAAAGGAAGGATAAGTTCCTCTTCGAGATCGTGATTAGCCTCCTCTGTCGAGAACACAGGCGCGAGAAACATCCATTGAGACTCACAAAAGTCCCAACGCCATGTTCCACTTTGCGTCTTCCCCTTTTCCTCTGCTAGAACCGATCCTGCGGAGGAAATCTGTTGCCAAATCTCGCATTTGTCTTTCTCTGCATTTTTAGGGACCAACTCGCCATCACGGTATCTGAACGGTAAATTCTTATCGCCCCAGTTCTTCTTTTTAAAAAATTCCATCGCTTTGCGTAAGTGAGAGGCGCTCCGATCCAGTCGCGTATAGACTAGAATCGCAAATATCTTCATTGCTTTGGTCAGGACGAATTGCACTAGCTCTTCATTCTTCTTTTCCTTCCTTTCCTTCTTTCTTGGATCTGTTAGATCAAGCGCGGCCAGGACAGTGTCCCTGGTGATATAATTCTCTACCTTTCCCTCAGGCATAAATTGATGAGGGGTCTTGTCAAACTCGCTCTTGATACCGCACCCATGGCCTCGCAATGTGCTAGAAAGGAGTTCCTCCTCTTCTTCGGACGAAGAAGTACTGGAGGAACTGGCCGGAGAGTCGTTTTCCATGGCGAAAATCCCAAGATGCGCCTGTCATCAAGAGTACAATGCAGACAAGGATGTTACTGCGTCTGGCTGAATGGTAGTCGTCACAATAGTAAAAGTTCTTGTGAAGTAAGAGCCGCATTTACTGAATGACAATAGCGGAGAACGAATACTACTTAAACGGAAAGTTGATACAGCTATGAAAAGAAATATGAGCTTAATGGACCCCAAACATTGGGCGCAAAAGAGCGGGAGTGATAAGGTTGCCTGGCACCAGCATGAATATGCGGCTCTGCTCCGCAAATCAGATTCTATCACCATGGTTCTTTGGCGAGTTGTGGTGCAAATCCCACCCTTTACGGCTGCCGTTCATGCATGAGCTTTATTGAGGGACCATGGGCGCAGGCGTGCCGCGTTCAGCCAGATTACGTCCATAGCCCCCACCTTTGCAACACGGCTCAGCCTGCCACACGCCCATTGACACATTCCACTGACGAAGGACATCTTTTCGATCGACTCGAACTATGGTTGAATGTGGCTTGTAGGCATTTCTACGTGTCGATGTCCCACCCTTGGCTCCCACTTATTTCGTCACTTGCAATTTTCGAGTTCTGTCTTTGGATCAGTTGGCGCTGTCTCTTGCAGTTTTGCTTTTTTTTCTCAATGTGGGTGTCTTACCTGAGATAATTGCTCAGAAGCTCTGATACTGTAGACATTATGCATCATCTGTTCGCTCCCACATCAGCCTCTATCGCCATGATGCCTTGGGGTTGAGATTACTCACATGGACCTCGAATTCCTCCCCAAATCTTTGCTTCAGCATGTTTATCAGCTTTACTGGGCTGATGTTTCCAACACAGACTTTCTGTGCTTCTTGCCGATCACTTTTGCGAGGCTGTAAATGTTGCTCAGCATTATATTTTGTGCTCATTTCGTATGGTATGGGTCGTGCAGCGTTCATAATTACGTGTTCAAGGCTTGCAATCGTAGATTCACCCTCTTCATGACAAGTTTGAAATTCTAAGCTGCCTCGAAGAATGTCGCGGTTTCCTCACAGTATTATATCACTCGGTTGCCACGGGGCAAATCCTGGGGGCAATCTTGTGGGCTGAGCCAGGTTTCGGGGCTGACAAACAGACAATAAGTCACACAGCCAGCAAGTGACAAATGCAAGCTATGCGTGAACACCCAGTTCAAGCGAGCTGACACCATCGGCATAGCCCCTTGTCCGTAGTTGTGGTAGTGATCTCAGTACGATCAATGTCCAATCCCTCGGAGCTCTCCTCGTGTGCGGACTCGGTCAATTCCAATCCAATAGGAATGGCGTATGACCTCCATCTCGTTTGCGCCACATTTACAGGGTGTAGGAAAGGAGTTCAGCCTTGTCTGAATTGGCCCCTATACCAAAGTGCAGAGGCTTGCCAGTTCCACCGGGATCCTGGAATGCTGTAATATTTATTCACCGGACCCGTCTTAATTTGTTCTAATTTGCTCTGATCCAAGCATGAATTGGTTGAGCTATTCATGAAGATATCTTCCTAAGGGTTTCATGCATCGCCGATCAGCCCTCTGTCCTCTCGTATCTGATAGTGCGTTATTATCTACGGCGCCTGGAATAGCCTTACTTTGATTTTTCAAAGTGAGACACGGGATCGAGTCCCCAACTCAACACGGTCCACGTGGCTATACTGTGGATCGAAATATGAAGTCCGATGGTATTCACCTCCATCACAATATATGTGCGTATCCAGTCGCTGACTAAATCAATAAGGCAGTTTCCCTTTACAGGAGGCCACTGGATTCACATCAGGGCAACCAAATAGTCCAGCAGTAGCTACCACTTCACATGACTTTGCGATCAGGACCAGTGCAAAAGATGGAAGTCCGCCAGAACCAGGCGGCAACGTCCCCAAAAAGAAATTGCATATTTCAGATGAAGCCCAGGCGTCCAAGCGTATGAGCTCTTCCTCATATAGAAAACTCAAGTCCAGAACAGCCTCATTGTCATTGCCGCACCGTATTATCAAGAACGATACTCCACCCAGGATCCTTAAGAGAGCTAAAACTTTCCACCCCGTCTTAAAAGAGTCGGTAGGCCGTCGAGCAGTTTTTTTGAGGCCTCAATTGCAAAATGCCGTAGTCCGGTCGCCCTATGTGCATAAGAAGTTTATTCCCCAGCAACAGTTACTCCGCATCGCAACTCCCGAAAGAGTCAGTAGGGAATTACTCAAAATTTGGCTTAAGAAGCCATGGAAAACGAAAGTGGTTCCAGATCCTGCAGACTCATACCAACGGATTCTTGCGATCCTGATCTTGATGGATCGCGGTTCGAAGATTAGAATGTTTGTTAAACGCAAAATTACTGATAATTACCTTCCATTCGACAAGATACCAAGAGAAGACAATAATGAGAAGTCACTTATGATGCTACAGAGTAGAGATAACCCCCAAGGTCCTGCGCCAACTTTCAGGAAGCAAGCCGATGCTGATGACTTCTTTGATCATCAGTGGATAGTTCTAGCGCCATTGTTCAAAGGCCCACTAGACATGCAGATCAATCACAACGAGATTCATCAGGAGGCTACGATGCCGTTCTTAAGCCAAAAGCCAATTGCAGCATCCGGGTTTGGCCAGGTCTTCAAGACCGAAATTCATCCCGAACATCACGACTTTAGCGAGGCCGAGGTATGAAAGTTCTTTAATCCATCTTATATAGCCTCAAACAATTGATAACTCTTGCGGCACAGAAGCCTTGCAACGTGTTCGCTATTAAGAGACTAAATTCCAAGAACGAGCTCGACTTTGAACAGGAGGTACAAATACTCAAAAAGCTCTCGGCCAGACCACATGCACACCAGCACCTGATCAATTTACTGGCAACGTATAAGTATGCTGGAGACTACCACTTGATCTTTCCGTGGGCAGAGACAGACCTTTTCGGATACTGGCGGAACAATCAGACACCATCGAATCAAGACCGGGCAATGGCAGATTGGATCGCGGAACAATGCCGGGGCCTCGCCGAAGGATTGAATAGAATCCACAGATACGAGACCAGTTCAGCTTCTTCGATTTTCAACTTTCTTCCAGCAGTGGTGGGAAGACCACAGTCGATGACGGCGACTCTAAGAGACCACAGTCGTACGGGTGACGTCCAGGCACATTATAGACAACCCAAGCGCCTCTTTGGTCGCCACGGTGACTTGAAGCCGGAGAATATTCTTTGGTTTCCTGATCCCCATGGAGGCGGTTTAGGCACTCTCAAGATTACTGACTTCGGCATCGCCCGTTTCAACACCCAAAACCTGGTATCTGCACGAGAGCGCGGTCAAGTCCCCAACTCCGCAACGTATCGGTCTCCAGAATGCGATTTGCCGTATGGAGAATTGAGTACAGCGTGTGATGTCTGGGCGCTCGGCTGTATTTTTCTCCAATTTGTCACATGGTTTATTGGGGGGTATAGCTACTACGAGGAGTTTGGCAGGAAGCGCCTCGCTATTGATCCAGGCTGGGCGGGGATGCTCACGGATACCTACTTTACTATCCTGATTGAAGGGGACAGGAAGACAGCTAAAGTCAAGGATTCCGTTACGCAGGTGAGAATCCTTCCACATTACTATGTGAAGAAAACCCCAAGCCTAACTCATCACGATTATGCAGATGATTGAGGAGCTCCGCTCTCACCGCGGACATGCTCATTCGGATTTCTTTAACGGATTTCTTGATGTGATTCAGGATGATATGCTTACTATTCAAAACTATGTTCGTAATGAGGAGAATCAGCAACTGGGAAACATAAATGAGCAACATGCTCCGACAACGGCGTTGAGCCGGCCAAGCAAGGCCTCTCCACGACGAAAGAGTTCAGGCGATATATTCCGCACACTTGGGAGTTTGAGTAGGCCACATAACGATTCAGATGATGATTTGAGCTTCTGATACTCATTGTAAAATATTGTTTACTCGGTTGATTCTTTCATAGTTGTAAGAGAACACGTAATCAAGGATGGGTTTCATGACATTCATTAATCTAATGTAACTTATCGTCTGACAGAGCAGATAAACCTTCTACGTAACTAGTCACACACTATTCCCATTAGGGTTTTGCACCAAGGTCATCTACATGTACTCCAGGAAGCCTTCCCTTGCCTGTCCGTGGTTTACTGTTTTGCTTATGAAGATAAAACTTATCTGTGCTTGAATTCCTCTGTCTCAATCTTAGTCGCTATTGTACAAGATATGACTTGTGACCTGAAGTTCCGGCAGGCAACGTTGTAAGTGTTAGTCGAACGCACGCACCAGCAGTCAATTTCTTGGGCAACGAGAGTGGGAGTTCTCATTCGATTATTAATCTATATTCATGAATTCTCATCTTGAGTACTGCTTGTCAACATATCATGAGATTATACTTTTCAATTTACAAATGTGGCACACATGACACGTGATAACATGTCAAAATTTCTCTCTAAGAATCACCGACGGAACGGGATAAGGCAAAAGCCAACACTTCAGGGTCACTCACTTTCGAAATTCACTGCCAGTAAGGATGCTCTGCACAGACCAATGTTTAGAAAGAAGTGATTTGCGCTTGCACTCACTTTCACCTCGCGTTTGCGCAATGACCACAATATCGTGAATAGTCTTCGACGAATTGGTATAGTGTATATGGCATATAAGTACATACTTTCGCTGTATCCATTCATTGTCTTAACGTGGAGTGGTGAGAAGAAGAAACAACCAGACCTCATACGACCGACGCCATGAACCAAGAAACCGACCCGCCCGTCGTACACCTTACACTGTTTGACCGCGTGTTCAATCTCCCAGCAGAATTGCGAAACAAGGTCATCGGTTACGTTCTATCGAATCCACAGGGAGTTTATGTCCACCGTGGGGTAACCAGAATGGAGTGGAGGTTCTGCAACAACCCTGCTGACCAGGGTATGCCTCAAGAAACCAATCAGCTGAAATATGTGAACCGACAGCTGCGCTTCGAGACCTACAATCGAATGCGTTTCCTGAACATTCTCAACTTCGATGGAAAGAATGCAGTGAGCGACTGCTTAGAATTCTTGGGCCAGAGACTTCACGATTTCTCGCAGAGATCAAACAGGTTGTCGTGTGGGTTCCGGAATGGGAGGAAGGAGCTGCATTCGGAAATGACTCGTTCTACCGGCTAGTTGAGTGGTTTGAAGAGCGCCCTGCCATGAGGTGTGACATTCGAACCATGATGCTGCATGCGAGTTCTGAAAAAGTCTTACGGCCGTTCATTCGTAGAGGTATCTGCTTTGAGGTCATCTTCCGCGGTATCCATTCCCTACGTAAAGCAGATCCTGCATTGCTTAACGAGTTTTGCTTTTGGGCTCTGCAAGGTCGTCTTCCCTTCGTTCGATATGTTTGGGAGGGGAAATGGCGTGCGGGTTATGTTTTCCCTACCAATGTCCGCATCTTTCCTGGCGACGATTATAACGAAGCCTTTTTCGAAGATGATACGATTGATTCACTCTATAACGGTCCTATCACGATGCCTCGTTCCCTGATCCGTAAATGGTACACAAAAGGCATCTAGATGCGGTATGAGAGCGTCCACTGTTCTTCGTGGCAGTATCTCAAAAATCTTGTTCCGGTCTCCCCTATCACTCTTGTTCATCGAGACATGTCAATGTATCCCCTTTCCACACCACCTTAGCATCAACACACCTCAGCCCAGGTATTCTTGATTGTGGGTAGATCAATGTAATGAAGGCTGAAAGATAGTAATAAAAAACCATTGGTGCCCATTTTCCATTGCTCAAGTACATATTGGCGAGGATTTCCTTATGTAAAAGTAGAAACATCGTGCATACGCTGTATTATCTGTGCAATATCAGTATGGAACTGAAGCCTCTATATCATATGGTACGTACGTGGAGGGATGGAAGAGTAATGTCTAGAACGACCAATGCTTTACATATGCAAAGTTCTCGAAGATATACCAAACTAGACGATTATTGACGAGTTTGCTGCAACGTTTTATCTTGCACGCGTGTTATGACTGCCATTACAAGGCTCTTTGACCCTACGTTGGAATAGTACCGCGTAAAAGCTGAACTGAAAACCATAACCCACGAATAGATTAAAAACCATAGACCAATATTGATGATCCATTGACCCCCTGTCGAAGGGTCACACTAGATGCGAAGACGAGGTAGAATTAAGAAATTGGAGAATCGCTATGATTGGCCAATTATGGTCAGTATACGGGGGTAGCGTGGTAGCTAACTTTGGCACCACACACTACCAAAATTATCTTTCCTTCCCAATAATTCCCCCCAACGTCAATCAACAATCCAACAACCGACAACACCACCCATCCCATCCCGTCACAATGCCGACTCACTTGAGCAAGACAAGGAAGCACCGTGGCCATGTCAGTGCCGGACATGGTCGTGTCGGCAAGCACCGCAAGCATCCCGGTGGTGTAAGTAACGCGACATCGAAATTTCCATTGCCAGCTTGAATACTGATATTTTCTCAGCGTGGTCTTGCCGGTGGTCAGCACCACCATCGTACCAACTTGGACAAATACCATCCCGGTTACTTCGGTATGTGAAGATTGCTTCTCTCTACTGTGTCATGGCCGTTCTAACAAACTGCAGGTAAGGTTGGTATGCGCCACTTCCATCTCCTCCGCAACCACGAGTGGAAGCCCGTTGTGAACATCGACAAGGTAGGCCTGCATTCGCTCTTTCCCAGCAACATTGAGATACTTACACAACGAAGCTCCTCGCCCTCATCCCCGCCGAGCATCGCGAGAAGTACCTCACCACCTCCGAGAAGCCCAAGACTGCCCCCGTCATCAACCTCCTCGACTACGGTTACGCCAAGTTGTTGGGCAAGGGTCGCATCCACATCCCCGTCGTCGTTCGCGCTCGCTACGTCAGCGCCGAAGCCGAGAAGAAGATCAAGGAGGCCGGTGGTGTCATCCAACTTGTCGCATAGAGCGCTCCTGGATTCGGATCAGCATATAGCATCAAAAATGGGCGTTATTGGGTATACCCTACTACCATTAGTGTAGTATTTCAGCGTAGTGGCTGGGCCAATAGATATCTTCAATTGATACATTGGCCGAACAAACTTTTTCCGTCCTGAACCTCCTGGACGCCATTGCACGAAGGGTGCCATGTCGATCGACTGGGTCCCATCTAGGTCACGTGACCTGGACGAGTGTATATGGAGTGACTCTGGTTGATCAAACCTCGTGAAGATGAACATGACTCAAGCTCAAGGTAGGTCAATTGGCGAAATTTACTGCCGCTACAAGTGACTTTGACTATGACCGAACTCCTTGTAGAAGTACTAACAAGCAGGGTATTTCCATCATTTCCGTCATTGCTTGGTTTACCTCACAAGCTTGATTGATCGGAAACTGCAGACGCACACAGGCATGCCACCTGTTTTCCAATTTTGCCTCTACCTCCTTCACTGGAAGCTATGTTGCTTACAGTCAAAGTCGTACCATTATAGCGATGACGGCTTAATGTCTATAATCTAGGCACTTTGAACGCTGCCTAATCTTGACTAACAAAATCCGTACAACCTTTGGTGACTGGAGAGTCGACTGTAAGACATTGCCTCGTCCTCAAATCGAATTAGATTTTTAAGTAGAAATGACATGGTTTTGTTAGCAGTCTCATCTCTTGGCATCAATCCTCCAATTCGTCTTTGTGTCAACAGTATTATTGGTCTGAACTCCAATAGATAGAAAGCATTCTTTCGCATTATGAATCGTACATAAGTCCTACAAAGTTTTCCCAATACCGATCAAGAATAACTAACAAGTCTATCACAAGTGCTGCTCTATCCCGGTTTCTCTATCCAACACGCATCTGGCGCCAGTCTTCTGGAAGGAACCTCCTAAGCTTGACGCGTAGAGCGGATTGTCTAATCTTGTTCCACCATGTCCGCATCTGTGCATCGAAGTCAGGAGCTGTAGGCGAGATGTGGGTGAAATCGGTCCCTTCTACAAGTTTCTAAGCAGCTCATTAGTACACGACCAAGTCACACGCGCCTCGACTAGGATCTCTGAGCTTACCTCTTTCAATGCAAGACCAATAAACGCTATCACAAATGCCACCCACTTCATAGTCGTAGCAGTGTTACGGAACTGACTGCCTCCTCGGAACTCCAGTGTATTCGAGCAGCCTTCACCAACAATATTCTTGAAGTTCCACAGCACATATCGGTTAGCTTGCATGAACGAATACAAAGCCTCCGGTGTCGAGATATTGTTCAACCTCTGCCGCACCGTTCGCAGCAAAGACATCGAAATACCACCTTCGCAGGCTTGACTCAGTCCACCACCGCCGGACTTCGAGTTCATCACGCAGTACCGATTCTGCCTCCGGGTGAAGGGCAAGATCGAGTGCACTGCGTCTTCGAACACCACGGCCGCGAAGGCCACGCTCTTGAGTTCGGCCATGGAGAAGCGCTTTTGGGCGTTGGTCGGCGTGACGTGGACGTGCCCGCCGCAGGTCTTCTCCTGTTGCACTTCGAAGCCCACGCTCATGGCCTCCCAGAACTCGGCGAGAACTGATGTGATCTTGCCGTTTGTCTGCAAGACGGGGGATACGATCTCCATGCATACTACGAATAGAACATCAGCCTTGCTGGGGAAATGCGAAGGAACTGTCTATACAGGGTCCCTTACCGAAATCTTCGTGAGCTCCCTGTAGAGAGCCATCTTTAGTGATGAACCATTTACTGCTGTAGTACTCTGGATGTGCAGAGTATCGGAGACTCAGGTCTGGTGCAGCTGGGACATTTCGATTCTCGAGCTTCTGAGCCAAGTGCTTGTACCAATCCTGGCGAGTGAAATTCGGCCGACGAGCATATGGTCGAACGACGGTCTCGATCTCAATTCCGAAGTTGTAGTAGGAGTATGTCATGGCGAGCTATCTTGGAGACTAAGTGAACGCTGTAAAGATCTGCAAGATACGATAGGGGATCCTCACAGAAGAACATTTACTACAGCGCGGAACGTCCCTGTTGATCCATCTTCATATCCCGTCCTGTCCATATTGCCCCTCCAATCGTGGACGAGCGTAGGCTGTGACTCCACCATTGCCGCCAGGCGTCCATTTCCGGCGAAATTCAAGAAGGCAACATCCAACCTGGAACATGGGTCACACAGCTGAGCTATATATCCCTGCATGTGGCTGCTGCACGATTTCAGCTGATGCAGACTGTGCCCGCACGCTTACGTGGCTTATCGCTTTGGTTTGTTGATATGTCCTCAAGCCACAAGGCTGATCTTTTGTGCTGGCGGGTACTCTTCCTGAACCTCCAACCTCGACAACGACCATTTCGAAAGTGTACAAGTTTAAACCGTTCAGTAAAGTTTTTCCTTTGCTTCACAGAAGAGTTATTATGTCAAATTCAAATGTCCCTATGCCTCCTCCTCGACCGGGGCCGCCTCGCATCCGGACGCTATACTTCGCGTTCGGCAGCAATCTGCATCTCCAGCAGATGGCCGAGCGCTGCCCAAACAGCAAGTACATCGGCAGAGCCACGCTACCACACTTCCGATGGATGATCAACCAACGCGGATACGCAAATGTCGTCCGCGCCGAGGGCTACTGGGTCGAAGGACTTATCTTCGAAATCGACGTGGAGGATGAGAGACGTCTAGACAAGAGCGAGGGAGTCGCCAAACAGTGCTACGTAGACCGAGATCAGAACGTCATCGCCCCATGCTACAGGAAAACGTACGAGACGATGATTGTTCATCGTGCGCCGAGCGCGCTGCTGAGGAGACCGGTACCTTGGATCGTGGCGAAAGGAGGACCCCGGAAAGTGAAAGACGAGGCGTTGAAGCAGGGCTATTCGTTACGTGAGCATCATCAGTCGAAGAAAGAGCATGTTTTGGTCTACTGGAGTCCGGATTTCACGAGAGATGCACATCCTAAACGCGAATACATCAAGCGGATCAACAATGGAGTGAGAGATGCTTCGGTCTTGGGTATGTGCCCTGACTACGTGGAAAATATGATCAGGCCATTCATCCCACCAGACGGTCAAGCTACTACCGGGACCCATGTGTACCCAGTGAAGAAAGAAAAGATCGTTTCGCCAGCTATTTCGAGGTTACCTAGAGACGAGGGAGGTGCGATCAGGATCCAGCAATCCGACTTCCAAGATTACCAAGTTAGAGAAAGGTCCCAAGGTCTTCCGAGGTTACCAAATCGTCCACAGACTTCTCGTTTGACCCGCTCCCGTAGTTTGGCAAATCGCGATCCATACCGATCTCGAATTGGAAAGATATTTGAGTATTTTTCAACTTAAAGGGGTACATAGATGATTGGGATGATTGGAATGCTGGTTACCATAGAAATTAGGGCACTTATGAAGTGCATTGGTTCAGATAGTTGAGCGTGAAATGACATACGTTATTATTCGCAAGTTTGCGAAGAAGCAGCAACAGCTGTTCAAAGCAACGAATTTTGTGGATTGGAGATATTTTTAACCGAACGAATGCTAGTTCAAAGGCTCTATGATGATAAGTAGGGATATTTGTATTCATTTACTCAAAAATAACGAGTTCAAACAATACGTTCATATTATCCATTTACGATGTCCCATGCCTAAGCGTATTCTTGAATTTCTCTCCAAACTTCCTTTTCGGCTGCTGCTGCTGCTGCTGCTGCACTTCCCCTCCCGTATTCTTCACTGGAATCGGCTCTCTTCTGGATTCCCCCTCGATCCACCTAAGCAAAGTAGGACCTTGAGGAACCGGAATGACTGCGCCTATCCTGCCTGCTACTACCGCGATCCGGGAAGCATACACCGCGCTTGAATTCGAAAACCCTTCCCCCTCTGGAATTCGACTATATAAGCCCGGCGAGATGTCAAAGAGATACGTCACGCCCGGCACTTGACTTTGCGAACTCGTTGGAGCCTTGACGACCTTCCCGCCTTGTAGCAAATCCACACAAGTGTATGGCGAGAGATTAACGTCAGTGGAGGTGACAGCGCCGGAACGCAAGTCATCATTGAACGACGTCCACGCGAAGTAAAAGTGCGTTGTAGCCAGTTGGAGACGGTGAGCTAAATCTAGCGCGGGCCTGATGATGTTGCGTCCAATCGAAGTTCTGATTTCTTGTATGTCTTTTGAGGGCTTGACGACTAGAGGCGAGATGATTCCGAGAAGCTCTTCCGTCTTTGAGCGGTCGTAGGCTTCGCGTCGCTCGGTGAAGCCTTTTTCGTGAGTGAGGGCAGTTAGGGCTTCGACGCGCCAGTCGCGGCAGTGTGGGGCATCTGTGTCTGTCAGACGTTATTCGGGTGTTGAGAGCAATAACATATACCTCTTGGAACGTGGCTCATTGACGACTCAATCCTGTCAATTGTCGCGATGATGTTCCCTTGCTTATCTTCTCCCCGGAGAGGGATATAGAAGCTTGGATGGAAAAACTCCCGATAGAGGAATTGAAAGATCACAGATATCACGATCCACTCGTCATTATTCGAGGCATTCATATGCTGCATGCCTCGCCGACTGACAAGATCGACAAATCGTTTCGCGGGTTCTCGGGCGTATGGTCTACTCCGCAGACGATTCTCGTCAAGCTCGTCCAGGACGGTCTCTAAGCGATTGGTGACCCATCTGTGTATGCTATTGAACAGATCCGAAAATAGTTCTTGTGCCTCGCTTTCGGTGATGTCTGTCCTCCTCGGCTGGAGGCGAAAGATGTGGTTACGAGCATCATCGAGCTGTTTGAGCGCTTTCTGCTCCGCTCGCTGCTTCTCTGTGGCCTTCTTCTTCGCCTCTGCAAGCTCGGTCTGTATGCGCGATGCGTCTCCTTGATGTTGTTGTAGTTCCGCCTGGCACGCTTGTAATTGTCTTTCCACGCGCGCTGTCTTCTTCTCTTGGAATTCGAGCTCCCTTTGTCTTTCGTCGAGTATGTCGTCCATGTCGAAGTATTCCTTCTCCCGGTCGGCGAGTTGCATCTGCAGCTTGTCTCGCTCTTTCTGCAATGCCTCGAGCTCCTTCAGGAGATCATACTTGTCTCCGTAACCTCTTGTTCCGTCTCCTTGGTGCGCCATTGGTGGTTGGAATTATACGTCTGTCGTATCAATATGGGAATAAAAAAGCTGGTCTGGTTAGAAATCATCAGAAAAGTAAGGCAACAACTATGCCACCCCTCGACTCTGAGGACGGTGCTACCTGGTACGTACTCGACAGGTGATCCAGCGTAACCACGATCGATCGCTTCTCAGTCCTGCAAATTACCACAAAACGCGAATATTGCAAGAGAACTCTTGTCGCCCTCCAGCTGAAGGAAATCAATAACACTTTGGCGAGAACAATTGCCGTCGGATCGTCGCTGCAAGGCTGCCAAGAAAAACAGCTGGATAGCGATGGCACAAGCATAGCCTCAGCCTGATACCAGCACAACTTATCTAGCAACCCAGCATATGCACGTTCCCAAGGAGGGGCATTGCTATTGGCAGTTTGGTGCTCGAGGCAGCAAATGTTGCAATGTACGGCTGAATCTTCGCGTCCAGGCGCGTCGCCCACAAGGCTGCCAAGCAATGAAGGCGATTGGAGGACTGCGATTGACAAAAGGACACAAGGCTGGGATTTCAGGTAGCGAGTTTGGTGGTCAGACGGAATATTGGTGGCTCTGTTGGCCAGGGTCAATATATGTCCTTTTGTTTCGAATGTCGTGCCATTCCAATCAGGGAGATTTATATGGCGAACCACGTGAAGCGAATGCATGCGGACCGAATCTGCCTGTTGCATCTGCTTGGCTCAGTGACTGAACTTGCATTCGCCTAGCAGTGAACCCTTTTGGAAAGACCCTGACAAATTCGCATGGCTAGGCTGAGTGAAGGGCTGGAAAGAGAGCTGGCATATGGGGGCTACAAAAGACACAAAGCCACATTGGTGCAGATCTAGGCCTGGCTGCCTGGCTACATGCCATGAGGCTCAATATGGGCAGCCCATGATTCCCTGAAAACCAAAAGGTCAATCTCCTTCAGCCTTTCGTCCACACATACAATGGGAGGAAAATTGCTACTTGCACATCGACGACGACCTCTATCCAGGCAAACGACAGCTTCAAGATTGCAACATGAGTTCTCGCAGGATCATAGTGTCCATAGATTTTGGCACGACGTTCTCTGGACTCGCGTGGGCGGAGACGAATAGGGTGGGTTGTTGTTCCGGCACCGCGTTCAGCCTGGTGGATGATTTTGTACTGATGTAGACGCAGGCGGACCATCAATATGTCATCGATAAATGGCCGAGTAATACATCGTCGACGACTAGTCCAAAGGTGCCGACTGAACTACGGAAAGTGAACGAAGGATTTCAATGGGGGTTCGAGATTCCCAGGAAGGCGAAGCGGAACAAATACTTCAAGCTGTATGCCAGTTAGAGCTCTCAGACAAATTTCAGATAACTGATCACTCCAATAGCAAACTTGACGATCCAATCTCCACAACCACCGACACTCGTCCTCCGGAAGAACTGACACAGCTCTATCTTTCGTACTTATACAAGCACATGGTATCCGTTCTAGAAGAAAGGCTTTCATCCAGTGTCGTGCGAGACACCCCTCTAGACTTCATTCTCACAGTACCAGCAATCTGGTCACAGGCCGCGAAACAGAAGACCGAGACCGCAGCAGTCCGAGCTGGCTTCAAAGGCGCAAGAAAGATCCATCTTGTATCTGAGCCGGTACGTAAGTGTCCAACATGATCCTCAACCCTCGCTAATTGGCTCCCCTAGGAAGCGGCAGCGATATACACCTTACACAGTCTCGGAGCACCCACTCTGCGAGTAGGTGCAACGTTTGTAGTGTGCGATGCTGGAGGCGGCACCGTGGATCTCATCTCTTACAAAGTGCAACAATTGAGTCCAAAGCTCAAGGTCAAAGAAGCTACAGAAGGTACCGGTGGAAAATGCGGCTCTTCGATGCTGAACAATCGCTTCCGAAGGTTCTTGAAGCAGAAACTTGGTGAGGACTATTGGACGGCGGATCGACTTGTAGAGGGTTTGAACACTTTTGAAGATGTAAGATTATACGGACATGGCTATCATTCATTGACAGTATACTGAACGTTCGCAGTATAAGAAGACATTCACACCAAACGGCGAGCCACTCTCCCTCCGCGTCGAACTCCCCAACGACCCGGCCCGCGACATACGCCGCAACCGCTTCCGCATCAAGCAGCGCGACATGCAGCAAGAAATCTTCGAACCCATCATCAAAGACGTCATCAACCTCGTCCAAGAGCAAATCTCCATGGCGGGCAGCGACGTGGCCGCCGTGCTGCTCGTCGGCGGATTCGGACAGAGCGAGTACCTCAAGGACAGGATTCAGACGTCAGTCGGTTCGGCGATCCGGGTCCTGCAGCCAAGCAATGGGTGGACGGCCGTTGTGCAGGGCGCTGCTATGATCGGCCTCACGCGCGCCAGCGCGAACCTGGCACAGGTGAATATTTCGGAAAGAGTGGCGAGGAAGCACTATGGGACGGAGCTTGTCACATCATTCGAGGCTGGCGTGGATGAGGAATGCAAGAAGTAAGTCGATCACCCTCCACCGCTTCGGAAAATTCTGATTTCGAAATTTCGAATACTAATGCGGATTAGATTTTGGTATGAGAAATGGAACTGCTGGGCGGTCAAGAAAATGCATTGGTTCATTGAGAAGGTGAGGATATGATCCTGGAGTAGAATTCTTCGTTGTTTCCACAGGGTCCACATTATGGTTCCACTAACATACCCACAAGGGCGTCCCGTATCCCGAAGATCGTCCCTCCACCATCTCTTGCAACATCGACTTCCCAGTCCGCAGTGGGGCGGATGCTGCTACGACCATCAGCGTCTATGTCAACTCTGCCGATAGGAGCGCCCCACGGTACATGAATGCCAACACAACGAAGGTCGCTACTCTCAATGTGGACGTTGGCCGCGTCGGGTTCGGCAGGAAGCTGTTCAGTAGTAAGAAGAAGAGAATGGCCGATGGACATTGGTATTACCAGTTCAAGGCATTCATCGAAGCTGCGTACGAGAGTGCTGACATTAGATACACACTGAAGTTGAAAGGTATGAGAGTCTCGATAGTGAAAAGCTACGTCACTTTAGATCTACACCGGTGCTGACCCTGAGAATAGATAAAACGCACGATGTGATTAGAGTGGACTACGATTAAGGGTCCACCTAGTAAGAGGTGTACCTCGAAGTTGACCGAGTCTCCGCGGATGCATCCGCATACTGATATGTCCACGCTTGCTGTCCGTTGCCTTCGACAACTTGGCGAGATGCAGACTCCACCGCCGATCTATTATCTCATGCACGTTCTGAATCGCGAGATAGAAGCTCGATAGAAGCCCATGAACAAACTGCCAGCTAAATGCACAGAGAGAGGAAAATCCCAATCTATTCTCTAAAAAAGCCATCTATCAATAAAACAATCCGCTAGCAAAGGGGTATAATGCAGCAGAAGAAAGGGAAATCTATATAGAACCCGGGTATCTGGAGTTCGGTCGTAGAATCTATATGTATGTACAATATTATCGAGACGACAAACCTCACTATAACGAGGAATGTCCTGCTCATGTTCCTATTAATTATGTCGGAATTATTAATGCAATGTCGCTGATGAAAATGCGTCTATTCGACCCCCACGATCGCGCGCTGGAGGTCCATGACCTCATATTTGAGATCAACAGTATTGCTGCCGTCGACGAATGCACGAGGAGCAGCTAGAAGGGCGTCTAGAAAAGTCTGAATACGATTCTGTGTCACGAGTTCGACTCTCCTTGGGATGTATGGCGCCGACCCCTGAAGGTCAGCCGGATCGGGAAACACAGCGGAATGCTGGAATAGGTGGTTCAGCCTCAGCCGCTCCAGCCTCGGCATATCTTGGATTGCCTCGAGGGGCTCGAGCCACGTCCCGGAGGTGAGTCCGCACTTCTGGATGTCAAGGCTCGTCAACTGCTCGCCATGCGCGCGGAGCAGCGCGAGCAGCGATTCGTAATCGAGCATCAAATCGAACAGCTCGATGCTTTTCAGCTTCGGCCACATGGGCGGTGTCGATAGCCCGCGAGAAACCGGGAAAGAAACGGATCTAGCGGGGTTACTCCCCTGCAGGTAGAGCCCACGAAGATTCTGACATCCACCGAGCAGTTCGCCAAACCACTCGGAGCCGGCCACGGAAAAGAGCTCCAGGTTGGCGACGCCGCCTGCCAGCTCCTCCCTCCACGCCTTGGACGCCAGGTCGAAAACCGCGTCTTCTTCGATCTGGAGCTGTACTTTGGCGCGCCCGCGCAGCACCCCGGACATCTCCAACGCTCCGAATGCTACTTCGTACAGTGGGCTGTCACGGTTGTCGAGTGCGTCCAGGAAATGCCGCCCGTCCTCTGCGCCGAACATGCCGTACGAATTGTCTGATTCGTACTGCAGCATTGCTCGAGCACCGCAGCGGCACGCTCGTCTCGAGTAGCTCTCGTCGAGGTGGAACGATGAGTGATCCAGTGCCACGACATCGAGGTTCTTGAACGATCGGAACGTCAGAGCGAGGATCTGGCGGTACCATCCGCTCTTGAGTCCCTGCTCGTGGCTCTTCTGCAATAGTGCGTGGCGGGCGTGGAAAATGTGTGCAACACGCTCCCCGCTTATGGTAACCTTCCGGACATATTTGGAGAGCCTCTCGTTCTGGGATATCTCGTAGAGGATGTTTATACTCTCTGGGTGCAGCATGGCGACTACTTCGTTCAGGACGCGGGTGCCGAAGGTGTGGAAGGAGTTCTCGTAGAGATGGCGGTTCGTGAGGCGGACATTGAGGAGGGTCTGGATGGGGAGGTGTTCGTATACGGAGTGGAGGAGCTCCGGGGGGAGGTCGAGGATTCGGAAGGGTCGTTGCGAGGTGCCATTACTGAGGTTGTTCATATAGGGATTGTTGCGGTCTGCATTGGAAAAACGGCGAATGCTGTTGGTGATTTCTTGGGCGTAGTATGCTGAGGCCCTTCGGAGTGTGTTAGCTTTGCTCTGTTACATACTCCGGGATGACATTGAGCTCCTAAGAGCTCTCTTCCCAACGCGGCCATGGAAGATCTGTGGGCATTGAAAAGGAATCTGGTATAGTCCTTACCATGCTTGAGCATATGCATAGCCGGAAAGGGGTGGTTCAACCCCCCTCGACGTCAGAACAGGTTCAAACTGCATTGATACGGAATTGGCAGAACGTTTTGGAAGCAAACGATCGGAACGAGAACAAAAAGAATGTGTGAGAGAAGAAAGAAAAGAAAAAAAGGGTTTCCGCGATAGTTGAACTAAAATAAATGCAATTGGGGAGACCGCACCGCATGCTATCGACCTACCTAGTTTAAGTTATCCACACCACGAGAGTCTAGAGAGAGAGGGTCCCACGACCCACAACCCACGCCCGCCCCGGCTTTGTTCCCACCGCAAAGGGACAAACTCGGCGGAAAATGGATTATGCCATGCCATCTAGATACAAAGTGCTAAAGGGGAGAGGCAATAATGGGCAATTCGGAAAAGCAAATTTTACCGTCGGTATGGATCTGGGCCTGGGGCGAGGACATTATTCAAGTGGGTTGTGTGGGTACGGATGCTAACTTTTGGAACTAATTTAGTTGCAATACCATACCTTACAAGCACTTAGGTAGGAGGTCTTCGGGCGAACCCTGAGGGTCTCGTGGTCGAAACCCACGATACTACTCCGTACTGTGCACATAAGAGGGAAAAGCTGGTGTGGGACCTGTACATTACGGAGTAGCTTAAGGTCGTATGTACTGTGTACATGTAACTATGTATGGTATGTATGGGTATGGATTATTATCTTATCATCATTCGAGCATTAAAATCATTCGAGCATAATTATAGACCAACACCAGATCCCTCCCATCCCATCATTATCTCCTGGTACAATCAAGAATTTGCAATGCCCCATGCCGATAGAATGACTTCTCACGATACCGTGTTACACGTCACACTCAGAAATCCACCGTCTTCCCAAACTCTGCACACACCTGTATCAGTAGCGCCTCGTATTCTGCATCTACCCGTTAGCACAAGCTATCTATCCCCATCACCAATCACACCATATCGAGCGTTTTGCAATCTTTTGCACAACAACAGCTCCACATGCAATCGAACATCTAGAGACATTTGTGGGGGTGGTGCAACTTACGAACAAACGCGCCGTCAGTGCAGTAATACACCCGCTCGGGCGCATACAAACACGGCGATATCGACGACACGAACTCGTTGACCTGCTCTTGGTCCTTTACACACAGGCACCCGAGGTCTGCAGGGTCGCAGCCCAGATATTTGCCTTCCTCTAGACAGTTTGCCTGTGGGTGGTGGTGAGTGATTGTTACAAAGATTTTATTCAAGTTTTTCTCGTTCATGGTTGCACGGCGGAAGACAGCGGAAGGGAGTAAGGGAGAGACGTACGGCGCCGCAGCTTGGTAATTCGAAACCCCAGGTTAGTGATGGAAGAGCTGCCATCGCCATGGCAGTTAGGTATCTTGATGTTCTCATCGTGTTCTGTGTGGCTTCCGTGCAGCCTTCCTTTTCGATCCAAGTGTCCGTGTCAACCCTTCCAATGCTGGGCGAACGTAGTCGATTCGGGGTAGGTATGAGCGAGTAGTTCAATCAATCAATCGAACGGCGGTGAGATGGGATAATAATCAATACGTCTCGGACTCGGAATAATATCGTAATAATTATCCTTAAACCTCCCTCTGCATTCAAGAATGCAAATATTCTTTCGTTGTATTCGATATTCCACCGTTTGTTGTGGTTGTGCACCCGGCGACGTTTGCGAATTTGGTTGAGGTTTCCGAATGCAGTAATTCGTCTGAAACAAAGGGAGACACGTGCGTTTGCAATTCCAAATGGGACGCTGGATAAATCAACAGGGATGCCGGGATGCCAGTTATTAAGCGATTAAGGAGTTCCGTCCGATAATAATAATAATAATAGATAGGAATATTGAAGAAGAATAGATCGTAAATCGTGGAGGATTATAAGGATTTAAGAAATGGTACCTGCGCGGGCTGGTGATCGATGGGGGATGATGATGTAGATGCGGGGAAAGTGGTCGAGACTTTAATAAGAGGGTCAGCCGGAACTCTGCGCCAACGACAGACTGCGAAGAAGGTCCAGTGACACCATTTAGTCCTTGTAAGACTCCAGATCGCGCCGTACGACTTGACGGTGTGGGTCGCACCAATGTGTGCGCTCTGTCATTGTTGCTGGCCCATTACGCAAAGGTCCTGAGCTAGAGCAAATGTCTATGACATCAAAAGTAAGGCGTAGCGTAATGTGACGCATCAGCTGGGTGTTGTGCTTCCTCAAGCCACCGAGACTGTTTTTAGGCACCGTTAGCGATGGACTGGCAGAAGTAATGATGAAGTGCATGTGTGTATGTACGTGTACTGTGCGTACGTACACGGCTCTATTGTTACTCGTACAGTTTCTCTATGTCGTGACTTTTCCAGGGACCTTTTCATATGTACAAATGAAGTGCTTTTTGCTCGCACCTCTCTACACGTGCGTAGGGGCTCTAATTTTCAACATCTGGCTCACTGGTTGTATGACATCAGGCCTCTCATCTGTGTATGCCTCCAGTCCTGTCTGTCGTCCCTTCCACCCGCTCCCTCTCATGCCTCGAGCAAGCTCCCATGCTCCCTTGATGCAGTCATTCACACCTACTCCGTTGAATTGGCTGGAGACAACCCTCAGTCTTCCTCCATACCGAGTCCGTAGGGTTCCGTCGAGATCTCTCATTCGATCCTCGTAGCCCACTGTGTACTGCGCGATAGCATCTTTGTGTAGATTGACATGGCAGACGTCAGGCTCTTCGGTGATGCCTAGGTGCCTCTTCAAGACGGACTTCGCGAGCTCTGCTCCTTCGTCGTTGTCAGGGAAACCCACCCAGTCGTCCCACCAGTGGCCGCCGAGCATCACAGTTAGTTTGGTACCAGGAAGAGAGTCTTGGCCCGTGATGGCATCGTGATCAAAGATGACCCCGAGGGCACGTTCAGGGTTCTGTTCGAATGGAACACTGCGGGGGATCAGATAGCCAAACCCTTTGACTGGAACAAGTTTGGGGTTTTTGAACCACAGGTTGACTACCATGACATTGACGAAAGGAGTGACATTTTTGTCGCGAAGCGTGGAAACGACAAAGTCATACTCCTTACTTTCAGGCGAGCCCTATGGAAATGGTCAGCACGGAAAGAGAATTGGGTGGAGGAAAAGTACATACCTCAGTAGTAATTCGAATCTTTTGGGCCCCTTCGACCTTTTCAACCCCCTTCACATTTGTGCCCATTGCAAAATCTACCTGCTCATTCTGTCGTAAACTCTGCTCGATCGCTCGCGGAAGCTGCTGCAGGCCCTCTTTGAAAGTAAAAGTACTTTGTCTACTAAGTTCACGCAAGAGGTCTTCGGGGAGGTCGAGCTCGTCTTTCATAGCTCGGTACTGATCCCACGCGTGTGCAGACCAAGGAATGACCATTTGCCCAGAATCGCTCTCTCCATTCACCCTGAACAGTCCGCGACCGACGGAGCCATGCATGCCCTCTAGTTTCCACGGCAGCTGCAGAAGCGTCCGCGCACTCAATTGGTAGATGTCGCCGGCGTAGATTCCGTGGAATACGGCAGATACGATGTTGTTTGCTATGCGCTTGTCGACCCTGCGAGAGAGGAAGTCACCCACTGACTCGTCCCTCAGATTCCGGGGTCGAGGCTTAGCCCAGCTCTCGAAAGCTATATTCCATGCCCCATCCAAGATACCAGAGTTCCATAGCTTGAGAAGTGAGAGAATATCAATATCCTCTGCACCAGATGGGAGGCAATTCAGGCGGTTCGGGTAGTAGATATAACGGTTCTTTGCACTGGATGACTTCTTGCTTGTACAAAGTATTTCATCTTCAAGACCAAGATCCTCGACCTGATTTTATTAGCACACGCAATAAACGTTCAAATACCAACTCGGACTAACCAATTGAACCGTTGGCAGAGCTGCTGCCCCAGGCCTCAATGTCCTCGGCCCATACTCGAGCACGACATCCCCACCTTCGACCTCCACCTTCCTCGACTTTATCCAACCACCCGTTTCATCACTCCGTTCAATGACCGTAATTTTACTCTTAGGAAACTCCTTCGCAATGAAGTGTGCGCTCGCGAGCCCGGAAATACCAGCACCGAGCACCGCGATGTGCTCAGGCTGGTCCGCGGCAACCTGCGTATATTGACGGCGGTGGTGCCGGTGTTGACATTGCGTGGAGAGGAGCGGGCGGGCTGAGACGTGTCTCTTCAGGTTCGACTGAAAGAGCGCAACATGTCTCTTGAGCCGCATTGCCGCGTGTGGAATGCGTTCGTGGAGCGTGTTGGCGGATAGCTACATGCGTGCGAAGGGAAAGCAGTGGGAGCTTTTTTGTGGTGACGTGAAGGTAGCGGAAAATGTCCGAGCTCGGCCCGCGATGTCCTAATTGTTAATGCATACTCGATAACTACCTATAGTATCGGTAACGATCGAGTACGGCAATCAATGATGTTAGATAAATCACGATCCAATTCACGATGAAAGATATTAGGAGAGAAAATTTAAGGAGAATGCGGCATAGAGCCGCGGCGAAAGATATCATGAGTTCCATTTTACCACGAGAAGCTATTCTTCGCGTCATTGATACACCATCAGAGGACAGGTCGAACGGTTGCCATAAACCAACTCGACCTCGAAACACCACCAACGCCGCATGCCTTTATACCATGTCCAAGAGATATAATACATTCATCTATAAAGGCCCAATTCCACTCTGACCAATGGCAATTCCATACTTTGCTTCATTCGTGCTATGTTGCAATTTGAACGTCTTCTGTGCTCTTCCCAGGAATAATAAGTTCCTCCTCTTCGTTCTCGTCGACAAATTTTCGCTCACTGACATGGTTGTTCCCATCCTCCTCGCCAGCCTTAGGAGCCACCCAGACTTTATCTTTGAAAGTCTTCTTCTGGCCTTCGGCGTGTTTATATGGGCAGCGGAAGTTCGTGCAGGGGGTATACTTGCACATGACCGTGTTATGCCAGAATTTGCAGCCCGGAGTTGTGCAATCTGCACCGTTGCGGCATGCGGGCATGCTCGGGTGTTTGTAAGGACAGTTGAGAGGGTCGCGGCAATTTGGGAAGAATGCGCACTCCTGCTCAGACTGGAACTGCTGTCGTTGTGCTGGGGATGGATGCTTGCCAACGCACTTCTTGTTTTTGCAAGCAGCGCCGTAGGTGCACTCGTTTGACATATCAACTGGGGTGCCTTCAGGTGCAGCTGGAGATTGATGGACAAACGGACAATCGGGTTTGCCACACCGCAGGTTGAACTTGCACATTGTGGAGGAAGGATCTTGATGCTCGGTATCCATGGCTGAGTCGCCATTCTCTGCGCCTGGGGCACTGTCGGTCATAGCCTCATCTTGCGACTCCTTCTTGGAGAATTTCGATTGCTTGCCACCTTGCCTTGACTTGTCCACTCTATCGCTGAATGGTCGCCCTTTGCCTCGGCCATTCTGCTGGAAATTCGGGTTCACAAAAGGACCAGAGGGTGTTTGTCCAGAGAATATTTGCTGCATCATCTGGGCTTGCTGCTCGTACATTTGCATGAGCGCCATCTGCTGCTGAGCATTCAGCATGCCCGGCATGCCGCCATTTTGACCCATTGGTGGCATCCCAGGCATCCCAGGCATTCCGCCCATGTTGTTCATGCCCATGCCTCCATTCATGCCTCCTGCGCCCATATTGACACCGACGTTGCCCACACCACGGCCATTAGCCATCGCGTTAAGACCACGCCCAATGTTCTGGCCGCGAGGACCTTTCGGAGCGTTATGGGAATGCGAGTTGATTCGACCAGCGCCTCCTGCTCCCCGAACGCGATGAAGCGCAGAGTCGTCATGCCTATTCATCTGCTTGTTCATTTGGTTCAACATACGACCACTTCCAGATATCTTCGCGCCCGAACTTCCGTTGCGCATTGCTTTTGGCCCAGTGGGACTGTGGTCGACGATCAGTTTGCTGGCACGCGAGTTGAGATTGGAATGCGAGGATACGTACATGCTACCTTGACTAGCGTCGCCTGAACCATCCATATCGGCATCGTTGCTGCCCGAAGCATCATGTTCCATTTGGTCGACATTTGCATGGGAAGCATCTGCGCTGGCTGCCGTTGGGTCTAGTTGTCTGCGGACAAAATCGATCTGTTCGAATAACCAATGCGCAAACTGTTGTGTTTCGGGATTCTCGGGTCCCAGATCGAGAAGATCGTTGGAGAGCTCAGAAGCGATTTGCGACTCGTTCTTGTTATTACCGAGCATGAGAAGTATGTATTCGAAGATTGTTGAATCTTCCGCGTCGCCAGTTGTCCACCCATACTCAGCAAGCTTGGGTTGCACTACGCTTTGAAGCGCGGACGCGAACGGGGTTCCAGAGGAGAAGTCGACTGCCATATTGAAGGTATTGGCGAGGTGCGGGACAGATCGAAGAGAACGAGGTGGTGATGATAAAGGGAGGGAGTAGAGGTGGCGTTGAATCGCCTAGTCGCGTTTCTTTCGTGCACTTGATGTTCAGGCCCAACAAAGGATTTCTACGGAATGAAAGGTTCCTATCAATATGTCGCCTGCAGAATGCGCAGGGTGTTCGAGTTGTTAGGATGAATTCAATGGACCTTGTGTTGTGTTTGAGGTGGATTGTGAATGTGGACTTGGATTCGAACACTATGCAAGACATGCACTGAAGGTTCGAACGCACAGACACAGCGTCGGAGGAAGGTATCCCCGAGATGCTAGATTATCACGTGATATAGGAACATCAAAGTGCAGAGCATAGAATTGATAATTATTGTACAGTAATGCAGAATGCCTAGTAGATACTCATATAGCAACATAGCAAAGGGTGAAAGTAGCTGATGTAATTGGCTAGAAGTTACTGGATTAATTGTCGATCTTCTATTGAAGAGAGACGAAGTTCCTTAGGTAGGCGTTCCGCAAAGCCTTTTTGAATCCCTCTTCAGAAAGATTCAATTTTTCGTTGAAGGCAAGAGCATATTCATGATCTCAGACATATGTCTAAGATTATTAGATTTTAATCAGATGCGCGTGGGACGGTTCCCGAGGTCGCGACTACACAACATATGCGTACATCTCCGTACATACTGCAGAGACAGGGATTGTACAGGAATGATGGCGCCAAAAACACATGCGAATCATAACTACGTACTTAGTTGTCGAGATCTCCTTACTCATAGTCTGCATGAATCGCCATTCACGGTACACGGGAATAAAAGTTTCATTTCTTTGCGAATGCTGGTAACATACTTTGATAGAATGCTTACCCAAGTAATACCTAAGTACCTAGCTATAGTCATTCCTATTTCAGGTGTATTCACTAATCAGATAGCTCAACAAGTCGATGCACATATCCATCCTAGCACATCCCAGACTCATGAAGCCGTCAAGCGCAGTAACATTGCACATTTGTATATTGCGTGTTGTGCTACTTCTCCTTTCCGTTGTTATTTATTGGTTGTATTGCTGTTGCTGTTTCGGTATTAGTCAACGTCATACCAAAGGCCCGTGCGCTCTTTCTTGTTGCAGGCTAGTTTCTTTCCTGGCTCGCTGCCTTCCGCTCTTCAACCTCACCTTCTCCCTCACTTCTCTCTCTCTCCCTCTACACCTCACCTCTCTTCTCTACCTCACCCACCTCGCCATCCTCTTTCTCGTCAGAACCAACAACATCACGATCGCCGACACAACTCTCTCCATACTCGCATCTCCTTATTGGAAGAGCTCTTCTCGGTCATCATGTCTCGCGGTGGCACGACCTTGTACGTGACTGGCTTCGGCCATGGCACGCGTGCTCGTGACCTTGCCTACGAGTTCGAACGGTATGTATTTTATCGCATCTGCCAATCTGCCATCCTGCCCTCCCCGAGCATCGTCATTCTTCTTGTTGTTACGATCCTACTCTCCCCTCATTACCCCGACGACACTGGCCGCCAGCCTGCCAGCTGTCTCCATGTCGCAACATCTCCGCGCAAGCCGGCGCCATCATCTTGCCCTCTTCTTCAAAACCTACCAACAGGTTCTCATCGCATCCATCCCGTCTAACACACGCAAGGTACGGCAGACTTGTCCGTTGCGACATTCCAGCTCCTCGCTCGGCTTCTAGCAGACTGTAAGTGACTTGACTCTTTTAAAAGCCAACGGCTATCAACTGATAATAGCAGCTTTGCCTTTGTGGAGTATGAAAGCCGCCGTGACGCGGATGATGCTTACCACGAGATGCACAACAAGCGCATTGGTCGTGATGATCTCTTGAAGATCGAAGTACGTCTATTCAGCCTTGGTTTAGACAAGGCTTTCCATTAACAATAATCTAGTGGGCGCGCACGCCTCCATCTGCATCCTGGCGTTTCGATTCTGGCCGTGACCGCAACGGCGATCGCACTGGTGATCGCAACGGTCCTCGCCGCGACCGTTCTCCTCGTGGCGACCGTGGCGACCGTGGTAGCCGCAGGAGCACCTCCCCTCGTCGCCGTGGTGGTGATTACTCTCCCCGCAAGGACGATCGTCGCGAGCGCGACTACGATCGCCGCGACCGTGATCGTTCCCGAAGCCCCGATGACCGTGACCGCGACATGAAGGACCGCGACCGCGAGGAGGAGCGTGACCGTGACCGCGAGCGTGAGCGCGACCGCGATCGGGAGCGTGACCGTGAGAACGGTGCAGCTGGTGAGGATCGTAAGGGCGAACAGCCCTCCTCTGCCACCGAGCGTGACGTCCCAGTCGAAAAGGCCGAGTCTCCCGCCCCTGGTCCTCATGACGATCTCGATACCGCCGAGTAAAAGCCATCCAATACCGGCGCTAATACTAGTCCAAGGGCTGTAGTATTCGCGACCTAGTCGGAATGGCAGAGTAAGGAGACGTGGGGGCTTTTCAACGACAAGGAGTTTCAATCTCTTCAATTTGTTCTTTATGGTGGTGGTTCAAGCACTGCAGGACTCGACTTCTCATTGATTCATTAGGCTGCCCGATCTCGATACGGAACCTTGTTCTTGGCGAAAAAAACGATTGCGGCGAGTCCCTTTACGGTCCGGTCGAGTATCACCTTTTTCATCGGTCGGTCACACGCAACGGTCTTGCGAAATTTCATCCTGTATTTTATACGAACGAATCGATATACCGTACCAACCCTAGATTCCCCATCCACGAACACCAATGTGTCCCCCCCGATCACCTCTACCCCCCTCCAATCCGATGCGAAACGTGCCGACTCCACGAACCCCGATAGTAAAGGTTGGTAAAGCTTTTCTTCTGCCTAACATTTCCTTTACCTGTGCCAATCAGCTGTGAAATTCATGGATGATGTTGCAGTGATGTTGAAAACTATGCTGCTGTGATCGCTTTTCTTGAATCAAATGGATGTATATACTGGATGTGTGAAATATTGATACATATTATGGTATTCGATTTGCTGCAATGGACGTGATGGCAAGTAGCTACATAGCACGACACCATATACGAATCTATTATTCTCAGAGTCATTTGTTGCACAAACATCAAGAGAAAAGTGAAGACATATTGTGATGTAATATAGTGAAGCATAGTGAAGTTGTTACTTTAATGATGGTATTGGTATATTCAAGCACTCTTCCCGCAAACAGCTGGTGATGTGTCCGAGCCATTTCCTTCAGAAGAAGAAGCTCTCGATGGAATTACTTATCAAAAACACGATTTGACAATTGAGAAAGTAAAAAGAACACCCAGAATGAACCCGAAAAGAAAAACCTTGAAAAGGGCGACTCTCCTTTCCCTCTCCCTCTCCCTCTCCTTAAAACAAGCAGTCCAAACAGCAACAGCACGCCAAACCCGCCAAAAGACCCGTCATCAGTCCACCACCACCACCGCTCCTCCCACCCCTATCATCATAATAACCCCCCGGCGGGGGACCCTGCTGATAGTACATCCCCTGCTGCGGCGGGGGACCCCCATACTGGCCCTGCGGGGGACCGTATTGCCCTTGCGGAGGACCATACTGGCCCTGTGGCGGAGGGGGGCCGTAACCCTGCTGCTGCTGGGCGTATGGGTTCGGGGACGCACCGCCGTAGAAATCTGCGTTGGAGCCTGGGGGTGCGGGCGAGCCGGTGTTGTTGTAGTAGGGTTGGGGTTGTTGGTAGGGAACGGGAGGGCCGTAGCCAGCGTCGGTGTGTGCGGGAGGGGGGGATTGAGGGTATGCGGGTGGTGCGCCTGCGGGCGGGTCCTGGAGGTGTGGTGTTAGCTGTGTGTATTCTTGATTTCTGGCTTGGAGAAGGGGAGAATGGGGGGAGTTGTGAGGATGAGGCGTGGATGTGAGTGGCGAATGGGTACGGGGATTTTGATGGAGCGTTGCTATGCGCTGTTCGAGGAGGTGGAATGTAGAGACAAGCTGTATGTGTAGCTAGTCATTGGGGATAGTGTGCGTGTATACGTACGTATTTCTGAGATGCCATTGCTATTGCGCGAAGGGTTGGTGTGTTCGCAAGAGGGAGTGAGGTTGGAAGTAAGGTGGAGGAGAAGGCGAAAGTGATGGGTGTTGTATATTATCCCGGTCAGGCCGCGGCGTTAACCTTTTTACCAGGTGACGGGTACTCTCTGAGTCTTGGGGATTGAGAAATACGACTGGGGATTGCTTGGTAAAGGCTGGGCAATGCGCTTGTGTCGTGGTGTGGTATGGTATAGGTGGAAGCTTTTGAATGCGATGGGATTGGGAAACGGAGTTGCGTAGGGCTGTATATGTGGTCGGGAATGGTATTATGAGAGTTGGGTTTGAAGGAAAATGAAAAGATGAAGCAAGTGTAATACTCGTGAGAGCAGTGAGAGAAATAATGAGAGAAAGGAGAGACGAATGAAGGAGTCAGTCGTTGTCCTTTGTTGGGAGACGACGAAGAGAGACGAGACGAAACTCCGACGGATAATGAACGAAGAGGCGCGCGAGCACGCGGATTTGTGGCTGAGCATAGCCAAAAGGGGTAATCCGTATTGTAAATTACGATATATTACCTTCACGTAGCTACCCAATTGAGAACTTCCAAGCGCGTTGTTATTCGTCAGCCAACGCCAGACCGTCTAGCTCCGATTAACTCATACTCACTAACCCACTATTCTTCGCTTTCCTCCTTTGATGCTGGACTGGAATTATTGACGTGAACTGATTTAACGGTACAAGGTACGAACCATTCACAGATGTGGCAAAGGCAATACGCGTTGCGTTGCGTTCCGTGGCGTTGCGGTCGAAGCCGAATGCGTCCATTAATAGCAGCGAACTACTCGTATGGGCGAATTACGGGTGCTTGCGGGCGATGCAACACCCACAATCAAATCCACCGAAAATCGTTGCCCCCATATCCGTCTAATTCCCCGTTGAGATCCAGCCCACCGCGCGTGTAGGTGGATACTTGCCTTAAACCGTTGCGGTTCTCCTTGTGGAGCATGTGTTTTGGATGTTGATGGCATATGCAGGGTATTGAGACTTGAGTCTTAGGATACGAGATCTAGGAGGTTCGCAATTGACAGACAGAATTTGATCGATTTACATACCTCTTGACATCTGTCGTGTTTACGAAACTTTCAATACTTTTATTTTAGTTTGGCAACTTACGGAGTACGTCATCTATTCTCCTATGGCTTACTTCCGTTCTGCGGTCAGCTAAGTGCACAGCGCACCCTCCCTGCACATGTGCGGAACTCCATATCAAAGTACCATCCCTCCTACGGTTTCTTTCTTCCATATCTCAATAACGAGAATGTACGGTTTAACATCATCCACAGAACTTCAACGCGCAAATGGAGAAATAATTTTCCAAAGCGGTAGAGTCGTACAAAAAGCAAATCGTTCACACTAAACATGCCTCCTACTATTCAGATCTATGCCGTTTCTTCCGCTATGAGGGATTATCGTAGGTATTCACAAAACAAACCAGTACCAGCCAGCTATCTACGACGATCGAAGGATTCAGGAATGGTTTACTTTTTGGGGCTGTACACCTTGTCTATGGAGCAGATCCCTCACAAGGTCGGAGACTGTGCAGCAAATCAGACGGCGTGGAGTCAACATGATCATGCAGTGGCTTGCCTCGAGCCAATCGACCCCAGTAACATGGCTGCGATCCGGTGAGGTTGATCCAACCTCAACCGACAAGTACGATAACCACATAATGTCAAGGCAGCATCGTCCTTTTGATTTATCTCTTCCTCTTTCTCGTCTCTACTACCAAATGCCATAATGATTGCAGATGGCAGTGGTAGTTTGGTGGCCTGCAGCCTACTACTGCTGGCCTTGTGGATGCGACCCGCTGCAGCCTTGGCCCTACAGAACATCACCTTGCCTCTTCCTACCGGGACTACCAACCACAATACTCCTGGACTGATATGTACGCCTACCGAATGGACGGACCTTGCAGGCTTCTACCTCTTCAACTATGTCGCGCACGCTGCGACTGTACTCACTCGCCCTGGAGAGCGATCCTTAGATTTTGGAGCTACCGTCCTGGGATCCCTGCTGTCTCCTGCGCTGGGTTTGTATCGAGGAATCGAAGCGATATTCAGCGGAGCCGTCTTCTCTAAAGACCATTTGCGAAAAGCAGCGAAGAGCTCGACCTTGTGCTGTGTCGTCCGAAGCAGCGAATGGAGGCCGATGGACGGCGACAACATCATCAACGCTGCATTTCGAAGACAAGAGGAGAAAGCCGAAGAAGAGAACGCTACGACGACAGTAGCTCAGGTGCCCGATGATTCTGTACATCTGATCACATACGAACCTCCATGGATTCTAACCAGATTCGGGCTTCCCCAATACGTGCATCGCCAAGTCCTTCATGGAACATGTACGCTGCCAAAGGGTTACTGCTTGGTCTCCGTTCCGTCAGATGTCCAGTTTAGCGATTCGGCAGAGCTCACGGAGATCGCGTCGACGTATAACTGCGTCAAGGCTCTTATTGCACTCGTCCAGACGGGTTATGCATCCTTGACGCTGTATCGTTCCCGTGGTGATCAGATCGAGCAGTATGGTTTCGCTGCCTTTGGACTGACAGTCGCTCCCTATGCTGTCATGAGTATGGTCAACCTTATTGGAAGTCTGTGCCGGGAGGACTACTCGTGTCTGTACATGGTCGAGTCCAGCATCATGGACGAGGCGCGCTCGAGAGGCGGTGTTTTTAGAGGCACCGTCGCGCGGATAGAAGAAGAGACCGGTAACCGCATCTCCACATCGATGGATTCTGGTGCTCAGCCTGTAGACGACTTGCAGTTTTCCGTCGGTGATGGTGGGGAAAGCTACTCTCACTTCCACACAAACGAATTACCCAAGAAGACGTCGTCGAGCTTGGAAAAATCGCCTACATTCCGATCGGAAAGCTCGACTCTGCAGGAAAGGAGATATCAGATCAAAGATCTGCCGAACAAGTCGAATTACACCGGAACGTCAGGTTCCGCTTTACTCCTCATCCCCTCGTGTAATCCCTTCAAGAAAATCTCAAAAGCATCCACCGAGGTCGAAAACGCGCTGCCGGTGCCACACACGATCCAATCCGTCCTCCTCCGCAAGATAGACTGCTTCTCGAAAATACGGACCTGGCGCATCAACTTCCCCAAGCACCCCTCCCACCCGCGCAACCGCCTCGTCAAATACCTCCTCACCCTCACGATATCCCTAACGCCCTTCCTCATCAACGGCCTGATGTCGCATTTCCACCCCGGCCATGCGAAGTACCCTTCCACATGGAGCACCTACACCATGCAATGGCTCGGCTTCGGCGTCTTCAACGGCCTGGCTTGGGTGCTCGACTACGAGCTGAAGGAGGCGAACGAGAAGCGGCTCAAGTACACGAGCTGGAAGTCCCGGGCGCTGTTCTACTTCATCAGCGCGAGTCCGTCGATCGGTGGGGTCATTGTCGTCGGGCAGATGATGTGGCAGTATGGCGATTGTACTTGGGTGGGAGGTTGACACACAAACTAAATAATGACACCGTCGTTGAGGAATCGAAATGCGACCATGCGGTGGAATTGTTCCCTCGGACCTTCCGACGTGACTGTCTGTTCAAATGGTGACAAGCAACGAACGTTTCTTTATGAGTATACTTTACTCTTCCATCGAAATTGCACTCCGATTGGTCGTATGCAGCAAGGGCGATCGCCGTCCCCTTTTTCCCTTCCAACGCGTCGTGTGACCAAATCGATAAAAATAAATGTTGGGGTTGCCACTGGAATGGACGTTTTTATGCCGGAGCAGCGCGCAACCTTCTATTTTTCTCTCTCCTTTGCGACCTTCGCTACGATATCGGATACTACATGCTTTGACGGCAGTGTAGTTCTCTGCTCGGATGATATGGTGTAGTTGCTTTTGTTCTGCAGTAGTCCCATCCGGTTACATCAGCGGTCTTCACAGAGTTGCGGAAGAATCATAGCCTGTACTCGAAGTGAATTGATGGCTCCTCGTGTTAGGAGTCAGAAAAACCAGCTAGCAGAATAACCATCGTTGATTAAAATGTGTAGCCACACGCAAATGGACAAGACAGTTGATCAACATCCATCCACGAACGACGCTGGCCTGACATCAGGCCCTGCACCAGCAGTCCTAACTATCGGAACAGACCTCACTGTGGTTGTGGAGTGCTCCCATCCCATACGACGGGAACCCATCACGCGTTCCCTTGGAACGCACTACGCCTCCGCATGTTTATGGAACGGAAGCGGAACGCAGCGACGACACTTTCGCTCGTGGCCATCGGCACACTGCATCGGAACTAACCTTAACCACCACATCACATAGTGCTGAAAGTGAAAAGAAAAGAAAAAAAAGGGTTTCTGACGTGGTGCAAATATTTCGCTGAACCTTGCGTCGAATGCCTGCCTTACGGTAGTGCTGCCCTCCGTCGTTCGCAGCAGGGTAGAGTTACACCAGCTTTTGCAGGCTAGGAAGGGTCGCTTTTTTTGACTTTCTAATTATTGTTTGGTCGTTCCATTCCCCGGCTTGGGCGCAGCTAGTACATGTTGCATGGTGATGTGCTTCTTCCATATATAATCGATATCGCCGAATTTTGGTTTATCAGTATTCTCGTCGCCATCTACACAGTCCCGTTCCATTTCGTGAAAACAAAACTAAGTGAAAATGAACCCATTCCTCCGAAAATTCGCACTGCCGGGGATGTTGTTGCTCGAATTCGTCTTCGCAGACAACTTCTGCGCGAGAGTGAACTCTGCGCTCAGTCTACCAGAGTGCACAGTACGTTCCACTTCCTCCCGCACAACAACTAAGAAAAACATAGAAAATGCTCATGATTATCACAGAACAAATGTCTCCAAAACCACCGACAAAACGGCATCTGCGCAGACGACCTACGAGGCTTCTGCCACCACCCCAACGGCGTGCGACTCTACTTCGCCGAATTCGCAGACTGCCTACTCGACAGCTGTAAAGACGACATCGACCGCGAGAGTAAGTGAATTCGATGCAGGCCAGCGAATATGTAGCTCACAGATTATGTGATAGATTTCATCGCGACTTTTGAAGCCCAGTGCTCCCTGACGCAATGGCCAATCAGAGCCATCGAGGGGCGATTCAATGATTACCTCAAGATTCAGGTGGACTCTATCTCAGAAGCAGAGGTGTCGACTATTGAGGCATCGGAACCTTTACCAGCATCTATCGAGAAAGTGACACAGAAGAGTCATGACCCCTGGACTTCGATTCGAACATTCATCACTTCATCTTCACCCTCATCCTCCTCCTCCTCCAAAGAACTACGCTCACCGCCCAATCTCGAGCAAATCCAATCAGTTTCACAGGGTGAATCCCAAGGGCCTCAAACACGCCTCTCCCCACGAACAGTGTCTTCACCACCACCCCCACCACCGCCCATCAAGCCTGGAGTGAAAGCCGCTCTCATCGCCGGAGGCGTCGTAGCATGCCTCGCTTTCGTCGTCGCGAGTGTGTGCATCTGGCGGAGGAAGCCGACGGACGGGGACATCGAATCTGCTCCCTGCGCCTGTTCATCGAATAGTTATGTTCGTGATGGAGAGAAGGAGGTCGTGGCTGGTAGGACGGCGGTTGGCGGGCCGGAGTATGCTGTTAGTGAGGTTACGAGGTTTGATGATGCGAGTTCTGTTGCGCCGTTAAGGGGGGAGTCGAGATGATGGGTTCTGTTTGGATTCATGGCGAGTGGGTGTTTTGAGGGATGGGCAAAAGTTTTGGTTTTCTATTTTGTTTTGGTGGTTTCGATGTCTTTTTGAGTAACTATATTATTTCTTCTTCGTATGGTATAATTGAAGGATGAGTTGCAAACATGAGGTTCTGGTTTCAAGATTCTGTTTGTTCACCCTTTGGGCATATAGGCATGGCTGTAGGACTCCTCGACGCATTATCATTCGCGATTGGAATAATTGGTGTAGATGCCCATTAGATGATACAACTGACCACCGGTCTGATCTGACCGCCAAAGCAAAACATTCAATCGATCATAAGCCATCTCTTGCACGGTGCCATTTGGTCCCCGTTCGATGCATGATGCAATAGCCAGTCAAGCAGATAAATCTGTGCAAACAGCCTCTCCCCTCCGCATTCACCAACTATATGAGAAAAAAGAGACTCCGACCAAATTTCAAACAGTTCCTGTCAAATTTCATTCAATTTGCATGCATACTGCTGCTACATGTGCTCACTGCTGCATCGAAATCAAACAAGCAGCATCTCTCTTCTCCAAAAAAAAAAATCAGAAGTCTACATCCATCATGCTTCAAGATTCTCACTACCTTTACCTTTACCTTAGCGAGAGACTCTGATCTCTTCTCTCTTCCACTCTCGCCATCTTCACCACCCTCACCCCTCGCCCACTCACCCACTCGCTTGTTCCCTTCATTACGCCCTCAGTATATCTACCTCTCAACCCCTCCATCCTCTCCATCTCCTCAATCTCTCCGTCCCTCCTCTCAACCAAGATGTCTCTCGTCGGGTACCCCGAGTGCGTCGTAAGTATCTCTCTATCTCCAACTATACTCCCTCTGCCAACTGCCATCTCTTCCCTTTGCCCTTTGCCCGAAAGAGAAACTTCAGCAATCACCACCCGCACTGTAACACTGACAACGAGCACAAAAGAACGGGTGCCTCCGCGCCAAACCCTCCATCTGGGAAAACTGCCCTACTCAGCAGTACATCTGTGCCTGCATGACGGGTCCTCGCGCTGATGTCTTCCTGAACGGTGCGGTGCCTTGCATTCAGAACTGCAGCCTCGCCCAGCAGACTGGTATGTAAATATTTCTTCTTCTTTTCCATTTTTCTTTTCTGCCATTTATCCACCTTGCCCTACCAAATTGCCCAAATGCCATACCCCAACTGCGTGCGTCTTTCACTTGAGACGGAGTTCCGTCTTAAGTGAGAGAATCACATCCCCCGGGACTGCCAACCCCAAACCCAATTCCCAGCAGCGATAGCAATATCGACATCTGCCCTATCTGAGAAAAACTTGAATTAAACCCCTCATGTGAACAGCATTCATCAACATCGTCCGCAGCCTCGCCATCAACTGCACCGACAAGCCGGATGGCGAAGGTCTTCTTGCGCACATCGCGCCCGACAACCCCTTCAGCACCGCCATGAAGACGGGCTTCTTCCTCCCCACCTTGACTCCGCTTCCATCCCTTACCACGATCATGACCACCAAGAAGGCGTCCGCAAGTGTCCCCGTAACCGTCACTGTGACGACGGGCGGTACGACCGTGACACTGACCACCAGCATGGCGTCCCGCGTCTCGTACTTCCCCACTTCCAACATGACGTCCACCATGGCGTCTCCTTCTTCTTCTTTCGTCAATGGAACTGGAACGGCAACGGGAACGGGAGCCGTGGTCGCCACTTCGGCAGCCTCTGACTTGGAGTGGTGCTACATGCTCCACCCATCGAAAATACCACAATTCTTCTGCGACACTGGTCCGCCCGAGGCAGTCATAATGGTCCTAGGGGTCGCGCCCGCCATTTTGATGATCGTCGCGTTTGCGGTGCATATGTTTCGCGAGCGCCGCAAGATGATCAAGGAGTGGAGGAATGCGCATGAGGTTCCGCCCACGCGCCCTTTGTCCTCTGATTCCGGTTCTTCTGGTTCTTCTGGATCTTCTTCTGAGATGCAGGAACTCAGAAGGAATGACTTCCCGGCTGGTGAGGCGGGGAGATTTCCGCTCGGCGGTGCTGGTCCTAGTGTTGCTGGACCCAGTGGTACTGGTGGACGCAACAACAACAAGCAGAAGAAGAAGAAGGCTGCCGCCAAGAAGAAGAACAAGAAGGAAGCCGCGAAGGAGGCGGACGAGGAGGACTGGGATACTTGGGAGAGATATCTGGCCAGGCTTGAGAGGGGTGAGAGGGTTGCGTAAGGAACAGAGTGGCATCTAATGCCGCTGTGACTTACTTACTTCCAACCCCCCGTCGGAGTAAGCAAGCAACAACTAACGTATCAACGCTATCGGTTTCTGATATTTGAGTCGGATACGTGTGGTTTGTGGTACTTTAATATGTATCGGCAAAGGCAAACATGCTATTCAGCTGCTGGAAGGCAACACACGTCGGCAGCGATGGTAGTACTCATAGCGCATGAACACGCATCGTGTGAAATAGGGTTACAGCATGACCGCCAGACCGCTGATAGGATGCATGGTAGCCTTTGGCTATATTGGCGGTACGGGATGGCTGGTCATGCATCACATTAGGAGCAAACAAATGAATTTGTCTATTTAAGTGTCGTTTTCTGCCGTTCTTTGTTTACTTACCTCTTCTCACACAAAGACTCACATGATACCTATTGCACTGCAACTCACACATCCAAGAAACGTCTCGACGAAAACAATCTCGCAACGTCGTCCTCTTCAAAAAGATCAAAGGAAGGCAAACACAATGGCCACGCTACCTCATCCTATCTTCCCTACGACCTTATGGACTCCGAAACCACGCCCAATAACGCGGACAGCAACGTTGCCTCACTCCACATCGGTGCCGAGCCAGGCTGAAAAAACAGTTGGTGGAATTCCGATCTGGGCTTACCTCGTTGGCGTCATCACTTTCACGATCTTGCAATTGCTCCGGCGGACATGGAGATTGTGCAGGCAGCAGGCACGTATTCGAACAGAGGAGACGAAGGAGTGTTTGGAATTGTGGGAGGAGTTTGAAAAGGAAATTCAGAGGGAAAGGGAACAGGCGGAGGAGAACTGGAAGCGGATCATTGGATAAGTCACCCGAGCAAATGAATTCCTCATTAGCATGCTACTTATATTGCATCGCTACGTCCTCCTATCACCCAGTCATGTTGAGCCCAGACGAATGTAATCGACTTCAATGCCTCTCTGCTTCATTGACATACATGGTTCATTGTAGAGCAACTCCGCCGCCATAGAAAGCAAGCTCAATCAGATAACAGCACAGTCCCGAATACCGCAACCTCATTGCGATTTCAATGTCTGTTCACAAGATCACCCATGGGCTGTTGGGCCTCCGATCCGTCACATTGCACTGAAGCTCCCGTGATTTGGGAGCGCCATGAAGTCCGAATAGGTCGGGGTGCGCGGCCTTGGTGATTTGTTTCTGCTGATTTCCAATGTCGCGCCAGCCGGGGAGTACTGAACTAATACCTCCAGGAACACGGATATCGAATAGGGCAATGGCAATGTGCACAGCAATATTCTCTGCTTGACTGATCTGTGCGATGGTTGATGGAACAGCCGAATCCTTGTTGTATGCCTCGAGCCACTCAGTGGTATCTAGCATCCCTTAGTACAAGATTTACGACGTGATACTCCACTTGAGATATTGGTAGAAATCACAGGGTTTGATACTTACTATGATACGCATCCTTAATTCCTGGGAAGCCATGCAGGTCGGCAGACTTCGCCACGGCAACCAGAAATTCGTGCATGCTTGGGCGTCCCTTGATGTAGATATCATCTCTATCGTTCCAGACAGCACTACTTTTGGAGCTGTGGTTCTCGGCCTCCGCAGGTAGCACAATCAAGTGGCGGGTGTAGGAGCGCATCTGGACGGGGATCATGCCCCAGATTTGGAAGATGTCTTCTGGGCTGATTGCGGATAGTCAGTAGATGCAAGTCATGATAGTACATGGATGGAATTCACTCACTCTAGCTCGGCTTTGGAGTGAAAGCATCCGTTCCAGCTCATGGCGAGGCAGTCCCTATAAGTGGCATTGAAATGCCACAAGTCCTCCCACGCGAGGTGATTGTTCTTCCAGTAAGACTGACAGACTTCATTGGTGCGAGGATTGCCTTCATAGCCATGTGTCACCCAGCGGGCGATCTCTCCGTAGGCGAAGTTGAGGTTGGCCTCAAGTCCTTTGCTCAGGTCTGGGAGTTGAGGAGAGAGGACGGGTTTGTCAAGACGATTGGCGTTTCGCACGTTGGCCACAACAGGGCTGCCGAGGACAGTCGTGGCGAGAAGGCCAGTTAGAATGATTGCTTTGTGAAACATTGCAGCGTGAATTTGTGAGTGAGTTTTTGATTTCACGGGAGAAGGTTGAGTTGTGTTGAGGGACAAGAGCGGGATGGAGAGTGGAGGTGTTTATAATGACCACTGGAAAGGGCAGGAGCGTAGCGCAAGATCGCTGATGCCTCTATGATTCATCTTTTTCCATCTCAAATACCGTGCAATTACCAGGATAGGACCAGTGAAGGAGGATAGAGAGATCGGTAGTACCATGGAAGGTCATACCTGGCTTCACCTCCCGTTTCGATCTTTGCAGTCACACAAGTGTAATTACACGGATATTGCTCGACACCCAACAACATGATTTGGAAGAAAGTGAAGCACAGATCCACACAGAGCCATCGCTTTATGCTACATTTTGATGGATGTTTATATACTAATTTTTTTCCTTGTTCACTACTTAGACACGGATGTATATCTCTCTTCTCCCTCAATTCCACGATATGCGCCTAAGAATCGAAGAACATAGCTTAGCCGTAGGTGAAAGGGTTTCTGCAAAGCGGGCAAGAGCTGCTGCTACTCGTCTTGAACCATTTGAACAAGCAGGAACCGTGGAATATGTTCTTGCAAACCAAGCATTTCTTGTCTGGGAGTTTCTTGTCGCTTCCTACAATGCTGTAGCAAATCGCGCACTCGACTTGACCTTCGAGCACACCATCGACGTTACGCTTGAATGTCGTCAATGCATCGATCAGTGAACCGTTGAAAATGGTGATAGCTCCTAGTGAAATACGAAGATAGGATTGCCATTTCTGTTCTTTGATGGCGACACGGTTGATTCCCTCAATCTGCACATTGGCCAGAGGGAAGGCAGCTGGGAGCGAGATCCGGATGGACATGGTTTGCTCGTCGACCAAGTATGACGCGATGATCTCGCGAGCGCGAGGAGATACCTTGACGGTGAAAGGAGAGTCGGGATCAGACTCAATTTGTGCAGCGTTCCATTCTGAGACGGATTTGAAGGCACCAGAGATGACGGGTGGTGATATGTACTTCTCGGTCCATGGCTCTAAGGTGGCAGCGATAGCACGGGATTTTGATCCTATCCACCAGGACCTCGTGAGTGAAGAAATATGTCGAAGGCAGAGAAAGTAAAGATGTGACAACAACCATTGGGTGTCTTTCCGTGGTGTTTCGAGATCAGGCGTGTACGAAGTGACGTCGAATTTCGAGACATCGACTGGTTTGCTCTGCGCATGGCCCAGGAAGTCAAACGTGAAGTCGAGGAGACCAGGTAGATAATCATACTCCTTGAGATGATCTATATAATCGTTTTTGACTTTGAACGACTACGAAAATCTTTAGCGCTTGCAATGGAACCTTGGAGATTTACTTACAGCATGTTCGAGGTGGTCGAAAACCAAGAGCCAACTCAATAAATAGCCTCTGAGAGGTAAGGGTATGCTCCGTTCAAAGTCCGCGTCAGCAAGTGCGGCTACAGTCGGTGCCTCAAGGATCAGGGAAAGCAACTCCTCTGGCAATCGAGCTGTGCTTTTGTCAAGCGCAGCATCAATAGAGATCTGTTCTTGAAGTGCCGGAATTTGCTTGTGCAGAATATCGAAAGCTGACTGTTGCACAGGTTGCGACTCAACATAGAGTAGCGGAAACAACTCCTCGGTAGACTCGAGATGCTCAAATGGGACCTTGGAAATTTGTCTGGCAAGCACATCGTTCACGATCTTTAGAGGTTGGTGAAACTCGTCGGGGAAATGCTGGGAGTGCTTGAGCAGATTGAGGAGTCCAGCAGCAACCCTGGATTCCGTCTCTTTCCAGGCATCAGACAAATCGTCACTTGAGTCTTCGGGCTCGGCGAGTATTCGCAACTGGGCCAATAGTTTCAGAGAGCCATGTGCGTAAGGTACAGGACTATAATATGTCAGCATGAAATTGTGCGGGCTGTCGAGACAGATAACCTACCTGTCCATGCCAGACTCATTTTCCTCCACTTCTGTCATCTTCATCCAGCTAGCAGCTAGAGTACTAAGAATATCGTCCCAATGCTCGCCGTAGATATCGCCCATCAATGGTAAGCAGACAGCCAAAACTCGACAGAGCTCAGCGCGAATAGCCAGCGGCGTTCCAGGTTCTTGCAACCACGGCACAACGTGCTTGACAAAGAAGATGACTCGCTGTTTCGCAATGCATTGAGCAATGTCTTCCTGACCGTATAACAGGGAGTTGAGCAACACCAACTGACGGAGTCCTTCCTGAGGCTTTGCATCAATCTGCAAGCCGGTGAGATCGGCGACTAGCTCATTGCACATCCGCTCACAGGCCTTGGATGCTGTAAGCGGTTCTTTGAAAGCGTTGAGAAATCCTACAAGCGCAAACACGTTCTTTGCTCGTCGGAATGTCTTAAGCTGCTCCTGCATCTCGGCTGTATCCGATGTGTTCCAACCATGTATTTCGATGGCTTTCGAAATCAGCTCGCTACGGACGCGAGCCTCATAATACGTTTGTGCAGAGATTGCATGCTCTATTGTGCTAAGCAAGGTGCAAGCCCATGAGACCATAGATTCCCAATGTTGAGCTTGTTGAGTCAAGACTTCTTTGATGAGTTCTCTGGCATCATCTTGGAAGGAAATCGCTTCGGCCTCTACGTCAGTATTGTATACTGCCCAAAGGTTATTTGAGCCTGCAAGACCAAGGTTGTCGTCAGAGAGCTGCAAGGTAAGTGCCAGGTTATGCACCAACTCATCCTTCAATTCTGAAGGGAGCACGTCCAGTGAAAACAGGTCGCGATTCTTGAGGAGTCTCGCCACGTACTGCGCCGTACGGTATGCCGGAGAGTAGCCGTCTACGTCGCGATCGAGTTTCCTCACAGCGTCCATTGGGCCCGACTGATCTACAAGATATACAGCACCCGCGAGTGGATTTGTAACTGCCAAGGAAGATTTCGGAGCGAGATCCAGGAACGGCTTCAGCGAGTTTTGCCAATGCTCGACTTTTGGAAAAACATCCTTGACTTGCTCCCAACCTTCGCCCGGCTTGACTAATTGTTTAGCCAAGTCCACCAATGTCTCGACCGAAACCGATGTCTGGGAAGCATTCGCAAGGCCGTGCTGAATCACATTGAAGACAGACTGCTTCGAGTCTGATTCCGCAGCCAGAAGAGCCTGGATCGAAGAGTTCACTGCGGCGGCTTCTTGTGCGATTTCCTCGTTAGGTGATTCGGAGGCAAGCAGAAGGGAGCGGAGTAGGGCCGATCCGTTCGGGGTCGGTATGTAATCTTTGAGTACTGTCGGACTGTGTTTGACTAACTGACGGAAGCCTTGCAAGGATGTCTGAACTTGGTCATTCAGGGTCAACGACTGAGCCATTGCAGCTAGAAGATCGTCTGTAGTTTCAGAAGATAGTATTGTTGCTGGAGATTGAAGAATGCGACTGAAAGAATCCCACTCGAGAGCACCTTGAAGAGTTGCGCGCACAGAAGACTTGATATGACTCTGCAAGTCATCATCTGCAGAAGCTAGATTGAAGGATGATGGTATCTTAGAAGAGGTGAGTAAGGTTTCTAGTGCCTTCGATTTGGCGGGTGAATCAGGCGCAGCCAGTGCATGCTTCAAGGAAGCACTCCAGGCACTCTCGAAGCATTCGGAATCGGACATAATATACAATATGTCAACCAGTTGCGATGACGACGGAGACAATATAAGCTCTGGAATGTCATGCTCCACAAAGTTCTCCAGAGTCTCTTTTGTGGTGGCATCCCCGAGAAGCAATGGCTTGCTTTTAGATAAAAGTTCAGTAACAGCACCTGCGCCGCCGTATGGCTTGCCATTTCTGTTTTTCACAACAGCAAGTGCTTCTGTGATTATGGTCTGATTCGATGCGACGAATGCAGTTCGCAAGGCAGGCGAGGCCGAAGATGCATGCTGTTGGAAGGTGGCAAACCTCGATGCTTGCTTAATTATTGCGCCTTGAGATCGGTCATAGTCCTTAGACTGTTCGGGTGCGGATGTTTTAACATCATCAATGAAGCCTTGTACATATGAAGGCCAGCTTTCCTCTATAGTCTCGGGCAGACGTTCAATAAGGAGCAATCGTTGCACTAATTTAGATGAATTTGGTGGAAGAGCCCATTGAGAATCGCCTGGATCAGGTCGCAAGAACTGGGATATTATCGGCAAGACGAGTTCCGACAAAACTTTGCTCCGATCTTCCACTGGTAGAGATTTTATGACGAAATCTAATATGTCCAAATATGCTGTCCAAGCTGACTCGAGATTCCGTCTTGGTTCCTCCCTTCGGGTGACGCCAGCATGTAAAGCGCTCAAAAACTCCGCAGTATCTGCACTGTTCTGAGGGACAACACCAGAGGGCAGATTCTTGATGATATCCACGACGCGGTCCCAATACTCGGGAGGTCCAAACTGTGATCCCTTCTTGACGCATTGTCGTAGTCTACGATCGACGGAGGTTTTGCTTTTGTAGTGGTCTGTCCATGCTGTAGGGTATGTTGATGTGAGATGTGCCACTGCTTCTACGAAATCGTAGGCGGAGCCAAGCTGATCGGAGTTTAAAGCTACTGAGAGATACGCCTTACTGATAGCGTCCAGGTTTTTCTCAACTGACTCTGTCCATGGTCAGCATTTCTTACTTACTTTGAAGCTACGATATGTGATTACTGACCAGGTTGCTTTGCTATGCATGCTTTGAGGAAGCGATGCAGGGCGCGCCGAATTGATGGGTCAGTATGCGCCGCGAATGCCCAGACCTTACTGTCCCCTAATAGTGAATCGTACTCAGCCTGCAATTTGGACAATTCCTCTACTTTCAAATTCGAAATCAAACTCCCTATTAGAGATATGCAGGCGGCCACGACTCGGCTGTATTTTGCCTCTGCATCGTCTTTGCTTACTGTACGCTCATCACTCAGTGTCTGCGTTGTCTCTTTATCAATAGCGTCCCGACAGTATTCTAGAATGGGCTGTTGATATGCTCTCCGGATGTTTTGTATCTTCTCAGCAGTACTGAAAACCTGTCGGAGGGAGTTCTGGGTAGCTTCGGTCACGGATCGATCCGCATCGTAGAGACCTGAGAGCCATGCTCCGACTGATTTGGGCATGTGTTTGGCCAATCGCTTCCCCGCGGAGACAGCGATCAGGCCATGAAGGGCATGGGCGTTCTGGCGGACGGCTTTCGAATTGTCTATGGAGGTGCGGGGGAACGTTTTGATCTGCGAGAAGAAGGGTTAGTATTGCTTTGATACATCTGGGCAAATTTCCAGAGCTTACCCAAGCCTCTAAGATTCCATCTTCGACTGGTTCTTGCAGTGTTGATATATATGCCTGTATGTCCTCCAATGCTTTTGCTTTGGTTGTGCTGTCCTTCTTTGAGAGATTGCGGAAATAAACGACGACATTGGGATCGGAAATCGAAGAAAGATCGGGCGGCTCCGCGATATATGACAGTTGAGAGGAACTTGTGCCAAATGCCGAGGACGTTGATGAACCGAGTCCTGACCCGAATGTGCTGGTGGCAGCTCGAGCACTGCTCGCATGCGACTTCCCCGATCGTTTGCTCATGGTTGAGAGAATGGAAGGAATATTGCGAGGGAGAGGTGGAGGAGGATTACGAAAAGAAGAAAAAGAAAGAGTGAAGGTTGCTGGTAGCAGCTATATGTTTGAGGGCACAATTCACAGCTATCAAGGACGAAAGAAAAAGAAGACGAAAATGTTGCTGCCCTTCGCCTGGAGACGATGACGGCACACGAAGGGCGGCGGCGGACTTGTTAGTGGGGGGGTTCAATACTCGTAGCATCAGCCACATGTGGCACAATGGGGCGCATAATGGGAGTTCCTGCGCTAGTCCTTATTCGACTGGCGCGTTTTGATGACTTTCAAGACAAACCTCAGAGGCAACAGCAGCAACCAATTTGGCTTGCCTCTCGACGAGCTTGAACTTCATCCGCCCGACACAATACAAAACCGCGGGCGGTCTTCTCAAGATGAAGTTCTTCATAGAGTAAGTCATGTGTCCATTATAATTCAGGACATTGTGCTCACATGACGCCCCAGCGAGCTCCCCGTGCTCTTCCCTTACCCAAGGGTATATCCAGAACAGTATGCCTACATGTGTGATCTCAAGCGCACGCTGGACGCCGGCGGCCACTGCGTTCTGGAAATGCCGTCAGGCACAGGTAAAACTGTGTCCCTGCTCTCGCTCATCGTAGCGTATCAGCAGTTTCATCCTGAAAAGAGGAAACTCATCTACTGCTCGCGTACCATGTCTGAGATCGAAAAGGCACTCGCCGAGCTGAGAGGGCTGATGAAGTATCGAACCGAGCAGTTAGGGTATGAAGAAGAATTCAGAGGACTCGGCTTGACCAGTCGAAAGAATCTGTGTCTGCACCCGTCGGTCAAGCGTGAGAAGAGTGGCTCCGTTGTCGACGCGCGATGCCGAAGCCTGACGGCAGGGTTTGTCAAAGAGAAGAAGGAGCGCGGCGAAGATGTCGAGCTCTGCGTCTACCACGACAATCTCGATCTTCTGGAACCGCATAATTTGATCCCGCCTGGCGTTTGGACGTTTGATAGCATGCTCAAGTATGGCGAGCAACAGAAGCAATGCCCATACTTCACGGCTCGGCGGATGATGCCGTATTGCAACGTGATAATCTATTCCTACCACTACCTGCTCGACCCAAAGATTGCCGAGCGGGTGTCCAAGGAGCTGTCCAAGGATTGCATTGTCGTCTTTGACGAAGCCCACAACATCGACAACGTGTGCATCGAATCTTTAAGTATAGACATCACCGAAGATTCGCTGCGAAAAGCGACCCGTGGCGTGAACAACCTAGATCGCAAGATCACAGAGATGAAGTCGACCGATGCGGAGAAACTACAGAACGAATACTCAAAGCTCGTAGAGGGATTGCGAGCAGCAGACGAGGCCAGGGATGAAAATGCCTTCATGGCAAACCCAGCGCTGCCAGATGACCTTCTCAAGGAAGCCGTGCCTGGAAACATCCGAAGAGCAGAACACTTCGTAGCGTTCCTCAAACGCTTCATCGAGTACCTCAAGACGCGAATGAAAGTCCTGCACGTCATCTCCGAGACACCACCCTCCTTCCTCAGCCATCTCCGCGACCTGACGTTCATCGAGCGGAAACCACTTCGGTTCTGCGCCGAGCGACTGACCTCGCTGGTCCGCACATTAGAACTCACCAACATCGAAGACTACCAACCGCTACAAGAGGTCGCAACCTTCGCCACCCTCGTAGCAACCTACGAATCCGGCTTCCTCCTCATCCTCGAACCCTTCGAATCCATAACCGCCACGGTCCCCAACCCAGTCCTCCACTTCACCTGCCTCGACGCCGCCATCGCCATCAAGCCCGTCTTCGAACGCTTCAGCTCCGTCATCGTTACCTCTGGCACCATGTCCCCCCTCGACATGTACCCCCGCATGCTCAACTTCTCAACCGTCGTCCAAGAATCCTTCACCATGACCCTAACTCGCAAAGCCTTCCTCCCCATGATCGTCGACCGCGGCAGCGACCAAAACCAAGTAACCTCCCAATTCGAGCACCGCAACGACGGCCCCGTGATCCGCAACTTCGGCAACCTCCTCATCGAATTCTGCAAGCTCACGCCCGACGGCGTCGTCGTCTTCTTCCCCTCCTACCTGTACATGGAATCCATCATCTCGCAATGGCAAGGCATGGACGTCCTCAACCAAGTCTGGAAATACAAGCTCATCCTCGTGGAAACCCCGGACGCCCAGGAAACCTCCCTCGCCCTCGAAACCTTCCGCACAGCCTGCAACAACGGCCGCGGAGCGGTCCTCCTCTGCGTGGCCCGTGGCAAGGTCTCCGAGGGCATCGACTTCGACCACCACTACGGCCGCACCGTGCTCTGCATGGGCGTGCCCTACCAGTACACAGAGTCCCGTATCTTGAAAGCCCGCCTCGAGTTCCTGCGCGAGACGTACCGCATTAAGGAGTCTGACTTCCTGTCTTTCGACGCGATGCGCCACGCTGCGCAGTGTCTGGGCCGTGTTATCCGTGGCAAGGACGACTACGGTATCATGGTGCTGGCGGACAAGCGGTTTGGGAAGAAGATCCCACAGCTGCCGAAGTGGATTCAGGCGGGTCTCGACACGAAGAATACGAAGCTCAGCGTTGATCAGGCGGTCGGGTACGCGAAGGCGTTCTTGAGGGAGATGAGCGTGCCGAGGAGTAGACACGAACTCGAGGGTCACAGTTCGTGGAGTATAGAGCAGCTCGAGGCGCACCAGGAGAAGTTGAAGGGCGCGGCGGTCGCGGGGACTGATAATAAGTTGATGAGGGCTGCGGAGGGGAGGGCGGAGCTTATGGAGGTGGATGATGATGATGATGATGAGTTTGGGGGTGGGGGGATGGATGCCGTCATGGCGGACTTGGATGCTTGAGGAAGAGATTGTATGCAAATTTGTGTATAGCATTGGGATATCTAGATTGTCTGGCTGCTTTTGGGTACGGCGTTCAACGGGCAAGGAACGATTTGGATCCGGAAAATCATCGAATTTGTAAGAATAATTAGTACACGGCGGAATGCCATATATCAAACAATCTATCTATCCTTCACATTGAAATATGTTCTTTTGCAGGTTGGAGATACCAAAGTTTGAATCTGTGTAAATCACTTCACATCACTGGCAAAATCTTCCCAAGTAGGTTTCAAATAGCTTATTTGCATTCAACTATAACAAGAAAACAAAGTCAACTGAAGCAACTAACGATCAGACAGTAGCGAAAACATCCCACAAAGCGCCAAACGATGGAGGCACACCATGCAAGAAAACGAATTACACAGGGTCATGATTGATGAATTGAGGTGAAAGATAACGAAGACCCCCTTTACTTAAAAAAAAGCCAGTGGAAGAAATAACTAGAAGAACTTCGTTGACGCCGTTTCCCTCTGAAACGCGCGGATGGGGGAATTGTCCAAACAAATGAAAATCCCCCCGGAACACAGGAAACAAACTCCATGCTTGGATTAGAAAAGAAAAAGAACACAAAATGTGGAAAAGACAGGCGGAAGTGGAAAGGGATGAAGGGGTTAAGTTCACACTTCCATATCCATGAGTAGCCACTTGTTGCTCGTGATCTCGTCTCCGCTAGTGAAGTCGTCCAGCGTGGTGAGCTGGAATCCGATCCAGCCCAGGTCTTTGCTCAGCGCCTCGGTGGCATGCGCCTCTGCGTGTCGGTCGATGCAGGCGACGAGGCGGGAACAGGAGAAGTAGGGGACGTCGCAGAGCTCGAGGAGCGCCATGAGGGCGGCTTTGAGATCGCCGCCGATGACGAGCTGGTCGAAGAAGACGAACAGCGTCTTCTCGCCGTCCTTCTCCGCCACGAAGCCCCGGAACCGGTTCCCGCCCACGTAGTCCCAGATCTCGACCCAGTCGCTGACCAGGCCGTTGTCTTGCTCTTCCGAGACCATGCCGCCCTCCATTTCAGGCGACGGCACGGCGCCGCTCGGTCTCTCCGTATATCGTCGGACGTCGACACCGTAGTCGCTGATATCGGAAGTAGAGTATTGATTGTAGTTATGCACACCCGTTACAAGCGAGTCCTGACGAGCCAAGTTTCCCTCACCCAGAAAAACAGTTCGTAGTGTCTCGCAGAAGAGTCTCTCACACTCTCCCGTAATGGTTTGTGCAGCCCCCCCTCTGCGCGCCCGGCTGCCGCGGTTTGATGACGGCTTGGCGACAGGTGCGTGTCTGGCGGCGAGGGGGGGACTCTGCGGAGGTGAAGGCATTCCCTGTTGGAGAATCGTTAGCAGGGCGGTCAATCGAATTTGATATTGGAGCTTTGGGACAAATACATACCGAGCTGACCTCAGGAACGCCAATCAACCCCGCCGGCCCCCGTAGTAGAGTAATGAAAGCCCTGAAGCTCCGTAGTGCAGGTGTTCACGGCATAGCAGGAAGCGCGGACATTGGCGCTGGGGTCGTAGTAGGAACTCTCGTGGGAATTACTACTACTACTGCTTCGATTACTACTTGTCGATCGCGCCATTGTTCGATTTTGCCACGGTTGCGTCGAGAAAGGGTTTATTGGGTGGTGAATTGATTGGGCGGTAAGCGGTGTGTGGAAGACCGGATATTGAGTCGATTGACGAGAGCGAAGTTGTTTGTTGGTACTGCGAGCGTTGTCGTTGAAGAGGTTACAACGGGATATAGTTGTCTGGCTGTATGGATGTGGCTGAGGTTGTAGATCTTAGGGTAGACGAGTGAAGTCGGAAGTCAACGATGAGGAGACAGTCAGAACAAGACAGGCAAAAGAGGAGAAGGGGAATTAAAGCATCTCGGTAACACAGGGTGATTGGATGAACCAAGATGGAAAAGTGGGGATATCGAAAATGTGTGCTGGGTCACTGGAGACGGACAAGAGTGTCCGACCGCCGACGAGCCGTGCATGAATACTGTCACCTAATTGGTCGAACCTCCCGTTTTCAGCAAACTGGCTCGATACTCGTCCATGTTCGTCTCAACCTCAACTATCACTTCATTCCTCACACTCCTTTGGGAAATGCAATTGTTAGGGTAACTGTTCTCATGAAGGAGATCCTTCGAGTGAAACATATACCATAAAGGTTCCATACCAATTTTTTATCTTATTTTCTCCACCGTGTCTGTACTTCGGGCGATATGTCCGCCCAGTAGTAATATTTGGGCCTGAATACGTTGCCACCACAACGGTGTCCACAATTAGAAATTTAATGGTCCACTTTCCTTGCCTGTGGATCCGGAAAGGATTTCTGCCATCACGACTCATCTCTATAGACCCCATTCTAGTAAATTTCAGGCTTTCGATTGCTGCTTCGAGAACCGTCAACGGAGTCTCAGTTCTGTATGATCACGTTACCTGGTCGATGCCATGAACATCATTGCTGGGCAACTTTCCTTGTAATCAAGAGCTTCACAGTAGACATGTATTTAGAAAAGAGGAAACATACATTTCAAGTACTCTAGGAACTAATTCACCCTAACTCCGCTTTGGAAACTTTTTACTCAATTACATAGCATCCTCAGCAATACAAGCCCTTTCCAAACATGGGCAGCACCACCTCGCTAGACCGAACCGGAGAAGAAGGCTTCTTTCTTCCACCAAGATATAACACCCGAAAAGAAACACATACACACACCCACAGACTCTCTCTTCGGGAGCATAAGGTCGAGAGAGATCCTTCCTCCCTGCACTAATCTAACAAGGACCCCAGATTATGCAAGTCGGATATCTCGTAACGCAATGCAGGTACATGGAAAAAAACCTAGGAAAGAGACTCATGTTATTTTGGTTGTGAGGGAACAGACACACGAGGATCTCAGGCCATATGCCCATGGCAGGAGGCCATTTCGTTGTATAGGAGTGCAGACACCTGTATCGTACGCCGTGCCGTGCCCTCAGTTATTGTCGAGCTTAGTGGATGGAGATGCACTTGATGTCAAACACCAAGTCGGCGTTACCCGGGATGTCTGGGGGAGCACCCCTCTTGCCGTAGGCCAAGTTGGCTGGGATGGTCAAACGGCGCTCGCCACCAGCAGTCATGCCAGCGACACCGATGTCCCAACCCTTGATGACCTCACCAACACCGAGCTTGAAGGCGAAAGGCTTGCCCTTCTTGTTGGCTATTATAACTGTTAGTGCTTGCTTGTCTAGTTTGCTGAAAACTCAACTTACCATCAAACTGCTTGCCGTTGCTCTTCAACTTTCCGATGTAGCGCATCTCGACCTTGTCGCCCTTCTTAGCGGCCTTGCCCTTTCCGACCTTCTTGTCGTCAATGAGGACACCCTGGACGGTCCTGGGACCAGATGGGGCGGCATCCTTCTTGGGCTCCTCGACCTTGGGAGAGCCAGTGGGACCGAGCTCAAGATTCTTTGCGAACTGAACCTTCTTCTTGTCCTCCTTCTGGTCCTTCTTGGCAGGCTCGACGGCAACAGCCTGGCCGTCATTCTTCTTGATCTTCTTAGCCTGCTTCTTGCTCTTCTCCTCACTGTCGGCCTTGGTGGCCCTGCTGATGAGGTCGTCAAGGTTGGCAAGGTCCTCCTCGGACTCAGCGGGGCGCTTGTTCTTTCCCTTCTTCGCAGCGACGAGCTTAGGGGCTTCCTCCTCCTCGGAATCGACCTCAGTGATCCTGGGGTCCTCAAGACCATCGAGCTCATCCTCCTCAGAGTCAGAGGCACCGTCAAGCTCATCCTCATCGGGGCTCAAATCGTAATCTCCCTCCTCGTAGTCATCCTCATCGTCGTAATCATCATGCTCGTCATCGGGGGGAAGAACGTAGTTTCCAGTGATGAAAATGTCGTGGGTACCGCTGGAGACAAAGTAGACCTCCTCGTGCTCACCGACAGTGATGTCGAGGGGTTGTTGGTAGTTCTAGTCAAGGTTAGTAATTGGAAAAAATGTGACTGATAGGCAGAGCACGAACCTTCTCGGGGTCGAGGGTGCAGAGAACGAGCTCCTCAACCTCGTCATCATCCTCCTCGTCGCTATCGATCTCCAAGTCCTCCTCGCTGTCATCGTCCTCGCTGGCCTTGCCCTTGCCCTTTCCGTTGACGCCGTTGGTCAAGCCATCCAACTCCATCTCATCGAGCTCAGCCTGAAGCTTCTTGGTCATGGCCTCCTTCTTGACCTGCTTGGCCTTAGCAGGGTCGCTGGGGCCGCCGTTCTTCTCGTTCTCGCTGTCCTCATCGTCATCGGACATATCCTCGTCCTCGTCGGAGAGAACGCCAGCAAGACGAGCCTTGATAGCCTCGATGCTGTCCTCATCGAAATCCTCGTCATCCTCGTCATCCTCAGAGTCGTCATCGAAGTCAACGCGCTCTCTGATCAACTTGAGGGTAGCGCGAGCGGGCTGGTTGGGCTCCTCGCGCTGAGGGTCGGCGCTGGGGTCAATAGCGGCCATGGTGATGCGGAACTGCGCGAATCGTTAACTACATTTTCATGATGATGTTGAATAGAGCGAAGGGAACTTGATCAAGAAAATCTTTCACTGCGAAAGATTCTCACAGTGAAGGCTTTCTTGTTATGCTGCTTGATTGGCTGATGATAGCATAGCGTAGCTCTCGTGAAGAGGGCTACAACTATACCACAACGATGAATTGGGGCAAAAAGGGACTCCATCAGACAGAACTGTCTATGAAGAAAGCGTTCGTATCGAAGGACATTCTACTTACGGTAGCAGGGAATTGCGCATTGCCGGGGATGGGGATTCCACCAGCGGGAACCCGCAGGCCGTAAACACTGGCGGGAAGCATACCGCCAGACATTGTGAAAGAATGTATGATATGGAAGAGTAACTGTAGATCTCAATGGATGAGTTTTGAGTACTTTCAGTGAGTAAAGAGAGAGTGTAGAAGACAGCAATAGCTCAGAGAAAAGTCGAGGTTTTGCGCTTGAGGTCGGGGCGCAGAAAAAGATGGCGAACGGACCTACCTAACTTTTTCGAACTTTTTGCTTGGCAGAAGTCGGCGGCCTCTCGGGCGGTGGGACTCGGCAGAACTTTCGTGACGCGACCGGGCCGCCACTACAACGCGCCGACATCATCGACCATCAACGTGCGGGAGCCTGGAGCGTTTTCCTATATTTACGACATGCGATCCACCCCGATGAAGACACCAGTCACTGGCTTCAACTATCGGGTGATCGTCGTTCGCCATGGGGTCTCGGCTGGAAGCCAACTCCAACGCTGTCCGGAAGCGTATCGCGAACCATACATTCGAAGATGAAGAAGGTGACGAGTATGAAGGCTCCGCTTTTGGCGGCTTCTCAGATTACTTCAGACGCAAGAAGATCAAATTACAGAATCTGGATGCTGAAATACGCGCCCAATCCACCCAAGTACCTCCAATATTCAGGGGAGTGGTCGCCCATGTAAATGGTTACACGCAACCGTCGCTAAATGACCTGCATACGATGATCGTACAGCATGGCGGCGGATTCATGCAGTATCTTGATGGGAAAACCACCGTGACGCACATAATTGCTAGTAGTCTCACGCCAAAGAAAGCCGTAGAATTTAAGAGATATCGAATCGTAAAACCTGCTTGGGTCGTCGACAGTATCCAAGCTGGGAAACTTCTTCCGTGGAACGACTATCGAGTGGTCGACGAGGGGGAGAACCAAAAACTGCTCGCTTTCGATAGCGGGGTGGTTACAAGCAGAACGAATTTCAAGTCTCGCGGATACAGGGACCAGACAGAGAACAGTTGGTATACAAGCCAACTACGAGGCAGCCAGGCCGGCTCATCTTCCAAAAATAATGCTTCGAATTCGCCTTTCCCGCAGCAGTTAACCTCCGCTCCGGAGGACGACATCGAAGAATTGCCAGACCATATCGATCGTGCCTCTAGCAATCAGCGACTCACACGGACGAATATCGATGTCCAACCGCCTGCGGATCTAGAAACACATTCAAAGATCCATCATTCACGTGATCCTACCAAAGCTTTTGCACAACAACCTTTGGTCAACGATATGGAGGGTGAAACCTCGCATGCGATCAACTACCAAAGTGAAGACATCCAAGAAGTTTCAAACCCTGACGCGACTGCGACGCGAGCAGCATCCCCTCAACATGACGAGCGCGTCATGGATTGGATTGATCGGGCTAAGGACCAAGACCCGGCCACGAAGAAAATTCTCACCGCGGAAGAGCACAATGCCATCTTGCTGAGAGATCCAAAAATACGTAAATCCACAGTTGTTGATCCGAACTTCTTGGAACAGTACTACCGAGAATCACGATTGCACCACCTATCGACCTGGAAGGCTGATCTGAAATCACAGCTCCAGGCTCTTGCCAATCAGAAGACTTCATCTCAAAAATTGCAACAGAAGAGAGCACCGGGCACAAGGCGATACGTTCTTCACGTGGACTTCGACAGCTTCTTTGCTGCCGTCAGTCTAAAGAAACATCCGCATCTAAAAGACAAACCCGCTGTTGTTGCGCACGGTAATGGAAGTGGCTCTGAAATCGCGAGCTGTAACTATCCTGCACGAACATTTGGTGTTAAGAATGGCATGTGGATGAAGAAAGCCCTGGAATTGTGCCCTGACCTGAACATCTTGCCGTACGACTTCCCCGCTTACGAAGAGGCGAGCCGCGCGTTCTACGATGTCATCCTAGCGACTGATGGTGTGGTGCAGAGCGTGAGTATCGATGAAGCACTCATCGATATTTCAGCCACTTGTATTGCTGCTGCTGGTAGTGATGGAAAGAATCTCTCTGAAGGGAGCATCTATCGCGAACAAGCCAAGGCTGACGAGTTAGCACAAACGCTACGAGACAATGTCAAAGTAAGAACGGACTGCAACGTCTCTGTTGGTATCGGTGGCAACATTCTCCTCGCCAAAGTCGCTTTGCGAAAAGCAAAACCGGCAGGGCAGCACCAAATCAAGCCGGAAGAGGTTTTGGACTTTATTGGAGTTCTTCAGGTACAGGATCTCCCTGGTGTTGCTTGGTCTATTGGAGGCAAGCTCGAGGAGATTGGTATCAAATTCGTCAAGGACATACGAGACGTTTCTAAGGAAAGGCTTGTTCAGACTTTGGGTCCGAAAACTGGGGAAAAGCTTTGGGAATACTCGCGTGGCATCGATAAAGCCGAAGTTGGTGAGCAAGTGACACGCAAATCAGTCTCTGCCGAGGTCAACTGGGGTGTGCGTTTCGAAAATCAGGAACAGGCAGACGAGTTCATTGCCAATCTTTGCGGAGAATTGCAGAAGCGATTGCTCAAGGAGAAAGTAAAGGGAAAGCAATTCACGATGAAGGTTATGCGGCGCTCGCCAACGGCCCCTTTAGATCCGCCCAAACACCTTGGTCACGGGAAATGCGATACATTCAACAAAAGCCTCGTGCTTGGCGTAGCTACGAATGCGAAAGAAGTATTGACCAAAGAAGCACTCAGCATACTCAAAGGCTTCGGATTCTCTCCTGGTGAGCTTCGAGGTATCGGCGTGCAAATGACGAAGCTTGAGCCGATGCGCAGCGCTACCGACGGATCTCTAGAAGGATCTCAACGCCGACTTCAATTCAAGGGAACCACTGCTGAGCCAGTGAACACACGAAAAGGGGTTGCTTTTGTGGATGTAGATCCCATCCAAGATGATCCTGAGACGCCAAAGAAACCAAAGGTCGCGGAATCGGAGCATGTCAGTTTCGGTGCATCTCAGCTCAATCAATCGACACCTTCCCGTCGACCTCTGAATACAGCAGGCACGCAATTCCTCATACCAACACAAGTAGACCCACAGGTTCTAGCAGAACTTCCTGAAGACATCCGCTCAAAGTTGATGCGACAAGCACGACAAACATCACCAACGCCCGGTGCACGTCATACATCGAAGACTGGAACAAAGGTAGACCAGACGTTGGCTCCTGCTGTACCGATGCCATTGACTGCCCTTCCACCTCAGTCCCAACTCGACCCTGAGATTCTTGCAGCACTTCCTCCGGATGTCAGGGCTGAAGTGATTGCGCAATACGCTGCTGGAGCTACTCCAGGCTCTCCATCGCGAGCTGGTCAGCGTAAACAAGGAGATCAGACCTTGCTGCCGCAGTCGCCCAGAAAGAATAGATTCATAGGTATTGCACAAAAGAAACCAGTAGTACCCGTTAAGCGAGGACGCGGCCGGCCTCCAAAATCTGCTCAGCTCGCTGCGGCGGCCACCAGCGTTGCTAAAGATAAGAACGGGAAGACATTGACGCAAGCAAGCTTTTTGACACGCAAGAATCCAGCAAAGGTCAGGGTCGCGGAGGAATCAGATTCGGCTCGAGACTCTGTAGAGCCCGAAGATGCTGTGGCTACAGTCGAAGGGCTAGATCCGGAATTTCTTGCCGGCCTGCCCGAGGATCTAAGAAAGGAGGTGCTTGAAGACGAGCGAAGGAGGAAGCTGCAGAACTCAAGGCTCGTGGTACACCGTATGCCGAAACCACGACCCAACACTCGATCCTCCCACACACCGGAGCCGCGACCTCGAGACGTTCTTATCATACCACGACCACCAATGCCGACGTTCACCGCACGCAATCTCTTTAAACCTAATGATTTACGTGGTGCGCTCAAAGACTGGATCACAGAGTTTGCAGACGAAGGGCCATACAGCGAGGATGTCGACACATTCATATTGTATCTCGAAAAAGTGGTTATCGAAGAGCGAGACATGGCCAAGGCCCTGGGGATAATCAAATGGATGGAGTGGATAGTTGGCGAGCTCGAAGATGGCGCTACGGTGAAGTCAACGAGTACTCTAGAATGGGAACGAACGGTGGGACAAGTTAAAGATGCCATGAATGGAGCGGCGCACAAAAGAGGGCTTGGGGATGTGAGTTTCGAGTAACGCGCCTCATACGAATTCTCTTTTACATCTATATATACCCATGCATTTCGGTTTTTACGAAGACTTCCAACGACGATATCATATACAATCTAAGTTAGTCAACAAAGCTGCCGGTTCTGTCACCTCGAAAAACAATTAACCCGGTCAAGTAAGTGATGTTCAGGGAGCTCGTCGCGAAGCCTGTGAGCTGCAAATCAAAGCCATGCTTAAACCGCGCTCGCCCTCAATTCCCTGCTGGTGTTCTCGTTGCATTAGGGGTCTAGATTCTGGGCGAGCCTATTCATTGCTTCTCTCTTCGTTAATCTATGAATACAGCATTCGCCAATGAGCAACACCTACCTAAAAGCCGAAGGCAGAACAGCACCTTGCTACCCAATAGAACACACACTACATCCCCTGCTTCCAACGCCGCAGGCCTGAGGACGTAACGTTCCCTCCTAGTCGTCGCGAAGCTGCGGCCCTGTGAAGCCGACGTTGCCCATCGACCCCGAACCTGATCATTACTCTCGGGCTAGGTAACCTCAGCTGCCTTCCGTGCCTCCTCTGATAAACTGCTGGATGCCCCAAGAGTCGCCACAATATATCTGGCTGCCTTCTGCAGCCACACATGATCTGAGACCTCGTGATGCGGCACGGGCTTACGCCCCCATGACCTGCACGCAACCATTACTGAATGTCTGCATGAACGCGAAGAAGATTGTCTGGCCGTTTAGATACGTATCGTCAAGATTTAAACGCTCTTTCTGACAATGCCCACGCCAGAGCTGCTCGATAATTGGTATCAGTTGCCCAGGTTTCTCGCAATGAAAATCCTCAGGAACCAACCGCCGAGAATAAGCCTCAAAGGTGTCGGTCTCCATGCCATGGACTCGAAGTAAAAGATGATCTTTCTCCAGGATTTCGATCTTGGCGGTCGAGTCGCCATGGGCATAGCGGATAGATTGGCTCCATCAATATGATACCATTGGACCGTCTTCAGTCAGGCACCCAGGATAGAACCTTGTGATTGCCCTTGAGCCATGCCTCCACGCTCATCTTTGACTACTTCGGCTGGAAAGGAGGCTAGAACAGGAGTACTGTACTGCCTTGAACACAATATACGCCGCAGTGGGTGTTTCCGGCAATATCCTCACCGCAAGATCAGTGTACAACTGCTCGACCGTCATCGCACATCTAGCCGTGATTGACACAGACCCATAGCCGAGAGAAGGAGCAGACGAACGCAAAAGTGGCCAAGAAACGCGGGAACATGGTCACTATCGTCGCTGAAGTGGAGATGCACGCGCGCTAGAGCTCGTGGACGAAGTTGAAGCTTTTCGCGTTGTGGATATTCTCAGCAGGCACTATGAATCCCTAATACAAGAAAGAGATGTGGTAGTTCTTCAGTCTAGTCTCTGTCTTTACGCGCTTCCCGTCTCACACGTGGATGCACGGATAACTTTGCATCTAGGTGTGCTCAGTTGCTGCAGAAGCCCGAAAACCAGGGCCACCATCTCCAGGCTACAGAGCGATACGCCAGCCTGATCATACCGGAAATTGTAATGGGTGATTCTGTAACAATCGTCCACTATGTTAGAGTGGCACAGTGGCCATAGAATATCTTATTTATTGGAGCTGTTACCGCTCGGTGTATAGCCTCTCTCCAGCTACATTGACCTTAGGACGCAGCCTGCAGCCTCCCACTAGTTACAATTCTGTATGAATGTCTGTATAATCCACTGTGTTCAACTCCTCCGAACTCGGGAGTCCGTCTGCCAACAAGTTCCGCGTCCGGTTGAAGCCTCTCTACCTGTGGCGCGCTAAATTCACCACCGCTGTCCAAACTATTGAACCACCTGCTTTCTCGACCTATTTTCAGCCAGCTATCTATCATGGTTTCAATTCCCAATTCCAGTCTTTGCTACCAAAACGTCAGAGTGTTCCTCGAGGAGTATAAAAAGACCGAGACACAAAAGCTGTTCAAAGATTTCGCGGACATCACCAGGCAAAAATGCGAGGAATTACTGAAGAGTATGAATATCAAGGGCGTGGTACAGAGCAGATCGAAAGGATATGACTCGCTGGAGGTAAAGCTGAATGGTATGATAAAAAGTCCTGAGTTCATGAAATGGTTCGCTGGAATCGACAACGGCGGCGACTTGCACTTGTCTGGAGATCTTTTCAACGTTGGGAAGGAACACAACGTCAGCGGCGATGGCAAGGACAACATCGACAAGCATGGGGAGAGAGATGCGGGCGAATGTGGCAAGCGAGGGCGAAGTATCTACGAACATCCTGACTTGGGAGATCTTGCGGGCATACGCATTGGGTTGTTCTTCCCCGGCGACGTCGTCAAGTTCGCAGAGGCGATCAACGAAATCTTCAATGTGTCACATAACTTTGGCACAGTCATCGATACTACACGATCTGCTGTCGAGAGCAGAAACCGGGACATCCAGATACATGGAAATGGGCGATGGATCAGTCAATCCCCTGGCCAGGACGTTCACTATTGGGAGCACTACGGATACAAATCATGGCAAGTAGTCGTTGGATGGAAACAGCCTCTACCCAAGGATGTCGAGTTGATCGAGACCACTCTGGCTCAGAGCGAGGTTTTCGGCCCACTGAGAATAGAGATTCAGGTCGGGACGGTGGTAACGCAAGCCTGGGCCGAGGTGCAACACAGCATCATCTACAAAAGTTCTAACGATATCCAAGCGACGACGACTATGAAGCGAATGATTGATGCCATCAATGGTCTCGCAATCACGATAGACATCATGCTCACGGAGCTGGAACGAAGTCAGGCACAGGCAGAAAAAGAAGCAGAGGAGCGACGAGAGTCTGAAAAGCGTTTTCATCAGGACAGGCTTATGAACGCTTGCAAAACGGGCGATGTCCAGACCGTAAAGCGGCGTCTCGAGGACGGGGTCGTTGTGAACGCTACTGGTGAGGGCTAATGCACGGCGCTTCATTGGGCTTCCTGGAAGGGCCATAGCAAGGTGGTAGAACAGCTTCGAAGGGTGAATTGAGGAAGGGTATCGCATCGCAAGTCTTTGGGAGAGATGGTATTTGAGGGGTGTTCTGCGCACGTGGCATGATGCCTGAATTGAGTTTCTATTGCGACGTCTTCCAAGTACGAACAGATCCCCACTTGGCTTGATCATTTTTGACGTGTTTTTGCTTGTTCATGTTCTCGTCAACGTTGTACAGAGTTACTTCTAAAGTTTCACAGAGTTCTTGCTCTAGTTCATGTTATCGTCTCTAACACAATTGGTTCATGATTATCTGCCACCTCGCCGTATGGGGCGTGGGCATGGGCGTGGGCGTAGTGAAGTAGTGCCTTGATGGCTCTTTGATATGAGTACATCGAGATAGGGAAACGTATTCCCTCGTGCATATATCACGACTCAGTCTCTCATCCCTTTTCTTTCTCGTACTATCTTATATGTTTTCTACATGTAAAACGTATTTGTTCTTACCAACTACAATAAGACGTTCAAATTCGAGATGTATTTACCAGTAGAAAGCAGCCGCTGGTTCCGCTTGTGGCGCCGTTATCGCATTATCGATAATGGGGACGCTAAACCGAATAGCGAATCATCACGTCACACACCTTCTCACGTGCGCCAGATTCACGTCTCACCTTCATCCAATGACTCTCCTCTTTCTTCACTGCCTCATTCTTACATTCCTTTCTCTCACTGCCTGACCTACTAATAACCCACACCAGCCTCCTATCAGGCTGTTGTCGGTCGACTCAGTCCTCGTCCAGCTTCATCTTGCATCAAACAATCTCCATCTCTCCAATGATCCTAGAGTACCTTGCATGACCTTGACAACTCATGATAACCAAATCTATACCCCGCTCGATCCGTACTTTCTGAGTTGTCATCACGATCGCAATCCACCGCTTCGTTCGGATATCAATCTCGATACTCTATCTGCCTGTACATACATAATTAATTGCCCAACTCGCCTTCTACAGCATCCATTACCGCTATTCAATAACACCACCTCTCGACCAACATGCCGCGCTCTAATGGTGTCCCAGCCATGCCTTTCCCTCTGTACCTTCTACCTAGTATTCCCTTCCGTCGCCGTCGCTCATCAGCGACAACCACTTCTACAAGCTCACAGCCAAACTCCCCTTCAAGTTCTCCTTCTCAGCCCTCATTTCTGGGCTCTAATTTACCTACCTCGCACCTCCGCTGCCAGAAGTGCTTAGCCGATCTCATCCCGACATCTTCCATAATCTCAAAGGGTTTCACTGGTCGCCATGGGCGTGCATACCTAGTTGCTCCACCACCACCGTCGGCCATTTACCCATACAACACAGTCACGATTGCAGACGAGGTCATGCGAGTAGGTGATTTGCCCAACGTTAACACGCACTCCTCCGTACCGAGACAACTCGTCACCGGTGCACACACCGTCTCGGACATCAGCTGCAAATCCTGCGGAACGGTAATCGGCTGGAAGTACGTTGACGCCGAAGAGGACAGTCAAAAGTACAAGGTCGGCAAGTTCATCCTCGAAACCAGAAGGATCGTCAAATCCGTGGATTGGGAGGATGGTGCGGTGGACGAGGCTGCGGACGGAACTGTCGCAACGTCGAAAAATGATGAGGAGATTGAGTTCGATAGCCAGGACGAGGACGAATGCGAGGATTTATTCGCTGGTATTTGGACCCCTGCACTTGCAAGGAGGAGACGAAAGAATCGCGCTTTTCGGGATGATGAGTAGTCCTCTCTCTGGACTATGAAGAGGAACAGAAAGCTTCCTCCTTGAGTGCATTTGGTAGTATTTTTCTTTTCTAGTTTTTTTTGGTCTTTCGGGCATCGGCGCACTGGAAACCACCTCATGACCACTTTCATCACACGACAACTGATACCCTCTTTTTCTCGATTTTCAATGCACTTCACGATATACCACTCTCTATTCCGGTTCATGACCTCCATCAAACAGACACGAATATGCAGCACGGAGTTTTGGCGTTTATTTTATCATTTATGCATCCACATTCGACATGCTATAATCAGAACAAGTACATTAATGAATCAATAAATCATGGCCCAACCTCACCAAGCGGAGTGACTATTGAGTTTCAGTATATCAATCCATCACTGTGCCCTTTCATCCACAGATAGTGTCTACTGTTCCCACCTATCTTAACAAACAATTAGGAAATATTCAAGAAGAATGTATGTACCATTGAATCGGCAAACCAGTAAGTCAGTCAAGCACCACCTGGAATTGGAACACCAAAGAGACAATAGTAGCACCAAACATCCTCTACAGAAATCGTCAGTAATGCTCAATAACCCGCACATCTTTTTCATACTAACGACTAAGAAGAAAGAGAAAAAGACAAAAAGCCTTGTACATATCAACCCCGAATTGTGACTCAATGGGAAAACAGTGGAGTTTGGTTATACAATTTAAAAACCGATGACTATATCTATATGTCTTGTATTCATATCTAGCGAGCGTTAAACTAATACCCCGAGGTTATTTACAATCTATAAAGTATTCCTTCTGTGTGTATAAGAAATCCATGCATCATCTTCCTTTTCATCTTCATTTCCCAGTCTGATATTACCACCACCACCATTATTTATTATTAATCGATTGATCCGATAAGACCGAATTATGTTTGAAGCGATTGTGTGACGCCGCGCCGTTGCTTTTCGTTTAAGAGGTCGTAGCGATGTCGTGTAAAGGAAAAAAACCCGATCCGAAGTCGACTTGTCAGTCCGTCGTGCTATTCATTACTCCTTCCACCATACCACTCCCTCCCCTCCATTCCCTCATCCACCCATCGACCCCTTTCCCCCCGCTCATTCATCTCCTTACAACCACTTAAACAGTAGCAGGCGCAGGCGCAACAGCAGCATCGGAGTCCTCGCTACCCCGGACATTCTTCTCGCCGACAGGGCAGCCACCCTCGCACTTAGCGGCCTGCCTCCAGGCGACGGTCTCGGCGACCATGGCGACGATGTGGAAGAACATGGCGAGGAAGATGAAGGACTCGCTGGCGAGCTTGAGGCTGCAGTGGCCGACGGAGGGGGCGTTGGCCCAGCACGAACCCTTGTTGTAGTCCTGGGCGGCGAAGACGAAGGCGGTGAGCCAGCTGTTGTGTTTGCATTAGCATTCTGGTTTATCTGTGATGATAGGGGAAAGAGGAGCTTACAGGTAAGAGAAGACGCCGTTAAGGGGGATGTAGAATTTCTTGTAGGCAGCGGCGTTGGCGAGGAAGGGAAGGAAGAGGCTGGGGATCCAGAAGGCGGCGGTGACAGAGGAGATGACCATCTCGTAGGTGAGGTGGGAGTCGTGGGCGTAGTTGTTGAGGAAGAAGGCGGTGATGCCGACAACGACGAGGGAGGAAGCCCAGACGAGGAAGTGGGAGCCAGTGGCGATGAAGCTGAGGGCGGAGGCGGAGGCAAGCATCTTGAAGGTGTTTGGTTTGGTTTGGGAGGTTTGGTTGAGGAGTATTAAAGTTATTAGATTAGATGGATTATTAGAGAGTGGTGTTGGTAGTAGGCGACTGGTAGTAGATGAGAGGCGAAAAGCTGAAGAGCTGAAGATGCGAAGATGTGCTGGATGATGATTTCGAATTCCAACCGCAAGATGAAGCCCATATATATATCCAAACTCTTAACATGTAAACCCTCAAGATCAATTCACCATTTCCACCATCACATCCCTATGACGTCGACGTCCCCATCTTCCATCCCAACTCTACCGTGCCCTAAAGCACCACCAAAGCATCAAAGCGCGTTCGTCAACCTCAGTCACGCGAGATCGCCCTGCATACCCGCACTGCTGACAAGAAAGACGATGCGCGGACGGACCACTTCACGCTCCCGCGCTGCTCCCGAACATCCCGAGACGATTCCCATCCCATGCATTAGACAACAGTTGAACGATCACGGCTCCACAATGTCAACTTTAGCTAATCGTGCCACATTTTCCTTCGCACTACCTACTGTCGAGTTTAAGCTTCTTACTGCTTGCTGTTAAGCTTTTCTTACTTATCAGTTTGGCTGCATCGTGATGATGCTTTTCGTCCCATTGCGGGAGTATGGTCATTTGAAATCCCCGTGCGTCGATCCACTCAACCCAATTCGATTGTTCTCTTCAAAATCTTTTCGCTTCTTCAGTCTGCGGTGCAGGTGATGTGAGAAGCTTGTTTTCGGATATCTCGCATGTGTTCGACAAACTTGACTGACATTGCTCCCACGCCCCCTATTAGTTATGAGTAACAATCGAGCACCCGGATCCCCAAGGCTCTACTCTCAGCCCTAGCCATCCATCTATGTGCCGACAAGTAACTGCATCCTTCGTATTCAAAACTTGACTCACCTCCTACTCCCACTAACCACACTTACCAACCTCCTCCCAAAACAAATGCACAAAACCGACAAATCAGCAACCGCATCAACTAATAAAAAAAACCCTTCCTTAACCATAAGAGGGAATAGCGTCTCTACTAAGCTCCAATTGTGACCAATATTTCTGTCCCTTTATTATTTCAGCAAAGCTTGTTGCACGGCGGACTGTTCTGACGTTGTGTTTGACACTGGTGACGGATGCTTAGCGTACCATGCCACTATACCGCATCGGGAATCGCAGAGTGCACGTTCACACCAACAACTCACTGCTTGCTCCCCCCTGGCATCCATCAACAGACTGACTACATACATTTTTTCTTCCTGTCTATGCATGTGTTTGTGTGTGTGGCTCCCGAAGATTCCGAGAACATGGGGTTCGCGGAAGATTCGGAGAGTTCATGGGTAGGGCAGAATAATCTTTTGCCTACTTTGTAAAATGTCAGGTCAGACCGCACCACTGAGGATCAGGGAAAACTGGATAGAATGCTGGAGGAGTGTCGTGAACCGGCCCGCGTCGGCAGCGGACGCGAACGTGTTGGCAGGCGATTTGCAGCCTGTATTCTACGATTCTGGCGTGAGCATTGTAATTTTCCCGGATAGAAACTAAGACGAGGTCAAAGAACAGTGGCAGGCACTCGCGAAAGGGTCAAAAACACAATGGTTTGACAACTTTAGCGAGGAACGATCTTAGGATTTCGCGAGAAAAGAATATAGACAAAAGAAAACCAATGGCACTCCATAACACCGTCAGACAAGGCGGTAAAATGTCAATCCTTGCCAAACGACATCTGCGCGCACCCAGCTCTCACAACTGACCCAAATCTTCATGCACCAACAGGTCCTACCACCAGTGGCTCTGTTTGCGACGCCCTCAGCACCATGGGATCCAATTCAGGGAGCGTGAAATAAGGTCGACGGTAAGTGTATCCCATGAACGCGCCCTTTTTACGAATCTCTAGGACTGTACGTCCCACCTCAGGATCGCGAAGAAGCTTGTCGCGAGGCCTCTTCGTCTCCTTCTTACGTCGCTTCAATCGACTAATGGACATTGCTCGAGTGCGATCGTCTTGGTTGTTTTTCCCATGACCGTCCAATCCTATTTGAAGCATACGCTGTGGCAGCTTCCCGCCTTCCTCTTGCCCACTCGCATAGCTCGAGGAGTCTAGATGATCAGACGCGCTCATGATCTCCGCTTCGTCGTCAAAGTATTGAGTGATCGATTGACCTCCTTGGATGTGTGGAACAAAAGGCGGCCGTACGAGATGCATAATGGACCACTGGATATCACGAAAGAAGGCATGGTTCTTGATATCTTCGGCGTCATTGGGGAAGACTACATATCCCAAGTGGTCTGCATTGCGCTTGTGTCGCATTCGCACACCCTTCTGGCTCATGACAAAGTCGTTCTCTTTGTATCCTTTAGCAGAAAGTCGATGCTCCTTATCTTCAAGCAGCCTTGAGATAAGATCAAGAGCGTAATGAGTAACGGGCATCAGTGGGACGCGCTCAAGACTCGGCCTACCGTATCTTTGCTCACGCGGGAATTTGAGGAAACGCTTGTGGTCCTGACCTTGTCAAATCAAATAGTAAGATAAGCTAATCCAGACCACTTACCAGTATTTTGGCCTTCGTAGCTTGCCTGTTCTCACAAAAAAAAGGCGTGGAACCGTACAAACACTAGTCAATGTCAGTATCATACTGCTATAGCACAAAAGATTTGACAACCTCGTATAGAATAATACCGATACTCCACCAGTCACATCGACCATCATAGTGTTGCCCTCTGATCACCTCCGGTGCCATATACTGACTTGTTCCTACTACGCTTTTCGCAAAGCGGCGTCGTTGGGTGCTGTTGAGCCAATCTAGGACGGGTCCACTGGCATCTCCTTGTCTTGACTCGAATCGATCGCGGCCAGATACTCTACCATCGGCCTGGTTCGTGCCATCTTGAGCCTCCTGTCTTTGCCGGTCCTCTCGCGAGTCGATTTCATCGCCCCGAACGCGCAAATTAAGATCGTGCAACAAGCTATACCGTTGTTCGTTGTAATAGGTTTGATTGTGCGTCCAGTGACCATCAAAAGCAAGCCCAAAATCAGATATCTTGAGATGTCCAGAGGATGTAATCAAGAAGTTGTCTGGTTTGATATCTCGGTGGATCCATTTCATTCTGTGCGCCTCTTCTACGCATAGAATCATTTCGGCAATGTACCATTTTGCAACCCCTTCGTCGAGAACATCCTCCCGGAGTAACAGACCCAGAAAATCACCCCCCACCATGTATTCCATAACAAGATAGAGGTTGTTGTTGTCTTGGAAGCTGGCAATGAGCGGAACTACCCATCGGGAGTTCTCAGATGCGACGAGAAAGTCTCGCTCGGCACGGAGATGGCCCTCTTGGCTATTTCGCAACATGTCTGATTTTCTGATTACCTTCATTGCGAAGACCTGTTTCGGTTTTCGAGAAGGTACAAAAGTGCTACCAGCTTGAGTGTTTCCAGACTGATTGTCGTCTGCGTCACTCCGCTCACGAACGAGCCGTACGACGCCGAAGCTTCCCTTCCCAAGCACCCTTACGATCTCATAATTGGAAACGTGAACACCTTTGATCTTTTGTCGTGCTAAGGTTTTGGATTTCATTACCCGTGTCTGGCGGAGGTGGTTGGATTCGGCAGTGCACCATTGTTGTATCCTGGTTCGTTGCTCTTCTTCATGAGCACCCACCGCAAAGAGCTTGCGCTCCAGCTCCCTTCTCCGCCTCAATCGTGGGCTTACCTTGACATTGAGTATACTATCAAAGTGAGACTCAAGAAATATCTTTGTTGCCGCCGCATTTTCAACTGTGGCAACGGATGGCTTGGTGAGCCTAGGAGAATCCTGGCGTGGAAACACCAACCATTGCGATTTTGTACCCTCCTGTTCAGGTGGTAGGGGTGGTGTTCCAGTCGAAGTATGCGAGAATGGTTGCTTCCCATGGGCGCTAGCGATCTCGACGGAACGAGGTGCGCCAGAAGATACCAAAGAAGTCGGTGCTGTTGACTGGAAGCTTAGCGGATTAAGACTGCTACCTGTCACACTCGTTGACGGCTGCGAAAGAAAGGCCACAATATCGCTTATGAGCCGACGTGAAGGTGCAGAGTCAAGCTGGACATCTGGATGGATATCTGGCTCTAGACTCAACACAGTGGGACGGGATCGCAACTTGTGTCGATGCACTACAGTTGTATTCTGAAGCAGGGCATCGGGGAACTTCCTGGTAAAAGGCCCACTCAATCTAGGCGTGGAATGGCTTGTATGTAATGTGATCGAATGCTTCATCCGACTGCCCATTGTAGGCTCGGACCCACCATCAAAGCCGGCCGAGAGGGTCAAATGAATTGACGAGGAGCTTCGTTCAGGCCTGGTGATGGTGTTGATAGACACGTTTGATTTCATCTCATGCCTGCGAGTTTCTTTCTGTACAGTGTTCACATCATCGCCGCCAACACCGACATGACTGCCAGATGCAACACGAACACTTTTTCCAATATTCTCAACAGGCGAAGCTCGTGAGCGTTAGCCTTAGCTATCTCAAAGCATCTTCCAGAGCCCTACCTTTCCCATTCCGAAACACCGAGAGTAGTTTTACGCTCCTGCGCCGGATGTTCGATAGCGTGCGAGCATTGGAGAAGCTTGAGCGTAGCCGGGGCAGGCCAGACGATTCCGATGGGCTATCACCCTTATCTTCGATGAGACGGACCTTCGCTTTGTCTGGGGATGTGGGTGATGCGACGTGGTAGTGATCTTTTCGTTTTCTGGGAGCAATGAGAGACATCATGGTGCAAATGTGACTGTTAGCGTCGAGAGTAAAAGCTGCAAGGTTAGTGATACGAGACTGATTGGCGATGGACGGCTCGAATCTGAGCCTGTGGGAGCTGGGTTCATTTGGATTGCGGCAAGCTTTCGATTTGATGGTTGGGATCGTTTGCATCTAGGAGGGAGGCGTGATCTGGAGCGCTAGAACGCAAGATGGCAACAGCGACCTGAGTAACCCCCCAGGATCTATTGACGATGCACTGCTTCATGATCCGTCGAAAATACGGATCTATTGAGTAGAGTTTCTGTTAGCAATACCTGCATCAATTTTGATTTGTCTTTGATGATTTCAAGCTGTTTAACTGTGTATCGACTCTAAACGTCAGCGTGTTCGCAAGCTCCACGATATTGAAAATGCCACAAATTTCGTGAATGCTCTCATTTCATTTTCTACAGATGTAGCTTGGTATCATATTTCGACCTTTTTTATTACATTCATCATATCATTACAATCGCGACTTGGTGCTCTCCTCGCGACCCTGGAGGTTAGGGTGGGGAGTCTTGACTGGTCGAGTGACCGCGTAGAAAGCGAACCCCTCAGACTTGGTGGAGAACTGTCGACCGAATTAGCCCAAAGCAATCCTTCGGAGACCTCTGTACCGAGATATGGGAATGGGTGACGTACCTGAACCTTAGATCCGACGTGGAAGAAGGCAAAGTCACCAGGGACCAAGTGATGCTGGATGCCGGTGGCCTCGTCCTTTGCAACTGGTCAGCTTCGATTCAATACAGGATTTCCGCAGGATACATACCAAGATATCAATCTGGCCGCTCAGGATGTACTTGGTCTCCTCGAAGTTGTAATGAGCGGGTCGCGAAGGGCCAGCAACGATCTTGTAGAATCCGGAAGTGAAATAGGAGGGCGAGTCCTTGGTCTGGGTCCGGATAGAGTGGAAGTCTGCCACGGTTGCGTTCTCCCCATTGGGGAGGGGAATGTGCTCAGAGCCGGCACCCTTGACGACGGTGAGAGGAACAAGTTGTCCAGACACTGCTGTAATTAGAATGGTTGAGAGAAGATTATACGGTTGTCTTTGTTGTTTTGGAGGTTTATCGTGTGAATGACAGGGGTAAGATGGTAGACCAACAACTACTTACTTTTTAAAAATTTCTAATAATTCGAAGAAGTCTTAGGGAATGATGAAAATAACGAAGAAACAGATTTCTATTAACCAAAATTCATTGACGACATTGCTCAGCTCTATATAAATACCGGGTGCGCTTCCGTAAACCTGGGGACCAGATATCGGCATGCTCGCCGTGTCGCCCGTCGCAAAACCTCAACCCGAACGGGCCATCCACCACCCAGGAACCTACGAAATCACGACCAAAAGTCCCACAAACGCGTCTTCGACCTCGACTAGCAGTTTCCATTGGAACTTCTAGCCAGGTATAACTTACTCCAAACCGCAAACGGTTCCCCCTTGCGGTGCAGGTACCCTTCGAGGCGTAAGCGGAAAGGTCATACAGATCGCGGATCCGCCAAAAAATGGGACTGGTACCCTTAGTGCGCGAGCAACGGCACCTATCAAGGTCAACGATGATCGGATAGGGCTTTCATGAATGCTTCCAATTGGCTATGCCTCTATTCTCCGGTTTATCGCATCATTCCGAACATTGGAGAGTCGGGGTTCCGTAGCGGTGAAGACCGGGGAAACCTGCCGTACTCGCTGCTTGGAGTCGACGTAACCTCAACATTGAATTGCAAGAAATCGTGGATTTGTTCCACTGCCAAACCATCTGAAGTCTCTCACCCTTTTTGATTTCGATCTCGAATTCTTGAGTAATAAAAAGTGCATTGTCGAATTATTCACCATATTCGCAGCTAAACAGCCAGTTTCGAGACATTTACATTTCCAGCTAATCTAATCTCCAGATCAATCCAGACACACTCAGTGCATCGATAGTCACACCAATCGTATGCCAACACCATCCACTCAAGTCCTCACAGAATCAATTAACTAGTCCTTCAACTCTACCGTCACTAGAAACTTGAGACACCAACTTTAGAAAACCATAGTATTCCCCGGAAGCGAAGTAAGCCCTGTCCAACTGTCAGCCTTTCTCCTCCTCATCACATAATGAGGGGATGCAATAAAGAACTCAACTTACATTGATCAATCGGCTCCTTAACGACCGGAGGGATGGTGCACTTCATAGCCTCCTCTGGCGTCTGCGACTTGAGCTCCTTGCAGGCGTCGTTGTCGCAGCGGGCGTTCATGGCGCGCTGGAGGGAGTCGTCTTTCCAGCCAAAGACGTAGTCTCCGTGTTGGGAGTATCCGTGTCTGTTTTGAGATGTCAGTGATGGTGTTGAAGTGTGTTGTGCAAGAGCAACTTACTGATCGCCGGTGCTCCAGACAAAAGGCTGCGAGCCGTCTGTAGGCCATAGATTCTTGTCATTGAAGATTCGTGTCTGTGATTTACGGTCATGTTAGTCACTTGTTCTTGCTAACCGCGACAATGATGTTTGAGGGAGTGCGACCAGCACATCATGAAGAGCTTGGAATACCATCGCGACGATGCGAACACAGTCCCAGAAAGAAGAAACAGCACACTTACATCCCACATAACCTCATACATAACCTGCGGGATAATCACAGGATGACTCGCCGGGCACGTCCCCGTCGGCCCAACATCATTCGCCTTCGACCCCGTCGCATAGGTGACATGACTCTTATGATCCGGACTATCAAGATTCTTCCCATCCCAGCAAGTTGGGAACGTAATGATCGTGCGGATCCCACCCTCACAGAACCCCTTAGGAAGCTCTTGGGTATCAGGAGACCCGCAGTTGATATTACTCGCGTCGCCCGTCTTCGGCATGCATCGATGGCACACCTTGCGGTCCGCCATGCGAGAGCTCGCTGCCGCGTCTCCGACCAGCATGCGGAAACCCGGCTTGAAGGCCGTGACGTTGAGGGCCTTGTTCGACTGCGCGATGTAGTAGACAGTGATGCCGCCATCGCCGCGGAGGCCCTCGCTGACGAACTGCGGCACGCGCCTGAAGGTGCCGTTGCGGGCGCGGAAGTAGAGCACGGCGGTCCAGTAATTGGAGAAGTCTTCGGAGAAGGTGCAGCTGGTGCATGTGGATTGGGAGGGGAGGTCGTGGGAGAGAGTTGCGTTGAAGGAGTTCCCGCCGACGATCTGGTGGAGATGAGGTGATGGGACGGAGCCTGGGTTTACGAGGGGATCAAGACGGTCGACGACGAGCTGGGAGCATTCAAAGCGCATCATGGGCATTCTTCCCTGGGCAGAGCAGAGCTCCACCAGCAACGGTAGGATTAGCGATTTCCAAAGCATGTTCAGTGATGAGCATATATTGCTGTATTTGGAGAATGATGTTGCAGCACGAAGGGTAAAAGGTGAGCATTCCTCTAGTATCTGGAACGATTTCCATTATATAGATGCAAAATCCGCCACCTGTTCTACCTGGTGTTCCACTTATCTTGTGTTGGGTGGTTTTTTAATCTCAAGTTTATTAAGATACCCTGGTGGGGACTCGGGAGTTGATGGAGTATGTGGAGTTACCGAATCCCTGGATGCCCTTCAGCCGTGATAAAGTACTCTTCTCAGCAGGCCACCCAGATCACCAATAGCTGTTGATGGAATTAAATATAACGAATGTGAAGATAGTGATTAGTTAAACATTTAAAACCGGACCAAGCTTCTGTGAAATGCTCTGAGCCCGGTCTTGTTTGAAATCATTCTCATGCCCTGCTGCAGGTCTTGTCAGCGCGTTTTGGCAACCCGTCACACAAGCCGAGTCAATTCATGGGCGAGATGTTTGAATCAAATGCTATTTGTTCACGAAGCAAGTTCATCACTACAAGTTGAACATATAACAATGACCCGTCCATATATAATTAGCGGGCCGGGCCGTTCCCTTGTTTATCTTATCATTATGTCGAACATATGGCAATGCCCTCAAAAGCCCAATAGGCAATCATGCAGTCTCAGCTTGGGATAGTAATTTCGAGTCGAAAAGGGTTCGGTTGTGGAGGCCTATGATTTTATATTTATGTGTGGTTCATAGTTAGTTAACTGGTCGAACAAAATTGGCATCGTCGAGTATGTCGCGAATATCCGATTGTTCAGTGGTTCCCTCCATTTTCGTGCTGTCTGCCTGAAAGGTGGACAAATCGACAATACCTTCCCTAGGAGGAGAGAATTGTCGCAGACGAACACCACTCTCTTTGAAGATCGCCGCCGTTTGGGTATCTACCAGATAACCCTGGTTGTAGACGACTTCGCTTATACCGACTTGTGTGATCTTCACACTACAAGTCAGGCAAGGGCACGTGTTACAGTACAAGATCGCAGTCTCGCCGATGCGATCACGACCAGCTTCGAGCAGAGCATTTTCTTCGGCGTGAAGGCAAAGGCATGTCGCGAGGTCAGCGCCACCTTTCGATGCATTGTTGCAGCGTGGGCCTGGTTTCCGAATGTTAGATGGACATGGTCGGGTTCTGGATTCTCGTATACTCACATCCACCCTCGTTGCAGTTTGTCATGCCCCTGGGTGTGCCATTGTAACCCGTACTGATAACGCGCTTCTCCCGCACAATGACGCATCCAACACGCCTCTTCATGCAATTACATCTGTGGGCAGCAAGGTCGGCAAGTTGCATGAAATATTGGTCCCAGCTTGGCCGCAAGCGTGCCTCGTTGGTCAAATTGAGCGATTTGAGCGCGGCATGTAGGGTGTCTTTCGAAGTGGTAGAGTTGAGGAGCTTTAGTTGAGCGCGCTGGAACAGTGCACCTAAGCCAGTTTTAGGGGCATACAAATGCTCATCGTTCCGCAGTACAAATTCCTCCAGCGCAGGTGGGGTGAGCTTGTTCACGGCACATTGGTCCTTGAATCTCTGCCACCGTATGCTCACTGGCGCATCCACACTAACCAACAAAAAGAATGGCCGTCGAAGGAGCGCATCTACAACTTGCTCGTCCCATATATCTGTTGTAACCCATCGTTCTCGCCAGCGGAGCGTGACGAAATCTAACAAGGCATCGACGTTGTTGAAGGTATGCTCAGGGCTGACCGAGCTCGTTGCTACGGAGGGAACAGGGGTATGAGAAGCCGATTTCTCGACTTCGGGAGTCGAGGTGCTGCGTGCCAGGGCAATGCGAGTAAACTGATGTTGTTCCACGAGGTACGAGGCAATAGAAGACTTGCCCGCACAAATACCTAGGCGATGGTTAGGCGAGGAGGCAATTTTCTGAGGGTTTTCCAACGTTAATACCTCCGCAAAGTCCGATGAGCATGGTTTGGTTACGTGGTAGATATTATATCTTGGTTGTGAGTAGAATTACACGATCTGTGGTGTTGCAGTTGGTCGTGATCCAGATAGACAACAGACGCGACGCGCTTGCCGACAGTGGGGCAACAGGCAGGTAACCAATCAAACGACGAGACAGGCAACCCCACCACCCACATTCATCCCACAGCCGCATGAGGTCAGCGCGACCGTGCACGCGGAGCTTCCCCTCCCATAGCTTCATTCGAGTATGAGCATCTGTGAGGCGACTGACTTAATCCTCAGTTCCCCTCTACCTATACATCCAGCCTTACATTACTCGCCTTCACGGGTGCCTTGGTCAGCTTGTCTGTGCTTGTGACTTTGCTTTACGCCTGTGCTGATGAATCTATAACTCTATTGTTATTCGCCTCTTGAACACACCTTCAGCCTACATAAACCCTCGCGCACCCCCACTCTACTCATACAACAACTTACCCCCGAGAATCTTCTGCCCATAGACATGGCGACGATCAAGTTTGCGCCTTGGAAGTCCGATGTAGATGTGCAGTTCTATGCTGCACTTGCGCATATCAAGATTAATCACGACAGACTCAACGACTCAGCACGTAAAGTACTCGGACTATACGATGTACGACCCGGCGACCACCCTTCACGATCGAACCGGATGCAAATACATCCAACCGCACTCACATCAGATGATACACCTGCCAACTATCTCCGGGGCGAGGGGATAATCAAGAACTTCAACACCCTTGAAGAGTACAGGAATGCTGATCGGGCCGCTGTTCTCGAGAGGGCAGCCCAGACCATCTGGGAGGCAATTCACGACGGATCTATCTACGAATGCCCTTCGCTGCTTTCTTCTTTTACGCTTATCACTTTCGCAAACCTCAAAAAATACACTTTTACGTATCATTTTGGCTTTCCTGCGATCCAGTCAGACCCACCGTGGCGCCAAGTAGGGGATTTCAGTAAGCTTTCGGAAAAGGAGACGACCCCGTTGGTAGATGCTGTACAAACATGGCGATATAGCTCCGATGCGCGTCAAAGGGGCTTCTTCATAGCGAAGCGCGTACGAGGTGATGTGGACTCCGAGGAGCAGCCCAAGGCCCCAGATACACCCGTTGATGACCTGGGATTCAGATGGGTGATTGGTCGACTAGAGGCTTTTGAGAAAGGATTCTTTGACGGAGTGAACGAAGAGGATCGCTTCGTGAGCTTCGCTGACACCTCCACATATGCTGATAATCCCGGCTGGATGCTTCGGAATCTTTTGGCCCTCATGCAACATCGTTGGAAACTCACCAGTGCTCAAATCCTTTGCTACCGCGACACTCATCTACGCAGAGATCAGGCGAATTCACTCATCCTCAAGGTTCAAGCAGATCCACCATCTTCGACAGAAGAAGCCTCTGCACGACCTCGTACTCCAAAACTGCCCAAAGTCACAGGCTGGGAACGAAACGATGCTGGGAAACTCATCTCTCGATCCGTGGATCTTTCAGAATACATGGATGAGCGCAAGCTAGCAGATCAGGCCGTAGATCTGAACCTCAAACTCATCAAGTGGCGAATTGCACCTTCTATAGACCTCGACGTCGTCAAAAATTGCAAATGTCTCCTGCTCGGAGCGGGCACTCTTGGATCATACGTCTCAAGAACTTTACTGGGATGGGGTGTAAGAAAGATTACCTTTGTCGACAACGCCAAAGTCAGCTTTTCGAATCCGGTCCGACAGCCACTTTTCAATTTTAAAGATTGTGTACAAGGAGGTGCAAGAAAAGCTGAGCGTGCGGCTGAAGCGCTTCAAGAAATATACCCTGGTGCGGACGCTGCTGGCCATGTCATGGAAGTGCCTATGGCTGGGCATCCTATCACTGACCAGACCAAGACAAAGGCCAACTTCGACAAGCTAAAGCAATTAATAGACGAACACGATGCTATCTTTCTGCTCATGGATACTCGTGAGAGTCGCTGGCTCCCAACGGTCATGGGAAAAGCTGCCGGCAAGATCGTTCTCAATGCTGCGCTCGGGTTTGACACATATGTTGTGATGCGGCACGGATTGAAGGCTTCAGGGGAAGGCGAGATTGAGCTAGGCTGCTACTTTTGCAACGATGTTGTTGCGCCTGCTGATGTATGTACCTTGATATCCCCTGAAATGATTTCGCTAATCAATTTTACTAGTCACTAAAAGATGCTACTCTCGACCAGCAATGCACGGTGACACGCCCTGGTGTGGCACCTTTGGCATCGAGTTTATTGACAGAGCTTCTGGTCAGCATTCTGCAGCATCCACTAAAGGCACGAGCACCCACCGGAGCCAACCCGCCATCGCAGCCATCGCACCCCTCTCTCCCTCCGCCATTCGTGCATCCACTTGGGCTAGTGCCGCATACAATCCGGGGCTATTTGGGCAATTTCAATAACATACAAGTGGAGGGCAAGCCGTACGACTGCTGTTCCGCTTGCAGTGATACAATCATTGACCTTTATCAACAAGACCCATGGGACTTCGTCCAAAGGGCTCTAAATGAGAAGGGTTGGGTAGAGGAAGTGTCTGGCTTAGCAGAGGTCCAGAGAAAAGCCGACGCAGCCGCCGATGGTCTCGAATGGGATGAGGAGGGCGAACTTGAAGAAGAAGGGGAGGGGGAGCTGATATAATGAACTTTTCATGTGTGGTACTCATACTGGGTCAATCATCTAGAGGTGTTATTTGGTGTTCACTGGAATAATTGTTCGGGATATCCAAAGGTCGCTCTGTATTTCTGTTTCTTTCTTCAACGACGTCCGCCCAATCTCGACAAATCCTTTTGACCATATCCATGTGCCTAGATCACCTCACTGAACCGGTTACAACACATGGTGCCTTCTCAATATGCGCCAAGACTATACTCCCTTGAAGCCGGCCACCGTGTATGGAACTCGTCCTGAATGTCCTTCTGTTTTCCCGATGGTGGGCCGTCGCGACATACTGTCAAGTGACCATGCACCGATGGGTCGCTCTCGGTGAGTCAATGAAATTCTGAATATCATTTGGCAGTCGGGGCACGCGGTCCCAGGGTACTGGATCCCAACCAACGGAATCGCTTAGACGGCCCTGACATCAAATCTGAATGGAAGAAATTGTTCAGGCTTCTCTATCCGCAGAACCCTTCAATTGTGAGAACTCTTCACTGATAGTAGATCTCATAGCGCACGATGTGTTTTCCTTTCCGAGGTTCAGCATCACCAGTACTCTATATCTGAATCTGCCATCGTGTGGACTGGAGACTAGAGCAGACATGATCCAGCTGGCAGGTTACAATGTTCCAGTCCAGCGGCAAGAACACTTGAAATTTATTGTTCTGATATCCATTTCGGAATATCGTCAGCCAATGGAGGAACAATTGGCACCGTCTCGTTACCAAATTCGAACTGCCGACCATATTGGAGGACCAGCACGGTGGACATCGTCCCGATGCGTGATGTCTCGGACTCAAAAAAGAATACCTGCTCCAATTTCTCTGGTTGTTCCCATCTTGCAATATATTGGCTCAACAGAATCATCGTTATGTCACCATACGCACTCGTTCTGGAACTTGGTCTCGCCCTCTAATTGGTTCTATTCCCGTTCATTCAGCAATCTATAAAGCCTCTGCAGGCCCCCACTCTCGTTGGAAACACTTCATTCCACTTCTGTCTTTATCACACTTTTGTTTCCATCCTACCATCACTTCACTGCAAGCAAAATGAGGCAACTTATTATCACGTTCAGTGCTGTGCTCGTTGCACTTGTAACGCCAACCTTACTCGCCCAGGCTGCTGTTCCTAACACCGCCCCCTCGACAGGTCTCGACATCGTAGACGACTTACCCATTCTTCTAAACGGATCGGAGCGATTCAAATACGTCGGTTGTTACAGGGACTACATAGAGAGTCGACAGCTGGCGAAACTATTATACGAATCGAGGGACCTGACCATTGAAAGATGCATTTCAAGATGCTGGGATAAGGGCTGGTACTTCGCTGGCACGGCAAATTCGATTGAGTGTTGGTGTGGGAACTTCCCGCCCGACGTTCTGGATCCCGATTCTTACTGCCAATACCGCTGTTCGGGTAATGACACCCAGATATGTGGCGGGAGTGGGCCTATGAAAAAGAATCATCAAATCTCCGTCTACGGAGATAGGACAAGGTTCAGATCGGACTGGATACATCCTGCAGAGATGACTATTCAGGACATCAAGGGCTGGCGATACGTCGGATGCTTCAAGCCAGAAGGACCCTTGGGCATATCACACCATATCAGCCCGTTCAACGATGTAACCACCTGTGGCAGGAAGTGTGGGAGCCAGAACTACTTTGGGGTTATGGACAGAGTGCATTGCTACTGCTCGGAGATCTGGACCCCCACTTTCATTAAGATGTACGACGAGCAATGCAACAGGATGTGTCCCAACGACGAATCACAGTTCTGCGGAGGATACGCTCGAATTCAGATGTACCAAGCTATTGTTCAGCCTCAGACCTTAGTGGTCGGAGAGACTGTTGCGACCACTCTTGCGACTTCGCCGGTACAGCTATCGATAGTGACCGCTGTGTCAAATACGACAGAAGAAATGCTTGGGGTGGTGGAAGCTCTGCCAAATCCGCCAGCACCAACATCAGTGGTGAATCCTGCACTGGGTCCGCCGACACAGACCTTGAATTCGCCGGTACACTTTTCGCCAATACAAGATTCGCCAGTGCAAGCTACGACGCCTTCATCGTCACATCTTAGCCTTCCACGTGCAGCACCGTCTGCAGAATCAGTTGCGGACGTTTCGCCTACCTGTCCAGAATCCGACGCGTCAGCCTTTGTCTCCGCCGAAGGCTTACCATACCGCATCACCTGCTTCACCGAATACGTCGGATACGACATCGCGTTCCTCGAAGTCGAGAATCTTGCCCAATGCATTGCAGAGTGCGACAAACGATTCGGTTGCAGGGTCGCTGCTTGGCTTGCAAACAAATCGAACACGAAAGCGCCTTGCTACCTCAAGACTGCCCAGGGAAGCCCAGTCGCGAATGATCGAATCTGGGGTGCAGTGCGGATAGTAGCAGGTAAGAACAAGATTACAATGGCATCTGATCCCCTGCCTACCCCTACTGCTGCGAATTGGTTACCCACGAGAACTGTGCCGGCTACTACAACTTTGGATGATTCTGAGACTGCCGGCAATCCTATCACTTCAGATCCAGGCACTGTCGAACCTACGTCTGACCCTATTACCACGACTGAGGTACTGGATTCCGACACTGATAGTGACACATCTGGACCAACAGCCGAGCAGCACACGCCAGAGCCAACGCTCAGCGATGACACATCGACAGAAGAAATCTCAGATGCAGAGGAAACGCTCAAGACATTAGTGGCACCGACAACTACGAATACAGCTCAACTGAGTACTGATAGCGGCACGGGCCAAACCAGCAGCAGTGATGGAACAGAATCGACTAATGTTGGTGATGCAGGTCCTGTTCTCAATTCAAACAGCCCAACTCAAACATCGGTTCCTCGGGACCAAGATTCGACAAATGACCCCGTGGGTGTCCATATCGATCCACTGGTCATTGACCAGATTACTCAATCAACGCCTGTCGTCTCCACGGAGACAGTGACGGTTTTCCAGACGCGAATAGTCCTGCTTCCTGCCCAGAACGAGCCAGCGCCTGTCGTCATCCAGAGTCTCACAGCGCCCGTCGCCCAAATTCCAACCTTTGACCCCAACCACTCCGCCGTGGTGATAACCGTCCGGCCTGCCAACATGCCCACCAACACGATACCAGGAATACCGCCATGGAAAGAAGCACCCCCCACAATTCCACAAACCCCAAGGCCAACAGTCACCCAACCTCCCATTGTAGCGGGACCCGTCATGGGGGGAACCGTCAACACGCTCGAACCCACGATCGCATGGCCAACCCGACCTACGCCCACGCCCACGCCCATCGAGCCGATCACCCCGATGCTCCCATTGCACCCGGGGGTAAACGGCTACGAATACCAAGGCTGCTACAAGGACCCCTTCCAAGACAAATGGAATAAGTTCTCCCGCGTCTTCATCTCGAACCCGAAGGTCGCCGTCTCCGAGCAAATGACGCCCCTACTCTGCGCCACCCGCTGCCGCACCTGGGCGTACTTTGGCCTCCGCAGCAACAACAAATGCTACTGCGCGTCCGCGATGCACGACCGGCCCATCACGGCGCTCAACCAAGACACTGAATGCAATGTCCCCTGCGGCGGCGACCGCAACCAGCTCTGCGGCGGCGTGAACCGCATCTCCGTGTACCGCTCTCTCGACGGCGAGAAGGTCGTCGGCGTCAATAAGGGTCCCTACATCGGCATGCGCATCGGTATCTACCGCTACATCGGCTGCCACGTCGACACGAGCAACCACCGCGCCCTCGTCAACAGCTTCGTCTCAGACCAGAACACCATCGAGCTGTGTCTCATGCACGCGCAGAGGAAGTACAGGCGGTATGCGGGCGCAGAGGCCGGCCGCGAGTGCTACTACGGCAACCATTTCCATGGCAATTACACCGGAATTGATGGATTCAATGTTAGGGTCCCAGAGACACAGTGTATGCAGCCGTGTTATGGCGACCGTGGGTACTTCTGCGGTGGGCTGAGCAGGATTGGGCTTTGGGAGAGGGACGTCGAGTCTATGGTCGATTAGAGGGGTTGTGGTGCTGTTGGGGGTTCGGGGAGTCAGTCGGTTATATAATGAATATCTGCTCATTGCATGGTCTGACATGGTCGAAATTGGGCGAGAAGGAGCAGGATGTGTACGCTGGCGTATTCTCCCCTTATGCCTTTCGTGCTTATTCCACTATCCCATGACAGACTACTGGCGTCATTGGCAATTGTCTTTCCTTTGGGTTCATTGGTACGCATATTCCTAAGTATCGCAGAAAAGAAATGTAGAGTTGTTGCTTAATTCATACGTCATTCATTTCGTATATCGTGTAGCCACTGCCCGCTTCAAAAATCCTGTGAAAGAAATATCTAATGCGTAAAGACCTACCATACTCCTCCCTTCTCCTCTCAGAACGGAAGTGGGTACCCTTCTATTCACGAATCGTGCTGAACATCAGTACGTACTGTGGTCTTAAGTAGTAAGGTAGACACACAAACTAATCGAATACCATTTAACTCGAGGTGACTACTAACGTAGATGGACAAATTGGCAGGAAAGGGAGATTATAGAGAGACAGAACCCTTGAACACTGAATAACCAAGCATCCTTAAGCCCCTATTTGGAAGAACATCTGATATTCTATGCTCTAGAGGCATCCGCATGTAATGGTTATACAGCCTTTTGATTAAGGAAGGCGCCTTATTGATGGATTGATAATAAAGTTGAAGCACATAATGATAATTCTTGATCTAAACATCGCCAAACAACGTCCTCCAACTGAACAATCTAGAGGATCTCGGTGTTCTTGGTCAGCTACGGAGATGGGAATTAAGTAATGAATATGGTACATAGGATAAATGGTGTTCAGAATTATGCTCAACAGGTGCATGTGATTTCGAGCACCTTGCAATGTTGTGTAGTTGATTACACACACGGGTGACATGTCGAAACTTGGGGCAGTCTTTGATATCACAGATCCTCGTCCTCTGGCCACAACCTTGATACCCAAACGATATTAATGTTTATTCTTATATCCCAAGCCTATATGGTTCAATGTTATCCTTGTATCAGTGTTCCATAGAATTGGAGGTGAACCCTCAATATTTTAAGAAACCAAATATTGAAATTGGGACGACTCTAACTATTTGAAACATCATCAATATTTCCTACCATCTGAAAACCATGTAGTGTCGCTCCACGATCTGTCTAAGTGTTATCATTTGAGGTGAATAATTGAATAAATTAGATATAATCATTATTCATGAGCATTTGTAAGTGGAAAAAGAAATATCAAAGGCTGATCGGTTAGTAAGTCACGATCGGTTGCACGAAAATGATTTCGTTGTTCTCACACACGCATGAGATTCTATTTGCAGAGGATTTTGACTGACATCTTACAGATATTCTACATTGTGTTTAAAGTCAAGATCACACTGCTCTAGAAATGGGTTGTATACCAGCTATACCTTCATTACCATGGAACCTTGGATACTTTAACATATGCTCAAGCACTAAGAGCCGCCAAACCAATGTCTTCCAACACAAAGGCAAGAGCAGAAACCCAGATTTGCTTTTTGAAAGGGTCTTGAGACACACATAGGGCTGCATCATTTCAATGGAGTGCATGGATACCCCAAGTTTTGAGGGTTACAAATGTCGAGTCATTGCCGTGCAGCAGGGCCTGCATAAACCTGATTTTGCCACCAGAATTCTTTTGGCGTTTGCCACCCAGACAGTAACCAAGGCAAATGGGCGAACGTACGATGTGGGTAAGTCTGGGGTGTGCGAAGGGTTTCTCGAACGGAACGTTGTATCGTTTGGCTGCACGAGTATGCCCGCGATTGCACAGTGAAACTTTGATTCTTTCTTCCAAGAGATTGAAGTAATATGAAGAACAGTATGGAAACTTACACTTGCAGGTCGCAATATGTTCCGAGTATATCCAGGTACATGAATGAATGTGTTCATACATGCAGATCTGCATACCTATGTTTCCTCCTGTACTTACGTACACCTACATGCATAGATCATTATGTATTTAGATACATACAGCACCTACAGTTAACTAACGTATGTACTGTATATGCGATGCGGGCAACCGCGCCGACACCAATGCAATGCACGATGCGATGCGATAGCGATCTTGGGCGCGGGAACGCAGGCGCAGCGGGGGCGTTTCGGGCAGACCGGCCGCTGCATCTTGCATCTTGCATCTTGCATCGTGCTGCGTGCTGCGTCTGCATCTGCAACAACTCGCATAGCAAGTAGGGGTAGAACAAAAAAAAACAAAGTCAGTTAATGGTAACGAGGATGGCAGTTGCAGTTGCAGTTGTATCCCCAAAGATGAACCAAACTGTAAACTCACAACTGCGAATCTATCGCCACCTGACATTTTAGCTGTAAGAGTAATATCGCAACACTAATATGCCTCACTTTGCGGTACTTGGATACCTGCCCATGCTGTACCCTGATCGTCGGTCTGCGCAATTATGTGCATGATACGCAACACGCCGCCTATCGTAGCCTGCTGCCTACTAGGCAAACAAGCAAGCAAGCAACAAGTAACAATGCACCGTAAATCAAATAGACCCGCTTCGCTTCTAATCAGATGACTCTGCCCATTGACGTCGGTCTCAAACTCGGTCAGCGAAGCGAAGGAAACACCCTCGTTTTTTTGCTTTTATTGGTGCTTTGCCTCATCAATCTGCCCATGTTGTGTCATGCAATGTCCGTCATTCGTTGCCTGCTTGGTCTATGCTCTCGCTTTCCTCGTCTCATTTCCTCCCTGCCCTATGGGAATGAGAAGAGAAAGAGTAGAGGGATCAGGGTTTGTAGGTTTGGATGTCACGAATACATGCCGTAGCGCGCACACCCGCCAGAATTTTCGACGGGGGAGAGAAACAAAATGGCTCGGTTGGATGTCACTAGGAAATCAAAAGGATTTCGAATGCATTGACGAGGTTCCCATTCGGGAAGATGACGCTTTCCAAAATGATTAATGTTTCGGGCGATCAGATGTCAATCGAACATTGCGAAGCCGAAGGAAGATTTTCTCAATGCGACGTACTAAAGCGCATTTGCAATAACATGCGAGTAGCTGCGGTTTCTCTTCGATTGATTGCCGAACATGTAACGCTCGTGAAAGATGCTTTGGACTACGTATTCAAGTCTGATAGCACACAATCCTAGATCCCTTGGCGTTATATTGGAAGCTAGCAAATCGGAGTCATGAGCGTTGAAGTCGGAGCGACTCTCTGAATGTTGCGGAGGATGCGCCGGGCAGAGGCAATTGATGGATTGGCTGGCTGCGTCAAATTGACCATCTTCTGCCTGCTGCCGTCCGCACGAATGAAGAAATAGTCATCATCACTTGGCCGGAGTAAATACATTATGGTATAGCTTTGGTTCAACAAAACCAGAATAGGCCAGGCTAGAGAATAATACTTGTATGGTTAGAAGCACCGTTGATGTTCGGCTTAATACCATGCCTGTATGATGTACTCGCCTTCCAAATTCTGACGTTGCCTCCGCACGTTACGAGTTGCTAGAGGTATGTCCTCGACAGCGTGCCCTTGTTATGACATTCAGAGACTCGAGGGAGAAGTACCAAATTATCGGAGGATCAATCCGAACAAATTCGGATCCAGGAAAGCGAGATCTTGAATGGAAGCGTGGGAAATGGTACATTGCAATGGTTGCACACCAGGAAACGCTAAGATCAAGACCGTCCGTACCCATTGGCACCGCGTATGAGGTACGCTGCATTCGAAATCAGATGGAAATTCCATGCAGACCTAATTGTCCAATTGTAGATTAGGTAGGGCCCAGCCTCCTCAAGTGGAGCGGACTTGAACGCTGATAGATGTCTACAATGGCCAATGATGATGAACAGTATACGTCCAACTCGTGTACATCATCGGAACCTCCACAAGTAGATTGACTTGATCGCCGTTCTTTACATTCCAAGACCCACAAAGCATAGAGGAAGAAGCGTTTCCAAAAGAAAGCAAGGAAGCAGAACGAATCGACAAATAAAGTATCCCGCGATTGATTACTGAGTCGACTAATACCAGGCCCACTGCAGCTATTCATCAATTGTGGTTAAAATTCTCGTCGATGACCGACACTTAGGTCCTCCTTAGTAACCTCTAACCAACCACCTCGTACTCTTCCTTCCCCACCACCAGCCAAAGTCACTCTGCGCCAGCACGAGCAACATTTAGCAGCATGGCATGGGCGCCGTGAGCACCAACACCAACACCAGCGCCAGTCCCGTCGTCCCACAAAGGTCCATGAGTGGCCGCCCACATCTAGGTGGAGGGCAGCCCGCGCGAGCGCCCGCGCGCACATGCGCCGGTAACCTTTTGACTATACCTATGTCACTAGGTCTATTGTAGTTCGCGAGATCGAGCGACCGGCACTATTATCGAGGAAACCATGCGCTACGTCTAAGTCGCAGCAACCAGAGCCGTGGTTTGTTTCTCTTTGGTTCCAGCGGAACGAAGCCATGGCGTGAGTCGTGTGTGTGTAAGTGTGCGGTGCGTGCGCTATGGGGGTCTACACCGTGCTACTTTAGCTATCGATAATAGTATCTAGTGTATTTGTTGACGCGTGGTTTTTCATGGGAATAGGTTTAGTGATGTTGATGAACTGTAGCACGTTGTAGGCATTAGGCATAGCTCTTCTGACAACAATTTTTTCTGTTGGATTCAATCAGGATAGGCGCCACATTTTCCTTTCTTTTTTCCTTCTTTTGCTTTTTCGGTTTGATAATTGTGTCATTGACTGGTACGCGCCTTAGTGGTGACCTCTGGCGTCCTTCGACAACAGAATTAGTGCAGGTTGAACGTGCATGCATGATGTGTTGTTTTCTGAGCTGCCGCGTCGCGTCTTGCTTGTAAACAATGGCTGTTGCAATGGCTATGATTTCGAGTGAAGATAGATGACTACCGTCTGTAATCGTTCTTCAGCAAGTCCCAATGTGTGCAGGGCTAAGGCGTTCGAAGGTGTAGTCCTATCTACTGAAATCGTATGTCAAAACTTTGATTTTCAATACTGGCGAGGACATGCATACGCGCAGCATTGCATGAGCAGGAACGCATGTTCATGCAACAACGGCTGCGCAATATTGACCAAAACCAACGGCCACCTGCTTTCGTGTGCAGGATCACATCGGGAGATCGAATCGGATTGACCCGGGAATTGGATGTCCTTCTTCACATTGCTTTTTGCCGGAAGAAGAAACAAAGACAGTTGGTTGTTGTGCTGGGGTATATGCATGATCTTGCCGGCTGCGTAGGAAATTGTATTGTAAGCCAGGATCCTGAAACAATAGGGTCTATTGAACTGCGCCGCAAATTTGGACAGAACAGAAAGAGGCAATTGAATTGAGAAAGGGTCCAAGGGAAGATGTGACTGAATTTACCCGAGCGCCACGTTATTACTATTCTCATGGAGATCCTTTAGAGAAACGTTCTAGGCGAGCGGCATTCCGAAAATCCGCTTTGTTGAGTAAAATAACGATGACTTGGCGAGGGAGCTCTTATAGTAGCTGGGAGGGGTCCTGGACGAAAAGCATGCTGTTGATTAAATGCCTATAGTGACTGAGCGCTTGGAAAAATCTGAGTGGGTTTGATGTCATTCTCACTGTCGCAGTTGCGTGGGTTTCATCCACAGGTCCGACATGAGCAGGTAGTCGGGCGCAATTAATGATTCGAAGGCCTCGACTGCAATAAAGAAATCCTGATTATGATTGAGGAAGGTGGGTACCGACAACTTGTGTTCATCAATGCTGAGGCGGTTTCAATTGAGATGAGAATGGCTGGAATATCGTTGCCTGTAAGCATGACGCCAGCTTAGCAGATATGATCAGAGCAACGAGTCCTGGCATTGAAACCACCTTCCGCAATTGTGTACGGGGCTCGCAGAGATCCCATTGTTCTGGATAGAGCATTTGAGCGGGAAAGTTCTTTGCTTGTAAGCCAAGGGATGGTTGCCATTCACATCCACAATCCGGGCAAAATATCATAGAAAGGGAGATTAAGAGGCAAAATGCGGACATGGCTCATCCTCGCTCCGGCATCCATATAATGCGCAGAGACTACCCATAGAACGGGTGTTCTGTCAGGTCTATGCCTCAATCGGGACTGTATAAGCTTACCATACTATAGCTAAATGAACAGATAGAGCAGTGAAAAAAGGCATAGCTGTTCAGGACACAACAACGATTTCTTGGTCTATAGCTTCTGCCAGGTCTGCAGTGTACCCTGAAGTGCAACGGCGGCAAATGCAAAGGATGCAGGCAACTATGTCGTGCTTACCATCTGGCTGGTGGATCAGAGATGTGATGTGCTGAAAGGCGGCTCTGCTGCTTTCACTGCATCTAGCCTGGCCGTGTACTGGATTTGCGATATGTACGGAGTACGTGCAGTGCAGCACTTCCGTATACACTACCACATACAAAGATGCCTTACAATTCTGCATCGCGCTGGGTTGAATAATGCCAAAAGTCTAGCCACCGGAGATCAGTCTATGCCAAATACTCAGAGACTGGGTTTGTTTGCGGCCCCCAACGATGCTGAAGAGCGACAATGCAGCGGGTCAAAACAGCCGTGTAAGATGCTTGTCTGCCGGGGACGAATATATTGCCCTTCCCCGGCTATCCAGCAAGATAAGGCGCCACGGCTCATGAATAGACTAGCGGTGAGGACGTGGGAATTGTACGTAGGAATAATTAGTATTTCAACTTTGAAACAAATAGCAAGGGAACTCATATTTCAAACGAGAACCACATATGGAGTGTTCAAGGCGAAGTCTTCTTTCTTCAACGAAGGAATGAGCGTTGAGAATGATCGCCTGAGCAAGTGGATGTTGAGGTTGGACGAGAGGGCGCTAGAAAATGCAGCGTACACCGAGACACCACCAGGAGGACTAGTGGATGAGGGCATGATGTGAGATGACAAGCAGTGGTGGAAGTTTGACGAGGGCCAATCCGCGAGGGCCCAGCCAACTTGAGCAGACCACCAATCAGTAAGAGGATTCGAACTGCAAGGAATGATCCGTGTCGCTTGCAAACGCCAGAGGTGGCTTGCTCTCGTCAACAAACGACACTGCCAGCCCGCTCCGGCATACCTTGGTGCCAGCCCCCGATAACGGCTTCACCTGGCCCACGACGTGGCCAGCAGTGATTGGTGGGCCAGCGCCTATCAGATCGATACGACCGCGTGTGCCGTGCTTCATCGACCACGAGAATGTAATGTATTGTACTGTATTGAGTGGATGGTAGGCAGCTGGCGAAGAGATGGACATCATCATGGGGACGTACAGCATTCCCAAACTCGTGCGCATCTGTGGGGTCTGTCGCAGAGTGGTCGACATGTGCAACACTGCGCAATTCAGCGCTCTCGCCTATGTGCCTGCAGATGCTGTATTTCTCGCTCAGCCATGCTCATATTTCTAGAGAGACCTAAGCAAGGCCGAACTGAATCGGGAACCTTTGCTGTGAAAAGTGGAGGGATAGAAAGAGGAGACCCACGGGCTTGGCCTTGTGGAGAGTGCGAGCCACAGGGATGAACCCTTCATCACATGCATATGCACGGCGGGTGTGTGCAGGTGAAACCTGTCCAATCAGTCACTACTCAATGTCCAAGCGTTGTCTGTACTGCGGGAGGTCCCCAGCTGCAGGAACGCTGACCGGCCGACATACTGCAGACGATTGCGGGTGCAAGCAGCTACGGTACCCTACGCTGAACTTTTGACTCTCTTGGAATGCGGGATAATAGCTCTGATTGTTTCAACATGACTCTCGATCTCAAAACATCTTGAGGGAAAACGGATATGTATAGCTGTGTACGAAGTACTGTGTACTCACTTGACGCCTGCTGTCATATCTGAGCTTGCTCGGTGGTTCCTCGTTCGGGCATGGCACACACCCTATCCGTCCTCCGAATCCCGGGTCTAGAATGGTCATCCATCCTTTTCTGTTGGACGAAGGGACAGAACCGTAGACACAGTCTCCACTCTTTGGAGGCCTCACGAGAACAGAGTTCTCAAGGAAGGTTTGAGTCTGATACAAGTTAATTATTTCTGTATGCTCCGTGCATGTGCCCAATGCTTCAGCGCTCGTGTCTTCTGTCCCAATCGGTCACTGGAGCTTCAACATCTTGACCGATCCTAATCTTGAATTGCCTATTCTTGCAACGGGTGGTGGTCAGCGCTGTCACAGGTAGAGGCCGGACACGGGCCTCGCCCACGATCCGCATTCCCACATCGCGCCCGCTGCACTGCACGTTTATTTCCACCTTTGCATTCAAAGCCATTTGGCCCACGCGACGTCCGTGATACTGGCCCTTACAGAGAGGACAAACATCCATCGGAGCGGCCTGAGCTGCTAAAAAATGCTATGGTGGAACTGTACGCATCGCTTGAGAGCGCCACAGTTTTACAGTCCTTGAGGTCACAAAACTTTGAAGCTGTACTCGGTACTACCGAGGCGAGACTGCGAACATGCCGGCCCGCAATCTTCGCGATTGGGGAAGTGAATGATTCCACGCCGCTCTCGTACTTCGTACCGATGTGAAGCTGATTCAGACAGCCAACAGCAGCACCATCCATTTCCTGTTCTTCAGTAATGGCCATATGATGCCGTCAGTGGTCGTACAGGTCGGATGGACGATAAGCCTTGTCCCACTTTCCAGGCGTGTTGCCACGTCTCACGACACGGTGACGCTGGAGTTGGAGAGGCGAGGTGGCGATTCGACACCAGGGAGATGAAAAGAGTATGGGGTGGGCATAGATAGAACAGAAGAGCAGCGGCAAGAAGTCACGACTGGGTATGCGAACGTCGTAGTTTGGCGCCTGAGGCGTCAAGCTGAAGTCAAGTGAATGGGAATTGGTTGCAATTGCACCCGTGCTCGAGAAACGAGTCCTGGTCGTGACAAGTCACAAGAGATCAAGCATGGCTTGCCAACCTGCTGTCTGTCCCGTCTCTCCCATGTTGAGGCTGTCGCGGTTCGCATGGCAGACGACAAGGATGAATAGAGCCAGAAACTGGCCTATGCTGGCATGGTGGTCCCGTGCTTCCGCTGAGAAACAAGGCCTCTTGGGCGGACTAATAGTACTTTTTGTGTTTCCATCAAGGGAAAGCCTCCCGCGCGCAATACGTATTGTATGGCAAAGATTGTTTCAGTATCCTAGATTGGAGTGACACAAGTCTTCCCTCGGGCAGGCCAAGCCCCAACCATACTCGTCGACTCTGTGGGTAGATGCTGCACAATGAATGCGGGTCAGTTGACTGAGGTGCGGAGGAGGCACAGTTACTCTCGAGTCTCGGTTTCGGTACTCATCCTTGCCCTTTCGATGATTCAGTCTAATCCACTCCACTCCAGTCTAGCAATTGCAGACAGAAGTGGCCGCGGCGGGGACCAGCGGGAGGAGCAGCGAAGCAGATGACAACAATACCTAGCAGTGAGCAGATTTCTCAATAATGACCTGTCGTGATGGATTGTGGGGATTGTTGGTGCGTTACAGCGACTGTACTGTAGCTGGACACTGGACACTGGACACTGGACAATAACGCGAGGGTAGTTGATGATGGCTTGCGGAAAAAGCATGACCCTCTGCCCGTGTCCAGATCCGGTTAGCCTCGCCAGCACATCACTCACACCGCAACAGTCGTAGGACCTATCATTCCCTGCGGCGTCCCACGTCCAACACCAAGCCCGTGGCACAATCGCTACAATGCCTCGAATGCTGCGCTTCCTCAATTTCGAAATGGCACGGTGCCACAATGGCACAACCGCCGGGCACGTTTTGGGCCAAGGGAAACGAAGGACATGGAAAGGGTCCGCCCGTACTCTACCTCCACTCCGCGGGAGGTTTGAGAATCTCGCCAGCGACTTATTGCTATATTCAACACCATCATCACGATTCTGACGCGGAGCAGAGCATGCGTACGCAGTGTCCAAATGGCGCCCGGCACTCTTTACAGCCATTCAACAATTTGACATGATCGTCACACCCTCTCGAGTCTCCACGTTGCACCATTCCATGCCCTCGTTCCCTTTCACACCATCTCGCTTCGATGAAGCACGCCCAGACCTCAATTGTGATGTTGAGTGGGGTTCTCAATGGTCCAGGTTGCTACATGCGTAGAGAACGGTATTGTCGGATAGTACGGAGTACCGTAATTACTCATTATCCATCGCGGACTCAAGTTGGACTGAGGCATCCTCCAGGTTACCCAACGCTTCGGAATTGCTATACAACCAGCCAACGATCCATGTCAATATCGAAGAGTGCAAGGACCCCAACGAAAGTGACCTTGCGCGGTCTGTCGTCCGTTCATCCCGCTCTTGCCTTTTTGTCATCCCTGCTTGACCTGGTGCTTCGTCGTTGGATCCACGGGCATTTAGCCTGAGTTAGATATATGGTCCGTGCAGGTTGCGCTGTTCCCGACGGCGGCGCTCTCGTTTTCTTCCAGTGGGCCTATTCTTGCCTTTTCGATGCTGTCGGGTGAGGCGTGAAAAGAGAAAGAAATGACAACATTCTCTACGGTTCGGCGTAGCAGTACGGAGTAGTCGCCACATGTTTCAGAACATCATGCTGGTATGCCGGCATTTGTAGCCCCGTGAGGTACTCCTCTATGACGCGGAGAAGCCAGGCCTATCTCCATGTTCTACGCTCACGAAAACAACTGATGCATTCGTTTGACTCGTGGCGACAGAAGCAGCGCAAATCATCGCGCATTATGTGGCCCACTGAGGGCTGGAGTGCAGGCAAGGACGTTTTGAACAGGGTCTTGCGCTCCGATCGATCGACGGAGGCTCGCTGGGGAATGCCTTGAGGTGTGGTCCTCCTCTCCGCTATGATCATTACTTGCATTTCCATCACTGCTGGCCCATGTTGAGGTTTATCGAGAGGTTACCTACTCCGTACAGCGGTCATGAACGATACAAATGAGTTCTGAACCCAAAGCGATCGCCCTATCTACACTCTGTGGGTAGCCTGCACGGACAATGAAAGTATATCTCCGCATGCTGCTACTGGTCGGTTGCCATTCAGCCGTCATCTCCCTATCGGGACCCCAGCCGGCGCCAGCCTAGCATAGAGCGCAAATAGACGCCCGTTAAAAATGGATGACCGCAGCCGAAAGCACCTACTGTCGGACTCGATTTACTCGACCCATCAGTTTGTTGAATCTCAATGGAGTAAAGAGACAAGCTTTGCTTCTGGGAATATTCGGTACACTGCTATCAAAAATAAAAAAAAGGCGATACGGGGTAGAGTGGAGGGCAGCTATCAATCTCAACCTGACCAATACTCTATTCTGATGAACGGCTTTGAAAATTACTCCGTACATATGTTATTCGTCTCTTGGGCTATTGGTATGAACAGCCTAGCGGCGGTGGCTGGTAAGACACAGTGGGAGTGGCATCGTTGACTCCTCGCTTGTGCGCATTGCATATGTAGCAGGTCGGTCGTACACAGTCTTCCTTCTTCTACAAACTACTCCGTACAAGGTGAAGGGAGATTTACGATAGGACAAAGACGACGGGTTATGTCTCCAGACCTCGAAGCTCTCCGTGCCCTTGTCTGCCGCATCGACGGCACGTCAGCCCAGTCAGCAACAGGAAGCATCATTGCCCACTCAATTCCAACAACCAGAGGCAGCGCAGTCTTGATGTCTCTTCCCGAGCCAGATCCCGACCCTTATTTATTGGCCCATAGTCGTCCCCTCGATGGCCGTGCGTGCGAGCCCTGCCCTGCTATGCTAATTGCCATAGCTTGTCCCTTGTAGAAGGAGGCCCGTGCTTGGCCGCTGGCCAGCGCGCGAGAAACGGCCACTGGCCTTCCTTTCATGGGACAGAGTTGACAGACCAGGCTGGTGCTGAAGGAGCGAGCAGAAAGACGAAGTGGTGTCGCAGTCCGGCTCTTCCCACCTTGTCCCGTCCCTCCAATCCAAAGTCGGCCATGGCGGGCCACATCCAGTTGTGGGACCCCTGCTAATCCTGGGTCATGCCACACATAACCGAATATTGCCAGAGTGCGAGAGAGCGAGCTATTCTGAGAAACAACGAAGTGAAGGCTTTCGATGGGAAGGGGAGGTTTGGTGCTACGTGAAATGACCCTTCCCTGAAACCAACATGCCGCAACAAAGTCTGAACGCTATTTGGATTCATCAACCAGCTTTGGCGACGTCGATGTGCGTGGTTTGGATGTGCAATATGTGACTACTCCGGACACGAGCGAGGATGATGCAAGAACCCCAGAGGGATCTCCACAACCCGCTTCTTCCTTACAGTACTCCGTACAGCACGATGCTCTGCTCTCTAGGGAGCAGCCATTCACCATCGACTCTGTACAGTACTGCACTATATAGTGCGCCTCTAGTAAGAGCAACCCACCGAGAAGGCGGACACTGGGATTGTATCTGGGATAACTACGCATAGAGACGAGATAGACATGAGAGGTGCAGCGGTTGCATCAACAGCGTCTTCCAGGCGCCCGTTTCTTGTCTCGTATTATGGCGGGTGGTCCTGCTGGCTGGCCATCTCGATGTCGACGGCCTGCAGTATCGTGGCTACGATGTCTCCCGCATCGTTGACAAAGAAAGGTAGGGGTATTGCCATGAATCGTGACATTGACATTGTCTCCTACAATTAGGGCCAGACATGTGGTCACGCAGAAGGGACCGATACCACGAATACGTTCGAGTATCTAACATTGTGACTGGAACTGGAGGCGAGCCAGTAGCATCAGAAAGCGTAGGCGGGCATGCGCCGCGCCTTGCCTGCCTGCCCGGGGCCCTGCGAACTCGCGCCGTCCCGTCGACACGCATCAGCAGATGATGCTTCTTACAGGCGCCGGTCCGTGGCTGGCCAGGTCTTTGCAGCTGTTGTTGGAATTTTCGATCCAGAAAGAGCAGAGGATGACGACTGTGTCTGGGGCGTTCACTATCTACAAGAGTAAGGTCTTTGGAAGATTTAGGATTAGGCCTTCACCAGGGTCGATAGGGTGGTGCATTGACAACAGGACGGGAACGGGATGGGGATGGTGGTGGTGGAGGTGGATCGTTGTTGTATGGCTGGGAAGACTCGATACGGACTTGTATGAAAATTCGCGAGCGGATAGATTGTGAACTGCACTCCGTAAGTGTGTAACAACGCAAGATGGATCCGAAGGTAGGGCATTAGGAAGCTCGGACAATATTGAATTTTCCATCGGTCGTTCGTCGAGCGAGTGAGGGGGAATACAATAGGTAGGCAGATGGATCTTCCTGGGCAAGACAAGACAAGACAGGCAGACAGAAGAGCACATCAACGCCCATGCCATGACCGTGGCCATGCATCATCAGCAGCATAAGTTGACCCCTGCTCAATCCTTGACTACCTATGCGAATTCGAGTGGACCGGAGGCTCCACAATGTACGGAGCAGTCCAGCCTCTTCCACGAATCCATGTCAAGTCAATTCACTGTACTGTGTATTGTACGGAGTACCGTACAGTACAGAACGGCCGCACTCCCATCACCCATCTCCACTCTTGCTTGCGTGGGCAATGAAGGGATTTGACAGGATGGGTGCCCTCATTAACTACTGGGTTCAGAATCTCATTCGGAGTACTCCGTACTCAGAACCAGGTCGACACTACGTGAGAGAAATCAGAGAACAGGGTATCAAAGCAAAAGCATCATCTTTGGTCATCAAGTATAAAGCTCACGATCTAGGGATTGCTTGCTTACACAATAGGTGCTTCGAACTTTAGTGGGAAAAGAATTTGTACCGACCGTCCGACCGTCCACCTGTTCGTTCACGAACTAAACCTTGCTTGCCCTCCCCTCCCATACCAAGACCCGCAAGCACAAGAGAAAGCAACGGAAAGCAAGCCACCCCAGCACACGGACATTGTCCGCAACGGTACCCATGTCCACCACCAGCAAAGGACGAGGAAGAGGGGACAAAATTCACCTCAGGTAGGCATGTGGAGCGCAAGAGGGAATCCTACGTATGGCCTATCTTCCTAACCCACCGACGTAAGTAAATCGTTGTCCGTTGGACCTTCGCCGTTGTTGTTCCAGATCCAGGTCCAACATCGCATCTGGAGCACATATTCTTACATCGGTACGAATAGCCAATACGGCCGGGATAAATGGTTGTTAATAAAAGCACAAACCGTGATCTACAGAGTCTCTACGAGATAATTTACCATTTGAATTCTAGGTTCCGTGCCCGCTCGCTTGCTCGACCGTGGCCTGCCTATTGTAAAGAACACAGACACACAGACACACAGACAGACCCAGGGCCAGGCCGGGTCGACCACGGGCCGGAGGGAACGAACGTTTCTACGAGCATAGCGTTGCGTTACTTTGCGGGTGCGTACAATGGTTTTGTTGGGTGTTGGTCTAGGCATGCCTGTCTGCCTCTCTGTTGGGTTTACGGTTTCCCGTTTCCCTACATACCTCCCGGCTTAACAAGATTTTTTGCATCCTAAAACTATCTCCACGAAAAAGACTTGTTAATTAGCGGCCGAAAGACAACTTCGCTCGTTTAGTTTCGCTCGTTTCGTTCGAAGGAAGATGCAACTGCACGATTGTTTCCTTCCCTTTCTCTTCTCTGCACGCACATAACGCACGCACGCACGTACGATCGCATCTTCCCATCTCATCTCCCCCCCACCACCCCCCCGGCAGCCAGCACTGCACTGCCTGCTTGCTTGCTGCACTGCAGGATACCCGCCGCCACCTTCCCGCGCCGCCGCCTTGCATCTATTGCGTAGACATTTGGCTTTGTTGAATTGTTGCTTGTTAGGTAATTAGTTGGTTAGTTTGGTTGGTGGCCACGAGGTAAACAACACGAGGGAAACGCGTTGGACGTGGTAGTGTATGTCGACAGTACCGTGGTTGGGTTGTGCTGTGGTGTACTGTGGAGTTCTGTGGTGTACCGCGTATGGACTGACATACATGAGGTGACGTGGAGTACAACAGGACCTACAATTTTCTATTGGAGCCCAATTGTGTGTTCATTGATTCCACAGCATAGGTACCTAATTGCTTCGTCGTTGAGCAGATGTATTTGTTTACTGACTAGAGTTGATACTTGTCTTTGGAATATCCAGTTGTTTCTGTGCCGTACTTGGCTTCTTGACTGTGCCATGCACTAGGTATTGATCGGTGTATCGTTTCCATTTGCTCTTCTATTTGCTCTACGGAGTACTCGGTGCAGGAGTGTAGGGTATGTTATTCACGATGTTATTGACAATACTTTGTATGTCCATAGTATTCCGTATAGAACCAATAAGGTTTTGAACGTATTCTGTACAGAGTAGAGGTACTAACACCATTCCTACATCTGGGACCAATATCGTTCCTCTCATTGGGTGATCTGACCCTTCTCTCCATCTTATTCCCGTCAACTCCGTATCTATCAGTCCATTATCATTCCGTGCCATACCTAATACTATTGTTTCAAGTTCCCTTTTTGCTTTTTATTCAACGGTGTGCATTCATCCTTCTCCAAGTTTGTGTATGTATTAGGCGCGAGGCAGAGAATCGTATCGTAGTCGCCGGGGGCTTGACCAAAGGGATCTAGCATGGCGATACGCATCCAATCCGCCATGCACACGGTTTTACAAGTTACCCACCCACACGCGCACACGCACGAGTCTATCCCACACCCTCTTCCATAGTTACAGTTCCAATACGAATACACTTTGATACACAGACAATCCTTATTTACCTTTGAGCTTACACAGACATACTCCATTCAGCACTGTACAATAGATACCCTCACTCCGTAATCGTATTCATTCCATCTCCTCACGCACACACACCGTCCGTGTCCACCTTCCCTCTCATCCCATGCCATGCCATGCCATGCCATGTCAAACATCCCAGTAAGACAATCCCCCAGCATCACCCCAGTTGATCTCTCCATCCCTACCCTCTAGGCCCTACCTCTAGGTCCTCTAGGTCCTCTAGGTCCTCTAATCCACCCCCTCCCCTCCCACACTCCAAATCAACATCCCGGTAAAAGCGACGCAGCGTTTTCCCGTGCTCGCCTATCTTTGGCTTCCTGGAACTAAGCACTGGATGTCGGCTATTGGCTGGGAAAGAAGTGTTCGCTCTTCTTCGTTCCCTCGTTCATTCTCTCGCTGGGAGGGAGAGGGAGAGGGAGAGGGAGTGGGAGTGGGAGTGGACGGGAATAGACTGGATGTGTGCACTGGGTGTATGATACCCTCTCTATGTCCTCAATTCTCCGTAGATACGGAGTATAGCTATCCTGTCTCTATTACCTAGTTATCTCGTCGAATGGTTCCAGGTTGGCTCGCTCATGAGGGCAGCAGAAGCGGGCGCTAGGATCCCAAAGCCAACCCATCCCAACCACCTCAAAAATCCACCTCAGACCTCAGACCTCAACCTCGCCCGTCTCTCAACTCCACTCCACTCCACCACTTCCGAATTGCCTCGTCCTCCTCTTTCCCTTTCTTCCCTCCTTCCTACCTACCTCGCCTCATCTCACCTCACCTAACAATCTCCCTCTCCCTGTTCTTCATCTCATCCATCTTACTCTCCGGCCCATCCCCGCCTTATCTGCAGCATCTACGCTACGCTACCTTGGGTACGCATCTACAATCACGCAACACACAATACAGGTATTCCATCCCGTCCCGTCTTATGCTTTTCCATCTTACGCGACCTTGCCTTTCTTGTTGTACTGTCTGTTGCTTGAGTGCTATTATTTTTAATTCTCTATTATGGAGTACTGTTATTGTTGTTGTTATCCTCGTCTCCAGATTTTGCATCTCCACTAGTGTGTACTCCGTATAGTGCAGTGCAGTGTAGTGTGGTGCAGAGTGTACTGTGTATACTGTAGTGTATAGGGTAGTGTCGCTGCAGTGCGGGCTGCATCGTGCCTTCCCTGCGTTTATCCACGCCCACACGCAAACCCACACCCACATCCACACCTTCCTCCGAGGTTCGTGCAGCCTCACACAACATAGCATAGCATAGCATAGCATAGCAGAGCATAGCATCTCTTGATCCTCATCCTTATCCTCATCCTCCGTCTTTCCCCTACGACCTTTTCTTTTTCTTTTTCTTTTTCATTTTCTTTTCTTCACTTACCCTTTACTCCACTCTGGGTATCTCTCCCCGAGTGCTCCTATCTATTCCCGTCATTCACTACCACCATATTTCACAAGTCTATCTTGGTACCAGCCAGGGAATCCGCTGACCATTCGCTCTGTTCTATTCTGGCTGTAGTGCAGTGATCGTTAACCGATTAGGTAGCAGTGGTTTCCTACCATCTACAGTCTACGACTCTACGGTCTATTACGAGCAACTACCATCGATAACTACGGAGACACTACACTATCCATCTGCCGTATCCTAGTCCGTTGAGTACCCCGGCACGGCCACAACAGCAACAAGCAATAGCTAGCGACAAGCAACGAGCAGTAACTCAATACGGGCCATAGCGATAACTACCAGAATAGCTGTACCAACCATACCTTACCTGGGCTATACACAGTACATACCGCTATACCATATTACAATACAGCAATAGCCAGAGCTCTCCATCGGCCGGGCTACCTCTATCGACCAGCTCTACGAGTACTGTGTCGCAAGCAAGAGCAACAGCTTCAGCAGCTCCCAGCAAAAGGTCCCAGCATCGATAACCACCTCCACCCACTTTTGCTACCTACCTTCCCTTCCTTCTAACTGCCTCTTTCCCTCCCTCCTTCCTTCCTTCCTTCCTTCCCTCCTACCTGCCTCCTCCACCTCCATCCATCCTTCCTTCCTTCTTGTCGCTCGGCCCGTAGCTGACCACCCACCCTCTCTATCCTCTCTAAGAGATCCTCTCTATCCTTCCTCCTCTTCTCTTCTTCTCCT